AAAAGGCTCCTGATTTACTGGGGATATCCCATTAACGAGCAAAGAAGCAGTTCTATGCAGTTCTAACACGCATCCACACACACATTTGCCAAGGAAGATTTATTAATATTACATTTTTCTACTGCACTCCTCTTCCTGGTTCAGTCAAGTCAAGACATACAAGAGGCCTGGGATGCCTGGGACAGGTGAGGGAGGATTTGGTGATTGCTATAGCAACCGTCCCAGAGCTGTACATCCTGAGATTTTACAGCTTTTGATATTTTTTTTTAAAGGCAATCGCTAGCCCTCATTAAAAAGACATCCTCTAATTATGACTTAATGGCACAGCTTGATTACCTGCTGTTACATACCTCTCTCTCCTCTGCCTCCCCACAAACACATGCCTTCTGCCTCCTGGCCAAGTCAAGAAAGAAACAAAAGCTGGGTTGGAACAGGTCAGGGAGGGGATCGTTGTTACCAAAGCAACGGCTGTAGTTCTGCTAACCTGGAGACTTTTAGGCCATGTACACACCGTTTACTTAAAGCACACGACTCTCCACCCCAAAGAATCCTGGGAACTTTAGCTTATCCCTCAAAAAGCTGCAATGCCCCCCTAGCACCCTTAACAAACTGCATTTCCCAATGTTCTTTGCGGGGTGAGGCAGGGCGCAGTCATGCGTTTTCAATATTCGGTGTGTGCCCAGCCTTTATTTTCATTTGGAACAACAACTAACCCTCAATAATATTTCCAGACGTAAAAACAGAATATTCTGGTTTTGTCATAATAGTGCCATAGCCTTTTTCTGCATCCCTATAGCTGCTCTACTTTAGCACACTTGGGGATGGGGGGAAGAGAACGAGGTCCTACAAAACAGTTTGCTCCACTACTGATCCCATAACATAGCAGGTCATATGGGTGCTTCTAAGCTGACCAGCCCTCTAGTAACTTGCCCATTCGACTCAGAGTGTGGCAAAAGGCATTAGACCAAATTTGGGGCATTCTGGTCCACCTAAGGCAGGGATCTGCAAACTTTTTCAGCAGGCAGCCGGTCCACTGTCCCTCAGACCTTGGGGTGGGCCGGACTATAATTTGTAAGAAATATATGAACGAATTCCTATGCCCCACAAATAACTCAGAGGTGTATTTTAAATAAAAGAGCACATTCTACTCATGTAAAAACATTCTGATTCCCAGACTGTACGCGGGCCAGGTTGAGAAGGCGATTGGGCCGGATCTGGACCCTGGGCCTTAGTTTGCCTACCCATGACCTAGCGCTCTCATCCAGACTTCCTTTTGTGCCGTGTTTGTTTGTTTCTTGTCCCTGCGTTTCCCCCGTTGATAAATAATTGCTACACACATCTCAAACCAATCAACTCTAATATGTACCGTATATAGCCCCACTTCACAGTCTAGGTGAAGGGAGATTTCAGGATTTTTTCTAACAAAGCCCTTCATTCTCCTCAGTCAATAAAGGGGTTTTCAGATCTCCCCCAGAATCTTCCTTTTGCCCCCCCCCCAGCTACAATTTCTCACAGAGTCATGGTGGAAGGGGGAGAGTGATGGGTGCTGTGGCTACCTACAAAACCAGTTACTCAATAGCCTTTGGAAATGAGCCATTCTATATGTTGCCTTCTGGGATCATAAGGATAAGAAGCCACCAAGGAGTCTCGAATTGTCATGTAAACTTCTAACTGATGGGCAAATTTGAGACAGATAGCTCAATCATTGTAAGCACTGTATCATTGTAACAACTGTTATTTCACTGGGAATGACTTCCTAGCAGGGATTGCCGTCTGAATTTGTTAATCTTTCTGTTTTCCCCAACTTTTTAAATTGAAACAAGTTTCCAGTCCTCATGGCTGTGAAGAAAAATGTGAAAACTTCATGGGAATGTTTCTCCAAAAGGAAATTGACCAGCAAAAAAGCAGAGTGAGATTTATTGCTTCCTTTTGCAGATATTTAGTACCTCTCCTGGCAGGGGGTTCGGGGAAAGGGTACTAGGCCGGCTCCTGAAAAATCTTTTATTGTAGAATTTCCAGACCTCTGCTCTTCCCACAAACTGTGGGAAATGACGTGAGAGGGTAAGCTTCCCAGAGTCACAAGATTTACAGATGGCTTGGCTGATTTTTGTTTGTTGTCAAATGGAAAAAGCAAAGGAAACAGAACTGTGCAAATTTTAAAGTGTCAGGCTTCGAATCTCTCAGTCCAGCAAGCAAAAGCAGCTGGCAGCTTCTTTGTCTCTCTTCTCACTGGCCAAATCCAGAATAAAAAAGCAGGAGGTGGTGAAAGACAGAAAACCCTAATATGGGTGATGGGTTGGCCGGTGTGGAGTTCTTCTTGGGGGATAGAAAGGGCTTCACTTGTGCCAAGGCTGAGCCCTGGAATCTACTTTCAGCACCAGGGCCCAAAATGAGGAATGCCAGTTATAAGAAAAACGCCTCTGAGCATGCACAAAGTGCTTTTCCTTTCACCACCAAGTAACCACATACTGACCTCACACATTTAGGATTAAGAAACAGGATTTGTGAGGCAGACAGGATGGATTTGCCTTTTAAAAAAACAACAAAGTCCTAGCATAAGGAACTGAAGGATGTGAGGAAATTTAACCCAGCTGTCTGTTTGTGTCCAATAAAGCCAGGGAGGGCACCTTGAATGCCCTTGGCTGTAACCGCATACTATGCCAAGGTAATAGCAGCAGCTCAGTAATCTGGGCTAGAAGCAGGGGCGGATCTGCTATAAAACTAATGAAGTTTACACTTCAGGGTCCCTAATCCCGGAGGGACCCCAGAAGCGACTGAGGGTCTCGAGCAGTCAGCAAAAGTCAGCAAAAGTTGGCAACAGGACCACCAGTACCTCCAGCTATGAACAGAAACCTGAGTTTTGAGGTTTCAAGACTCCAGGCTGAGATCTATAACCCTTTCACCCTGCTTGTTTCGTATTTACTTCCCTCCCTAAAAATCCCTTCCTTTTAATTTCATTACACTTCAGCTAGCGGGGAAATCCAGTTCTTGTTATTATTTGCTCAAGGGCTTCACCGATCTCGGGCTAGGGTGGGGTAGGAAAGTAATTGCAATAATCCTTAATACAAAACACAAGCCGTTTCATTTTTAAAATAGGGTTTTCGGATGGGGGAGGGTGGAGACAGCAAGAAAACAACCTGCTTCCTCAGCCACCAAACACTCGGCTCCATACATTCAGATCTGCCTCCTCCACCAGAGGAGAGACAGCTGGGAAATTTCAGTAGGTAGGGAATGAGACGCTTAATCTCAGGGTTGTGAGTTTGAGCCCCATGTTGGGCAAAAGATTCCTGCATTGCAGGGGATTAGACTAGGTTATGTTCCCTTCCAGCTCTGATTAACACCCTAAAAATACTGTGGGGAGAAATTGAGAGGGGATTTTCCTGACAAGCGATGACAGTTCTGTATTTTTAAAAAAATGTTAAGATTTCACTTAAAATCACAGGCAACAGCAGCCGGAATGCACAACACAGGCTCGCAAGAGAAGTGTAAATCCAACCAAATCGAAATGTATAAGGCCCGGGTAGCAAAGGAGACAGGTGTACAACACACCCTCTTCTCTGCCCCACACAATTGGGCCATCTCTTTGGAATCCTGGCTCGGCCTGCTTCTCTGGCTTCTGGGAACTGCTCCCGCCTCCCCCTGCCTGAGCTTTCCCCCGAGGCGAAGAGAGTGGCGGGCGAGAGAGAGAGAAGTGGGTGTGGGAAAGCAGCAGGTGTCTTCGGCATTTGGCAATCGCTCAATGGACAGCGTGTTGCACGAAACGCACACGGCAGATCCAGCCACGAGCCAGCTGCTTTGTGGGATCTCCTCCTTCGCGCCCAGAAGGGAAATGTCGGCCTACTAATTTGGGGCTGGCTAAGTTGCCTTCTCCTGCTCGGGTACGCCGACGCCACCCGCGTTCACATTTAATCCTCAGCTTTTCCGGAAGGTTTGGGCTACCGAGCTTATCCACATCGCTAAGTTTGTCGAGATTTACTTGCACACACACACACGTACCTCGTCTTGGACAATTTGGGTCAGGGCTGTTTTCTAGGGCCCGAGGCTATTTTGACACCACACTTTTGGCCTTGTGCTGTTCTACAGCGAAAGCAGTTCCTCAGCAAAGGTCACAAGTAATAGGAAAAGGAGAGAAAGGGAGTCTGCACATGGGGACTGGCTACTGTTGTTAGCTAGCGGTGACTCTGGATGCTGCTGTTTTCATGTGGATTGCGAGTGTCCAGTGCACTAGTTCAGTTTCGAAGGCATGCTGAAAACCCATGGGCAGGAGAGTGACTGCATGAGCATCGCCAAAAAAACAAAAAAGAGGACAAGAAAGGGTGCAGATTTGCATTAAAATGACTCATGCTCCTTTATGTGTATACACACAAATTTAGAAATGACAACTATAATTTACCGTATTTTTCGCTCCATAAGACGCACCTAGTTTTTAGAGGGGGAACGCAAGGGGAAAAAATTCTTTAAAGGGCGCGTTGAGCAGAGCCTGTATGCATCCCAGGCTCTGCTCAGTGCTCCCTTTCACGAGCTGCGTGGAGCGTGTGTGCGGCGCTTGCAGGCTTTTCCCCAAGGAAGGAGAAGGGCAGCCCATCACTGAGGGGTTGCCCTTCTCCCTCCTCGGGGAAAAACCCCCAAGAGCTGCACACATGCTCCACGCGGCTCTTTAAAGGGAATGCGGCTCTTGCTGGCTTTTGTGAGAGGTGGGGGAAGGGACAGAGCGCGGCTAAGCCAGAAGCTAGAACAGCAAGAGGGAGCGCTGCGCAGTGATCCCTCTCGCTGTTCTGGTTTCTGGGATAGCTGCGCAGCCTGCATTTGCCACATAAGACGCACACACATTTTACTTTTTAGGAGGGAAAAGGTGCGTCTTACAGAGCGAAAAATACGGTGAATAGAAATACAATACTTCTCACCATAGTGGAGGATCCTGTGATTACATGCCTTGTGTGTGTGCCTGGAAGGGACCACAAGGATAATCTAGTCCCACACCCTGCAGTGCGGGACTATTTTGCCCAACATGGGGCTCGAACCCACAACCCTGAGATTAAGAGTCTCATGCTCTACTGACTGAGCTATTCCTCTTTTCTTAGGGTTCTTTATCTTTAAACTGTACTTGGGATGGACAGCCCTTCAAAAAGAGGACTTTCCCCTATAAAACAGGACATTCGGCCACCCTCACGGGCAGGAAAGCACCAAGAACTGGACTTAATAATATCTGGGTAAATTGTCCTGGAAATCATGCTGCGAACTGAAGTCATGGCTCAGCTCACCAGGGCTTCGCTTTCTTCAAATGCCTCAGAATGTAAAAGGTGATAGGAAAGATAACAACACTCATGGTGTTTTTCCCTCCTCTCACCATGACTAAGCATAACCTGCCTAAAAACATTTTTATCACCACTGAGTTACCACAGTCTGGTTACCAGCATTTAGAACAGGGAGCAGCAGGGACTGTAAAGTCCTCAAACTTGTTTTCAGCCAACTCACTGATTCTCAAATCATGCATTCTTCTGTGCTAGCTGAGGGATGCCTCTGAACATGAGCCTTTCCCTCACTAGACAACGTCTGCAAATATACATGATCCGAGGGAAGGATTTCCAGGTGAAAGCATGATAGGTTCCAGGTAGATTTTAACCCCTAGTTGTTCACCCTGTTTTTAGAATGAAAATAAAGCTTTGAATAAGTACAGAAACACTATACTTAACTACAGCCCAGCCCCTGCACCCAGCACCCTGAATTTGGGGATCTGTTGCCACCTCTGAGTTTCCCAAACTTGAGATGCCAGCAGTTTTTTTTTACTACAATTCCCATCATCCCTGACCACTGGTCCTGCTACCTAGGGATGATGGGAGTTGCAGTCCAAAGCAGCTGAAGACCCAAGTTTGGGAAACCCAGGCCTAACTAATGAGAAGAATAAGGGTTTTCAGAAGAAGAACCCAATGCCAAAAATAAAAACAAAAAATCAGGATCCATAGCCTAGTCCATACCATGCCCAGATTTAGTTTAAAACTGAAGCCAATCCAAGCTTGTAAAAAGACATAATCACTGGAAGGGCCTTTGTTGCTCTGCTAGGGGGCAGGGAGAGCATATTAAGAGAGCAGAGCCATTAGTTATTCCCTTCCCCTTAGTGTTTGTGTGTGTGTGTAAAAAGGATTCTTCCTTCGGGCAGAGTTATGTTTTTAACAAGCGTTTCCCAAGCAATTGTTGTTATATATTCTTTTCCTCTCTCCTTTTCTGGCCTGGACATGTCTGGACACCTTCTTGCTGTGAGGCTGCACGAGATCCCACACAATTTCTCTCTCTCCAAACATCCTCCCTCATGCCATTCTAGAGCAACGTTCATGCTGCGTGTTGGGGGAGCCAAGGTTATTGCCACAAGACAAAAAGAGCAAGGGAGAAACCCCTACTGGGCAGGAGGCAACATGGCTGAACTTTCCAGGTGGGGTCATTAATGAGGAAGAAAAATGCTAAGATTGTGGGGTGTGGGACGAGGCTTTGAAGAGCTAGAACAAATTGGGGATTGGGTAGGAAAGAGTCTCCAGTCCATTCTCCTAAATCTGATTGGCCTGCAAAACTTCAAGTCTGAATTCTGCTATTTGGAATATAGTTAGCAGAATACTTATTATTATATTGAGATGCTGTTGGACTGGGGGGGGGGCATACAAAGGGTTGTAGCCAGATAAGTTGTACTCAAAGTAGACACATTGACATCAAACTGATTGACTTCAATGGGTCTACTCTATGACTAAGATTAGATACAACCAAAAGACTGAATTCTGGCAATGCGATAGTTTACATGACTGTCTCCAAATATATATCAAGAAATATCTATACGGAGCTTTGTGTGTGTGTGTGTGTTTTTAAAGACCACCCTTTCGAAATTGGGTTTTAAAAATCCCATCCATCAAATTTAATGTTTTTGCAAAACTGCATTTCACTGAAATTTGTGTAGTGACTGAGAGATTAGCGTAGCAGGTGCCACAGTGGGCTAAGGATGTAGACAAAGAACGCAATACATTTTGTGCTGCAGATAAAAGAATCTTGGAACACCTCCCATTTGGTACAAATAGAAATACAATTAATTGTGTATTTTGAATTTGAACCCTTTCCTTCAAATTGTTCCTTGTGAGTAGGAACCCTACATACTGCTATTTTAACAAACAAAGCGGAAATGCATACAATTGCTTCACTGTGCAACATTTTAGGTCTGGTGTGTGTGGTATTTTTTTTAACAGGGATTACAAATGCAATAATATGATGCACTCCTGAAACACAGCTAAAAATGTTGTGTCTGAAACATCTACAGAGAGAGCTCACCTATAGTCAGATACATATGCTTCACTACAGGGATAATTTTAAGACATGAGTTTTTTTTATCACAGGTAAGTTCTGTGCATCAGTGATTGAGGCATAATTTCTTACCCAAAATTTCTGTTTTCAAACCACTTGAGAATTTTGAGCTGAGTGAAGGGAAAGAGCCATGCCACTAATGCACCCAATGCAATCCATGTTCAGACAGCAAGTACACGATAGTGTAGTAATATGCTCATTGGCCTGGTTTTCACACCACAGTAAGACAAACTATGGCTTAGCATGAATGAGCTTTTCTTCCCTCCTCTCCAAACAACTCACAAGCTGTAACCAATGTTTACTGTGTGTGGTTTGTTTAGGGAGACAAACCATGTACTTGTGTTCGCATGTAACAACTAGCCAAACCATGGCTTAACTCCCAGTAGCACAGCAGAAGCAGGGGAGGAGCACAACATTGTGATTTTCTAACTCTGCACCAGCACAACTGCTCATCTGTGCTTAGCCATTCTTTAGCTTAGTATTACATGTAAACAAGGCCATTATGTGTGTTCTTCCTACACCTCCTTCCCACCTAAGGACGATTCCTCTGCACAAACAACAATGTGGGTATAGTTTAGCTTTTCAGTACTCCCACAGTGCTCTTGGTATGCGCCACTGAGATGCTTTTAAGCTCTGCTTTACAACAATGAGGGCTAGAAACTTCCTTATTGTTGAACAGGACAGCAATGTAGCTCCATAGAATTAACTGTGTGACTGCTTCTGGAGGTGCCTAGCACTAATAACTCATTGCTCTTCCACTGTAAGCTACAAGCAGAATTGCAATAGATTTTCCGTGGTCCTGAGGACATTGAACTTTTTCTGTATGTTCATCAGGTAAGCCACTTTCCTAAAATGGCAATGACCAGAAAGGTTTCCCCCTCTTTTTAAAAATTAGCAATATAGTGTTACAGCACTGCAACACACTATTTTAAGCAGTATTTCACTAATATTTTAATATTTTTAAAAAACTGGATCAGAAATGTAGCTTGGAAGTATTTAATTAGGAGGGAGGATGTGCACTTCTAAAATGGCAGTGACTTGAAACAGCTTTCTTCTTAGTATTTTTTATTAGCATGAGAGTCTTATAGTGCTATGGCACTTTAATTTAAGCAGCATTTGGCTCATTTTTTAAAAGTTAAATAATATATATATATATATTCACTAATTAACAGCTCAATTAAAAAGGGTTATAAAACCCGGACTCGTTCACCTGCTGGATACATCACTGTCCATGTCGACACAACACTTCTAAAAAAGATGGAAGGGTAATGCTAAGGGCATCTACAGTCTTCTGTCCTTCTAAGAAAATGATAGATTTTCTACGGTAAGAAAAGACAGAAGAAACACAGGGAAGATTATAAATGGATAACAATGCTGTATTGGACACACATACACACACACACACCCCAAATGTGAATGAACAGGGCATTATTCCACACTAAACAGCTAGTATAGAAGCAGCTGTTATGTCTGCGTTCAATTTGGATTTTGCAACTCCTTAAGAGTTGAAAATCATAGATGATTTTTAAATATCTGTCATACTCCTGTGATGTTACAAACACGTTACGAAGATTCACATTACAGGAGCAGTCTCCTGCTCCTATCGTTTTAAGATCAGGAATGTCTATTGGGAGAGAGCCTGGAAGCTAGTTAAGGGTATAAACACAGTTTTGGAGATTGTATCCTTTCACAGGTGACTTAAAGAAAGTGCTGAATATGTGTATAAACTCACATTTCAGCCTGGTCCTTAAGAAAATTTTAAAATAAATCTGTAGTGCATGATTTATTAGGTTACAAGGGCTATAAAGTACCAGAAGGGGAACTAAAATGTACTTTCAGAGCCACTTGTGAAAACATCCATAGTTAAGGATAAGGTTGAGGGCCTTAGAGGCTCCGGGGACAGAGCAAGGTAGCAATCTAAGACACAAGCCAACAATTCTGCCCATTATCCTTCCAAAAAAAATAAAAATCCAATGGAGGTGTGGTAGCTATTTTGCCTACAAAACTAGGGTAGCCTCATTACCTACTAAATCAGAGACCTGGGATGGGCGGGAGTTGAATAGCAGATCCAACCCCCTAAATCTCTACAAGCTTAAACTGAAGAATGTCGTTCCACCATAACTGTTAACACACTTGTGTGTTCTCTGTGTATATTAGCGACAAGAAATCCATCATTCAAGATGGAGACAAGTAAGGCCCATATCCCTCCATTTGTATCTGCCCAGAAGATTCCACTTAGCCCAACCCACCTCAAAGACCATCCTTCAAAAATATCCCTCCCATACTCCCCAAACACACACTCAACACACCCAGCCGAAAGCTGCTCAAGGGTGTGGCCCTTCCCAGTGTGTCCCAACATCGTCCTTTCCTCCTAGGGAATAAATAACTTCTCCTTCCAAGGACAGGATAAGGTTCAGGCTTAGAGGGTGTCGTGTGATCCCAGAGCCTTGAGCAAGGAGGACAAGTCAGTAGGCCAGGAGGCACCATGATGGAGAGATGGCGAGGAAGAAAGGCTCAGTTGGGTTGGGAAGCCGCACTCGAAGAGCTTCCGTCAGGTTCCCGTTTGACTTTTGCGGGAGGCTCTGTCCCAGCTTTGGCCTCTCCTTCTCCTTCCTCCTTAGCACCTTCATGTGTCTTCATGTGCTTGCTCAAGTGGTCACTTCTCATGAAGACCCGGTTGCAAACAGGGCAGGTGAACTTTTTGGTTCCTGTGTGGGTCTGAAGGTGCCTCTGCAGCTCATCAGAGCGGGTGAAGCGCTTCCCACAAAACAGCCAATTGCAGACAAAGGGGCGGTCGCCGCTGTGCCACCTCAGGTGGGCCTTCAGGTGGGATGTCTTGGCATAGGCCTTGCCACAGCCAGGGATGTGGCAGTTGTGGAGGTGCTTCTTCTTGGAGTTGTCAGGGCACTGGCCCACCCTTTCGGCCTCCTGGCAATTAGGGCACCGGCAGGCGGTTTGGCCAGAACTGCGGGTCACGGAGCGCCTTGAGCTCTTTGGCCTACCGCTACCATCCCCAGCCTGCTCCATTGGGTGGGGCTCCTGAGTAGAATCCACGGACTTGATCACTTCCTGGCCCATGAGGTGTGGCCCTGAAGGCAACAGGTGGTGAGGCGGGCCACAGAGCTGATGTTCTGCAGTGCCATAGCCACCCAGCCCTGGCTGAAGTCCGCCTGTGTGGCCCGGCGGCTGGAGACCACTCTGAAGCTCCATCCAGCTGGATCCGGCATGGAGATCCCACCATGGATTGATGCCACCATCGTCAGCGCCACTACTAGGATGGGTAGGCCTGAACCAAGGTTCATAGTGGTGAGCCATATCTGGTGCTGCCTGTAGGAGCTTAGAGTACGGGCCAGGGGCCAGCTGGCTTTCGCCGTCCAGGTCTAACCTTGAAGCCCCATGCAGCTCGTAACCAGCATTGCCCGAATACTCCGTGTCGGGCCCAGCCAAAGGCAGGTGCTGGAGCTCCGTGGGTTGCAGAGGGGACGGGAAATCTCCCCCGCTATCCGGGCTGGTGTGGGGCTGGAAGGTCTGCAGAGGCTGCAGCTCTACGTGGGTTGGAGAGGAACGGGGTGTCTCAGAACACTGGTTGCCAAGAGAACCACAGACGGCTGTGAGCATTGCAGAACTCCTCGGTGGGTAAGTTCTCAGACACACCTGGACAGGAAAGAAGGAGGAAGAGAAAGAAATGGTTGTGAGACAACAGCAAACAACAGCACAGAAAGCGTAACCCTCCCTCTAAGGGACAGGCAATTTTGGTTTCTTGGTTTCTCATTTTCCCCATCTTCAGTTCTCCGCATTTCCACACCAGTTTGCTGGTTTTCCAAGTTCTTATGAGAATTTGCCAGCATTTTAGTGTGGATTTATCCCAATATACTCATTTTTCTATGCAGTTCTGCCTAACGTACTGTCGTGGACTAGCTGGATGCAGAAGAATGGTGGGAAGCACAAGCGGGAGAACCACCAAGGGAAGGAAGAAGGCTCAAATCTTGGGGACGACAACGAGCGGTAAGAGGGAGAAGACTGGGAGGAGGAGGTGTCAGAAGTTGAAGAGGTAACAGGGTTTAGTGAGCAGGGAGAGTCTGTGGCAGAGAGAAGTCCAGAACTGGAGGCAGAAGCTGAAGCAGGAAAGTGGGATGAGGGAGGCCAAGAGGCAGAGATGAGTCAGGCGGGGGAAGCTGCTGGCTGTGGCATGCTCCCCTCCCCCCACGTCTCCCAGGACCAGAAGAAGTATGAAGCAAGAGGAACAAGAAAACGGATGCAGCAGCATAGTCTCAGATTGCTTAGGAAGGACCCAGGGGAGAAGGAGACTTTGGCAGCTATGGGAAGGCAGGGGCCGTCAGTCTCTGTAACTGCCTCATAGGGGCAAGACCTAGCGATGAAGAGCTGCACACTAGGCCTGGCATTCCTGAGCAGATCCTGTTTCATCTAACAAAAAGTTAACTTCTTTTACTCCATGTGATTTATTGCTGGCACATAGACTTTTTTTGCAAACTGGCTTCCCCAATACAGTGCATTTTTGTAGGCTATCTTCACTAATATAGGTATCTTCACTTTACCCAAGTGTACGCTGTGTTTGCACATTGTTTCCAAAAAAAGTCTGAGTTAGGAAGGTTCACATTTACATGCAAACTGAAACGAAATTCTCCCCAACACCTACTCCTTCTGAGGACTTTATCCACACTTAAGCTTCGCCCTGCTCCTTCCAGGCAGAGGTCTGTGCTTTGATGCTCTGTGTCCAAGCGTGTCCCCACCCCCAAGTTTCCCCAGCAGAAACATGCTCTTTAAAGCTGAATCGGAGCAAACATCAATTCAGGTTTTTCGTGGATTGACATTTGCTCCAAATGAGCATTCAAGAGTGAATTTTCACAGGGAAAGCTCTGGAGCAAAAGAAAATTGTGCAGGTGCTCGGACACAGAGCTTTAAATCACAGACCGTGCCAAGAAAGAGTGTAGGAAAGTTAAGTGTAGATAAGCCCCAACTCCCCCCATTTCATACTGGTTAGCTGGTGCTGGGTAAAACCAAGGAGGCGGGATGCAAACCAGTATTTATTGGGAAATCCCCCCAAAATCCCAGGGGAACAATTTTTTGACAACAAAGCTATGGCAGAATTTATTGTGAAAGATGACTTCTCTAAAATGCTTTAGAACATTGTTCCCTGCAAGTGGGATCCCAAATGGATCACATGATCCTTTCACTGAGAACCCCCTGACCCTTTTCTGAGAAACCTCAGAGATCCCAGAAGCCTGGCCCTTCCTGACTGGTTTATGTTTGTTTTGCAACATGTCATTGACACAATAATAGTGCATTTGTGGTGGATTAATACTACACCTTCCACACACCATCCTGCTTTATTAGTTGTTATGTGACGCTTCCCCACGTTCTTGCTGCCTGGAGGGGGCACGCTTGCAACAAAAGTGGAACAACCTACCCCTCAATGCAACCTGGGAACATTTGTGGTTTGAAAAGTTATAGGATTTCAGCAGAAAGCTATGGGGCATGGCATCAATCGGAAACAAAGCGTCGTATCTGCCCTGAAACATGTGCATGCGCAAACACTATTGAAAACTGGATAGTATATAACTGCTACCATCATGAGTGCAAATCATCATGAATGCACAATAAAAAGGACGTCTGGAGCGTAGCGTAGACACGTTAGGTTCTTTTTTAAAAAACAACACTGTGGTAGAGGTTGTTGTGGTGAGGGTATGGGGTGGGGAAGAGATTTAAATATAGCTTATTCTCTTTTTCTTCAAAAGCCTTTCTTAGAGAAGACCCTTTAATCGTCGGCTTCTGCAAGGCAGATAACAGTAATTATACCATCTGATCTTCAGCCGACTTAGCTGTGATGGCACAACTCTTGCCTTGTCCCATCGAAGGGAAGAGGGTTTGCTGAGTACTTTACAAAGCATAAAAACGCACCGTCTGTTTCCTCCCACTCTTATGGAGAAGAAAATAAAGATCTGAGGCCTGCCAAGCAAAGCTAAGAAAAACTAAGAGGTGCTTGAAGAGTCCACAAACCATTGTGATATCCAACACACTAAGGGTGAAACAGCTACAGAAAAGCCAAACTATCTTTTTATTTATGGGTGTTTATGGATGCCAGGAAATTCATATCGTTTCTGAACATTTTTTTCTCCGTAGAATAGAGATGCTTAGTTCTATAAAGAAACATGGAACATTTGTTTAAACCCATTTCTTCCAGAGGCCCTCCACCCGTTCCCATTTCGAGAACGGCAGCTCTCCATAAAACAGAACTTTATTTCATATTTATTGCCTGTTCCTCAGGTTTTCACAAGTGAAGGTTTTGCCATCACTGCATTGTCATGCTGGGAAAAGCTTCAGTTGCTGAATTTCTGTGTGGCATAAAGCAGCCCTGCCAGAAAATAACAATCCTAACAGTGCAATCATAAGTAGAGGAGGTCCAAGTTCACCTTCCCTTATAGCTAGACCACTTTGTATTCCAGGAGTGAGGAACCTAATATTTCTTAACTACAACTTCAACAAGCTGTGTCTGGGCAGAAATCAGCGAATTATCTGGGGAAATCCAGCCGCATGGCAGCCCTTGTCGGCAGTGTCATTTTTGCCTATTTTCCTCACTCAAAAATAGCTCAACGTCCAATTTCTTTCTATGCACAAGAGAAAAGTATCAGCTGGTGTAGGGAAACCCCAAGGTTTGTGAAAAACAAACAAATATTCAGGGAAAATAGCTTCCAAAACAGTCCAATGACTCAGCAGCCACAGAATGCTATCCAACAGTTGGAAGGAATACCCAAAAAAAACCAGGGCAGGGGATATTAAATAGAACATCCTGGAAGTGGTCATGGCTGGCTACAACCCTGGATGAAATGCTCCACGCTGCAACATTTAGTTGCAGGCCTCATTTGTTTATTATATAGCAACAAATCCATATTTGCCACCAAGTGTAATTTCAGCAGGGAAGCCCAGTCAGTTCCAGATCCCGACTAAGAATGTTTTCCCAAGCAATGTTTGCCATATTCACATTAGTGTTCCAAAATATTTTTTTAATGTAATGTAAAATGTAAACAAAGAGCATCTTATGTCAGGAGTGTGTGCAGGAGCCGGGTCCTGTGACCAGTAGGGTTTCGCAGGACTGGGGCCTTCCTTTGTTCTGGAGAGGCAAGGCGCGGCCGCACAGGTGAGGCTGCTTCGTAAGTCACTGCACCTGGTGGCTAGAGCCGGAAGGGATATAAGGTCAGCATTTTCCTTTGGCTCTTTGCCACAGCAACACATTTCCTGCCTCACTGCGTTTGGCTTCATGCTTCCTGATCCTCGGACCTCGGCTTCTTGACTCCTTGCTTCTCGACCCTCAGACCCTTGACTTCATGACTCCCTGCTTCCTGACCCTCGGATCCCTGGCTTCTGGACTCTCGTTCCTACTCCCACCCCACCATCTTGCCCCCGGTCCCAATGTCCTCAGCTGGGACTTCGATCGCCTGTAGACTGGACTGTGACACCTTCACTATGTAGGCTTGCTCAAATCACTATCTCAGTAGTGTCAAACTAGACAAGACTATTAAGCACATTTAGACTGACCATATACCTTGATCTGCAAAAAGCAGCTGGATTCTAGCATGGATTGGGACCATAGCAGGCTGGAGGGGGAGCTTTAATAATCCCCCTCTGCCATTTCCCACTGCAACTGCTCCTCTGAATGGGCTCAAGTGTGGGGGGGAATAGGGGCAAAGAGCAAATTCTGGGGAGATTTTCAGTGGAAAAACAAAATGCAAAGGGTTAAAGCCCTTCTTGATACAGACTAGGAGCTCAGGGCTGCTTTTTCTAAAGAAAGAATGCTTCTAGTCTAAGTGCATTCTTAAATCATTTCTTAAAAGTCACTTCGAGGCTATGGACGCATTAGCAGCATAAATCACAAGGTCATTCCATCACCTGCATGCTGTGTTTCAAGTCATATTTGCATCCCTATGTACACACCAGAGAGGAGGTGGAAATGTCTTCACCAGGTACTAATTGCCTGTTTGGGTTCCCTGTGCCTGCAGCCCCACTCAGACTCCTGTTCATGAAGCTGTTATCTGCCGATGGGCTGCCATTTGGCGCATGCGCAACGGCTGCCTCAGATGCACACACCTCGGCTTAACCGCAAAGTGAGCACGGCTTACGTTTTCAAACCGGAGAGAAGCTGCTTTGAGGAGAACTGGATCAAAGAGCAGCATTTCTCAAGAAACTGCAGGATAGATATGGTTCGTGGCCAAGGTTATCCTCCGCACATGATTTCAAATACCAGCGGCGAGAGTGTACTTGAGCCAGAGTGAATTGTACTGCCATGTGAATGGTAACAAACCTAAATTAAAAAGAGGAGTGACGGGGAAACTACAGTTCGAAGTGGGGAAAGCTAGGAGATTCCCTGGGCTCTCTCACACGAGGACCATTTTGCTTTGCAGATACAGTGGTACCTCAGGTTAAGAACTTAATTCGTTCTGGACGTCTGTTCTTAACCTGAAACTGTTCTTAACCTGAAGCACCACTTTAGCTAATGGGGCCTCCTGCTGCCACTGCTGCACAATTTCTGTTCTCATCCTGAAGCAAAGTTCTTAACCTGAGGTACCACTGTACATCTGTTCAGGCCATTACTTGTGGTGAACAAGGAGAAGGCCACAGTCGTTTCCATTTCTGGTAATTAGGTGTATTACCTGCCCTGGGAGAGCTTACGTTCCTTTTGAAGGACAGGTTCATGTTCTGGGAGTATACTCTGGTGGCTTATGTGTGCTATACAGTAAGTGCTTATGCCCAGCTTAGGCTGGTTCACTAGCAATGGCCACACCCCTATTGGGATAGCCTGGCTTCAGATGCCCATGCTTTGGTGACCTCCCATCTGGACTACTGCAATGAACTGTATGTGGAGCTGCCCTTGTAGCTGCCAGTGCGGTCTGTCAGATTGGACCATGCGTCACTGGTCTTGAAAACACTCCACTGGCAGCCACTGAGCTATCAGGCCCAACTCAAGGTGTTAGTACTAGCATGTTGTTGTTTAGTCGTGTCCGACACTTCGTGACCCCGTGGACCAGAGCACGCTATAAGCTATGCCATGCAGGGCCACCCAAGACGGACAGGTCATAGTGGAGAGTTTTGACCAAACGTGATCTACCTGGAGTAGGAACCGGCAAGCCACTCCAGTATCCCTGCCAAGAAAACTCCATGGACAAAGACAACAGTACTAGCATCTTAACTCTAAATGGCACCTAAAATAGCACCTTCCCCAGTAACAACCATCTTGGATCCTATGATAGGCAAGTGAAGTCTTGTTAATAGTCAGCCACTGGGGGCTGCCTGGTTGCTGGTTATATTTTCAGTGGCTTCTCCCCATTTGTAGTCTGCTGTCCCTACTGAGGCGTATCTATCTCCCTCAGTGCTCATTTTCAGGAGAAATTAAAAAATATTCCTGTTTCCCCAGCCATTTGATGGCTGAAAGACACTGCTCCTGGCAACCCTGAAATCATTGGCTGAAAATGTTTTTAATTGTTTTACAGGGGGAAAAAACTTTTAAAACAGAACCTTTAAAAATGCTTTTAGTTGCTGTGTTTTTAATGTTTCATCATTGCTGTGTCTGATGCCTTGGGCGGAAGGACAAGGAAATACAACTCAAATAAATAACGCTTTATGACGTTTAGGAGTAGCCAGTCAAGTAACATGAACGCCACCATACTAAAGGTGACTACCAGATGCAGCTAAGTGGGTCGTGTTTGAGGAATTCCCTGTGCCAAATCTGCAATTGCACTTAACACAGAGCACCAACAACACATGCTAGCTAGAGGTCTAAGAGGCTAACCACATTTGCATCGCTTACCAGCACATCACAGCTAACTTAGGCAGAAGATTTTAAGAGCCATTAATGGGGGGGCAGAATGTATAGATAGGGGGCCTGGTTCACTGGGCACCTTCCCCCAAGATGTCCCCGTCTGCAAAATTCCCACTGAAATGTGCAACATCTTGAGGGAATCCTACTACACATAAACCTGCCAAGTTCAGTACTTTAGCATCCTGTGCAGCTAAATGTACAGTGGTCCCTCGGGTTAAGTACTGAATTCATTCCGGAATGTTCTTAACTGTTCTTAACCTGAAGCACCACTTTAGCTAATGGGGCCTCCTGCTGCTGCTGCCGGAGCACGAATTCTGTTCTCAACCTGAAGCAAAGTTCTTAACCTGAAGCACTATTTCTGGGTTAGCGGAGTATGTAACCTGAAGCGTATGTAACCTGAGGTACCACTGTATCTGCATACAGAATGGGAAATGTGGTAGAGTCAAAAAATGAGAGACTGTCAATCTGCAAATATCAATTAGAATTCCCCCTTCCCCAGTTTGGGTCTCTAGAGGAAGAATTTCAAAGAGGGCAAGGATGCAGTCAGGGAAAAGAAAAAGAAAAGGAGGAGATGAGGAAGGTAGTGAGCTCACAGTTGTAGATTCTAATTACTCCTGCTGCTGCATGGCTTCGAAGAGACAGATAGCATCAAAGTTGATGGAGTATCCCAGAATTCCATGTTGTGCGGTGCGGCAGTGTGACTCACTCCCCAGTTCTATGGAAATGGTGCAATGGGAGAAGGGAAAACCCCACCCTGGGCAGGGACGGACTTTGGTCTTTCAAACTGCAGCAGCATCCTGCGCAAGGCCTAAATTTGGCACTCCCTGGCACTCAGCTTCTGTTCTGCATGTGCACAACATCAAAGTTGTGGTGCCCTGAGGTGCCCTCCGCAGCTTGGTGCCTAGTGCGGGGGAACTGGTCACACTGCCCTAAATGTGCTTCTGCCCTGGGCTATGAAGCTGACCTGTCTCAGCCCCCTGAAGGAGCATTTCCACCCCCATTGTTCAGCCTGGACACTGAGGTCCAGCTCCGAGGGCCGTTCTGGTGGTTTTCCTCACTGAAAGACATGAAGTTACAGGGAACCAGGCAGAGGGCCTTCTCGGTAGTGGCATCCACCCTGTGGAATGCCCTCCCATCAGATGCCAAGGAGATAAACAGCTAACGTATATACTCAAGAATAAGCCAACTTTTTCAGCACATTTTTTATGCTGAAAAGCCCCCCTTGCCTTATACTTGAGTAAGGGTCCTTTCAGGCTGCTCCTTCCTCCTCTTCCGCTTTTGCCTCTGTCAGTGGCGGCAGCGGAGGAACAAGCAGCCTGAAAGCAGCCCTTTGGGGCTGCTTGTTCTTCCTCTGCCACTGCCGCCACCACCAGGTTTGTGGTGTGGTGAACCGGCTTATACTCGAGTCAATAAGTTTTCCCAGTTTTTTGTGGTAAAATGAGATGCCTCGGCTTATACTCGGGTCGGCTTATACTCAAGTATATACGGTATATGACATTTAGAAGATATCTGAAGGCAGCCCTGTATAGGGAAGTTTTTAACGTTTGATGCTTTTACTGTTGGAAGCTGCCCAGAGTGGCTGAGAGAACCCAGTCAGATGGGTGGGGTACAAATAATAAAATTACGATGATGATGTTGACGATGACATTTATATCCCACCGTTCCTCCAAGGAGCTCAAAGTGGTATACAGTGGTACCTCGGGTTAAGTACTTAGTTTGTTGCGGAGGTCCGTACTTAACCTGAAACTGCTCTTAACCTGAAGCACCACTTTAGCTAATGGGGCCTCCCACTGCCGCTGCGCCGCCGGAGCACGATTTCTGTTCTCATCCTGAAGCAAAGTTCTTAACCTGAAGCACTATTTCTGGGTTAGTGGAGTCTGTAACCTGAAGTGTATGTAACCTGAAGCGTATGTAACCTGAGGTACCACTGTACATAGTTCTACCCTCTTCATTTTGTCCTTGCAACAACCCTGTGAAGTGGGTTAGGCTGAGAGGCTGTGACTGGCCCAAGGTCACCCAGTGACCTTGAGCCATACACCCACTAGACACACATGTACACAAATGTACACAATTGGTGGTCTTAGCCACCCTTCCAAGGTCATATGGTGCCCTGCTCAGTCTATTGCGAAAAACACAGAGCGTGGCTCAAGTCTGTGAGACAGAAATAATGATCGATCCTAGATCTTTAAGCCCCAGCCAGTTACTCATCTATACAACTGGATGCATCAAGTTCCCAGTCAAACAAAAGGAGAAATCATTCAAGTCCCTCTTCACTCTCTCTCACTATGAGGCACTGCAGATGTTTTCACAGTTGGCTCAGGTAACACCCTGCCTCCCACTAAATAACGGCTTGTGCAAGTTCTGCAAGCGGTGTAACATCTGAACTGGAGATGCAGGGAAGATTGCCGAAACAAATTCCTAGTCATGATGAAAGCAGCCGTTTGGTTAGCCTTAGGCCACAATCCAAAACACACTTACACAGGAGTAAGACCTATTGAACATATAGCCACATAACCTCCCTGAAAAAGGTTTGCGCAAATCAGTCAGGAAGAATGATTTGTCTGCACGACGTTTGGAAAAAGATCATCTGGAAGCAACACTGGTATTTGTCTTTGTTCACTCGGAGAACCTCATGGGTCACATGCAGATCACACAATCCTTTTAAAAGGCTCCTTTGGTCTAGGATCTGCCATTTTAATGCTTTATGGAATGGCTCTGGATCCATTCCAGTCCGGCTTCCGCGCTGGTCATGGGACCAAGACGGCTCTGGTCGCCCTAACAGATGATCTCCGCAGGTAGCTGGATCGAGGTGGGTCGGGGCTGCTGATTCTTCTAGACCTGTCAGCAGCCTTCAACATGGTCGATCACGAACTCCTGGACTGTGCCTTGCCGACGTGGGGATCCAGGGCACAGTCCTTCAACGGTTGCGCTCGTTTCTCTCTGGTCGGGGACAGAGGGTAGCGCTTGGGGGGGAATTGTCATCCCGCCACTCCTTGGTGTGTTGAGTGCCCCAGGGTGCGATACTCTCCCCGATGCTTTTTAACATCTTTATGCGCCCCCTCGCCCAGCTTGTCTAGAGTTTTGGGCTGGGCTGCCATCAGTATGCTGATGACACCCAACTCTATCTGTTGATGGATGGCCATCCTGACTCGGCCCCAGACACACTGATCAGATGCTTGGAAGCTGTGGCTGGATGGTTACGTGGGAGCCGGTTGAAGTTAAATCCTTCGAAGACAGAGGTCCTCTGGCTGGGACGGGGTGATATGGGATTGGGGGGGGCAACTCCCATCTCTTGTGGGGGTGCAATTAGTGCCAGCACCATCCGTTAAGAGTTTGGGTGTAATCTTCGATACCTCCCTCTCCATGGAGGCGCAGATTGCAGCTATAACAAGGGCGGCATTTTTTCATCTCCGCCAAGCTAAGCAGTTGGCTCCTTACCTCTCTTGCCCTGACCTAGCCACTGTGATCCACGCGACGGTCACCTCCAGACTGGATTATTGTAACTCACTCTACGTGGGGCTGCCCTTGAGACTGACCCAGAAACTCCAGCGGGTGCAGAATGCCGCAGCGAGACTCCTTACGGGGTCTTCGCTGCGAGATCACATTCATCCGGTGCTATACCAGCTGCACTGGCTCCCGGTGGAGTACAGGATCAGGTTTAAGGTGCTGGTTTCAACCTTCAAAGCCCTATACGGCCTAGGACCCTCATACCTACGGGACCGCCTCTCCTGGTATGCCCCACAGAGGAACTTACGGTCTTCAAATAAAAACATCTTGAAGGTCCCAGGCCACAGAGAGGTTAGGTTGGCCTCAACTAGAGCCAGGGCTTTTTTGGCTGCGGCTCCAACTGGTGGAATGCTCTGTCACAAGAGACAAGGGCCCTGCAGGACTTGACATCTTTCCGCAGGGCCTGCAAGACAGAGCTGTTCCACCAGGCCTTTGGTCAGGGTGCAGCCTGACTCCCTCCTTTGGCAATCTTTACAAAACTTTAGTTTATGGTTGCCATCAATTTTGATTTTAATTAATTTTTATAATGTTGCACTATTTTAGTGTTGTTAGCCGCCCTGAGCCCGGCTTCGGCTGGGGAGGGTGGGATATAAATAAATTTTTTTATTATTATTATTATTATTATTATTAAATAAATAAATAATGCAACATATCATTTCTCTCTCTTATTTGCTTAATAAACTACTTATATTGGATTTCTGTAGTGATCTGGTGCATGCTCTGAATTGCCTTACTTACCCCTCCAAACAGCTTTTGATTGGTGTGTTGAGGTGCATGGAAATCACAGGATTAAGCCCAGCTGGTGGCACTTAGTGGATTTATGGAATGTACTTCCCATTCGTAAGAGAGTACACTTGGCATCAAAACTTATGTAGCGCTGGTGATTGATATTACAGCGGCACAACTTCCCTAAGAATTCACACTGTTTATCACATATACAGAATGGAATTTTTTTAAAAAACAAAACAAAACTTGAAAGCGTATCCACTGCTTAATCTTCCTACTGCAGACATGACTATGGTACTGAAGTTTGGAAGCCACACAGTAGCAATTATCTGGCTCAGTACCTCTTGCTAGCAAGAGACATACAGGATCTATGCATAATACCCAAATTCAAAAGCCTACTCTAGAAGCATAACCACAACAGAGGCTGACAGAAGGTAGATCGGGATCCAATGGCAGATCTCTGGAGGATAATCAGTAGTACCATAGAGTTGGCAGGAGCCCGGTAGGTAGGAATGGATGGATCTACCAATTTAGCTTCTCCCAGACTTTCATTTTTCCAATCTAAAATTAAGTTCTCCCTTTTTGACAGCAACTTGCCAAAACACACACACACACACACACACACACACCTCTACAAAATCCTCGTAAATTCACAGCCTTTTAGTGCAATTTTTTCATACTGCCTCTGACAGCATAACCATCGAAACCTTGACACTTCCCTCTCCCTCCCTCCCCATTCCTCACATACAAGGCATGCTTTAAACTGCTATCACCTTAAGACACGTCAGTAATGAAGAAAGATGATGGGCAAATGCTAAACCTATTAAGCAGGTATGGCTGCGGAGTATTAAAATCATGTGAACCATCTGTGATTGCCATCTCCTTTAGATTCAGATACACACGCCCTTTGGCTGATGGCCCCTGTTCCTCTAGGGCTCTCTTGCCCTGTTTTCACAGGACTCAGAGCTCCTGAAAATATGCTGCACTGTGTCTAAGGTTATGTACACATTAGCAGCTTGAAATACAGGAAGGTTGTCCCCCCCCCCCCGCTGCATTTGAAGTCACTGCACACACCAGAGAGGAAGTCAGGATGTAGAGTAAACCCATTACCCGATTTGTTTCCAAACTGCTTTGCTGAAGTGGTCATCTGTGCATCCACAATGGCTACCTGAAATGTACACACCTTAACTTTACCCTAAGCTCCCGTTTTCTAATGGGATGCAAGCTGGTTTGAGGAATCAAACAGGAGTATTTCTCAATAAGCTACAGCCTACAGGACACCTACGAATTGTGGCTGATGTCATGCGTACTTGGCTTCAAACACCAGCAGTGGGAGCATGCTGGAGCCAGAGTACATGGTAATGTATACACAGCCTGAGACAGTGGTGGTGGTGGCATTTTGGTGGTAGCGCCTGTGCTGGTAGAATATGGCTTGAGGCACCAGAACAGAGACTAATACCAAGATGGGGAGTGTGGGCCAGAAAGCCAGGATCAACAGGAGAGGTTAGGTTGTTCTACTAACTAAATGGAGTTCTCAGTCCCATTTGTGACTCTATGGGTCCATTCTCATTTATAGTACAGCTGTGGTCTAAACCACTGAGCCTCTTGGGTTTGCCGATCAGAAGGTTGGCGGTTCGAATCCACACAATGGGGTGAGCTCCTGTTGCTCGGTCCCTGCTCCTGCCAACCTAGCAGTTCGAAAGCACGCCAGTGCAAGTAGATAATTAGGTACCACTGTGGGGGGGGAGTTAATGGTGTTTCCATGCACTCTGATTTCCATCACAGTGTTCTGTTGCACCAGAAGTGGTTCAGTCATGCTGGCCACATGACCCGGAAAGCTGTCTGTGAACAAACGCCAGCTCCCTCAGCCTGAAAGGGAGATGAGCGCCACAACCCCATAGTCGCCTTTGACTGAACTTAACTGTTCAGGGGTCCTTTACCTTTTACCTTATGTGGTGGCACTGCAAGACTGTCACCAGGGCAACACATACTCTAAAAATGAGCTATGGAGAACTGGTGCCTACACAAGTGGGGGACACTTGCAGCCACTATTACGGTATTTGCACAATACTAGTAGCATGCCTTTGAAGGGGGCACTGGAGTGTGGCAAACTGCAGGAGTTTGATTGATTGCTTTTGATTTAGAATGTTATTTTAATGCTGATGTCTTAAGTTAATAATACTCTGTGTGTGTAATACCTGTTTTGCAAACTGGCTGAAGAACGTTTTTTACCTTTAAAAGAAGATATTAAACAACATAAAATAAATACGTAAAAATAAGCTCCCTGTCCTTATGTTCAGGGCCAGACCAACTGTAGAAACCATCCAAGTGCTTGGACAGAAAGAAACACTTTTAGGGGCATGGACAAAAGGCCTCTTAAAACAAAAGGGGGTTCTTTTTAAAACCAGGCCATCCTACATTTTGTCAAAGGAGAAGTAGTAGCTCGTATTTCTGCATAAACTAAATGAGTAGGCCACAGTAGGCATTTTGAACCCCACTTATTCAATGGTTTATCCTGAAACCATGGCTCGTTCCCTCTACCACATGTATACACATGTCCATACAAATATTGCACATTATGGGTACTTCCAGATGAGAGATTTCTCTGGAATTTTTGCTGCTCAAAGCCATAGGGTTTTGTTTCGTTGGTTTGTTGTTGTTTGCAGCATCCACACCACGTGGCATCATCAAAATGCCAGCCTTACCATGGAAAATCTGATAAATAAATAAAAACTCATTGGACAAGTGAGAAACTGCAAAAGTGAAATGGACCAATTTGCACATCCCTAGCGTGCACAACAAATCACAGAGTAGCAATTAATATTAATGACCGAAAAATGAGAATGGGTGGAAGTTAACTTGCTAGATGTGCAACTGGAACCATTTGCAGTACACATTTCCCATCTAGAAGCAACAAAGACTGCTCCCTGCCTGCCCTTTTCATCTGTCGTATCAGCGCTCTGTGATAAGAAATAAGGAATGTTTAAGTAAATGCTTAATTCCATAATGGATCTGGTTCTACAAGCTGCGGTTGAAACGTGTTCAGTAACATCTACTATCAGCATTTATTTGATCAGGGGATGTAAGAGATTGTTCGTAGTGGAACAGCTGGACGGCTAGAATATATGCATGATGTTGTGCAATCACATGTAATGGCAAAATGCTTTTGTGGGGTTAGACCTGTTTATGCTATAATCTGACCAGAGGATTCAAATAATCTTAGTAATAGTTTGAGGCTCATATTAGGGCTGCCATATTTCAAGAGGTAAAAGTCTGGACACAAAAAACTGTTGAGCTTCTGCCACTGCCAAGCCTAAGCTGCCCAAGCCTGAACCAAAACTATCCGCACAAACACATTTTTTTAAAACCCCAAATCCAGGGCATGTGCTTTAAAATGTAAAAATCCCCCTGGATGGGCATGTGGGACTGCTAAAAGAGGACATGTCTGGGAATTCCCGGAAATATGGCAACCCTAGATATGCCAATAATTATTAGGGGATTCTTTGCCTCAGATTCTAAGAAGCGACTTTCTCATTTGGCTTGTTCCAAAAGAAGCATACACCCTCCTTCATCAGATATAGGATGGTTTATATTTAAAGAAACACCTTCTTTGTTTTAAGATCTCTCCCCCCCTCCAATAACTTTAACTACCAGGATTTATAGTTTTTAGTCATTTGTGAGATCACCCTCAACTTAGACTATGATCTTTTCTTTTAATTGTTGTGCCGAAGAATGTTAGGTGCAACCACAAAGAGCCTTCATCTCTCATCTTGTAGGCAATTCCCTTTGATTCACACGCACAAGCCAGTGAAGGGATAGCATAACTCATCTTTGATCTTCCAATAGCACTATAAAGAGCGCTTAGCCATTCTTCTCAGCTTCCACAAGTGAGTCAACTGGGAATTGCTATTAGGCAATATGCAAGGGTGTTTCATAGCTGAGGTTTACACTGCCTCTGATCACCTTTCCTGCTGTTTCTGCAAATGTCTGATTGATGTTGAAGCGGGAGAGAAAGTATGAGGAAGGTACTGGAGATGCAAACGAGAATTCTGACCAATGTAGATGTTTATATTTAATATTGCTAGGCTTTAAGTCTTGTGTGAAAAGGCTACGAATGTGAACTGGCACACATCCCAGATGTGGGACATTTGTGATCTCAGCCATTATATATGACAAATGCAACAGGACAGGAGTGAGTGCTTTAGACCAGAAGGATTGCAGTCTGCAAGTTCTTCACCTCTGTCTCCTGTGACAGCTGAATTTGCAGCTGCAAACTTCCGAAAGTCGGAGCTTTGATTTTTATGTTAGGCTGGTTCTTGGTTGCTTCTATTAATTTTTCCAGTTTTACAGCTGCCTTGATTCCGTCTGATGTGGGCTTTTCTTATAATGTTTTTTCTGTGCATATTTTTGTGTTTCTAAGCTCTTTTATTCACAGATAGGCACTTTGGGCACCTTCATTTGAAGGAGAAAAGTGGGGTATAAAATACTGCTTTAAAACAAGTACAAAGCAGACTGATCACCACCAGCAGATAAATGTACACATGACGGATTGCCATTTGCAAAACTGTAGTGCCTGGCTGGTGGGAAAATGCAATCCACTGATGTATAAACACCAATGCAGTAATAACTGAGTTTCACTCAAGATGTATATGAGTCTTACCCCGCTGTGATCATTAAATAAATTTTAAATTGCTGTAGTCACATCATATCGTTAAAATATATTACCCATCAAAACCCTAAAGTTTAGCATGGGTTATATTGTACTTTATTTTTCTTTCCTTTTTGTTTAAGATCAAAGAGGTTCTACATAAGACATGATTAGGGCTGGCTTGTTGGGCTATTTAAATCTTGAATTTTGTAGGCTTTTATTGCCGTGTTTCATGTGTTCTATTTTGGGAGTTTATGTTTGTTTCGAATCTATGTTGCAACCTGCCCAGAGCCTCCAAGCCAGGGTGCGATAAAATTCCCCAAATCCTTGTCTATATTCCGTTGCGACCTTAAGGTGAGTCTAAAATGACGAAGACCTCTGGACAGGTTTTCTTGGTGGCTGCTCCATTAGCATAAAATTCCTACCATCAGCAACATAGGACCATCAAGGTATTCCAGGCAGCATGCAAGATTTAGGCTGCAATCCCATTCACATTTACCTGTGAGTAAGCCCCACTTAACTCAACGGGACTTACTCTTCAAGATTGCACCATTAAACTATTACCCAGATAAGAGTAATATTTTTAAAACAAACAAACCACCCAACATTTTTAGTCAATTAAAAAAGCTACTAACCAGGGTAGTAGCTTTAAAAAAAGAAATATAAGTATGCATAAAAAGTGCAGATGGCAAGCATCATCAGAAGGCAGGTATCCAAATTTTTTTATTCACACTAGAATGTTTCCCTTTCAAAGCTGAATCTTGATTTGAAATATGAACACGCCCTCTAAAAATTATGGGGAATCCATGGCCCTCCAGATTTTATTGGACTACAACTCCCATCACCCCTGCCCATAGCCCATGCTGGTGGTTCCTGCTGGAAACTGGAGTCCAGCAATATCTGAAGGGCCACAGGCTTCCCAGCCTCTGCTCAAAAAACAAAAGATTGTTTACTCCTCGCAAAATTACAATTCCCAATATCCCTTACCAAACTACTGTGCCCAGAATTATTTGAGGAAAATAATGCTATTCAGATGTGCTGTGTTAAAGGTTTAGCATATACAAGCGCTGGATTTTGGAGGTTTCGGCCGTTCCCCCCCCACAGGACGCCAAACTTGGGGGCAGGGAGCAAACAACAACAACAACACCTATGTTTATAAGGTACCTACTAAGAAAATTCATTTTAAAAAGCATCAGTACCAGAAGGAACTTTTGTGAAAATAAGAAATATTTGAGGAGGGCACCAAATATTGTCCTTGCTCAGGGGGCCATATTACCAAAGTCTGCCCCCATGTGTAACACAGTCTGTGTGCCTGTTTAGTCTGCTGTTTGAGTTCTAACTGCTGGCAAGCGACTTCAAAAGCCTGCAGGTCTTAGAACTTAGGGTTCTTTGTTTTTAAACTGGATTTGGACTGGACATCAATTCAAATGCCTTCACGCAGAGATGTGATGGCTGTCCTCTGTAAAGCAGACTTTCTGACCATTCTCCAGCAAAGGGAAGCCAAGTTTCTCCAGGTCTCTGACACACTCCATAAGAGGTTCCAGGGACACATCCACACCATTAATTTGTAGCACCTGGCTTCCACCAGAGAATCCTGGGAACTGTAGTTTGTTAAGGGTGCCGGGAATTGTAGCACAGCTCCCAGAATTCTTTAGTGGAAGCTGTGCACTTTAAATGTATGGGTGTGGATGTCACCTAGGTTCAACATTCCCTGCCTGAAATCTTACCAAGCAGGTGCTGGTCAGTATAGACAATATTGAGTTAGATGGACCAATGTTCTAGGGTGTTTCTTATGTTCCTAAAACACTAGAAAGGTAAAAACGCAAGTATTATTTAATTGTCTTGCATGGTAATTGGTTGCACTTTAACAGTGTGATTACTTGCTCTGAGCATTAAGGATGAAGAGACGATAAAAATCTAAAAAGCACATTCATCCTAAATGTAGCTAAACCTCATGTGCAGGCCACAAAACACTCAGTTCAATTTGAGCTCCACAGCAGAGATTAAAGTGTAGTCTTGATGGTATCTTTAATTGGATTAAATTATTTTGTGGTGAAGTGTACATGCTTTGGATTCACGGCTTCCACTTGAAGATTTACACATTTTGAAAGTCCAAGGGGAGAGGAAGGGACGTCATTTGCCTCCTTTCATATTACAAAGCAATGGGCGCCCATAACTCTTGCACAGCCACATAGCACTCTAATCCAGCAATGTTCTCAGAACAGAAGCACCGCCTTTCTCCAGAGGGACCCACATGCACCCAAGAAGCAAATAACATTTATGACACTTATTAATACATTTGTGCATTTCTTAAAGAACGAAATGCGTGGCAACAAAAAACCCCCACTCCTTTTCAAATGGACACTTTACGTTGCCAGAAGTGTGATGTAGCAGAAATTGAGACGTCTAATTAAGGCATATGGATAGCACGGACTGGAACGGGATTAACAATTATCCTTCTCCCCAATGATCTCTGGAGACTGTTGTTTTGCAATGGAGGCTAGGGGTCACTTAACACAGAATTTTAAGCATCTTCACCAAACTACAATTCCCAGAATTCTTGTGTGGAAGTCATGATAATTAAATTGGTATAGAAGCACAAATTTGTTGCATCTGATAAGACAGGGATGGTGATGGTATGGATTTAAACTAGAATTAAAGATCAACAGATTCATGAATCATTTTGCATCTTTGGTTGTTTATGCTTTTTAAAGTGCAAAAAGAGAGAGTGCAGGTGAGGTTTCTCAGCATCTTAAAAGGGTTCTTGAACTCTAATAACAATTTTAAATGATTACAGTATTGTGGCTCAGCTCTATTAAATTTTAAAATGAGTTGCTCAGGGTACACCTGAAGGACACAAGTGTTTAAATATAAAGTGAGGTTCATACAGGAACACATATCTGCAAAGAAAGACTATTTGTTCCAAATAGTCACATAGCTAATGTGACTAACAGGTTTTATGTTTTGGTTATTTGGATCATTGTGTTTTACAAGCACAGTCCATTGTAAAAGTTTATGGCTTGAATCTACACACTTTCTGTCACATTTGTACTGCACTTTCTTGGTATTCTTCTTTTACTCTCATAGGTACATGCTTGTGTATAACAGGGCAAGCCAGTGATACGGAACCTGTGGCCCTCTAGATGTTAATGGTCTTCTACTTCCATCATCCGTGATCTTTGGCTGTGCTGCCTGGGGCTGATGGGAGATGCAGTCCAACAACATCTGAGGGGCCAACGGGTGGACACTTATGTCCTAAGCCATACATGGACTACAGCTCCCAGCATCCCTAACCATTGGTCATCTGGCTGGGGCTACTGGGAGTTGAAGTTGACCATATCTGGAGAGCATCAGCCCAGGGAAGGCTGTACTAGGTTTGCAATACCATTTATAGTCTAACAGAGCCAAAGTATATTTAATGGTAAACATGTGATTTACTTATGTGTCTGTTACTAAAAAAGGAAATAGTAACTAGGGGTGACCAGATCAGGCTGAGGATGGAGGGAATTTCACCTTTCCCTCCCCACAGTTCTGACACACCGAAACCCTCAAAGTTGCTATTTCCATTGGGAGAGAAGCTTCCATTGGTACCAATAGGCTCAATGCAAGTAACAGCTTTTTCTTTTTTTTTGGTATGTGTGTGTGTGTGTGTTTGTTTCATTGGGAACACGGTATGGAAGGAAAGGGTTAACACCCTTCTTGTACACCATGGTTCTGATCCCAGATCCCACCCCTTGCAGCTGCTGCTTCCTGTTGGTCCTCAGCTATGTCTGTCTACCTAAGTGTAACTCCCACCCTCTCTCCCCTCCATCTTCCTTTCTGATATTTTATCCTTGATGTCTTTTCATAGGAAAACAGGAAGCTGCCTTAGACCAAGACAGACTGTTGGCCCATCTAGGTCAGTACTCAGTACGGTCTTTTCTCACTGACAATGATTTCAGACACGGTTCTCTCCCAGCCCCAACCCAGAGATGCCAAGGACTGAACATGGGATCTTCTGCATGCGAATCAGATAGTCTACCGCTGAGCTACGGGCCTTCCCCACAACCTCAGACTCAAATTAAACATGTTTACAGCTAAAATATTCACTGGTGTAAGCATTTCACGCCACTCCCATCTCCTTAGCATGCGTCTCTCACTTGCGCTAGTCCATATGCATTCAGTGTTGGCATGCCAGACATTCGTGGCCTGGGTGGACGTGCATCTGGTGTGCTTGCTGACACTGTGCACATGGCAGGCATGAAAGCACATTTAAACAAGGAGTGGCATGAAACACATTCATATGTAAGTGGTTTAGGCATGGTCCTTAACGAATCGCAATGATCCAGACTTAGGGTGCTTCCAGATTAAGGCTTAATATCGTAAATGGGTTATTGAGATGGTGCAAATAGGTACCTGGCCATAGGTGTTTTGTTTTGTTTTAACTTAGTGGATTTCCCCCAGATGAGATAAATCTGAATTAAATTGGGGGCAGGGATATGGACCGGCATTTTGATGACAATGACATTATGTGGACACTGGGGTGGGGTGGGAAGCTTGCATGCGTTAGGAGCACCAACCCTACAAGAAACACTCATTGGGAAGGACCCTACACTCACTGCATTCATTTCCACTAAAATCAATGGGAGCAATTTGTCTTTACAAACTTTACAAATCCCATGGATTTTGATGGAAACCAAATACAACCAACTTAGCCTGGGCCCAACCCAATATGAAGTTCTCATCTTTCTTCCCAAGCCTTCCACTTCTCTTTATTTTTCTACTGACAGAATGTCACTATCTACCTCTTCCTTTATATTAATGCAAGAACAGTGCCTTTTATAGGCACCTCCTTAATGCCCATCTTGGTTACTACAGTTTTCTTCTTCCTGGCTGCTTCTTGCAATCCTTCAGTTTTTGCCTCAGCCTAGAATTCTCCTGGCCCAACAATTCACCCCTCTCTCTGTCTATATCAGAGATGGGGAAGCTCTGGCCTTCCAGGTGTTGTTGGACTACAGTTCCCATCAGCTGGGCCATTGTCCATGCTATCTGGGGCTAGTGGGAGATGATGGTCCAACAACGTCTGAAGGGCCACTGGTTTCTCTTCCTTCACCTGCATGATGGCCTCTTCAAATCCCTGCTACGAGCTTCCCACCCCCTCCTGCATTTAGCACAAATCCATATCCTTACCTCTAAAGGTGTTTATGGCCTGCCCTGTCTTTCTAACCTTATTCCCAATATATCCCTGCTCATGACCTCCATTACTCCAGATCTACCACCATCAGCTGTCATGTGCTCTCTTTACTAGCTCTGCCCATTCACTATTCCTGCCCTTCAGTCCCAGAATTTGCTCCTGGAATACTTATATCAGAGCTTGGGAACTGTGGACCTCAAGTATTTGCTCAACTACAACTCCCATCATCCCTGAACAGTGACCATGCTGGCTGGGGCTGATGGCAGTTAGAGTCCAATGACTTCTGGAGCGCTCCCTGTCCCTGAGTAGAATTGTGACACCTCTCTCCTCCCTTCACATTACCCCTCAAAGTCAATCTCTTAAGCAAAACCTTTACTTAAGCTTCCTTCCTCTCCCATCTTCATACCCAACAAAAACAGAATCTAAGTTCTTTTACCTTATTTTGCTCTCATTCATCATTATTTGTTACCTAGCCTCTCTGATACCTCACCACTGTCAAACCTCTATGGGGCTAATATATATTATTAAACAAAACAGGCTTTGTTTTATTTTTTCAGTCAGGGCTAGAATCAAACTGATCAGTGCGACTGTCTGGAAGCCTTAATGGCAGGTTAAATTTTGCACTCTCAATTAATTAGTAGGGATGACAATAAGCAAATAGTGGTAGGTTTTGCTCATTAAGTTGTTACAGTAGCATATTTAAAAGAGAAAGTGTCCCATCATCAGGATCCTTTAAGACTGCACCTGTGGTTTTGCAACTTTCATGTATATTTCATCAATTAATTAAGTAAGTACATGAAAGTCTTGCTCTAGTAGTCTGTTAAAACAAACCTCAAGTCTAAATCTGTTCACAACACTAATTGGAAAAATGTGCTTGAATTTTGAAACTGAGCCACAGTCTCTAACTGAAAGATAAATTGTCCGTAGACACTTGCAGAAGCACATATAACATGCACCTACCGTATCATTTGACAATGGTGACCAAGGGTGCTTCTGGATGACTTGTTACTAAGCACTCATTGAGAGGTTTGATGATGTTGCATCAAAGCAAGCGTTATCCTACACTTTCTAGTGCATTTCCCTGTCACTTTCCTAACTACAAACATTCTGATCTTTTGAGGAACATGAAATTGCTGGCATATGATTTCATCCCACCCAAAATTAGTGACTAGCCAGAGAAAACATGGCAACCATCAAAAGAAAACAAATCAGGGTTTGGGTACTGATGGGAATAGAATCTGTGCCCTGTGTTAGAGAAAGGTTGATGCTATTTGGATTTTGTAGCTCTGGCACCAAAGCACTGCCGGATTTACGTAGAAGCTAAACAAGCTATAGCTTAGGGCCCCACTCTCTTGGGGCCCCCAAAAAAATTTAAAGGAAAAAACCTGGATGTACATTTCCAAAATATAAGATAATAAACAAAGAAATAAAACCTACATACAGAAACAGTGTTTTGTGTTGTGTATTAGGTCCATAAATTACCATATAGCATATATTCAACACAAAAAACAGCGGCAATTTGTTGTTGACAAAGGACAGCTGGACATATAAAGAAAGGGCCCCATTACCTTCAGTAGCTTAGGGCCTCATTAAACCTAAACCTGGCCCTGCACCAAAGTGTCTTAGACCAGTCTTGGGAACTAGAATACGTTTCTAGCAGAGAAAGTTGAGCTATGTAGAGTCTGTTCTTATGATCATCCAACACAGATCATTAGATTGCTCAACCATTTTTAATTGGGGAAATATGGGTTGAGTGATAATGCTTTTATGTCCTTCCCACACACTCCTACTCTGGCCGCGTGGCAAACTATATATGTGATTGCTTCAGCGTATACCTAGTTCCTTCCCGCTCATTGGATGGCCACATTTTATTCTGCTGGACAAAGAAACACCAAGTCCCTTCACCATGTGCCCACAGGAGGGGTAGTTACAGTCTTCCATTAACTTCCCCACATCTCACCACAACCAGCATCACCATAATAATAATGGATTGGCTCTAGAAAAAGCTTCTTGATGTTGAAATCAAGGTAGGCACTGCCATCACTTAGGTCACTTCCAGATGACCTGCTTACTAAACATTCATCCATGTTTGTTTGCAGAGTGGTTAGACAACATCGGCTATTTATTGACGAGTTTGTGGAGAGGACAGATGATGTTGTGTCAAAGCAAGTGTTATCTCACGCTTTCTGATGCATTTTCCTTTCCCTTTCTTTATCTCAAAAAGTCCAATCCTTCGTGGAAGCGGGTTTGTCGTGCAATATTCTGCAATCACCTGCAATTGCATAACCTGAATTTGTTGAATCCCACCCAAAATTAGCAGCAACCAGGAAGAGTCCTTAGCTTAAGTGGGAATGTAATCTGGTTTCAAAGTGTAATATCTTCAACTGAAGCAAAGCCTGTATGTGCTCAGCTGTGTTTTGCTTTTTTTTTTGTGAGCCGTGGCATTGTGGGAGGAAAAGGTATATTAGGGGAAGGGGGATAAAAATGGCTAAACTTAATGAAAGTATCCTGTTTGCAGAAGTGGCTCAACAAGTGAGGCAGAGTCACAGTGCTAGCTTCCCAGCAGTTACATCAGTGTGCTGCAAATGCACACAAGCTTTTGTAAAGTGCCAATCACCCCACAATCTAGAATCATAGAATTGTAGAGTTGGAACGGACCCCAAGGCTCATCAAGTCCAGCCCCCTGCAATGCAGGAATCTTTCCCAGAAAGCAACACTGCCCCACCTCCTGGGAAGCCAGCATGGCGGCCCTGCGCCATCCAGCAAACAGCTTCTACTTGTTTACTCTTGCCTCTACCTCCATGTTTCTCCTGCTGTTGTCACCCTGCACTAGACTGTAAGCTTTTCGGGGGCAGGAACCATTTCCTGCTACTTTTTCTACAACAGCTACTAGCCACAATGGCTAGGTTTTACCTCCAGCATGCCTCCGAATGTCAGTTTCTGGGAATCGCAGGTGTTGCGCTCATGTCCTGCTTGTGGACTTTCCACAGGAATCTGACTGGTCACTGTGAGAACAGGATGATGGACTAGACAGGCTATTGGTCTGGTTCAGCAGGCTCACCTTATGTTCTCACGTTGCTCAAAACACCACCTGCACCGATGGTTTGTAATGGGCATCCAAGGAACCAGTTACATTATCACCGTAGCACACTGAGGATACACCCTGAAAGGACCTGTACAGAACTCAACATACGACTCTGCACACTGAGTCTTTCACTCAACCAGCATACTACAGTGGTACCTCGGGTTAAGAACTTAATTCGTTCTGGAGGTCCGTTCTTAACCTGAAACTGTTCTTAACCTGAGGTACCACTTTAACTAATGGGGCTTCCTGCCGCTGCCGCGCCGCGGCCGCACAATTTCTGTTCTCATCCTGAGGTAAAGTTCTTAACCCAAGGTACTACAGTGGTACCTCGGGTTACATACGCTTCAGGTTACATACGCTTCAGGTTACAGACTCCACTAACCCAGAAATATTACCTCAGGTTAAGAACTTTGCTTCAGGATGAGAACAGAAATCATGGAGCGGCGGCGCAGCGGCAGCAGCGGGAGGCCCCATTAGCTAAAGTGGTGCTTCAGGTTAAAGAACAGTTTCAGGTTAAGAACAGACCTCCAGAACAAATTAAGTTCTTAACCCGAGGTACAACTGTACTTCTGGGTTAGCAGAATCTGTAACTTGAAGCGTCTGTAACCTGAAGCATCTGTAACCCAAGGCACCACTGTACTGAAATACGGTAGTGATGTGCCCTGCTTTCCAGTCCTGTATTTGAAGGGTTGCCCAGCTGAAGTCCGCTTTGAAACGAAATTCCCCTAAGAAGGGAGAGTAGCTGCCTTGATAGTTGCTTATCATTGGTTAGTACCAACCAGGACAACAGACTGAGCAGGCAGGCACACAGGTCACCAGGCTACAGTCTCCCCATTATGATGAGAAATATAAATATTGCTAAATGTGTGGAAATATATTGTGGAAATAATCTGTGCTGTCCACTTTTAGGATGATTCGTAGCTTGTTTTCTCCTGCTCTGGAGGGTAGGACCCGAAGCAATGGCTTCAAGTTATAAGAAAGGAGATTCTGACTCAATCTCAGGAAAAACTTTCTGGCAGCAAGAGCTCTTTGATGGTGAATTGTGGAAGGTGCTGGCTCTCCTTCCTTGGAGGTGTATAAGCAGAGGTTGGACGGCCATCTCTCATAGATGCTTTAGCTAAGGTCGCTGCATTGCAGATGGTTGGATTAGATGACTGCCAAAGTCCCTTCCAACTTTACAAATCTATGATTCTCTGTCCTCATAGAATCGTGGGGAACAACCTAAGCTGAACCCACATTCATTACATCAGTGCTCAAGCAGTTTTAGGCTTAGTTCTGCGTACAGCAAAGCAGTCGCATGGTGGATCACACACTGTATGGGCCAAGCTTTCCATGTCCTGCCTTCCCAGTGTGTTTGTTTGGCTGTGAACTGGTTCTGAATGAATCCTATTGGACCCACCCACAGGCCTCTTTATCCAGCTCTCGGGTCAGGACTGTCTCCCCAGGCTCACTGCTCACTGGCCTATCTAAGTGAAGGCCTTCAGTGTTTTTGCCTTGCTGGAATATGTCTTTTCAACTGCAATACTGCCTCTTGTTTGCCTGTATGGAGACATACGTGTGTGGAAATGTATGGGTGCTACGTCAAAGAAATCTTTTTACTTCTGCATGGCACGAAGTCAGCCCATTGCACAAAGACCACATTTTGTTAGGACATGAGACGGCAGCTTGGCAGATGACAAACCTACAGATACTTGGTCCCTCTGTATTATATTGCTTCCTATAGTACTTCTTCTGGAAAATGTAGGTCTTTTCTGTTACACGGGGGGCAACATGGGTGTGCTTTTTGTCGTCAGTGCAGTGGGCAGTCTGAATAGCTAACACACTCAGCACCTCTAAACTTGTTGTAAGTATACATTTCAAGAAACACATCCATACATTTTGGAGTTGGTGTGGTCCAACAATCTAGTTCAGATGGGACTTAGGCGGCCTTTCACAAGTCACTGTTCCCTCAGCCTCTTGCAAGGGATAGAGGAATCTGGCCATTTTTGTTTCTCTCCATTTCTAATTTTTACAGTCCAGGATTCAGGTCGCCATATTTCTGCATCAATTTGAGGTGGGGTTTTTAAAGTCCCCACGAAAATTTGACAGCATTTTAGTGCCCCCTTCTCCTAATGAATTATTTTTGTATGCCATTTTGCAAAATAGACACATTCTTGCAAGCAATTTACCATAACATAAAGTGCATTCATGTTATTTTCATTAAGTTTGTATTAGGGGAAAGTATACAAAAAAAAAAATTATTTTTTTTTGCATACTTTCCCTTAATGCACACTATTTTGTGCAAATGTTTTTGGTTGATGTGGTGCACTACAAAATCCCGAGAAGCACAAATGTCTAAGCAAAACTGTGTTTTAGATGGCATATTATTTCAGAAAGCACAAATAAGGTAGGTTCGCATTAAAAAGCAAACCAAACTGAATTTCTCCCGCATCACATTTGTGAAGGCACACACACACCCCAACTGCAATAGTGGCGAACACTTCTGGCCTCCTTTACAGGTTATGTTATAAAGTCTATTGGGGTTGATATGAACAATGCACCTTGAACCCTACTGTAATTTATTAATTCTTATTAAAGCTTATTACACATGGTAGCCTTTCCCATGCATGGAAATTTACCCCTGTGTAAGTAGGACAAAACTAGCACATGTATTGGTTCTGTGTGTGAGAACTGGAGTGAATTAAAAAGAGAGGGAGAGGGAGAGGAGAAAAACAAAAAGGGGTAGGCCATCATCCAAGATACATCCGACAAATCTACCTCGGGAGTTATGTCTTCCCCTATCACATGGGAGCAATACTGTGCTTGTGGCTACCAGTCAGGTATCCAGAAATTAGGTAGCCATAGCCAGTCTCACCTCCCCAAAAATAGCTGACTAGAGAATTGCAGATGCGCATTGGTCATGTTCATGAAGCACAAAACATATTTTACAGGCATTCTTTTGTAACCTAAAAATTGAAACAACTCTCTGGTTACAACACAGCAGTCCTGGTTCCCTTGTTCACACAGGCGGCCCTAACACGAGTCAGAGTGATGCGAGGGCTTCAGGCGGCAGGTGGTGTTCTCCATTAAGGGCAGCAGGGTGGAACACAGACAGATCTGATCTGAGCTATGGGATAAAGTTCACTGGAAAAAGGTTCTCCAGTGCCAGCATCGTTGAGATAAATGAGAGCTGCGCACGAGCACAGGAGTAAGAACGAGCAAAAGTTAACTGTGCCTAATTTGATTCGTGGGCAACGCGAAGGCATTCAATCAACGGACTGCTGGCACCACCTTGATCCAGCCACCACTGAGAACACAAGATCTATGACTGAGTTGGGCTGGCCCCTGAGACCAAACCCTCAAAGGTAGGATACACCTTTGTGTTTCTCATCTCTCTCCCAATTCTCACCTGCAAGTCTTCTTCTCTACAGTGACGAGGTCCCACAAGAAAAGCATGGAGCTGCCACAAGTTACGTTGGGAATTGTGGGATCAGGAGAACTCTGTGCATGCACTGCCGTGCTCAAGACAAGGCATTTGGTGCCCATGCTTGAGGAGCTTCTCACAGAGGACACAATAGGCAACCCAGGTTGCGCATACACAACAGAGCACTGCAGCCAATCCCCACACTCCGAATGTACCTGTATGAGACATGTGTTTTCAGAAATATGTCACGTTCACATTTTTTGGTATACTCTTTAATACATATACCTAAAAATGTAGCATGTAAAGAGGCCCTGAGATTCTTGTAAGGTAAACCAGCCTTTACTGACCAGGTGCCCTTCAGATGTTTTGGATTACCACTCTCATCAGCACCAGCCAGCACACTTGCTGGACCTCAAGGCCGAAGTCTAGGGCCCTGAAGCCCAGCACACAAACAGCCCACATGACTACTCAGAGAATGGTAGATGAAGGCGCTAGTGGCAAACCGTTCCAGAGTCAGCACCCTTTCATCTTCTTCCTTTTAAATTATAGCCGGGGGACAGATGGCTGTGGATGTACATGGTTACCGATGCCCATTTTATTTTTTTTACTTTAAAATTTTATTAACCCATTGGTGCAACAAACTGGTGCTTGTTCCCAAAGAAATGTGTTTATGATCAGGGCAGCAGCAGAAAACTCCACACAAGTTGTAGGTGACAATATATGGGTGGCGCAAGGCTGGGGTAAACCATGAAATTACTGACTGTCTATTTATCTATCTTTCTATCTATCTTTCTATCTATCTATTACTTAATTCCATTTATAAGTTGCTTCCTATGAAACATCTTGAAATGATTGAACCATGCCATGGACTTAAATCAAGACTTCAGTAAAACCCCAAATTCCTATCTTATTTTAAATGTTGACTGTTGATTGCAAGGAAAGAAGCCACTCTCAATAAGACTGCATTCAGTCCTTTCATTTATAATATTTTTGAAAAGTATTTAAAAAGCGGGGGGGGGGGGGGGGAAGAGGCTGTGCTCATCTTGGACTGACTTCCTAATGTCTTTGCAGATATACATTCCACTACCCCACAATATAATGAGAAAATTAATTTTGAAATGTGATCATTCTCTTTCAAGGCTATGGTTTTTGTTTTGTTTCTCCAGGAGACACCCAGTTGGGTTGATCCTGTTTTTCCACATTAAAGATACTTCTTAAAATGGGATTAATTTCAAAATACGAGAGCTGCATCTTTTGATATCCAGATCAAACCAACACAAATGAGACATACCACCCAGATATTTTCTGGGTTTGAAGTGTGAGAAATCTTAACTTTTTATAAAATGATGATTTTTTTAACATAAAAACCAGCTTCCTATATCATTTATATATCCTTGTTTTCATCTGCATTGGTTGTATTCATATAGATACACACACATACCCCCTTATAATTTCTTTAAACTGGCATTCTTTTTTTAAAAAAAAATCTCATTTTGAAATGTGTCAAAAATGTGATTGTATTCTATTCATTTCCTAAACTTGTGTAATTGCACTAAACCAGCTTTTCATCAGTCTTTCGGTCCATTATTTTAAAAAGGTATTTCTGCAACTTGATATTTTGCATGCTTACTTGGAAATATGTTCTCCCTGAGTTCAACTGGACTTTTTCCTAAGTGCGCACAGGGTCGCAAGCTCAGCTACGTTGCTTTGAATGCCTCACTAAACAAAAAGTACAGCTAACTAAATTATAAACTGCTTTAAAAAATGGTTTCAAGGGTTTGCATAATTCAGAGCAGTGCTAGCAGGGGGGCTTCCTTAGTACAGAATTAAATGACAGGATATGGACCACCAAGTTGGATGTTTAAGTATGTGGCAGATCTTATTAAAATACTTCAATGAATTATGTCGCCCAGCCTTTGACTGGACTTAACCATCCAGGGGTCCTTTACCTTTACCTTTTTATGGGGTGGGTGGCGGTGGTTAGAGAACATTTCTTTACAATTTTATCCACCTGTCATTATCGGTAGAAGGTGATCCAAGTTTTGGGTCACTTTATGGCACCCTTGGTCCACCTGTGACTTTAGCATCTGCCTGGGAAGAGCTGTCTTCCAAAACAAAACACACACAGAGAGAGAAAGAAGAGACAGAGAGAGAATAAAAAAAAGTTTAGTTACATACTTGTTTAGAGTGACTGGTAGGAGCAGCGATCCTCCAGCAGGTCTTTCCACATTGGCTTGTCAGGCAAATTGTGTTGCTGTCTCCAAAGCAAAATCCAGAATCCAATGAAGTAAGGCAGTCCCGGTAGAGCACTGAGAGGGAATGTGTCAGAGGCAAGTTAGGCAGGTATATGCAAGTGCCACTCCAGGAGTGACTGGTTCAAGCACTCACAGCAGGGAAGGAGCCAGGATAGAGCCAAACCCCACCTCTCAGCCCCACCCACTACCTGCTGACTTTAACCCTTTCAGTCAGGGACAAGTGCCTTGGCAGTGGGTCTCCTTTGTAAAAGACAGTACGTACACACATAAAGAGATATGTATTACATATGTAAGATGGGAATATACACATCAACATGTTACCTGTTGCAACTTGAGTGGGCTAGAGCCCACTTTTTTTCAGATGCACAAACAGGATAATTAGAGGCAGAAAGCTGTGGTCTCTTTCCTCTGCTTCCTTCAAAACTTCGGTTCATTAACTGCGGTGACATGTTTGGTTGCTGTTGTTTTCGTTCTGCGGTACAGAATGAGAAGTTCACACTGGAGTGCTTGGATTGGCTCCATTTTCTTTAAAATGGTGGTTAAAAAACCAGAGATACTGAGAATAATAATGCGTACCTAGAAGCCAACCGCTTTCCGCAGCACTGCTCCCGAACCTCAGATATGTATGGACTGGATGCAGACGCAGTTATCTAGAGGGTGCACTCTGCAGGTGATTAATGGCTCTCTCTTACAGAATCAAAGAATTGTAAATTTGGGACCCTGAGGATCATCTAGTCCAATCCCTTGCAATACTGGAATCTCAGCTAAAATACATGACAGATGGCCATCTAACCTCTTATTAAAAATCCCCAAGGAAGGAGAGTCCACTGCTTCTTGTGGAAGTGTGTTCCACTGTTGAACAGCTCTTACGGCCAGAAAGTTCTTCCTGATGTTTAGTCGAAATCTCTTTTCTTGTGGCTTGAATCAATTGGTTCAAGTCCTTGCCTCCAAAGCAGGGGCTGAAACACAATAGCTAACAGATTAGGACTGGATATAAAGAAACCCAGTTTTGAGCCCTGATTCCTAATAGGAGACCGTTTCAGTGTATCAGCAGCACACTGCTACTGAATTACTGTGGCTATATTTGCACAAACAAACATCAAAGGGAGGCTCTTAACAGGAAAGTTAAGCGTAAAGGGACCCCTGACCGTTAGGTCCAGTCACGGACGACTCTGGGCTTGCAGCACTCATCTTGCTTTACTGGCCGAGGGAGCCGGCGTTTGTCCGCAGACAGCTTCCAGGTCATGTGACCAGCTGTTTACCTTCCTGCCAGAGTGGTACCTATTTATCTACTTGCACTTTGACGTGCTTTCGAACTGCTAGGTTGGCAGGAGCTGGGACCAAGCAACGGGAGCTCACCCTGTCACGGGGATTCGAACCGCCGACCTTCTGATCGGCAAGCCCTACACTCTGTGGTTTAGACCACAGCGCCAGAATTTCAATTCATCAAAAAAGTTCAGTTCTAATCATTTAGGGCTGGATAAAGACAACGGTTTCCTGACTGCTCCAGCCCATTGAGAGGGGGAGCTATTAAGCGCCCCTCCTGACACCGCGTCTCAACTCACTACAACCTTGCCCTAACCAAGCCTCATGCCACTTCTGCTCCCCCCAATATGGGCTGCTACTGTTTCCTGTACCATTACAGACCTTCATTAACTCATGTTGCCAAAGATTTATCACCTATCACTGCTCTTGCAAAGGGCTACTGTACTTATGTTGCATACATCTTGCTGTAACTGAATTGTAACTGACTCTTATTTCTTGCATTTCATTTCCCTCTGATGCCCGTGCTAAAAAATTCCCCCCTCCTGTTTGCATGTACCTGCAACTGAGGATTACACTTCGTGTTTCGACAAAAGCTTATGCCGTAATAAATACGTTCGTCTTCCAGGCACCACAAGACTCTTTGTTGTTTTCCGCGCAACACACAAACTTAACCCAGCAACCTTTCTGGTACTGTATGTCGTGCACTGATGGGAATTAGATAAATGATAAATAGTAATAATAGCAACAATACCCAATTATATATGGATTTTTATTCTTTATTTCAGGCATTGGGGACTGAACAAAATAAGTCTTGGAAAGGCTGAAGCTGAAGTAGAAAGAAATGGCGACATTAATTCAGGCAGTTTCTATTGAAGACAGGTTGGCTGGTTACATTAAAAGGATTAGAGAGCAATCAGCATTCCGCAATGACCAAAGAGAAAAAAAACCCTGAAGCAAAATAAACATTTAAAAAGCCACCCAACCAACTGACCCTCTGCTGGAGGTCACAAAAAGGTTACATGGGAATCAACTCATGGTGAAGGAATGTTTTCCCCCTTCTCCTCTCAACCCAGGTATTTGCTCATTCATGTGCATTAAATGGCATTGTCAGCTGTGCTGAGCAAGAAATGGATGCTACTTTATTGGGCCATAGATTACAATGGAGAATGCTGGGAGTGTAAGCTTTTAGGTTACACAGAGTTCATCTTCGGGTGTAGGAATTCATTTTTATTTATTTTTAAAGGATAGTATTGCACGCCTGGCTGGAAGTTAGCCCAATAAATCATTTTGCTACTCCTGGGTTGGATCCAGATGGGAGTTAGTTTGACTAATCTTTTCACATAGATTTAAAAGGGCCCCGAGTGTAGCTAATTTGGTCTGGATTAGGGATCAAACGATCTATCAACGTTGGTTCTCTGTTTCTCATTTTTCAATCTTAAATTTAGTTTACAGCGATTTGCAATTAAAAACAAAATCACCAGCATGTTAGTGTGATTTTCTCCTAATAAAACATATTTTTGTACACAGCTGTGACTGATGTACAACTTAACCTAAGGCATTTTTATGCTATTCTCACTAATAAATGCATCATTTTATGCACACTTTCTCATAATATATGCATTTTTGTAAACATTTTTGTTGGTTGCATAATTGCAAATTTCAAAGCCTTGCTGTGTTTCAGTTCTCAGATTGTTTCAGAAAGTGTGTGTTTGACAGATTCGCCTATAAAAGCAAACTGAATGAAATTCTTCCCCCATTCCTAGTCTGGATAACCCATTTTTCTTGGTTGTTTCTTATGTACTCCTGAGGTTTATCATAACTGATGGGGTGATTTTATTTTATTATCATTAGCCGATATTATATTATTTCGTAATGTTATATGTGAAATTCATTTTTTAATTGTGTCACATATTATTAGTTATATTCTGGATTTTAGTTGTATTTTGAATTTGAATATTGCTCAAGTTGTTCGAAGATGACCATGTTACTTTGCTGCATATTTTGCCCTAAGAACGGTAAAGTGGAAAGGTGGCATACAAATTAAAAATGAAATATAATGTGAGCAGCAAGGAGGTGTGAATGAGGAGAGCATTTTTGAGGTCAAGCATTTGATTCGCTCCTTTGTTCTGCCAATGTCACGCTGTAATCTGAATTTTGCGATTTAATCTGTGGGGGAATCTGGTGGTAGGTGGCCTGGTTTTGCTCTGATGGCCTTCCTGTCCCTTCAGTTGCATATTTATGCCCTTGTTTATTCCAATTCATACCCAGTCTCCTAAAATTTGGGACAGATTACTATGTTGAAATGACATGTCAATATATTTTATACCAGGGAAATCTTTGGAGTGGCAGGCATTGCTGAATGTATAAGTTTCACCACCTTGACTTTTGGCCATGCTGATTTGTATCACAGTACCCCAACCCTGTTATAGACCAATAAACTTAGATTTAAACACACACACACACACAACCAGCAGAATATACACCGAGGCTGCAATCCTATGTACACTTACATGGAAGTAAGTCTCGCAGAACCAAGCAGGATTTCCTCCTGAATAAGATGCCAAGGATAGGGCTGCAAATTTCAGACCCTCGCCCAAAGCTTACATTATCCCATATTATATATTTAATTTAAATGATGGGTGTTTTTCATCAGCGAGTTGAAAAATCATTCTAATTACCACCTGTGAAGCTTTGATGCTGCCACTGCCGCGCCACCTGGGTCACATGATCTCTGTTTGCAAGGTGCTTCCTGTAGCAAATAAATGATAGCCACAAACCCCTTTGTCTGGAGTATATGGGGAGATGTGGTTAACAGTGGAAACTGGAAGACCAGTCATGCACTTAATGCTCATAAGTGAATGATGGTTCAGATATTAATGTACAGTGGCACCTCTGGTTACGTACTTAATTCGTTCTGGAGGTCCATTCTTAACCTGAAACTGTTCTTAAGCTGAGGTACCACTTTAGCTAATGGGGCCTCCTGCTGCTGCTGTGCCGCTGTCGCACAATTTGTGTTCTAATCCTGAGGTAAAGTTCCTAACCTGAGGTACTACTTCCGGGTTAGTGGAGTCTGTAACCTGAAGCGTCTGTAACCTGAAGTGTCTGTAACCTGAGGTACCACTGTAAATCTCTCTTCCTACATGAACTTCAGTTTTTGTTTTTTTAAACTATCTCTACACCTTCAGCACGGTATTCACCCTTGCACACAAATAGCCAAAGTGAGGAAAAAGTGCCTTTAGTCAGGGATGTGGATTCCACGTACACATGCTGCACCAAGAAAACAGAATCCTAACAGAATCCTATAGACAAATTAACTACATTTGCATCCATACTACTGTGTGTCTGTTATTCTGCTTCAGTTTATTATGGCTAAAGAGTTACGCAACTTGTGGTCAGCCCTTTCCCACTTCAAAGGCGTTGCCCCCATGATTACGTTCACTCGAAACTTTTTTCACAATGGAAGCTGAAAATATTGGATTTGACCTAATTCCAAATGTGTCTCCCTTGTGTAGCAAGATTGCCTGAATGTGCACAGCGCTGTTTTGGCCTTTTGCGTAACTTGTGAAACTGCTCTTAGTTGCATTGGCAAGAGCGCCACCTGGTGACAACCAATACCCCTTGCTGCAAAGATGGTGAGGTTGAGGAGATTTCAGGTTGGCTTTGGGCTTTCTCCATGCTGAAATCTCTGGGCTTTGGCATCCATACAAGAAAGAACACTTTTGGTTTCTTGAAACACATTCTAAAGCAGTATGCCTCTTAACAGTAGCCAGAGGGAACATCACACATACCAAAACTAAGGACATTTGATGCACACCCAAAGGTCTTCTCGGAGTACAACCGGTTTTTCCTTTAATTGGGGAAGTTGGACTGTCAGCACAAGAGCTACACGCACACATCCAACTGGTCTTTGGTTGCCTGAAGGGCCCAACTTTCAATGGATTAAACAGGAACAGAGAAAGTTGCCTTATATTGAGTCAGACCATTCGACGAACCAGTTCAGTATTGTCTACACCAGGGATAGTGAGCCCGCATCCTCCAGATGTTGTTGGAATCCAGCTCCCCTCAGCTCTAGCCAGTATGTCCAGTGGCCAAGGATGATGGGAACTGTAGTCCAGCAATTTCTGGAGGGCTATGGGTTCTCCACCCCAGGTCTGCACTGACTGGCAGCAGTGTTGTTGTTTAGTCGTTTAGTCGCGTCTGACTCTTCCTGACCCCATGGACCACAGCACGCCAGGCCCTCCTGTCTTCCATTGCCTCCCGCAGTTTGGTCAAACTCATGCTGGTAGCTTCGGGAACACTGTCCAACCATCTCGTCCTTTGTCGTCCCCTTCTCCTTGTGCCCTCCATCTTTCCCAGCATCAGATTCTTTTCCAGGGAGTCTTCTCTTCTCATGAGGTGGCCAAAGTACTGGAGTCTCAGCTTCACAATCTGTCCTACCAGTGAGCACTCAGGGCTGATTTCCTTAAGAATGGATAGGTTTGATCTTCATGGGACTCTCAAGAGTCTCCTCCAGCACCATAATTCAAAAGCATCAATTCTTTGGCGATCAGCCTTCTTTATCGTCCAGTCATCACTACTGGGAAAACCATAGCTTTAACTATATGGACCTTTGTTGGCAAGGTGATGTCTCTGCTTTTTAAGATGCTGTCTAGGTTTGTCATCGCTTTTCTCCTAAGAAGCAGGCGTCTTTTAATTTCGTGACTGCTGTCACCATCTGTAGTGATCATGGAGCCAAGAAAGTAAAATCTCTCACTACCTGGAGCAGGAACCAGCAAGCCACTCCAGTATCCCTGCCAAGAAAACTCCATGGACAAAGACAACTGGCAGCAGTATTCTGATGTTTTTCAGGCAGGACAACTCTTCCCTGCACACAACAGGAGTGAAACTGGGACCCTCTGCATGCAAAGCCACGTAATCTGCTGCCAAGCTGTGCCCCTGTTCCACTGAGCCCGCTCTGCTGAGATTTAGCTTGCTGAAGGTGTTCAGAAAAGCGAATTTCATCAGTATTCCACCAGCCAAATATCCAGCTTTCCACAATCTACCGTCTAGAGAGCATGATGCAAAACCAGCTTCTCTCCCATCTTCAAAGATGCAGTGTTGAGCAGAGATTGTCCTCAACCACTTCCTAGATCCAAAGCATTGGGACTCAGACATCAGAAACTCTAACTTAAAAGTCATGCCTCAGTTAGGAATCATAGAATTGTAAAGTTGGAAGTGACTGAGGTGCTGTCTGGGTGGCCTTGGGCAAGTCACTCCCTCCAGGATTCAGCTGACCATCAACGAAATGGGACTAATAGTGACCTATTCCAGAGGGTGATTATGAAGATCAGGTTGAAAATAGTAATACAAGGACTGCAAAACAGTACAGTGGTACCTCGGGTTACATACGCTTCAGGTTACATACGCTTCAGGTTACAGACTCCGCTAACCCAGAAATAGTACCTCAGGTTAAGAACTTTGCTTCAGGATGAGAACAGAAATTGTGCTACGGCGGTGCGGTGGCAGCGGGAGGCCCCATTAGCTAAAGTGGTGCTTCAGGTTAAGAACAGTTTCAAGTTAAGAACGGACCTCTGGAACGAATTAAGTACTTAACCCGAGGTACCACTGTATTCTGAATGCAGCCTGCTGAAATTCCAGAGTTCCTGGTTCCCCCTGCAGTGGAATTTAAGCAGATGTACATGAGCTGCACTGATTTTTTAATAAACCTCTGCATAGAAGCACCCTAGCTGGATACAAAACTGCACCAAAACCCCACCTTGGCTAGGTTTGTCCTTCGCATTGGAGAACCACTCACAAAGAGTGCATTCTGTCCTTTCGGGCTGTAGCATTCCAGTGCTTATAAGTGCACACAAGAAAATATTATTATTTATATGTATTGCATTTTTACCACACCTTTCATCCAAAGTCGCATACATGGTTCTTACACATACAGACAACATTTTATCCTCACAATCATCTTGTGCTGCAGGTTTGTGTTCAAAATGGTCAGACAGTAAGCTTCATAACTCATCTGGGTCTCCCTGGGTCTTGAAGCACAACTGCACCACACTGAGATTGAGGTCACGTTCATACCATACATGGAAGCACTTTATGACATCCCCCAAAGGATCATGGGGCAGTTCCCAGGATTCACTACAACTGTTGAAGTGGTATAAGAGTGTTTTGAAGATATGGTGTGGATATAACCTGATGAACTCTTTAGGCTGCAGATTTACATTCTTTAAGCCGAGTACAGCCAGAGATTTTAAGAACTGGTGCTGAAAAAACAGCTGCACTTGATGGGAGTCTGTGGCTGTGTACGCATTACAGGCTGCTCTTTTCTCAGTTTGGTTCAAAGCCCATTTGAGGAAAAACACATTAAAATACAGTATTTCATAATAAGTGACAGGACATATATGGACTGAGGTTTTCAACATGGGTACAGTGGTACCTCAGGTTACATATGCTTCAGGTTACAGATGCTTCAGGTTACAGACTCCACTAACCCAGAAATAGTACCTCGGGTTAAGAACTTTGCTTCAGGATGAGAACAGAAATCGTGCTCCAGCGGCGCAGCGGCAGCAGGAGGCCCCATTAGCTAAAGTGGTGCTTCAGGTTAAGAACAGTTTCAGGTTAAGAATGGACCTCCAGAACGAATTAAGTTCTTAACCCGAGGTACCACTGTACGCCACTTCCCAAACCAGCCATGGGAGAAGACTGGGTGCAGAGTAAACAGGAGTGTGTACCCAGTGTCTCTCTCTCTTGCTTTGCACAGTGAATGTGAGGATACTCTCCATTTGATTGAGGGCCATTAGTGCTTCCACAGATGGCGGCTGTTATGTTAATGGACTGCCTTGTTGTTGCAAATATATATGGCTCTTGCTTTCATTTGAGGTTTGGATTACATATGTGCAGTTGAAACAAAATATTGCACCAATTCAAAACCAGTCAAAACTTCAGAATTCAGAGCTAGAATTATAAACTTGTGCACCATTTTTTTACTTTTGGAATTAAACTTCCCCTGCCCGCCCAATTAATTTCAATGCCATTATTATCCACGAGACATCTATTATGCTTATCCATGGTCTTGATTCAATAGAAGTCACTTGAAAACTTCTACACTTCCTAAATCCAATGGACCAGTCACCAGCTGCTGGGGTTGCCATATTTCAAACAGTGAAAATTGTTGAGGTTTTTTTGGCCAAAATTGTTTAGCTCTTTTTTTTTTTAGTTCTGCCCAAAGTTGTTGAGCTTCTTTGGGAAAAAAATTGCAAAAAAATGCCGTTTTTGAGCTATTTTTAAGTTAAATCGTCATAAATGGCACTGCCGACATGAGTGGGCTACCATATGTTTGGATTTTCCTGGACATTTCCTAAAACGGATTTTCGCCCGGACGTTGCTGCCGACTGCTGTATTCCAGATCTGTCCAGGAATTCCCAGACGTATAGCAATCCTGTATTAGCCCCAGCCAGCATGTCCAATGGCCAAGGATAAAGCGAGTATACAGGATCAATCCCTGAGAGTATGATCAATATTAAATAGCTACAGATTGAAAAGTAGGTTCCACAGGAAGCATCTTTCAGGGTGGGGGGAGTGAGGATGACGCTTTATCCCGTAAATCTACAGATCCCATCCCAAATATTATTTTTTCACCCTGAGGCCCTAGTGTGAAACTCATGGAACTTTTTATCAGGAGCATCTGCCTGCAGTACCCCCCCCCCTTTCCCAAGGCCATGGTTCCCTGGGGACAGGTAGGGGCTTGCCCCCAGCTCAGGATCATCTCCCGGAAGAGAACCGGTATCATATCTTTGCTCACAGGCCTAGCTAGTGCCGAGACCACACAGGTGGAGTAAATAAAGTTAATGCCGTAGAATTACCGTTGGGGCATTTCCTCGCTGAGGAGCGTCTGAAGCACCAAGCTGTGCCTTGAAATTACTGCTAATTATAGAGGCCATTTGCATAAATTACAAGGAGAGAGGCAGTTGCCGCCAATCCTTTCCATGCACTTAGGAAGAGAGTTCCGCTTGTTGGATGGCGACAAAGAGGGAAAGGGCGGTGGGGTGGAAAGGAAGATAGCCCGATGAGGAGGATGGATTCGGGAGGAAGAGGGTAGAGTGGGGGGGCGGGGGGAGAGAGAGATTTTAGAGAGATGAAAGATCCTAGATTTGCACTAGAGGCTAAATAGATTTTGGAAAGAGGCCTGACATTTTGCAGAATTAGCTGGGGAAACCCCACTTTGTGCATCCAAAAGTTGGATTTTCAAAATCTGAAATACGAGTTTTAAATTAAGAGCCAGCTTTTCAGGGAGCAGCATGGGGGTGGGGAGGATTTCTGTTGCTGTGTGTTCAGTTTTGCCTGTGAATGCTCGAATGACAGTGGCCTACCTGACGGAAATGTTGAAAGCATTCCTAAGAGAATGCACACAGGAGGCTGTGAGCAGTTGCGACAACTAGAAATTCTTATGCTCAGAGACAGCTCCCTCTTTTATGCTCCTTTTCGCCACGGGACCCGCACTGCCCAAGAGCAGGTTAAAATTGGTGGTGGCTCTTGAATTGGCTGTAATTCCATGTTCTCACTGCTCAAATAGACTGCCCCTGCTCAGAAACTACTGTGCAACAATTCTTCTGGCTGCTGCAGTCTAGCTTCCCTTCTCCAGTTCTGTTCTCCATCAACAGTATTCAGATATTTTGTGTGTTTTCCCGAGTGAGGCTGTGGCGAAGAAATAATGATGCCACTCTGCCTGGCCTGCTGCCCTCACTAAGCCTCTGAGAGAGCTGAGATCTCACTTTACATTTGCTTATGTACATAATAAAACTAAAACAAGTGCCTCTGGGAGAATTAATTAAAATGGTGGCTAGCTGGGGTTTCACCAGCACTGCACTTTGTAGTATGACCATTCACCCTATAGGCAAAGTTGTTGTTGTTGTTTAGTTTTAAAAGCGGGGAAAGGGCAGATCTGGGGCCTGGTCCAAAAGATTATAGGAATAGGCCCCTGGCCCCTGGGACATATCCCAGGGGGATATCCTCTAACTACAGCTAAAGAAATGTTATCATTGCAGATATGTTAAAGTGATTCCCATTTTCTTCATCTGGCTTCGAGAGTTTTATGAGTTGCTATTTTTGTTGATTCTGGATTATTATTTATGAGGCTGGTATGTTTGGTAGCTGTTTAATGTATTTAGTGGATTTGGTTTTATTGTATGTATTTTTTTATTGTTCCAAGTAGTATGTAAGCTTTTATAAATAAATAAACAAGCAAGCAAGTAAGTAAATGTTGACCCAATTATTCTTTGTCTCAAAAACGCCACATGAGGAAAACTGCCATGGGGTTATTTGCAACAGCATAGTGGCATGTGGGAAAAGGAGTAAGGGCACCCACCCATCCCAATTACTTCCACATTCTCAGTTGTCTATTAAAAAGCAAATTTACAATCTGAAAAAGACCTACTGGGTCTATAGTTATATAATCTGTGTATAATGTACCGTTTGGCCCATAACCAAGGCTGGTCCAAGTTATTTTGACACCCAAAGTGGAAAATCCTCACAACAGCTTTCACTTCCCTCTTATTAACATGGGAGCAGAACAGAGAATTGTGTTCAGAAAGGGTACATCACATAAGACTTTATGGGCTTCCCCTCTCTCTAGGCTATAGGAGGGAATGCCATCGTTAGAGATAGTATTCAGGGTGGCATGCACTTGGAAACAGCCCATAGCAAATATTCTTTTAGGATAACCTGGTGCAATTTGTACCTCAGAGTTTGCGTGGTGTCTAAATTTGGGAGGGAATTTCCTCCTCATCCGATTAGTCAGGCAAATGGGACCACAGCCGAGTGACACGGCGCAAACTATGCATAACCAAAGTCGTCTCCAGTTTTGTTCCTGGCATACCCAGTTTAAAGGCGTAGATCTTGAAGAGACTCAACTGCTACCCGTCAAGAGTAGACAGTTTTGGACTAGGAAAACCAGTGGTGCGATGCAGTATAATATCACTTCATAACACTCGAATGTTTCCTACCTGATTCATGAAGTGCGTGATTTGGTTCACTCACTTTCCTGAGTCACCTGGAGCTATTCTGTTCTGCAGGCACTTTTCTTACAGAGCACCTGCTCTCTCTGCTTGTGGCACAGAGTGGCCTGGATTGCATGGGCAGATCTGGGCAGAGCAGTTCTTAATTTATTAAGGAAGAGTGATGCCAGGGCTCACATCTGCACATCACATCAGAAGCCAACTGACTGTCCTTGAAGCCCTTTCCCCTAATGCACTATCTGTGAGGGCTATCTGTAGTTACTTATGGGTGGGGGGTGGGGAATCTACACATGAAAGATTTAATTATTTCATTTGTCCCTGGAACGCATGCTTGGAGGTGACTCCAGGTGATTTGGCTGGCTGGTAGATGGGTGCTGGTGGTCAGATGGTTTCAAATTGTTGTAAGCTGCCATGGGATCTTGGGGTGAAGGGCAGGCAATACAGTGGTACCTTGGATTAAGTACTTAATTCGTTCCGCAGGGTCCATTCTTAACCTGAAACTGTTCTTAACCTGAAGCACCACTTTAGCTAATGGGGCCTCCTGCTGCCGCCGCGCCACCGGAGCACGATTTCTGTTCTTATCCTGAAGCAAAGTTCTTAACCTGAAGCACTATTTCTGGGTTAGCGGAGTCTGTAACCTGAAGCGTATGTAACCCGAGGTACCACTGTAAACTGAAATTAAAACAAACTGAAATTAACAACAACATCAATTTATGCTCTTCTAGTTATAGGACCTTAAAGACCGCCTTCTCTCACATGAATCTGCTGGGACACTAAAATGATTCTCACAAGTCCTTCTTTGGGTCCCCACCACCACCGCCTATAAAACAGGGCTTTTCCAGTTGTGGTATCCCAATTCTGAAATGCCTTCCATGAAGACAGGGGATTATGGAGGGCTCCACTGGCTGAGGGAACCCTAGGCATAAATGCCCTTTAGCAGTCCCCTTCTTAAGTGGGTGGGTTTACTTGGCAGCGATGGTGAGAGCAGCTGTTGGCCACTTGAGTTTCACACAATGCCCTGTTATCAGCAGTATTATGGGGAATTAAAATGGCGGCCTACAGACCCAGATACCAGGGCAGGTGTTAGTACCACTGGGTCCTACCCAAGGGTGCTGGAGTCTTTTTCATACCAAGGTAAGGGCTTATTACAGTGGTACCTCGGGTTACATACGCTTCAGGTTACATACGCTTCAGGTTACAGACTCCGCTAACCCAGAAATAGTACCTTGGGTTAAGAACTTTGATTCAGGATGAGAACAGAAATCGCGTGGTGGCAGCGAGAGGCCCCATTAGCTAAAGTGGTACCTCAGGTTAAAAACAGTTTCAGGTTAAGAACGGACCTCCGGAACGAATTAAGTACGTAACCAGAGGTACCACTGTACTTGCCAAAGCTTTTTAAATGCTGACTTTCTATACAGTTTTAAACCTGGTGTTGTTTTCTCCTGCTGCTTCTGTTTTATGTGGGGTTCATGTCCAGTTATTTATAACCTGGGTGTGTATGAGTAAATAGAGACTGTGTGCAAGTGGGTTTTACAGGCCCAGTCCACACATAGAATCATAAAATTGTAGAGTTGGAAGGGACCCAGAGGATCATCTAGTCCAACTCCCTTCAATGAAGGAATATGCAGCTGAGCCATATGGGGATTAAACCTGCAAACTTGGCATTATCAGCCTCATGCTTTAACCAACTGAAAGTGCTTTCAGTTTAAAACTATCTCAATGTTTCCTGTCTATGCCAGCAAGCAGTGCTTGATGGAATGTATTTGCACTGTGTGGCGTTGTCTCCTCCATTAATACTTCCCCATCCGTCTGACATTCCAGACACCTGAGATCCATTGTGCCCAGGTGTCTACCTATCCACATACACCTTTAAAAAAAAAAATCAATGCATTAGTACAATAATGAAACTTTACCAAAGCCCAAGCTTCAAGCGTGTTTCACAGTGGGCAAAATGGCCAGTTTTTACTTTTTGCAATAGATTTTTTAAAACCAAATTTGCGCAAAACAGCAGTTTCAAAACCGAAAACATATTTGTGCGTTGTGCTTGGCCCCATCAGCTAAACAGGTAGCAGCCCACAAAGGAGTGCCTTGCCAGAGCAAAGAACAGCTGGGTAGGTGGAGACACAGGCTCCTCTGATCTCCACGCATCCGCCCAACACAGAAAGCCACAGTGTTTTTGGAGAAGGACCTAAACAGTACATTTCAAATGCGCACACACAAGCGCACATGGCCAAGGCAGGATGGGGAGAGCAATTTGGAGGAGAGGGGTGTGGAGACAGTTTGTCTTCTTTTGCTCTCCCCACTACCCCCATACCTGCTTTGGCCTATTTAATATTTATTTTTAATACAGCCATTGTGTGCAACAGAAGTTCCACACTAAACAGCTGTTTTAAAAAATTACAAAAACCATACAAATGCGCCTTCAGCAACCACTGGTGGAAATAGGCAATCTGTATCTTTCCCTATGGGTAACAAAATTGTTAGTTTGCATTCAGGTGATGAGCAAATGGAAGTAGGGTGTGTTGCGATGGACAGCGCCCAGGAAAGCGCCACCAAGCACATTGGGGGAAAATAGCCCCCGTACCCAATGCGCTCTAGTGCATCCATACCTAGGTAATGTGTGATTTTAGGTCACATTCCCCCCCATACTGTGTTATCTGTAGACTGGGCGAATCAGAATTAAATGGGAATAAAATGTGGGCTGCCACTTGGAGGATGTTGTGCGGATGCAGTGAAAAAACATGCTCACGTGAAGACGAAACAAATCCACCTTAAAGTGGTGTTGCGTACACCCCCAGAAGTCACTTAAATAAATACATCCATGTTATGATTCTATAAAGAAACAAAAAATAACTTTTCTGTAGGTCAGAACAGGCCAGAAAAAAGTGAAGAGGTCTTTCCTTTCTCTTTTTTTGGGGGGGTTGTGTCAGGGTATCTGCTATCAGGGACAGTTCACTTTTCTTACAACAAAAATTGTTCCTCAGCTAGGAAAATCACCACCACTAGCTTGAAACAAATCCCTACTTTGATTCTGACTCCACCTTGCCTCCCCCATCTCCTCTGAGTAAGTTTTTCATCTAATTTTCATAGCATGTTTAAAGAAATGCCATGTGAGGCCTGGACTTTCTGGTCCACTCACTTCCTTATTTTCCTTGATCTCTGCAGGCCTTGTTTTAAAATAAAATAAAATAGCCAAACTCCCTCCCCCCGCAAGCTTTTTTGCCTGACAGCAGGAAAGACCTACACTCAGCACCCGGCTAAGGCTTTCGGTCCCGGAGACAGCGCGTCCGTCGGTGGGTTTTTGATGTCTGCAGTTCAGAAGCCGCCCTTCCAGGTGGCTCAAAAGCATCTCTGTGGCTCAGACACATAGACTCGCGTCTGTATCTCCCACCCCTACCTCAAATCCCTTCTTCCTCCTCCTCCTCCGCTGCCTTAAGACTTTGCTTCCTTCCTCCCAGGGATCTGTAATTTGTTCTCTCTTCCCTCCCCCCCCCCGCCCTCTTTTTTCCGTTCACTAGGTAACAGTGCTGCAAAAGGAAAATCTGCCAAATCGTTAAATCACCAGTTTATAAATCCAGATCTACTTCTCTGTCACCCTTGGTTCCTGCTTTCTATCATCTAGCTTTCTTCTGCTCCACTTACTTTTCTAAAAAACTGAAATGGTTGCTGTGTTAACTGAGGTTGCTTAAACACAGGACCGGCTCTGCCATTAAGGAAGGTGAGGCAGCTGCCCAGTAAGCAGGGTGCACCATGCAGCCTGCTCTGTGTCCCCAATCTAGCTTGCAGGGGACACAGTTTCTTTGATTGCTAGTATTCAGCTGCCTGACTGGTCGTCTTTAGGTGTGGAATGGGAGAGGCACCATCTTGTCCTTTGCCTCAGGCAGCAAAATGTCTTGGGGCAGCCCTGCCAAAACACTGCTACTGATGATTCATAAGAACATCAGAATCAGGCCAACGGCCCACCTAGTCAAGCATCCTGTTTTCACTGAGGCCAACCAGATGAATCTGGGCAAGCAGGATCTGAGCACAAAAGCAGTTTCCAGCAATTGGCATTCTGAAGGATACTGACTCTGACCTTAGAGGCAGACATTCAGATAGCCTTTGCAACAGCTGAGCTACAAAGCGGAGAGCTTCTTGCAATGCTGTAGCCCAGGAACGGGGAATCTGTGGCCCTTTGAACTACAGCTCCCACAATTCCTGACCATTGATCATGCTGCTAGATCTCAGCACAGCTCTCTGAGCCTTTCTTAATACAAGCTAGGCAAGACCCGGAGCTTCTGGCAATACTTCAACTCTTCTCCTAGCTAATTAACATTAGCTGAAGGATGGTGTCAGGAATCGCAGGTGCTCTTTCAAAAACATTTCCCGCAACTCCACACATCTGATGAGAGAAATAGCAGGGCTTCATGAATCACGGGAAATTGTGAAACAATCACTGTAGATTAATATCTGGATTTTAAAAGTGTTTAAACCTGCATGTGGTTTTGATTAAAAAATAATAACCCTTGCCTCCATCTCTCTTCAGTTTCCAGCCCAGTGAACAGTAGTCCATTAAACCTGGCCAGTTAGGAGCTAGTAAGCCCAGGCCCACACCCTCACACAGGTGTCTGTCTGGCCAGAGGCAGGAAGTTCCAGACGGTTCCATTTTCTAGATTGATTGGGAGAGTGCAAGAATCTTTTCCATATTATTTCCCCTTGCAGACTTGGCTGGTCTCTTTACCGTGAGTGGACCCCAGGCCAAAACTGAGCTGACAAATCATACATGAAGTGATTCACACAATTTGTAATTGCCTGAATGTTTCTTAAAAGTGAACAGCAGCTGCGTCGGCTCCTGATGGCATGGAGGGTTTAAACCAGGAGGGGGGAACTTTGGGCCAGTGGGTGAATGTGGCTCTATTTGGTCCTTGGGATTCTCCAGGAATCACACATCCTCCTCAGGCCACACCCCCTCTTCTTAGGCCACACCCCTCACTAGGCCTGCTCCAAACCCTGTTCAAGAGCTTGTGCCAGACTGGAAAGTATTATTGAACTGTGATAATGTCTCTTACATGCCTGGAAGGTGGGCAGACTTCACAGTAAGCTGGAATGCAGCCTTCCAAACAAAGGGAAGAGTCAGATCTGCTGCTCCACTTTTGGCATATGTTGTGGTTGGTCTGTGGCAGGGGTGGGTAACCTGTAACCCTCCAGATGTTGTTGACCACATCACCCATCATCCCTAATCTCTGCTGCCTGGGGCTGATGGGAATCCAGCTATATCTGTAGGCCCACAGATTACCTTTCCCTGGTCTGTGAGGAGCTGATGGGTGGATCATAGCTTTCCCTTTGGTGGTAGTGATAGGTGGATTAATCAGAGCTCTGTGTATGTCACAATTCTGAAGGTGTACAGACGAACTTGTGGCACTGAGTGCAGAATTCTACTTTCTAGCCATCTCCATTTTGGTTTGAAAACAATTAAAAGCAAGTTTCTAGGCCTTATGGCTGCAAATAAATGATTGAAATTGAGCTCAGAGGTGTGGTTGGGGGTGGAGCTTCAGTGTCCTACATAGCTCTTTGATCCTTGCCACCATGACTATTAAATGGAGAATTACTTATGCAAAATAGTTTAAGTTGTTGAATAAAGTATGTAGACGGCCGACAGCATGTGAAAGTTCTGCCAAAACTTCAGCACCAGCTGCCTATAAGCTACCTGGCCAGTTTCAAGGTTCTTGTATTAATATGCAAAGCTCTGAACAACTTTGGCTTACCCATATCACTGTTTAGGTTATCCAGAGGAGTGCTGTTAGTTGTCCCCTGCGTGACAGAGATCTGGCAGGCCTTAACTAGAAGTAGACTTAATGTTGCTGGTCAGATCCTGTGGAATTCTCTTCCATCAGATTTGGCATATATCCTAGCGGCCCGTGCTTTTTTTCTAAAAAAATGTTTAGGAGTACTCTCATTTTCCTACTCATATTGAAATACTGCCTCTCAATTAGGCCAAACTGAGATTCACAAAATATTTAGGGGTATGCGTACCCCTGCGTCCCTCCAGAAAAAAAGCACTGCTTGCAGCTAACTTTCATTTGTCTCTTGAAGAGCTTTTTACGTTGTGCCATAGGCCTATTCAGTTGTGTAATTCCACCTGCCCCTGCAAGAAAAGGTGGCCATTTTAATGATTATTTCGATGACATTTTCATGTCTCATTCTATTTGTATACATTGCTGCACACTGCCTTGATAATGAGTCTTCGGTTTGTAAATATCTGCTATAAATTAGTAAATAAAATACAAGAAATTATGCCCATCTCTGAAAGATAGCCGAGCTTAGCTTTCCTTGGTACTAGACTTAGATCACCTGGATTCAGAAATGTAATTATTTTAGTGTGGAAAATGCACAGCTTGCTGACTGAAATTCAACGGTAAGGCCACCACTACTAGCTCAAATATGGGTGTCTAGCTGTTAGATACCAAGCAGGGCTCAATTAATTGCTTTTTGCTTGTATGTGTGTATATTTTAGTTAAGCCAAGCCCATCTATAAATCACTCATTTATGGAGTTCCTCACCCACAAAACAGGGTGGAGCGGTGTAAAAGAGATGGCTGCGGAGACGAGCTGGTTTGCTCATGCCTTGTTCCTTTTGGAGCAGGGCACGCTTGTGTGACAGAGCAAAAATGGCAATGAGTTCAGGTCAAGGTCAAAGGGATTCCAGAATGAGATGGTTCTGCAAAGGGTTTTGTTGCCATAGCAATTTATCTCTCCAAACAAAGGACCCGTTTCAGTGATCCTACATAGCCCTGTATGCTTCACTCAGCAAGGCACAAAGGCTACATCACAAAATACAGTGTAGAAACTGAGAGATGCTTCCATTTGGCCCTTCTGCACTGCCACACAGTGTGCAAAGGTGAAGTAGAGCCATTAACCCTTGACAAAAGGCATTAATAAACTTAATACACTTTATTAATAAACTTTAATAAACTTAATCAGCAAATAAATCAGCCAGTGCTTTAATTGATGGTTAATTGATGGTTAATTGATCACTATCTGGACAGGGATAGCCTAACTTCTGTTGTCTAAGCTCTGGTAACCTGTAGGTTAGATTACTGCACGTCCGCTCACCCCTTTTGGTGCTGCGGTGTTGCAGGATGGCAAAGGCTTCACCAGGGCCCTGACAAGGTAACTGGAACAGTGGTGCCCTTCCTGATAGGAACTGGATCCTGGCCTGCACCCAGCTTTGGCTAATGGGGGTGCAGGCTGGAGACTTGGGCTGTGCCAGGGGGCAGAGCCGGCGGAGCAGGTAGGCTTCCCTCGGATCCGCCCCTTGGCCATTTAAGCAGCCCACACTTGGGGCACTATCTGTTTGTTCCTTCACCAGGTTTTTCCCCCTGCTCACCCACCCTCGGTTTAAACTTATAGTCAATGACTTTGCTGCGGCTACGGTGGTTGCCGTTCTTTAAGGGGCTGGGTAGGAATTTGCCTGCCAGGCTAAATTGGCACTGACCCAGTGGTTTTGCCTACATCATAGCAATTGTCACAACTGGTTAAGCATTGGGGCAATCCTCTTTTTTTGGATGGAGGGGAGGTTGTAGTCTCTGCCTGCCCCTCCAAACGCTGGGGTATCCTGTTAAAGGTATCTGGGGAGGGGGGAGTGGCCGTGTCCATGTACCCAGGAGGGGCCAGGGCCGAAGGCGCACCCCCAGATGGTGGTCCCTGCGGGGGTCACCCTATTTTATGTAAGTCTTGGGAACCCCCATCTGGGTTGACCATGCATCACTTCCGGCGGACCGGCTGGAAGTATTTTGATTGCCCCATGCCCAAGCCAAACCTCTTTCATCTGTATTCAATACCATTGTGGCATGTTTTGACCCCAAAACCAGCCTCATTGGTCTCTTATTTGCATGGGGTGGGGTGGGGGAACCTGATGCCTGGTCTTGCTTTAGAAAAACAACTGCCTCCGAAGTTGGTTCGGAAGTTGGTGCAGAATTCAGCAGCCAGGTTGCTCACCAGGGCAAGACAGTTTGAACGTATAACGCCAATTCTAGCCTGATTGCACTGGCTGCCAGTTAGTTTTCTAGCCCAATTCAAATTCCTGGTTTTCACCTAAAAAGCCTTAAACAGCTCAGGACCACAATACCTCAAGGTTTCAACATATGTACCAACCTGGACTCTGCAATCATCATCTGAGACCCTTGTTTGTGTGCCTCGTCCACAAGAGGTCTGGAGGGTGGCAACACAAGAACGGGACTTTTCTGCAGTGGCTCCCCACTTGTTCTCCCCGGGGAGGCTCACCTGGTACCTTCATTACATATCTTGAGACATCAGGCAAAAACATTTCTCCCAGACCTTTGGCTTATTAAACAATCTACAGTATAGCCTTTTAAACTGTGTGTGTGTGTGTGCTGGTGGAGTTATTGTTTTTGTTTTTTATCATGCTATATATTTTTGTGTTTTTATATTGTGAACTGCCCTGTGAACTTCAGATGGAGGACAGTATAGAAATGTGAAGAGGAGGAGGAGGAGGAGGAGGAGGAGGAGGAGGAGGAGGAGAAGAAGAAGGAGGAGGAGGAGGAGGAGGAGGAGGAGGAGGAGGAGGAGGAGGGTAGAGTGAAGGGCACAATGCCAAGCAGGTTACACAGATGTGCCATCCATTCCTCTCTGTGTTGCATTTTCTGGGGAATAAATGGGGAAATGGCTTTTGTGTCTACTACTTTGCATCCAAAGTGGCAGACATTCTGCATTTTACTGCAAATTTATCCTAAGAAACACATTTTTATATGAAGTTTTGACTGACGTGTGAATTTTTGCAAGCAATTTCTCCTAATATAATGCATTTTTGTACGCTATTTTAACTGCCCTTTGAACCACGCTGAGACCTTCAGGTACAGGGTGGTACAGTGGTGCCCCGCAAGACGAATGCCTCGCAAGACGGAAAACCCGCTAGACGAAAGGCTTTTCCGTTTTGGAGGTGCTTCGCAAAACGAATTTCCTATGTGCTTGCTTCGCAAGACGAAAATGTCTTGCGAGTTCCTGCGGGGTTTTTTCCTCCCCCCCCCTTTTTCCCAAGCCGCTAAACCGCTTATCAGCTGATCGGCTAAGCCGCTTAACAGCTGATCGCTAAGCCGCTTATCAGCTGATCGTTAAGCCGCTTATCAGGTGATCTTAAAGCCGCTTAACAGCTGATCGCTAAGCCGCTTATCAGCTGATCCGCTAAGCCCGCTAAGCCGCTAATACTGTAGCGCTAATCCGCTAAACCGCTAATGGGCTTGCTTTGTAAGACGAAAAAACCCGCAAGACGAAGAGACTCGCAGAACGGATTCTTTTCGTCTTGCGAGGCACCACTGTATATAAATACAATCAATCAATCAATTAACCAGGCTATCTAGATTTTTATCTAGATAGTAAACTCTCCCGTAATATATGCATTTTTTGTAAACAGTGGTTAAAGAACTGCATTGCAATATTGTAATAAGTGCAAATTTGAAAGGATAGCTGTACTTGGTTTACACTATTGTTTTGGAAAGCGTGAATTCCATAAATTCAGCTACTTTATAGCAAAAAAATGCTTACTAATGCTCACATACAGTTTTCCATGACATTTACGGCTTTTTCAAAGTGTAGCTGTGGAGACTGTAATATGGATAGGAAAACTGGATGAGGGAGTGGCTTTTCAGTGCTTCCCGTTCCAGTATTTCTCTGTTAAAAATCTCTCAGTTTCTCTCCCGCACCCCTTTTACATGTACCCTGAAAGGGATACAACTCTTAGCAGAAAATGATCTGTACTTTTGCTGCTACTGGTGGTGGTGCAGTGGTACAGTTAGATTCTGGACTTAATGGTCTGAAGACCTCTCTCCTCTTTAAATGGCTAGGTAAAGGTAAAGGTAAAGGGACCCCTGACCATTAGGTCCAGTTGTAACCGACTCTGGGGTTGCGGCGCTCATCTCACTTTATTGGCCGAGGGAGCCGGCATACAGCTTCCGGGTCATGTGGCCAGCATGACTAAGCCGCTTCTGGCGAACCAGAGCAGCACACAGAAACGGCGTTTACCTTCCCGCCGGAGAGCGGTCCCTATTTATCTACTTGCACTTTGATGTGCTTTCGAACTGCTAGGTTGGCAGGAGAAAGGACCGAGCAACGGGAGCTCACCCCGTCGTGGGGATTCAAACCGCCGACCTTCTGATCGGCAAGTCCTAGGCTCTGTGGTTTAACCCACAGCGCCACCTGCATCCCTAATGGCTATGTACTTACTTCCAAATGTGGCTAGACAGCCCTGCTGCATTTTTAGGACCCTCCAGCTCATTCTGATAAGTGGCACCCTGGACATCTGCCCCCCAAACCATGCACCCACAGTAACACTACTGCTTCTCCAAAAGGAAGGAGAGGTAGCTTTTCCTCCGAAACGAAATGAGTGTATGCCAGCAGAAGAGTACATTAATGCATTGATTCCTTTTTTAAAAAAAAAAATACTTTGTGGATGGTCTCTAAGTCCTCCCTCTGACTTAAACAGCTTTCCCACACCACACCAGCATCATATCCTCTTCAGCATCACCCTGTTCTCACCTGTCCCCTGCTACTACCACTGATGATGCATCAAAGAGAAACTGACCAAGCAGGAGAAAATCTGCAGGACAGAAGCAGTGGGCTGGCAAACCATTAGGCATCCCATCTCATGGGCTTGCGGCTGCTCCTCTGCAAACATCTTCTTTACGTTAGAAGCCGTGCTATAGTGGGGCAGGAAGACCGGGAGAGCAAAGCTCTGGGGCTTTTTTCATAGCAAGGAGCGATTACAACATCTGCTGAAGCCGGTTTATGGCAGCATTGTAAGCTTGGGGTGGGGGTAGAGGACAGGTCTGGTCTGGCTCACGATCCCTTTGACAGATAGGTTAGGCTCGGGAAGTGACTGGCCTGAAGTCACCCTGTGAATTGCATGGCTGATCAGGAGATCTGAACCCAGGTTTTCCCAACCAGAGTCCAGCATGCTCACTGTCAGCTGTTCCTAATAAAACAGGTACTCTGCTGTGTACTGTAGATGTGTATATCTGAATCTCCTTGGGGGCATGGCTATTGCGACTGTCATTATGATCTCCTGCACTTCAAATCTGACAGCAGCACCTCTGGTTACAAGGAGAACACATGGCTGGGAACACCATGTTTCTTGTGTAACATGAAATTCCACCCTGAGATATAGGTCACAAGTAAATGTATTCAATCTGGTTCCTAATTCCACCTATTGCAGAAGCAAGATTATCCAACCACAAGACACAGACACACAGATTTCAGCCTCTGCTATCCAGCTCATGCCAATACACTGCAGAAATATACTTTCACAGTAACTTGCTCCAGCAGAGCATAGAGGCTGTGTATATACTATTTACACTCTGCATCCAATGCGCTCCCACTGCTAGTTTGGGACGCAACATTAGCCACAATCCATCCTGTTGTTTCTTATGAAATACAGGGTTTAGATGAATTTCTCCTCAAACCAGCTTCGATCTGAACTGAGGAAAATAATATCCTGTGTTTTAAAGCTGGTAATACAGTATGTATACAGCCAAGAACTAGTGGGTTTGAAAAGATTAAACTCTAGGCGTCCAGGATTGGCCACTTTGTTAATGGGATGAAATATATCATATGTGTTGGTTTATTTAGATCCACCCTTTGCCCTGTTTCTTTGGAATTCAAAGTCTGGATATCCTTCTTTCCCTCATGTTTATCCTCCCCAAAATGCTATGAGTTAGACTTGGTTGAGCAGTACAGTGGGTTTCCTGACTCAGCGGGGATTTCAACCAGGGTCTCATATATTTAAACCTGATACCTTGTCTACAGCACCACTCTGACTAAAGGAGTTTGAGCAAAGAGTCACTGAGCTAAGAGCAGTGGAAGACAATGGATCCCAGTGCCTAGAACAAAAGGCAATGTACCTTAACCACCCATCTATTCAAAATAAATTTAAAACAGCCCGGAATGCATGTCACTGTTGAGGCCTCCCATCCTATCATTGGCTGCAGTGGCTGTTTTGGAATGATCCTGAACAGCCAAACTACCCAGCGGGAAATGGTGAGCTGTATTAACGGAACACTGACAAACATTGCAGTTTCATCTAGGTGACTGGAAGGCTTTAAGGTGGGTGCAGAGCAGGGGTGGGGGCCTAGAGACAAAAGCAGCTCTACGTTGTAGGGAAAAAAGAGGACAGTAAAAGTAGTTCTAAGCAAGCAAGATGAATGTAAAGTGGGTGGGTGGAAGGCTTCCTGTCATAACATCACAGGTGAAGGAAGAACCCGTGTTGGGTAATAGGCTGAAAAGCAGGTATATGAGAAACAGGGTAAAAGAATCAAGAATCTGAGGGGAAGAAGCTTGGGGAAAACCCACAACAGGACCCAGGAACAGGAGAGGCCATATGTTATGACTTGGAGGACTTTGGACCAACAAGGCACAGCAACAAACCAAAGAAGAAAAGATGTATACCCAAATACACATAATAATTTGAACTTATCAGCTCAGCTTGAGCATTTTAACTGCCAAATTGCCAGCATTTCCCCCACTTAAGAGTTCAGATGGCAGTGCTGATAGCAGGATATTCCCTGGCAGTGTTTCTTGTGAACACTGACAAGAAAGGCCATCAGCAAAACTGGTAAGCTTAAAAACCAGTAGCAGCCGAAACAATGAGGAAGCAGATCATCCCTAAAGAGAACAGATCTGCCACACAAAGCAGTTGATGGAGTCAGGCTTGTTCTTGAAATCTAATTCTTCCTCAACACATGCATGTGCACACACACTGCCAGCCGGAGCCACCACAACGGTTTTTGCTGCCTGCTTGGAAATAGTTTAAGGTCTGTAAGTGAAACTTCTCAGCGAACATGGGTGCCAGTCTGGCTTGCTTCCCCTTATTCAGCCACTGCTCCTCCTCTCCCAGGACTGCTTCCATGCAGCTGCTTCTCAAACAGTAATTAGAAAAAAAGGGAGCAGAGAAGAAGGAAAGGGAGGGAAAGAGAGAGGGAGAGGGAGAGGGAGAGGGAGAGGGAGATCTCCTATTCCCGCAGGGCAGAGCACATCAAACAAACTCGAGCTGGCTCTTGTGAAACTGACGGCAATTTCCTCTTCTGTCATAAAACAAATTGTTGTTTGTCAGGAAAGCAGGTCAGCCATGGAGCGCCATGTGTGTGTGTTTGCCCTGCAGCTTGGATGTATTGTGAAGGAGCTCCATGCAGGAGGGAGACGTGGAGGTTGACCAGCAAAGGCTCAACAGAAGCTAAAAGGGTCTGTCTCTCGCCGTTTGGTTCAATTGTCCATTATGAGCACTTTGGGGTATGCTAAAACAGCCAGGTTGGTTTGGGGGCCTAGAGAACCCTGCTGAGGCTGTGTATACACTACACATTTAAGGTACATTTGAAGCACATTATTTTTCTCAAATAATTCTGGGCACTGTAGTTTATCCCTCACAGAGTTACAATTCTCAGCAATCCTTAACAAACTACAGTGCCCAGAATTCTTTGAAGGAGCAGATGTGCTTTAAAGGTAGTCTAAGACTTAAGTCAAAGCAGTTTTGGTGCCTGAGGAGGAAAATATATTTCTAGCACTTGAGCATGTGGTTACACACACACACACACACACACACACACACACACACACACACCCCTTCTGCACAAGCTTCTTTTAAATAAATGGAAGCTGTGCAAGAGCATCACCATAGGAAGACAAACCATTGGGCAGGTGAACATTCTCTTTAGTTATATTCTATTTGTCTGTGCCCAACTCTCCCAGCCTTATCTTCATTCTCAAAAAAGCCAGAACACCCAGCCAGACTGCTGTGAAGACAAAGTGAGGCAACAGGTAAATGTAAGCTAAGCTTCAATAATAACATCAGGTATTTATCTAACATTCATATCACTTCACACTTATTGTCTCAGTAATCCTTACAACTCTGTAAGGTATTATTATTATTATTTTTAGACCCATGTTGCAGATTGGATTGGGGAGGGTGGTGTCTTGCCTAAGGTCACACAGTGAATTTGTGACACAGGTGGCATTTCAATCATCAAGGACATTAAAAATAAAAAAGGCTTATACCAGGGGTTTGCAATGTAGCAAACATCCCTCCTCATTTGCCCTTGTTAAGCTGCCATGGTCTTTAACTGAAGCCTACATATGATTTTGTATCCTATTCTTTAATAACTTCAGAGTTGGTTTGTGTGCTTTCCCATTCCATCCTGCCCTGTTTTATTATGGCTTTTGCCAGTTCATCTCTGCTAAAATTGTATAGCATTTATAATCGCTGAGGCTCCAAAAAGGCTCTGGGATCTGACCTTTAAGAAAAACCCAGCCTCTCCTAACATTTTTTAAAGTAGTTGACAGCCCTGAATAATTCATGTCTGATTTTTAATTATACCCGCTTCCTTTCCCTCCCTATCTTAATCAGAAAGCGTGTATTGTCATCTAGGGAGGGGAGAACCTGTTTGACCAAATTTAGAACCTATTGAGGGGAAATTTCCATGATTTTGAAGACAAATAAAAAAAATGGTGATAGTTTAACAGAAACGTGAGTTTCTAGCTAGCACATGCCCTAAGTTTCATCTTTTGTGGGACATTATTTCAGTGCACTAACATGAAACAGTCACACAATATTTTGCAAACAAAGCCTTCATGTCCAAAAATGCGTCATGTAAGGCCACTCCTGAACTTGACTTTTGAGAGGGGCATGTTTAGTATGCCCAAGCCCTGCAGTCTGTTCTGGTCTGTCACTTATCTAGTTGGCTGGAAGAAAGTGGGATCAACAAGGACTGCTCTGTGCATACATGACTCAAGGTGCAAATGTGATTATATTTCATCAGAAAAGGTTAAGAGATATTTGGAAACCACTGAAGGTAGCAGAGTGAGAGATCTGACCTTTGGGACACAAGTCACTTGTAACTTCTACAGAGGCCCCACCGAAATCAACGGATGCCACACAATTGTACAGTCATACCTTCGTGTCGCTCTCTTTTATTTTAATGTTGCTTGTGCAGGAGAATTTCACAGTGGATTGTCCCACAGGTTAACTGGTGGGAGAGGGTGCCGTTTGTATTTTCCAAAAGGTCTTGGGCCAGGCTGGCAGATTTGGCACAGGTGACTGACTCTCCAGTGTAAATTGGTACTTTCCCCCCAGGTGACTCCTCCTAGCATCCTCCATTGCTATTTGATAACTGTCTTCTGTTGTGCCAGTAGCAGTGTGCGCAACCAGACCCACAATCTCTTCCATTAAACTCGCTAACGCACACACAGGAAGTGAGAAAGAGAGGGAAGGAGTATGGGGATGGCAGAAAGAGAGCAGGGAGAAGGGGGTGGAAAGAGAGAGAGAGAGAGAGAGAGAGAGAGAGAGAGAGAGAGAGAAAATGAAGATGGGGGGGGGGAGAGAAGGCAGATAGAGAATGTTCCCACCCACTGTTGGCATGCAGCCCCCCACCATCACCGCCATTACTCCTTAAGGACCATGCCCCTTGACAGAAAAGGTTCCCCTTCCTGTATTAAAGCAACAGCTCTTTAACTGAGCTAGAAAATTGGCCACAGGGATGTGGCTGGCTTTTTTCCTATCTGAACACACACACACACAGACACACACACACACACACACACACACACACACACACAAATATGTCGTTCACTGAACACAAAAATTAATGTACCAGTGTTCTCCCATCTTAAGAGTTTGGAGGGTATGATACAGTGATATTTAAAACAAATCTTCTGCACATCCATCCTGGTTTGCCTGGGTGCATTGGCCTCTTACCTATTTATGTATGTAAGATGCAAAGGGAAACATGGGGCCTTGCCCTCCTAAAAATAAATGGCAAAACAGGTTTGTTTCATGGGCAGGATCAAAGGGAGCAGAATTTGTGAATGAGCCAACTGAAGCAACGTCACAACCACCTGGGGCGAGAATGACACCACCAGAGTAGGATTAGCTCTCTGAAAATTACACCTCCAGTAGGTTATGAGGCCTTAAAAATGAGGCTTGCAAGCCACTTTCTAATTCTTCGAAGAAACCATTAGCAGTGCCTGATGTGGTTTTTTTTTTTACAACTCAGATAAGGAGATCAGCTTTCCCCTTAGAATGGCAGTGTAATGAGACCCATTAAAAGTGGGCTTTGAGCATATTTATTTGCTCCTCCCACAGTTATATTTTTCAACTGGGTAGAATTAACGTAAGGAGGCTAGCTCATTTCCACTTAGAAGCTCACCCCTGTGCCATATGATAGGCAGAAATTTAGCCAGGACGTGGGGTTTTTTTACATCAGCTGCAGTGATGCTTACTGTTAGGTCCAAGTTTTGGCTCTGGGTAGCTGTGCCTGAATCTAGGCTGAGTGAATGAGTTGTCCAGCCCAAGGTCCTTGGAATCACTTGCAGAGAGCTAAAGTGATGCACAAAGCGTAGCCACCGATCCTACTTTACAGAAGATGGTCCTTGGGGAGGGGGCAATATTCACGTCCAGGTGCAGATTCCCAGTGTTTATACCAGAAATAGCTCACCAATCACAAGGGCTAATATTGCACAGGCCTATTCCTAAGGAGGCTTAAAGGCTTGAGTGCAGACACTTCACTACGCTAGGTCCCAATCTAATTCCACAAGGTTCTTAATTCAAGTCCTAGTCCTAAAGTCCCTGACATGCTCTCTTATCGATATCACACCTATTCCATGGCCAGTTCCTAGCTTCGAGTGCTAAGCCTTTATAAGCTAAAATAGTATACAATGGTACCTTGGGTTAAGGACTTAATTCGTTCCAGAGGTCCGTTATTAACATGAAACTGTTCTTAACCTGAAGCACCACTTTAGCTAATGGGGCCTCCTGCTGCTGCTGCGTCGCCGTAGCACAATTTCTGTTCTCATCCTGAAGCAAAGTTCTTAACCTGAGGTAATATTTCTGGGTTAGCGGAGTCTGTAACCTGAAGCGTATGTAACCTGAAGCGTATGTAACCTGAGGTACCACTGTATTCCCCTCTGCAGGTGTGTGGCTTTGGCGTCTTGATAGCCAGGCAAACACACACTGCACATGATCAAAGGGCTGTTGTTGTGGGCCCTGGAGGTCTAAGCTGGCTGGGGGGCAGGGTCTGTCAGGGGGCTGCCGGACTTACACTGTCATGCCTAGTACACTCTGTGGCTCCCAGCTGACTGGGGACTCCCGCCCTGGGCCTCAGACAAACTCTGTATGGGCCTGCCTTGGACTCTCTGGCCAGGGCTAGGTCAATGAATCATTCTGATGACATACAGTGCTTGTATTCTACCACCCCCTCCACATTTCCCCTCCCAGTCGAGTCAGACAGTGAGAAACACACACATACTCAGATCAGATTCACTCTACACAGTCTGTTCTATTCCCAACTCTCCTTTCTCCCCAAACCTGTCAGGCCTGCTGTCCTTCCTCCAGAACTTGCCAGGCCGCCTAACAGCTGCAACACTTGAAGTCATCATTTACTCAGAGTGGAAGGAAGAGCTCTATAAACGAGACAGGAAGGTGTCCCCTTTGCTACTATGATGCTAATGGTGATTTTAAGTTGATTTACTCACAAAAGTGACACAAGGAGACTTACAACACGGTAGAAACACGAAAGCCAACAAACAAACCCATAAAACCTTTAGAATGCATTTATACCAGGGGTAGGCAACCTCTGGTCCGCGGGCCAGATACAGTCCAATTGCCTTCTCAATCCAGCCCGCGGACGGTCCAGGAATCAGCATGTTTTTACATGAGTAGAATGTGTCCTTTTATTTAAAATGCATCTCTGGGTTATTTGTGGGGCCTGCCTGGTGTTTTTACATGAGTAGAATGTGTGCTTTTATTTAAAATGCATCTCTGGGTTATTTATGGGGCATAGGAATTCATTCCTCCCCCCCCCCAAAAAAAATATAGTCCGGCTCACCACATGGTCTGAGGGACGGTGGACCAGCCCACAGCTGAAAAAGGTTGCTGACCCCTGATTTATACAATGAGAGCCAATAAACTGAAGTTTAGTTCGGACAAAGCTAACATCAATTCCTGCTGCAAGACATCAGCCTAGCACATCCGCAGCCACATCTGACAATGTAAAGTATTAGAGAGCACTGAGCTGGTTCCACGCTTTTGGAGACAGATAGCAGGAGACCTCCAGCATGCTATTCCAAGGGATCTAAAAAGGCATACTTTTCCATTTTGCCTCCTATCGCATGCAGCACCATTTCCATTCTGCTACAATTCAGGTTCTCCAAAAGCAATGTTATTTGGATTGCTGTTTGCTGTGGCCTAATTTAACAACATAGTTAATTACATTATTGTTGGGTGATTCCACACCATTCATTTCAATGGAGGGAAGCGGTCATCAATCATGTAATGAGAAAAAATAATGACAATGAATTGAGGCTTGGGATGTGGGGGAATGGCACCAGCAAATACTGATCATATTTGCCTGCCTGATTTCCGATGAGGCTTGTGAATGAACACACAAACTGATGCAGTTTCAGGGACTCTTTCCCATTTTGACAGAATTCTCTGCTATCCCTTGCATAGGGCAGCCAGCCACTTGGCTCTCTCCTACAAAAACTTGCACATTTGCTCACTCAATCCATCTAGGGATTAATTTGCATCTGGACACCATAAAGGAGGAAGGGGAGGCATGTGCGGGGGAACTGAAGCAGAGAAGTGATGGGCAAGGAAAGGGTTAAGTACCAGCCTGTAGCCATTTTTCTGTTGAACATCATTCCCTCCATAAATGACTTTTCATCTTTTCTCACATGTAATTACATGCAATATGTACTTTGTCAAGAACTGGACAGTAAAATAGGCTGTAAAATAAGATGAGCAGAGAGCAAAGGCAAACTTCACTGAAAGGCATATCACTAAAATCCCCACCAATTACGTATTTTTGTTTGTTCTTTTGCCATTTTGCACTCGCCTTCTCCAGTGCTTGAATGTATGTGTCACCCACCAAAAAGAAAAAGAAAGAGAGAGAGAGAGAGAAAATGAAATAAAACTCAAAGCCAGCCATCCCCTTCATTTTCAAAGCAAAGCTAACCCCAAACAAGATGGCTGTTGCACTGCCTTCCGTTTCACAGGAGCGGAGACACTCCTCCTTTCTAACGAAGATACAACTGATATTTAACAGAGACAAAGAGAGTGATCCCACAAAGCAAAGTCATATAAAAAAAATGAATTGCACTGTGTCCCAGGTGGGAGCCTTTGTTTGCGCCAGAGTGGAGCCCCCAAATCTATTGTCTATGCCAGACTTCCTCCTTGGAACAAAAGAAGGAACAAAAAGTAAAAGAAAAGAAAATATGCAAACTTTTAGTCAACATTTAAGAATCTCAGTTCCTCTTTTTTTTAAAAAAGCATAAGCTTCTAGCTCTCTTGGTGACAGAGGTAACCAGGGAATGTTATGGGAGGGTGAAAAAGAATGCTGGAAGCAAAGAAGCACATGAAGAGAACCCCAAATTCACAAAAGGGTTAGGCAGGACCAAAGACAAGCATGGAAACCACATGATGTCCACTCATCCTTTAGGAATCCTACTTATCACACTCATTTATTATTACATTTATACCCCACTTTTCCCCCAAGGAACGGCATACATAGTTCTCCCAGTTCCCATCTTATCCTCACAACAAGCCTGTTTGGTAGAATAGGTGGAATGTCTCGCCCAAGGTGGGGTTGCCATATTTCTGGAATTTCCTGGACACACATGGAATTCCGTGGTTGGAAGCAGCGGAAATTGGCAATATGTCCAGCAAAACCCGGACATATGGCAACCCATGTCAGCAGTGCCGTTTTTGACGATTTTACTTTGGTTCAATAGCTATTTTGTCCAGATTTTCACTTTTTGCAATATGGCATCCCTAGGTCACCCAGCGAACTTTATGTTAGAGTGGGGACTGAACCCTGGTTGCTAGTTCTACACGAACTACTAGATGTATCTTGCCACTCCTCCAATGAGCTCAGGGGAGCATACATGAGACTTGTCTCTTTTAGATTTCCATCAGTGCTGTAGTAGGGGTTAGGCACCAGTGGGAGCTTCTCTCTTTTTTTGCCAGTAATTGCAGCAAGGAGGGGTACAAATTTTGTTACTCTTATGGCAGGGGAGGAACATTTACTGAGAAATACTGTTGCTTCCATCTGATTTGAAAACTTAAGCCACAGGAAAGCTGAGGTGTGTACATGCAAGATAACTGTTACACATGCATAGATTTCATCTTTTCCACCGTGCTAGTAAAGATAGGCAAGTTCAGCCTTTTGTTTATTTTTCTTTTGATCCCTTAGATTTGCAAAAACTGCAGAAGCTGTTTTGCACACTTTTGGGGAGGGTTTTTTTTTTTAAGGGTGCATGGGCAGCTATCTGCAAGCATGCCCTGTCAGTACTGCTATTGGCAGAATAGCAGGCGGGCATAAATGCAAAAGGGAACGTGGGAAAGACCAAAGTTGCTTCTCAGATACAAATTCGAATTCGTGAGGGTGTGAACTCCTCCAATCTAATTCAAATTGTGGGTGGGGAAAATATGGATTAATTGCTAAATAATGCTGAAATGTGGACAAGTCCCTTGTTCAAGCCCTTCTGAGATTCTCTCAAGTCATTTTTGCCACATGTAGGTATTGTTTATTAAGAGTATGGATAAAGTTATATTTTAGGGTGAGTATACAGTCTAAGATAGGATTTCTATTAAGCTGTAGACCCATTTATGCAAAGATTGATTTATATATCTCATATTGAAAAATTGGGTATCACAATGATAGAGATGAGGGCACCACTACCCATCACTTTGGGGTAGATGTTCAGGGTCCCACTCAGCAGAATGAGCAGGAGGGCTCCCAAATGCAACAGGGGTTTTACCACTTTTTGAAGTTTTTGTTGATGTTGTTTAGTCATTTAGTCGTGTCCAACTCTTTGTGACCCCATGGACCAGAGCATGCCAGGCACTCCTGTCTTCCACTGCCTCCCGCAGTTTGGTCAAACTCATGCTGGTAGCTTTGAGAACACTGTCCAACCATCTTGTCTTCTGTCGTCCCCTTCTCCTTGTGCCCTCCATCTTTCCCAACATCAGGGTCTTTTCCAGGGAGTCTTCTCTTCTCATGAGGTGGCCAAAGTCTTGGAGCCTCAGCTTCAGGATCTGCTTTTTGAAGTAGGTGAGGTAAATAGCATTACCATCTGAAGAGGCTCCTGTTTGCATCAGTGGCAGACTTTACACTCTCAAATTTCAGCGGCACCCTGTGCAATGCTAACATCCTGCACCCCCTTGCCTCCTGAACTCCGTTCTACAACAACACTGTTGTGGTGCTCCCTGCAGTGTGGCACCCAGTGTGACCGAACCAGTCACACAACCCTAAAACCACCTCATACTGTAAGACCACTCAATCCAGAGTCTAATTTTAGGATGCTTACAGATAGATGCTATGCCAGCTTGCTAATTTGGATACACATCCGAGATCAACTGTCAGGTAGACTTCTGGTACTATAGTACAACACACACACAGGAACTGACTTTCACACGCAAACACACCATGAGAAATGGTTCTCAAGCAGCTGCCTGTGTTTGTAGGACCAGTTGATACTGCAGAGAGCTTTCTTCACTTGTATTCTGTTTAGCTCCAAGGAAATGGGGCTTTAGGTGCCCAGCAGTGAAATTCCAGTCAGCAGAATCAATGCCATACCTGCCAATGTTAAAAATTCTAAGAGAGGTAGGGCTGGAGCTACTTTTGCTAACTCAGGAGATTCTAACCTATGAACCATGTTGTAAATAATGGCTAGGCAAACTAAGGCCCGGGGGCCAGATCCGGCCCAATCGCCTTCTCAATCCAGCCCGCAGACGGTCCGAGAACCAGCGTTTTTTTACATGAGTAGAATGTGTCCTTTTATTTAAAATTAATCTCTGGGTTATTTGCGGGGCATAGGAATTCATTCTTTCTTTCTTTTTCAAAATATAGTCTGCCCCCCCACAAGGTCTAAGGGACAGTGGACCGGCCCCCTGCTGAAAAAGTTTGCTGACCCCAGTATTTGCATTTACTCAGATTTAATCCCTGAATCATGTAAAGGCAAAGTAAAAAAGACTTCCTTCATTATCACATTTTAAGGCTGAAAAATAGTTTGAGATGTATTTATGTCTGCTCAGTTTGTCAGTTCTAACATTTGCTGCTTACTTCCTGAGTGGTGGAAATATAAAAGTAGCAGAATGAACTGCTGTTAAATGCTGAGCAGCAATAAAAGCAGCTAATTTTCCCCAATAGGTTCTCAACAATTTTGAGCTTTTTTAAAGGAAACCACTGAAATTATTAAGCTGCTTTTTTAAAAAACAAAAATGCTAAAAAAACGTGATTTTTCAATTGATTTGCCTATGATCCAGGACAAAGTGCTGCCTTTCAGAAATTTCCCCTCAACGTGAATTCCGCCTTTGAAATCCCGATAATGTCTCTAAAAATCCGGATGTATGGCAGCCCTAACTTAGTAAAGAGTTTGATCTAGCAGCTCAGCTCTTGAAAACTTCCTGGTTACCTTTGATAAGGTAAGGGCTGAATCAATAGGAGTATAGCATCTAGATCAAGGGAAGTAATAGTGCCACTGTATTCTGCTCTGGTCAGACCTCACCTGGAGTACTGTGTCCAGTTCTGGGCACCACAGTTCAAGAAGGACACTGACAAACTGGAACCTGTCCAGAGGAGGGCAACCAAAATGGTCAAAGGCCTGGAAACGATGCCTTATGAGGAACGGCTAAGGGAGCTGGGCATGTTTAGCCTGGAGAAGAGGAGGTTAAGGGGTGATATGATAGCCATGTTCAAATATATAAAAGGATGTCACATAGAGGAGGGAGAAAGGTTGTTTTCTGCTGCTCCAGAGAAGTGGACACGGAGCAATGGATCCAAACTACAAGAAAGAAGATTCCACCTAAACATTAGGAAGAACTTCCTGACAGTAAGAGCTGTTTGACAGTGGAATTTGCTGCCAAGGAGTGTGGTGGAGTCTCCTTCTTTGGAGGTCTTTAAGCAGAGGTTTGACAACCATATGTCAGGAGTGCTCTGATGGTGTTTTCTGCTTGGCAGAGGGTTGGACTCAATGGACCCTTGTGGTCTCTTCCAACTCTATGATTCTATGATTCTATGATTCTATGATACTTAGCTTTTGCAAAACTTATGTTGGATTTAAGAGGAGTCAAGAGACGCTGCCATTTCCATTTTTAAAAGACAAAACATAAACCATCCTACAGTTTTTTGCATTATTCCACCTATAAAACTCTCTTACAAAGAACCCTACGATACCAGTGTCACTGTTAGAACAATTCTTGCAAGCATATCTTGTGCATCTTAATTGTTAGGCGCATCCTTTAGAAAACCTTAGCAAGGGAATAAATAATTTGTAGTCCATTAGATGAAACCAGTGAAAAGAAATGTAAATTACAGACGGAGGAGGTGGTGGTGAATGGAATTCAAAAGCTTCAGGGAGCAACCTCAGCTCTAATCTACAGTAGTTTACTGCCTGAAGGGATGAAAGATGGTAGGTAATGCAATGAAGCCAAAGATTATTCATAAAGCGTCAGAAGAAAGAAACTCATGTGTATCACATTGCCTCAGCAGCAGGTGGCTGAAAATGGCTTCTGTATATGGCTGAAATGCAACAGTGGTTCAAGGGAATTGGTAATGCTTCATATTGACATCACTGGACCCTTAACAGCAGTGCTTTAAAATATCCTTGGAGAAAAGGAAAAAACTTTTGAGACTGGAGTGCAGGGATTTCCTGGGCCTGTTGCACTGTCTGGATTGGACCCCCTGCATCCACTTGCCCCAGCAATCTGTTGACAAGAACTGCAACTTGAGTACATATATTAACTCAGCCAAGTCAACCTCACAGGACTATTGTACATATAAAAGGGGGAAGGTGGGTAAATGTACACAGATTTGGTGGAAAGGCAACATACAAATATATGCCACTCAGAACGCTGTTAAACTATTAAATACACTCCCGCAGGAAGTAGGCAGAAACAGAAATACTGAGCTGGGAAGCTGGACACCAGGTTTCCATTCCCACATCTGGGAGATTAAGTCTGACAGTGGCTGCATATCTACATGCGTATCTACTCAGAAGTTAGCTCTATGGGTAACGATGTTTAGGATTCCAGTTTAATTGTTGCAGCAGGGAAGACGAGGAGTCTTGAGAAGCTAAGATGGCTCTTTAGGCAACTCACTTACTGCCTCCCCCCATAACACAGTTTCCTCATCTGTAAAGGCCCATTGTACTAAATTAAAATAGCTTGAGAGTCCTTTGAACTCCTCCCATGCCAGGTGGCATTTATACAAAAAGCATTAATAGAAAGCACCGTCTTTAGTTCTTAGTATAACCACAGAGTAAGCAGAAGACCCTCGTCTTTCCTGTTTCGTGTGCATATAAAAAATACATTTGCCTTCAATATATCTCATAGTTAGCTCTCAGTTGTGAAGAATGTTATGGAAGGCAGAGGAATCAGCAGCATGCCAAATGATAAACACTGCTTGCTGCCAGCATAGGACTTGAGATGGTACTCTGCGCAGACCAGTGTCACCACTGGGTAGCAGGGGTAGTAGGGTGCCTAAATGTCTCAACCTGTATGCTAATGCCAAAAAACACCCTCTAAAGCAGGGGTAGGCAACCGAAGGCCCAGGGGCTGGATGCGGCCCAATCACCTTCTAAATCCAGCCCACGGACGGTCCAGGAATTAGCATGTTTTTACATGGGTAGAATGTGTCCTTTTATTTAAAATGCATCTCTGGGTTATTTGTGGGGCATAGGAATTCGTTCTTTCCCCCAAAAAAATATAGTTCGGCCCACCACATGGTGAAAAAGGTTGCTGACCCCTGCTCGAAAGTATGTTGAATGAAAGCCACAAATCCTCGGTGTGATTTAGCAACTTGACTTCTGTGCTATCTAGCATGCACTTTTGGAAAAAGATGGGGAACAGAGAGAGCACTAACTTACGTTTTGCCCAGAGGTCACAATTACGGGATGAGTGTTCTTAAAGTTGCCTAAAAAGGTAAAGGTAAAGGATCCCTGACAGTTGAGTCCAGTTGCAGACGACTCTGGGGTTGTGGCGCTCATCTCGCTTTACAGGCCGAGGGAGCAGGCGTTTGTCCCCAGACAGTTTTTGTGGGTCATGTGGCCAGCATGACTAAGCTGCTTCTGGTGCAATGGAACACCGAAACCAGAGCAGCACACGGAAACACCGTTTAACCTCCCGCCAGAGTGGTACCTATTTATCTACTTGCATTTTTGGCGTGCTTTTGAACTGCTAGGCTGGCAGGAGCTGGGACTGAGCAACGGGAGCAATGGGAGCTCATCCCGTCGTGGGGATTCAAACCACCGACCTTCTGATCGGCAAGCCCAAGAAGCTCAGTAGTTTAGACCACAGCACCACCCGTGTCCCTTAAAGTTGCCTAGCAAGCACCAAAAATGGGTTGGGGGATGGGGATGGACCAGACTACCACTATGGCCTGCTGTACACATGCATGATTTCCTTACATTAGATAACTGTGCCAGCTGACTCCACTGAAAACCATGCACCAGGTGAAAAGGTTGTTTTTGACACATTTGCACATGGAAGTCATCACCAAATGTGGCAGTTATCAAGTCCTGAACATGCATACCATTGTGTAAACTAGGCCTGTGGCTTCTGTATTACTTACCAGAAAAGGTACTAAATGAGAGAGAACTCCAATACTGTGTTGCCTGTGTTGCAACCACAAGTAACCATGGCACAGCATGCACATCAGAGCATCACTGTGGCCCAGTAATCACCACTGAGAACAAGCACTGGTGCAGAGAGCTTCTATGACTGCTTCCAGACTTTTACTGTTTTGTGGATATGCTTCAATACTATATCAGCACATTTAGACAGCATGATTAAAGCGGATTTAATGCTCTTGGCTGCCTCCCCAAAAGACAAGCCACAGAATGGCTAGAAGTGATAACCTCCATGAAGATAAATCAGAACAAATGTTCAGTACATGGTGATCTTCTCACTCTGCACACAATGTTTTTCAATGGAGCCAGCTGGCAGGTATAACCTGTGCCCAAATTGTGTGCTAACAAATGAGGATGAATGCTCAGTAAACAGGTCATCCAGAATCACCCTCTGTTGTCTGGCAAGCCTGCACTGACAATGAGAACTACAAGACACTGTCACAAAGCATATTTGAAGCCTGTCCGCTACAGTGGGGAGTGTAGGGAGAAGACAGAATACTGATATCATTTGTGTTGCCTACATTGAAAAGAGGGATTGGGTACCACAAAATCTTGGTGTGGACTGGCAACCACCACTGGAAATCATATGATAGTCCTCATCTGTGCTTTAAAATGACACTAGATCTAATATCAGATCACTGAATAGGCAAACAAATTTAAATTTTGTGAATCATTCAAATCCTCAGTTATTATACTGTATGTTCTGTCCCTAGCTCTCTGTATCCTAAAGAAAGTATCTGCTTAGATCCCATGAGTAACTTTGGAGCTGCGGTTTTAGATTTTTTATTCACACTTTTGAAGTCAAACTTAATGCATCTTCCAATATTTTTATTGGCATTTCCGGTGCCTGTTTGTGGGTTTTAATAACAGATCTCATAAGGGTTTTACCATCTCCCCGATGGAAAGGTATAATCTTTTAGCTGTTGGTCAAAGGCTAGGTGAAGCTGGAAATGGGATTTTGCCAAAGCAATGCAAGAGCGTTTGGGAATCATTCATGGAACTCAGTGCAAGTTTTAGAAGCAATAAGAATTATCTGAGCTAGAAAAGGATTAAAGGAATTAGGCAAATTTGTCTCAGGAATCACTAACAGAGGCTGGGAACCAAAGTCTGTCGGCCAAGTACTTTAGAGCCAATCTCCCCTGGCTCAGCCATTCTGGACCCTGACAATCCGAGTGGGAATATAACCAAAACCTAATTCATTTAATAAGGATAGCTGCTGAAAAACACCCTTTAACTAGTCCTTTTGTGCACATACATACTCTTTAAAAAACCATGTCCGTCCGTCCGTCCCCCCAGCTCTTCAAGTGCACGTATATTAATATTTATGTATGTGTTAGCAAATCCAGAATATAAAGGATTGGAAATGCTCCACAATGCAATAAATAAAACTTTAAAAGAAAATAAATCAGCCTTCATGTGGCATTTCTTTTCCCACCTAGTCCCAGCTCCTAAATCAGGAAGCAAATGTCGTAACAACCATGTCCCTTTGGTCTTGTGGTGGTGGCAGCCCAAATGTGTACCCCTGTCAATCCTTGAGTGTGCTTCTAATGCGGAAGTTATGGTAACCTATTCCTTTATGAAACTGCTGATTTTGCAAGTTACCGCCCCCATTGGGACAGAAATACAGCTAATATGTGAATCACAAAGATACAGCTCAAAGCTAGAACATAAGTTGCTACATGGTGCAAATGGCTACACGTAACACAGGTTCCCAACATGCACACTAACACAATGTAACAGGACACAGTGGGAATCAAAACTTAATCAGCAGAAATTGCCAGTGCTTATTGCGCATGTGTATTTAACGTGAAATGTGGTAATGATGTTTATGTTCGGTGAAAATTGAAATGCTTTGTTTGAAACTTTATAAATACCACTGCCTGGACCACTGGGCAGGGTTGCAGTTTTGCGGAATGATCCGACTGTAACCTATTGCTTTGCAATAAACAACGTTGGACTCCTAACTCCTCACGTTTCTGAGTTTTTATTGGCTTAAACTCAGAAGATAAGCTATTTTTGACTTACAACTTTCTCACTGGGATTCTTAGATCTGGCAAGTCAAACCCAAGGGTGGGGCGACTGTACACACAAGATTGTACCCTTGTATTCGGTTTCAATTTTTTCTAAAACATCTCAGCGCTCCTTGTTTCACATGAACCATAACTAACACAAATCATGTTCAAATTCACGTATATGCACACTCTGAAAAGCCGCTGTTGTACTACCCTGATAGTGATTGTAAGAGGTTCGGTGAAAAAAAAGTTAAGAGGGTAATTCATATTTTATAACCTTGTATGTCCTATGATTTCAGAGGCCCCTCCCCCATTCCCATCTCAACCACTAGGCACTACCCCTTTAAACTGTTCATAAAGGATATGGATTCAGGGGATGAGCACTGAGGTAGCCAAGTTTTGCAGATGGTAAGGTAAAGGGACCCCTGACCATTACGTCCAGTCGTGGCCGACTCTGGGGTTGCGGCGCTCATCTCGCTTTATTGGCTGAGGGAGCCGGCATACAGCTTCCGGGTCATGTGGCCAGCATGACTAAGCCGCTTCTGGTGAACCAGAGCAGCTCACAGAAACGCCGTTTACCTTCCCGCCAGAGCGGTACCTATTTATCTACTTGAACTTTGACTTGCTTTCAAACTGCTAGGTTGGCAGGAGCAGAGACCAAGCAACGGGAGCTCATCCCATGGCAGGGATTCGAACCGCCAACCTTCTGATCGGCAAGTTCTAGGCTCTGTGGTTTAACCCACACCGCCACCTGCATCCTTTGCAGATGGTATCAATTATTTAAAAATTTGAAACATTTCTGCAGATTTATGTTTCTTCCAATTCAGTCGTAAAACGGCAGGTTTTCTCGGGGAAAGTGGTGGAACAAAAGAAAAACCTATCAGACCTGTGCCTAGAAATCATAGGACAGATTAAATTGCAGTACAAATGGAAGTTTGAATGAGCTCCCAGTGAGGTTGTTTCCTCGCTGCTGCACTTCAAGTTGCATTTTTATGTTGCTGTACACACCAAAGAAAGGGTGGGGATGTCTTCACCTGATGCACATTATCTGATTTGTTTGCCTACACTTGCTTTCAAACGCCTATTCAATGTGCTGTCAACTGTTGTTTGCTTTGTTTATATGCCACTGTGATTGCTATTATAGCGTTTGCAATGTTTCTTGTTTTTTTAAAAAAATGCTATTGTGATTTTTGTGAGCCTCTTTGAGCTCAACATTTGTTGTTGGAAAAGCAGAATATAAATATTAATCAAATCAAATTAGTGTGAAAGACACAGAAAAGAGCAACCAGAATAATCAAGGGGTCGCAACACTTTCCCTTTAAAGCTTAAGAAGAAACAGAAGGAAAAAAGTATAGAAGGGTATAGAAATAACAGGCACTTTATGGAATATGAGATCCCCTCTCTTATTGTAATGCTAAAACTTGGGCTCATGCAATGAAATTGAGACACAGTAGGGATGCCATCAGACTGTCACTATTTTTCAGGAGGGATTCAAGCACATACTAGCACTTTAGGTTTTTGCAATTGAAGTGGATTAAAGGGTTCTGCCACTCTAGTACAACAAATCTAGTTTAAAAAAGAATAGGATTTTTTGCAGTTTGGAACATGCATTGAAAAAAAGTGGGGTGAAGGAAGTACTAACAGGAATTTATATAAACAACCTACAAGTAAATTGGGGTGACTGCAGGACAAGTGCTTTGCAAGCAAATCAATATGGATGCTCAATAAACAAGTTGCCTGGAGTGGCCCTAAGTTCAGAACAGAGAAAAATAATTTCTATGTTACACATAATAATAGATAGAAATTAGTGGCCACCACCACATTCTCCGATAGTGAATTCTATCACTTTTTAAAGAGAGAGATGCATGAAATATAGGTTTATCAGCAGCTATTAGTCATAGTAGGGACGCGGGTGACGCTGTGAGTTAAACCACAGAGCCTAGGACTTGCCGATCAGAAGGCCGGCGGTTCAAATCCCCACGACGAGGTGAGCTCCCGTTGCTCGGTCCCTGCTCCTGCCAACCTAGCAGTTCGAAAGCACATCAAAGTGCAAGTAGATAAATAGGTACCACTCCAGCGGGAAGGTAAACGGCGCTGCTCTGGTTCGCCAGAAGCGGCTTAGTCATGCTGGCCACATGACCCGGAAGCTGTACGCTGGCTCCCTCGGCTAATAAAGCGAGATAAGCGCCACAACCCCAGAGTCGGCCGCGACTAGACCTAATGGTCAGGGGTCCCTTTACCTTTACCTATTAGTCATAGTAGCAAAATGGAGCCTTCGTGTTCAAAGCTCATGTACCACTAAATAACAAGGGGCTCAAGAGATACAACAGTAATGGCTGTTGCCCTTTTCATAGGATTCCTGGAGGTTGGTCTCTGTTGATAACAGGATCCTGGACTGTCTCATCCCTGTTCTAATCCAGCAGAGCTCTGCTTATGTTGTTGCAAAGCCACAACTGAAACCTACTCAGAGGATATAACTGCAAGGTTCTCGCACGCCACTTCTGTTAAGTGCTTTGATACAAAATCCTTGTGGCTGCTGTGGGGTGGATGGAGGGAGAGTATGCAGGGAAGGGAGGAGGGACAGCTGCCAAGGCCCAATTTAAAGGACCAACGTTTTTCGAGAGTCGCGCCCGGCTGCCGGGGAGTGAGTAAGCCAAGGGAGCGGGTGCATGAGCAGGAGGAGAAGGTAATTAAAGAGGGAGGCACTAGCCACAGCAAGTTCCCACAAATGAAGGCCCCGGGGCTGTAGACACCAAACAACAAAGGACCAAGCAATTATTTGGCTCCAGTGGAAGGTGCTGGTCCCAGCGAGGAGCTGGTTTTAGCTGGCCACCCTGGGGCAATGCTGAGGTTTGGCGGTGAGTGTGTGTGTGCGTGCTTGGCTACGCAGCAGGGCCGTACACAAGTACCCTGTCTACTGTGGGTCCCTCTGCAGCAGCAACCCAATTAGAAGAAGGAGGTGCCCCAAACTCCACACCATACGAAGGGCATTCTGAAGGCCTCCAGGGTGTTTGCAAATCCACTGCAAGCTCCCAGTCAAATAGATTTGGCGTTTTTAATTGTACAAACTTGCGTGCGGCAGCAGTACCTTGGGGGGGGGGGGGGATGGGGATGGGACAGCAACTTTAGCACCTGTTTTATACACGTTCTGTTTTTACCTTAGATCTCACCCTATATTTTAAATTATCTGCATCACCATATACTTAAAACCCTTCTGCCAAATGCATGTAGCTTGGCCTAAGCGGCCTAATGGGCAAGATGGACTAATTAGCCCCCCACCTGCTGTAAATATATGCAAGGAGCACCTTCTCCAATACCAGCCATTGGTGGGTGGGAATCTGCCCATAGTACTGGCGAGGAATCCTGATGAGGGGATATATAGAAGATTATTCTCTTAATAGGGCCCTGACTTTGGAATGATCTCCATCTGGAGTTACATCTGCCTCACATGTTACTGGTTTTCAGATGTCAATTTAGGGTGTTTTTTATTTACTCAGGCTTCTGCGGTTTGATGATGAAGAATTGTATTCATTTTCATATTGAGACGTTTAATCCTTAGCAGCAAAACGGGAGCCTGGGTTTTAATGGTTTTGTTCTTTAATTTTTAGCCTGCATGTGTTTTTATTGAGGTTTGGTGTATTTTGCTTTTGTTCTTCTTGTACATTGTTCTGGTTTCCTTTTTGAGGAAGGGTGATTTGTGACTATCCTAAATGAGTAAAAAATGTACATGAACCACCTGCCCCTCTGCAATTGCTTTGGATGATACATTCCAAAAAATCCTTCTTAGAACCAAATCTCATTCTTCTGCAGGTTTTTGGGCCTCACACACACTCATATTTATATAGGCCTAGAAAAATATAACATGGAAGCAGCGATGTATGATAGTACAAATGGGCAGGTGCATAAAATGAGAAATCTCAGTACAAGTTGGAAAACCCTGTGTCACCCCCCACCCTTAATTGCTGGTGTGTGGGTAAACTCTCTCTAATAGCTACTGGCACAGAGGTTACGTAACGTCACAACTGCAACACTGCCTCAGTTCCCCACATGTACATAGCAAACTGTTTTTACCCCAAAAGCCTTCAGGCAGAGCAACCATTCCTAGGATCCATCTACACTATACATTTAAAGCAGAATGGTTTGACGAGCAATCCCTTTCCCCAGGAAACTCTGAGAATTGCAGCTCTGTGAGGGGAATAGGCGTCTCCTCTAACAACCCTTAACAAACTACAGTTCCCAGGATTCCTTGGGCAAAGAAATGACTGACTGAAATGATATGCTACTGTTTCAAATGTATAGTACAAATGAAGCCCTAAACACAGCTAGGCCATGATAACAGCATGCCTGTGATATTGTTATTCATAAAATTATTGTAGCTTTTCATATGCAATAGATTTGAACCTGACTTAATTATAATGGCTTCCTTAATGCTGGTCATTGAGCATAATAATAAAGATTTGATTTGATAACGGCTTCCTCCAAGGAACTCGCGGGGATCCGGTGGCGGGAGATTCAGGATGGATGGAAGGAAATGTTTCTTTATGCAGCTCATCGTTGAACTGTGGAACTCCCTCCCACAAGAGACAGTGATGGCCACCAACTTGGACAGCATTCAAAGAGGACCGGACAGATTCATGGAGGAAGAGAGGGCTATTGATGGCTGCTAGCCAGTTGCCGGAAATCGCAGGAGGAGAGCATGTGTTTGTGGTTAAATCCCTCTGGAGCAGGCAGGTCTTCCTGTTATATACCTGCTGGGATTGACAAGGCATATGACCCTCACCTGAATCTCATAGCTCTCCTGACAGGTGATTTGGTCTGCATTCTATAATTCAAATTAGGCCCCAGTGTTTTTCTTACAATCCCCTTCTCAATGAATTAATCAATTTTAATGTAGCATGTAAATTCTCAAAACTTTATTATTTGTTAATTTGAGAAACTACTGCTCTCACTTCATTACAAACAGTATTTCTACCTGCAACACACTTGAGCAAACCTGCTCCTCTTCCTTTCACAGATATTTCGTTTCCATTTGCAACTGTCGCTGCCTCTGATGAGTTATCATTTAACTCTTTGCGGGGAATTAGCATCAGACGTCATGTGCATGGAAGTTGCCAAATCAATTAACCAACTAGAAGGATTACTGTTTATAGCACCAATTTTCCTATAACTTGATATTGCTGGATAGTTCTGATGAACTGCAAAAGCATTTTTAGTTTGCTTTCTGTTGCCACCCTGGAACTTTTCGTTATTAGTGCCACTTTGTTTTGTACGATTCCTTGCAAATGAAGGAAAACAACTTTTCTGCTTGTATATGTTGATAATATACCGGTAATTTTGATTACTGAGAACAAACAAGATTGTACAAAAACAAGATTGGGTGCAGGCCTGGCCAGGACATAGGGATCCTGCAACAAAAGTGACCTGTGTGCTTGCTTGCTTGCTTGCTTGCTTGCTTAACAGCTGTTGGGAACTTCAAGGTCCCTGCTCTCCCTTCTTATGGTCTTTATATTGGACCTGGAGACTCCATTAGAGAGCATTCCATGTCAAGAAGGAGGGCAAGTGGGCATCCTATCAAATGGCAGAGCAGGAGCTACATGGAGCAGGGCTCTTCCCAGACCTGCTCTCTTTTGGCCTGTATTTTGGAGCTTTATAATTTAGGAAGACTTTGGAAGAACTGGTTGACAAGTCTTATCAGCCACTGACATATGAGCAGATTTTATTTGCTGCTATTCTGGGCTCCTTGGTTTACACTAGTGTAATAGAGTTGGCCAGGACACCAGAAGGGATACAATTTACAAGCTTTCTCCATTATCTGCACAGCAGGGGGTGTTTAGTCAACAGTGCAAAGGCTGAGCTGAAGCGTTTCCTGCTGGTTACCTGCTTTCAGCAATAGGGGTCGCTGTTTGGTAGTACCCGATTGGTTAGCTATCAGATTTTACAGCTCCCTACTGGTGGCTCTTAGGTAATTCCAAAAATACCAAGTCCATTAATAAAACACAGTGTTCATTTATAAAGCAGTAACATAAATCTCCATTGATACATATTGGGTGTGTATGTCAGCTGTTGAATGTACAGGTTTATGGCCATGCTGTAGTGTAGTGCTTATGCAACTGTGAATAAAAGGTGGCTGGGTTCATCGTCCCAGGGTTTGTGGGGAGGAGGTGACAAAACTGATTTCTAGTAAGTGCCCCTCCTTTATTTCCATAACAAGTCCTTGAGTCTGTACTCTGAATAGTGACACCAGGGACCTAGGAGGTGCAGGGCTTGTCAGTCCAAACCCTGCACAGTCTCATCAGGGTTGACCTTAAGGCAATTGGAGCAACTGGGCCAAATTGGGCCCTGCGGGCTGCTCCTAAAGGGCCCCCTGCACCAGAGCAATCTAGATGGATTTTATTTATACAGTGGTGCCTCGCAAGACGAAATTAATTCGTTCTGCGAGTTTTTTCGTCTTGCGAATTTTTTGTCTTGCGAAGCATGGTTTCCCATATGAATGCAGTTTTAAGAAAAAGGAAACAAACTTGCAAGACGTTTTCGTCTTGCGAAGCAAGCCCATTGGGAAATTCGTCTTGCGAAGCAACTCAAAAAAACAAAAACTCTTTCGTCTTGCGAGTTTTTCGTCTTGCGAGTTTTTCGTCTTGCGAGGTACCACTGTATCTCTAAGATTTTGCAGACTTTGGCTGTGAACTGGAGCCCTACAAAAAAACAAACACCTAAAGCTGGGCCCCACTTCTTCAAATTGGGCCCCACTGGCTAGCCCTGAGTATCATAGTTGCTGGGACTGAGTTGCCCTCCCCTTGCATGAAGTCTTGGGTTTGCAATTTTGGGAGAGGGGAGGTTGCCTGCTGGGGAGCAGACAGGCTGGCGAGGCCCCCTAGATTTAGAGGCCCTAAGGCTTCAGCCTACTTAGCCTATACATAAATCTGGCACTGGATACCCCTTCCCCATTCCATGTATGGATGCTGACTGGCCCGACAGTCAAATTTTACTTCCAACACTGGCAATGAGATAGTGTCCTACCATGCACCAGAGGGATGCAGCCGAGTTTATAGGGTGCCAGAGATGTGTGGCACACACAGCTTTGCTCCCCCAAAGTGAGGAATAGTCCCCAAAAGAGTAGAAATGACTGCGGGTGGGGGGGACAGGGTTACTGTCACTCCTAGCCTCTGGCATCTGTCTCCAGAGATGATTGCTTCATTTTGCCTAATGGTAGGGGTGGCCCTGTACTGTAGATATAACCCTAGATACCCTCACCACAGCTGAGCAACCTGGCTGAGGCCCGTGCTTGACAGCAAGAGAACCTCTTAAGGTTTTTACAAAAATATGAAACAAAGCATTAAAAAACCCCAGTTTTTTTAAAAAATCGAAAATTATTCAAATTAACAGTAGCTAAAATGAGATAAAACATGTAACTTCTACATGCCTGGACAGGCTTGCCTAAACAAAAGTGGTTTAAGCAGGTCAACAGGCTGCGAGTTCCAAAGTGTAGACGATGCCACATAAAAAAGATTAATTTATTACAAATGTGGAATAAGTATCACACACCACCTGCACCAGTTCCGCAAATCAAAGCGGTCAAGTGAATATATATATGGGGTAAAGCGATCCTGCAAGTAAACGTATTGCAAATAAATTTCCCAATCTTTCCGATATCTGTCACGGCAAACATGCTATAGAAATTATCCCTATAGCCACCATAAAGTTCAACTGCCCTCACAACAGCCTCAAGTGCTAATGGCCTAACCAAGATAGGCTACACTTGTTGCCATAGCAACTTGGCCTAGTCTTACCTCTGCTCCTTAAAAAGCTTGCCTTCATTACTCCCATCAGCAGCCTTACGCTCCTTCCATTGTTTGTTATAGCAAACCATATGAAATGGTACCATGTTATTGTTCATACTGTCCTCCCCTCAACCCCCACCCCACTTGGATACTCCTTATTTCTCTGTCAGCTTGCCCCCCTGGTTCCCGCCCCCCCCACTGCCGCCCTGCACAAGTCTGCTCAAGCAATTGAATATATTCCCTTTCCTCCCTCCATACCCCCCCTTCTCCCTCCCGGCTGAACGGAAGCCGAGACACAGACAGATAAACACAGGTGCGGGACAGAGTGAGCACTGGTTTATTTATGGTATGGAATCCACCCATGGCGACGGGATTCCTACATTACAGTCCCTAATCTGTCCAGTCGGAAGCCAAGTATCCCTTCATTCCATCTTAACTTTTGAGCCAAACAGGACAAAGAGGAGGGACAGCATCCTCCTCTGCCACCCCCAACACAACTGATGGGTTTCTTCCTCTTCTAAATCTCTCCCCAGCAAGCCTTTCCTTGTCTGTGTGGACTATTTATGTACAGACATTTGGAAACATGGAACTCTATTTGGAAAGAACTCTGTTTTGAAAGGCAGAATTGAAATCCCTAAATAGGTAAATGTGTCAAATGTTGATTAACGTCATTGACAACAAAGGTACTTGCAATAGGACACCATGAGGACATCTCCACTCCCCCTTTTGTGGCTTTGTAGAAGTTAAGAATATAAAAAGCTACTTTGAACTGAGGCAGACCACTGGTCTGGCAACCGCTCTTCAGTGTTTCAGACAAAGGTGGGGACTGAACCTAGGAACTTCTATATTAAAAGCAGTTGCTCTATCACTTTGCTATAACCCTTCCTCCAATGTTATTCTCTTGAGTTGGAGAGAGTGGTTTAAAAGGCATCTAAACAAAGACTCTGCCCAAAGGTACTCATATGATTAAAAACCATGTGCGGAAACAGTGCACAGAAACACAGTGCTTCCACACAAGGAGGCTGAGGCCAAGCCAATAACTCTCTCTCTCATTCATTGGCTTATTTCTATACAGTGGTACCTCGGTTTTTGAACATCTCGGAAGTTGAATGTTTTGGTTTTCAAACGCCCAAAACCCAGAAGTAAATGCTTCCGTTTTCAAACGCGCCTCAGAAGTTGAACGGCTTTTGCTGAGTTTCCCCCCAATTTTCTCTATTGAATTTGCAGACTGCCCTTTGCGCCTTGGTTTTCGAACGTTTTAGAAGTCAAACGGTCTTCTGGAATGGATTACTTTCGAAAACCGAGGTACCACTGTACTGCTTTTGGGACCAAAGGCCCCCACTTCACTCCAGAAGTGGATAACATAAGACCCTGGGAGCCAAATGTGGCCCTTCAAGCCTCTCTGTCTGCTTCTCTGCTCTCTCCCAAGCCATGCTTCTCGCCCACCTAACTCCCTATTTCCATCAGATAAATGTTGGAGGGTATGTATGCCCCACCACCTTGAGCACTTTGGACAGGCTGGAATGTGTCCCAGAGATGGGACAATGCCTCTTGCTTACATGAATGGATGACGGAGAGATGTGTGGGTGTGAAGAAGCCTCTGACGTTTTTGCACCTGGTCGTACAGGTGCATCATTCCTTGGCCCTGTCCACTCTGGCTCTGCCTACTAATGCTATGTATCTCTTGGAAAGTTGCCCACAAGGGAAGGTGGTCTGCAGGCTTTAAAAGTTTCCCCACCTGTACTTCACACATTGCTTGGTCTCCTATAGGCAAGCAACCCATGAAGGTATAGAACAGGTTGTACCTGAGGGGGAAAGGTGAAGCTCAGGTAGCCTTCCCATCAGCATGAAGGAGCAGCATCCTTTCTGCATTGCACACTGAAGAACTGTTGCCTTCAGCAGCGGCCCACCCCCAACCTGTCTCTACAGTGGCCTTTTGGCACATAGGAGGCCCTACCCTGTTCCCAATTGAGATCTTTATTCCCCACTTTGTTCCTGAGGTAGATCTTCACTCACCCCTTCTTCTCTGGCAGGAACATGGGCCGTTATGTAGTTTGCTTCAGGTGCCAAAATGTCTCGGGCCAATCCTGCCTAAAACTCAAATGTGGGTGCATAATGGAGCTTATGACAGTTAATACGTAATAAGGCATAATACTTTGCGTCTGCACAAAGTCACTCGCATGTGCCTGGCTGGTTACTTGCAGGTTCTGAGGCTGAGCTCTTGCAGTGAAGCTGAGCTCAAATACTTGGTTAGAAGACTTTTAGGCATGCTTAAATCGTTCCCAGTTTGAGAAATAAAAATGTGTTGGCCATGGAAGAAGTCACAGGAGCTATGCATGCAACCTCTTCCCCTACCCATCCATGGTCTACTGTCAGAGGACCAACCATTGCCACCTGCTGGTAATTTTCAACCTTGAGTTACTTTTTCTAATCAAGGTAAACAGGAGGTACAGATTCTTAATTATAAATTCGCCACTGGCTTTTCATTATGGGGCTTCTCTAGTCCTTTGCAAAACCAAGCCAGACCTAAGGCATGCCTGGAGGAAAACACAGCAATATCCTTTGAAAGGACTCACGCCTAACTTGATCTTATGGGTCAACTCCCCAACGTGCAAGGTCAGAATTAGGGGGTAGTTGCTACTTTTCTTCTGACAGGGCCTCTGCATCTTTAAAAACTGCATGAAATGCTAGTTTAGAGTGCTGCAACCAAAGTAATGGCTAGTGCTGGGTACAGGGAGAATGTGAGGAACCCCCCCCCCCCAACAACAGTGCAATTCTAACCATGCATACTCAGACAAAAGCCCAACTGGACTTCAGTGGGACTCACTCTCAGGGGTTAGCCAACTGCTTCACTAGCTACCAGTCCATTTCCAGGCTGGTTATGTTTTCACAGTTCAAAGTGCTGCTCATGTCCTACAACACCCTACAGGTGAGAATTGGTTTTAGCTAGCTACTTTTATTGTTTTATCTGTGTTGATTTTTGTTTTATTTTATTGCTTTATAGCATTTAATTAAATTGATTTGTATTATTGTTGTCATCTGCCTTGAACACCATGTGGTTAAAAAGTAGGATACAAGATTCCCAAATCAATTAAAACAAAAACAAAAACCAGAAGGTGTGTGGGGTTTGGCACACATATACAGGAAAGAGGGACAGAGAAAGGGTGTCTGATTTAGAATTTATTACCTGAAGCATAAAACAGAATAAATTCTGTTTTCACCTGGCCCCACTGGTCTATGGATTCTATGTGTTCTAGAAATGGTTGCAGCTGTGATGGAGCCATTTGTGGCAAAACCTGGTCTACTTCACTGAATCCTAGAAGCCTGGGCTGTGTACACACTATACCTTCAAAGGGCATTCAAAGCACATTCTTTCCCTCAAAGAATTCTGGGCTCTGTAGTTTATCCCTCACAGAGATACTATTCCCAACAACCCTTAAGAAACTACAGTGCCCAGAATTCTTTGAGGGAAACAATGTGTTTTGAATGTGGTTTAAAGGTATGTCTCTTTTGATCAGCCTTAGCACTCCAGGGCCCCATCCACAGATAGGTTATAATATTATAGACCTACCTAACAGGACTGTTGTAAGGTTCACTGAGATAACTGGTGCGAAATGCTTTGAAAATGCCAGTCCTGCAACCACCTTGGCTTCATCCAATCTCCTCCTTGTCTTCTGGCTTCTGCTTGCTTTGTCTCTTTCCAATGGTTATTGGGTTCAGGCATCAATCACAGTGTGCCTATGCAAGAAGAGATGACTCAATCGCTTTGTTTTACATGACAAAGGGGAGACAAGGCAGCGGAATACTAAAGGGAACTTGGGGTGTCTTAAAATTTAGACAAACACCAACAGACAACGCTTACTGCTTATGCGTATGATTTATTGTTTCAATAAACACCGAGAGACAACACTTGTTGCTTATGCATATGATTAGTTGCTTTAATAAAAGTATAATCTTACTTGCTCTGTAAGATAAACACAGCTGCTAAGAACTAAGGCTCCGATCTACATGGAACCTAGTCAGGAGAAGTCTGAGAATTCCTTCCTGCTTTTCATTCTCTCTTCCTCTCTTTTCCTGAACAAGTTTCTAGCCCTTAGGGTGGGAGAGGAAACCCCAAAACCATGTGAGCAATTTGAACAGAAAGCCGAGAAACCACAAGCGTTCCCTGCCGGCAGTTGCTTGGTCTGGAAGGTTTAATCCACTGCCAAATCATCATTTCCCTGGAATATTAAGCGAATTATTCCAAGATTGCTCCTTACCCAATCCTTTTATTTTAGTGGTTAGCAAGGGAGCTAGCTCTAGGCCTTGGAAGATCCCGGTGAAGTTCCACATTCTGCCGCCCATTTCCAAATGCAGCTGTGTATGTGCTGTCTTTAGTTGTTTTTCCCAGAAGAGCAACCACCCTAGTTTCAAGGGTTAAACGCAACAAATGCAATCTCTTGAATATGAAAATAGCAACCGGGATCTGCTGTACGAGGGTGGGGTGGGATTTAAGCTAGGGGTGGGAAGACTTCAAACTTGCAATAAATAATTCCTCCACTCCCTAGAACTCCAATTCCAACTAGCTGGAGCCAATGTGAAAGAGTTGCTTTGAAGGGCAGATACTGAAGGAGCAGGGCACTTCTGAGAATATAGCAGCCTAGAATTTTTTTGTTAGTGCCAGACCTGAGTTCACAGTCCTATCATACAAGAGTAGCCAAAATTTGTTGGTTCTGTTGTTAAACAACTGAGTCCTGCATGGAGTATTTTCCCTAGGATGGCCAGATGCAAGAAAGGACAGAGCTACTGCATCTTTTAACATTTGAGAAGAAGATGAAGGATCCTTCCAGTTGTCCTTTTTATTGTGCATTCATGATGTGTTGTGCTTATGAAAGTATCAGGACGGCCACATGGTTTGTGCCTGCAAAGTTTCTGAGGTGGTTGCACTGCTTATTTTCTAACCAGTGCATACCTTGTAACCTCCTACTGAAATCCCATAACTTTTTGCACCACAAATGTGCAGAGGAGGCCAACCAAGATGATCAAGGGTCTGGAAGCTAAGCCTTATGAGGAACGGTTGAAGGAGCTGGGTACATTTAGCCTGGAAAAGAGGAGGTTGAGAGGAGATACAATAACCATCTTCAAATATCTCAAGGCTGTCACGTGGAGATTGGAGCAAGCTTGTTTTCTCTTGCTCTGGAGGGTAGGGCTCAAGACAATGGCTTCAAGTCACAAGAAATTAGATTCCGACTGAACATCAGGAAAAACTTTCTGATAGTAAGAGCTGTTCGACAGTGGAACGGTCTCCCTCGGGAGGTTGTGGACTCTCCTTCCTTGGCCGTCTTAAAGCAGAATTTGGATGACCATCTGCCACTGATATTTTAGTTGAGATTCCTGCATTGCAGCGGCTTGAACTGGATGACCCTCGTGTTCCCTCCCAACTCTATCATTCTGTCTTTTGGTTTGTTTTTGTTCTGCGATTTGTTGCGCCACAGCTCCTCCGGACAGCAAGAATGAGGTAGCATTGGGGGAGCACCACAGAGCGAACTAAAGCAAAACAAGTCTGCTGCTAATGCACTGTTATCGTGTCAAGAAGATGTTGCAGAATACACACAACAGTACAACGCCAGTCTGAAGGTGCCCAGAATTCCAGTTGGTTCAGCAAGATACACCTGCTGAAATTCTCTTTTCTACACACCAATAAAATGTTCAGGAGCCCCGCCCTCTCTTGCATCCGACCACCTTAATTACATCCATTTATTCAAATTAAACAGCTCCCATCTTCCTATGCTATGATGGATGAGTGCGAAGGCACTGCAATAACTGACGAGCACTTGGGAAAGAACGACAAGTACATTTTCATTCATTAAAATAACTTGGGATAAGTTAACAACCCAGCCCTGTGCATAGCTACCCGGAAGTAAGTTCCCTTGTGTTATCTGAAGCCTTCTCTCATGTAACAGGACGGGAGCCTTAGGCTATAATAGGTGATGCCATTTGAGACTGGAATCCTGGAAGCCTACTACCTTTTTGAATGACCACCGCATATGATAAAATGCACCCACTTTATCTTTACACTTCCAGCACACATTAGATAAATTCTTACACATTTTTGCTGGCTTTCCTGGAGATAAATACCATCGGCTTCTGGGAAATGATTTATAATGAATTGAAGAAAATGTTTTAAAATGTTATAAAACCGGAGGCCTTTTTATTAGGAGTAACAGGTGAAGACTATTTATGTATGCAACTACTGTACAGCAGCAGGGATGCTACTTGCCCAGAAATGGAAAGAAGAGAAAGTTCCAACAAAGGAGGAATGGATAACTAAGATGATAAACTATGCCGAAATGGCAAAGATGACCGGGAAGATCCAGGATCAAGATGAAAAAAAGTTTATACAAGACTGGGCAAAATTTATAGAGTACCTTAAGGTTCACTGTAAAGATTTAAAAACAATAGCAGGATTGATATAACATCTATGAAGTAATGTGAATGATGGTTATAAATGGACTTGCATTTGAATGGAAAAGTTAAGATGTGTAAGGAAACAAAGGGGAGAAATTGGAATCCGGGGGGGGGGGGGGAGTCCAGAAGGGATAAATAACTAATTAGCTCTTAATTTGTGTTATGTTTAAAACTTTTTTTAAAAAAAATTCAAAAAAGAAAGAAAGATAGACTGGAATCCTGGAGTAGCTACAGCCAAAACCAAAGACAGTTGGAGCTAACTAATTCTCGTTTTTGTCCCATCTGCCTCTCTGGTGAGTTCTCAAAAGGCAAAACTGAGGATAAGGAGCCAGAAGTTGACCGCCAGAATGACCTATAGGAAGGCAGGTGAGGTCTGGCTGAGGGCAGACTGAGGTTGATGGAGCAGTGTTCCATTTAATAGATCAGCCTCCGCTAGTTTGCTGCACTTACAATTTTCATGTTTTGCACTGGCGATACAATTCTCTCCCTGCAGTGAACACTGGGCTTCTCCCTCGCAACATTTCTGCCTAGGGTACACCTTGGATAGAGCAAAAAGATCACCATTTCAGGTGTGTACGCAGCCACACAGTAAGCTGCGTGTCCCACTCCCCTACGATTATTTCAGAGATGCAATGACTCTCGTCTGGCCTGATAGCCAGCCGAGTCTCCCATGTAATTTGATAATTTACTGCAATTAAAGACTCGGAAAATATTTATAGCCAGCCCGAGATTTGCAGGGCCAGCCCTGTTCAGCCAAGCACACACCGCACTGCCCGGCAAGGAGAGAGCTTATTAATAAGAGACGCCATGTACAAAACGCAAAGGGGCAGGGTGCATGAGGTTGCCTGGCTTTTTATGGGTGAGCCTATGGAAAGCAGGGTGGGGAGAGATGACAGAACAGCAGCAGTTTGGTTCCAAAGATACTCAACTGATGGTATGGACCTGGGTTCATTATGGACTCAATGGGACAGCTTGAGTATAGTGAATCTCTCAAGCTTAGTTTCAATAATGCAAAGTAGGCCTGCATGCACATCATACGTTCAAAGCACACACACCCAAATCCTGGGAACTGCAGTTTGCACCTCAATGAACTACAATTCTCCGCACCCTTAATAAATTATTTGGGGGTGGGGAACGTGCTTTAAATGCGTGGTGTCTGAAAAGCCTTAGTTTCAATGAAGCAAAGTAAGGCTTTAAAATTGTTCTCCTTGAGGCTGGAAAACTAATCTCTCAAGAGTTTTCAGTACAAAGAAAAGTGGGGGTGGGAATCCCAGGCTGCCCCTATTGGCTGTAAAGTGGTGAGATTTCAGTTTCCTGTGACGGCTCAGTAGTTAATCTGTGCTTAATCACGGGAAGAATGAGCTGGCAAGAGGGTTTGATTATGTCACACTGAAATTACTCTTAAACCTTATGTACAACTGGTGACCATCTAAGAGACCACCAGTACCCAGAAGGGCTAACAGCGGCCTCTGCTGGCTGTTCTCGTTTGCAGGCAAAATTAAGAGCCCCCAAATGACCAGGGATCTGTTCTCCTCAAGACTTTGTATGCAATCCTAGTTCTTCTTTAAACTTTCTCGTTCTGTTTGTTTGAAGGAATACCCAGCTTTTAACAACAGCACTGTACTGAACGGTATATTTTGTGTGTTGATTTCCCTCCCCCCTCCCCCCTGCCCCCTTCAGAATTACATGTATCTGAAATGATGGCCATCTCTGGCTATTTGCTTGGGCAACTTGCGCCTTTGAGAGGAGCACCTTTAACCCTAGATGCCGTGGTAAGAGAAATGCAGTCTGTGCAGGGATGGTGACAGGATTTTGTGGGCTATGTACACTGCATGTGGATTGACACCCGCTGCCCTGCAATCTATTGGCAAGAACTTCTACATATATTAATTTAGCCAAGCCTACCTTACAGGGCTGCAAATATAAAAAGGGGAAGGGTAACATACACAGCCTTGATCTCTCTGGAGGAAAAACAGAATGCAAATCTATAATGCCGCCCATCTAAAGAATGCCAGAAAATCAGCTCCTTTTGGTTTAACTGCAACATTTTTTAGCCCCGATTCTTACAGCAAAATACCACCACCACCCAAAAACAGTTTGACAACCCTGATAAATGAAAACAAACAACAACAAAATATGTGCAGTTTTACGGATTTAGTATTTGCTCTATCATCTCTCAGCCGAGCATACTTCACTGGGCTGTCGTTGGGAGAAGGGAAACCCATTTGCACAGCCTTCGGGTCCTGGTGGGAGAGGCAAGATACAAATATATACTGCAGTGCCACTCATGTAAAGAAAAATAAATGTGCACAAGCTAGAAAAGTAGCTCCCTCTATTCTGATAATTTACAGAAAAATAGCAAAAGAAAACGAAAAGCTATCTAACACTGTGTATAATAATTCATTATCAAAACCAGTTGGTTAGTGCAGAACTATTTATTTAAAAACAAATATTAGTTTCCTTCCAAATAACAGCAGTAACATCTAAGTAAGCCCTACCTAATTGTTTTTAAAATCAGGATTGGGGGGGAGAGAGGGAGAAGGAATTAACAATACAATTATATATCTACTTAAAACAGCATAATCCTAACCATGTTTACTCAGAAGTAAGTCCCATTGAATTCAGTGAGGTTTACTCCAAGGTAAATGGGATTAGGACTGTAGCCTTTCTGCCAGAAAAGTGAGCACTGGATGCTGGGAAGGACCAAATTCAATATGAATCCCTGTTCAGCAACCCAGGACAAATTAAACTTGCATAACTCTTTATGTTTAGAAAATGACCATCAACACTCCAGTCTGAAATCCTGGACACAATACTGAGCTAATATGTGTATGTTGGGAACTGTAGTTTGCTCCTCACAGAGCTAAAATTCCATTCACACATACCAAACTACAGTTCCCAGGGTTCCTGTGTGGGGGTGGGGAATATGCTTTAAATGTAGATTGACCAAATGATCTGATGTTATAAGCAGGCTTTGCTAATTACTTAAGGTCTTGAGACAAATTTGCACACAATTTGCAAACGCTGTTTCATATGCATTAGCCTCTTGGCTAATTAAATGATGGGTAGCTGGGGTTTCGCCAGCACTGCGTTTTGCAGTTCACCCATCTGTCCTGTAAGCGAACTAATTAAAAAATTAATTATTATTTTTTTTTAGGAGAGGGAAAGGGGCAGGAGAGCCAGGGCCCGTTCCCAAAGATCTGAGGCTTGGGTCCCCTGGGCAAGCCTCTAATAATGCCCGCAGATATAAGACAGTTTCACATGTATATAAAACATGTACAGTACTGTATATAAAACAAGTTCTGGAGCTAAGCTCTGGTGAGCCTCCTGGCTCAGATCAAGGCAATGTGCGCATCATATATCTAGAGTACATTTAAAGTGCATGGCTTCTCCCCCCACCCCAAAAGAACCCTGGGAACTCTAGTTTATCCATCACAGTTACAATTTCCAGCAAACTACAGTTCCCACGATTCTTTGGGTGGAAGCCTTGTTTTAATATGTTTTGTTGTTTCTGTTTTAAGTATTTATTTGTGCTTTTTTATATTGTGTTTTTAATCTTGTGTTGAAGGGTGGTATATAAATTTTAATAAACAAACAAACAATAAATTTAAGGTGCAAGACCTGAACTTAGGTCTACACACTTTCTATGCTGCTCATCTCAGGGCATATAATATATACACCACAAATTTATTGGGAATTGTATATTGTGAAAGTTCTGAACCTCGTGTCGGATATCTGTTGGGCCCCCCTTGAAGGATATGCAGCCCCCGAATTCCCCAGAAAGAAGGGGAGACAGTTAAACCAGCTTCAGCCTGTAGCATATTCTCTGCTCTGCGATTCCAACGAACCTCTGCCTTGCCTTCCAGAAGTGCTTCAGGGCACTGGAGAAGATTTATTGCCCATGCGACTTCCTCCCCCTCGGGAAGGAGAAAGGGAGAGGCAAAGGGTTGGCAGCTCTGTGGGTGGGGTCAAATTTATAGCCCCTTGTGCAACAAGCAGAGGAAGAGGAATGTATCCCTCCTGGACTTCTCTGAAAGAATTTGGGGGCCAAAAGGGTCTTTAGGAGATATTTCACTTTTGGTGCACGTCCAATCCCACCCTACAATGAACCGTCAGCAGTGGAACTCCCCTCTGTTTTCTAGGCCCATATATAATAGCCTTCCCATGTTGTTCTTAAATGCAGAAGAGGAAGGATGTGGGCAGGTGGTGGTGGGAGATGTAACTATTTCAAAGGCCCCTTTTGCTTAACCCTCCTCCAGGTGCTGCGGCTCAGGAGCCTTTGAATCCAGGTATTTCCCCAGCTTGGGGAGGGGGAGAAACCTTAATCTGCCTCTGTTCCGCCCACAATACTGCGCCACATTTGAACTGTTTCCCTATTCAAGCACCTGTGTTTTTTTAAAAAACTGCAAGTTCACCAGTGTGGCATGAATGTTAAAATTTCCACTGTGACACGTTTTCCTGACTCCTGTACACCTTGCAAAACAGACAACGCTCTTTTCGAAGCGATGTTCCTCTACTCAGGTGGCATCCACAGTATACAATTTAAAGCACTTTTACATCTCTTTAGCAGTCATTGCTGCTCCCAAGGAACCCTGGGGGCCAATGTGGTTTGTGAAGGGTGCTGAGACTTGTGAGGGGAGGCACCTCACAGAACTACAAGGCCCAGCACCCTTAACAAGCTACAGCTCCATGAGGCAAGGTGAGGGGGCCACCTCTGGTTTCCTCCTACCCTCCCCCCAGATGTTGATCTTTATTACCCCCTTGTTCCTGACGCAGAACCTCACTCACCCCTTCTTCCCTGGCAGGGGGTGGCATTTTGTGGTTTGCCTCAGGCGCCAGAATGTCTTGGGCCGGCCCTGGCTCCCAGGATTTTGTGAGGGGAGCCATGATAATTAAAGTGGGAGAAGAGTGATTAAAGGTATTGGATGGATGCGACCTTATTTCTATGAAGAACATCCCCATGTAGTGTGAAGTGTTCTTGATGCTCTTGCACCCAGTAATTTCACAGGGACTTTGCAGAACTCTGCTGAGCAGAGGGGGGAATTTTTGTCAATGTAAGGGCCACATTCCCTTATGCCAGTGGTGGGTGGGGCCAGGGCAGCAATGAGTGTAAATTTTGCCTTTGTACAGTAGGCTAGTTTCTACACGTACCTCACACACCCCTCTTCCACCCAAGCAAGCTAGAGCCATTGTCAGAGTTCAAGAATACATTCCAGCTGTGCTTTTTCCTCCAGGAAAAATAGGTGCTGGAACTCACCATGACGTTGTTAGAGTAAGTCACCCTCTTCAAATATCTCAAGGGCTGTCACATGGAAGAGGGAACAAGCTTGTTTTCTCCTGCTCTGGAGGGTAGGACTCGAATTAATGGCTTAAAGTGACAAGAAAGGAAATTCCCACTAAACACCAGGAAAAGCTTTCTGAAAGTAATTGCTGTTTAACAGTGGAATGGACTCCCTCAGGGAGTTTGTGGACTCTCCTTCCTTGGAGGTTTTTAAGCAGAGGTTGGATGGCCATCTGTCACGGGCGCTTTAGTTGAGATTCCTGCATTGCAGGGGGGTTAGACTAGATTGCCCTTGGAGTCCCTTCCAACTCTACAATTCTATGATTCTATGACTCGGGGCAACCCTGAACAGATGCCGGTTTCACAACAGCCATGTTCACCACCCACAGAGGTACTAAACACTACGGCAAGCTGTCTGCCTAGCTGGTTTGGGGGTCACCCCTGGTTCTGGTGCAGGTCAAATCAATGTGCCCCCCCTTGTTCTCTGACATTCAGGCAGATGGCATGGGCAGCCTGGAAGGGCCCTTGTGTGAACATGCATGTGTGCAACGGTAGAAGCCTGGTAGGAAAGCTTAAATCCTGCCACCACTACACGGGAGATGGATGGAAGAAAAGGAAATATGAATTAGCTTAGCTTAGCTTAACCAATCACGGCTAGGAGCAAATTAGAGTCATTGTTATGTACTGAGTTGAATAGGATCCAAAATGCAGCAGTCTGATTGGTCCTAGAACAATGCAGCAGTATGATTGGTCCGCAGGAGCCACCCAATCCAGCTCCAGGTGGAAGTGAATCCACAACCTGATTGCCCTACAGGAGAATCCCAGAATTAGCCAATCACATGCAGCCCACTGTGTAAATAATGTATATAAAGCAGATATTGTGGAGGAACTTCCATTCCTCCTCACCACTATGAGCTGAATAAAGAGCATGAAATCCGAGTATATTTCAGTCATAGATCTTAAAAAAGTGTAGACACACACACATTGGCCAGCTTCCATTTTGACTTGAAATGTTCGTTTTAGGCTTCTCAGAAGTACGCAAAGGCAAGAAACAGGTGTGGGGAGTGTCAGCCTGCAATGGCGTCCATGTGAGAGGTGCTGGAACTGCGCTCCAGCTGAAAAAAACAACACTGTAAGGGACAGATACAGAAACTGGGAGGGCACTCAACCTCAGCTCCCATTATCTATTGCAAGGGTTTAAATTGCCATAGACCCTCATGGAAGAGCTGAAATTCAGCGGCAGGTCACTTGGTTTGCACACAAAAGGTCTCGGCTTCCATCCCAGGGAAAGACGCCTGTCTGAAAATGTTTGAGGAGTTGCTGCCAGTTGACATAGAGGCAATACAGTGGTACCTCGGGTTAAGTACTTAATTCGTTCCGGAGGTCCGTTCTTAACCTGAAACTGTTCTTAACCTGAAGCACCACTTTAGCTAATGGGGCCTCCTGCTGCCGCCACGCTGCCAGAGCACGATTTCTGTTCTCATCCTGAAGCAAAGTTCTTAACCCGAGGTACTATTTCTGGGCTAGCGGAGTCTGTAACCTGAAGCGTATGTAACCCGAGGTACCACTGTATAGATCCACAGTCTGACCTGACAAAAGGCAGTGTCCTATATTTCTCTCCACCTTTGCATCTCCCTTGGCGACATGTGGTAGAAGGAACATGTGGCAACAGGACATCATCATTCCCCTGCCTGCTGCAAACTGCAGCTAATAAAGTGAAGCTGGGCTGGTGAAACAGGGAATGTGATGATGCTACCACATCTCCTCTTTCTTTGCCAAATATTTCCAGGGAGAGGAATGCGGGAGTCGATTCATTCTGCCAGCCCCATATTGTGGAACTAGGCCTGAAGCCGCCGCTTTATTTTGCCTTGTCTCTATGCAGTAGGCTGTGTACCTGTAAAGCACATTCAAATCATACATACACTCCCCACCAGCAAATTCTAGGCACTGTGGTTTGTCAAGGGTTGTTGGAAACTGTAACTCTGTGAAGTGCAAACTACAGTGCTCAGAATACTTTGAGGGAAAGAATGTGCTTTGAATACGCTTTAAAGGTGGAATGTATATGCAGCCTTATTAGTATATTTTCTAAATCTAGCAATTTCAGGTAAGCGCATGGAGAGTATTCTTTTGAAAACTCTTGAGCTTTCCAAAGAATACGTGTCTACCCTGACACAAAATATGTAAACAACTTCAGGGATGGGAAGAAATTTAGTCCTAAATTGCACATCACGCAACAAGATATGAACTGAAATCCAGCTATCCTTTGAAATGTGCACTACTAAGAATTTTGCATGCAATGCAGGTTTTAACAAAGGGTACAGAAGTACATTAATTAAGGGAAACTGCTTGCAGAAATGTGTTCGTTAGGCTGCAAAACTGCATATAAGGAGAAATATTAGGATGGATTTTAATGATGACTTTAAAAAAAAATTTAAAAAATTAAGCCACCATGAAATGATGGTATATAAAGGCAACATGTAAATAAATGTGTTGAACTGAATTTAAGATTGGAGAAATGAGGGACTGAGGGAAATGGAAACTGACAAACCTTTCCACCTGTATTTTAAACCCTTGTACCTGACTGGCCCCACAACAGGGTCTTTGTCATCTCCGCAATGCAACCTATCTCTCAACCTCATAGCTTCAGAGCAAGCCAGAACTCGCTTAGTGTTCTCTAATACAGATTGTGAAGCAGGGAGGAGAGGGAGAGCGGTAGGTCTGTAAAAAAAGAAAAGGCACCCAACCATAGACTCCTCTTTTTGTTTAAAGGCAGATCAAAGATTCTTAGTAAACTCTCAGCAACGCTCTGTGGTCTACATGAAAGAGCAACTGAAGCATCTCAGAGACTATAAAAGGGACAAAGATTCTCAGTGAAGCCACGCTTGTCAGTGCCCTTTCCTGGTTTGATGATGCCCTGGTTTCACATACACACCCCTAACGTAAAGGGGAAGCAAACGAGAGGAGGGAAATTCTCACCAATATTTTGTATTTGCACATAGACTCTCAAAACCCCAAAGGTTCAAAGCTTATATTTGGGTTTGATGTTCAAATGAATTTACAGTCTAATTCCCTTCAAATGTATAATCTGCCTGTGTGAGAACGCACAATTGCTTTTCTGAATCACAACTGGGACCTGCAACAAAATGCTGCAGTGAATCCTCACCTCCCCTGCCACACACTTCTAGATTCTGGACTCCCCCCCCAAAAAAACCCCATTATTTTTCAATGGATACTCAACTTTTTGTGGCTTCCGAGCATGCTCAGTCCTTGCTTATATCTCCCTCTAATTTCTCATTCATTCCATTTGGTACCTGTGCTATTGGCACTCATCATCTGAGTCTGGTATTAGAGGGAGTGATATCAAGGCCCATCTAATCTAGCCCTCTGTTTCCAATAGTCACCAGCCAAGGTCATAGAGATGATGGTGTACTTTTGCAGTCTGTCTCCAGATAGTCAGAGGTACACCTATAACTGCTGATAACTTTTAATCATTACAGTGGTACCTTGGTTCCCGAACAGCTTAGTTGTCAAATAAATTGGCTCCCGAATGCCGCAAACCCAGAAGTAAGTGTTCCAGTTTGTGAATGTTTTTCAGAAACCGAACATCCGATGCTGCTTCCACTTGAGTGCAGGAAATTCCTGCAGCCAATTGGAAGCCGTGCCTTGGTTTTCGAATGGTTTCGGGAGTCGTACAAACTCCCAGAACGGATTAAGTTTGAGAACCAAGGTACCACTGTATTTAAAATGGCATTTAAGGCTCTTCTACTCATACAACAGACTAAAGAGGGGTTTGTGGAAGAATGAAACGTACCAACAGAAAACCAATTTGCCCAATCTTCTTTGCGACAGGCAGCCCATCATATATTTAAAGATGCCTATCGTATCGCTTCAAGAGTCTCTTTTAAAGACCAAACTGAATGCATAGGCTTAATACTCAGAGACCATAACTGCTGCTGTTCATGACGCATTGCAATAGCCTCGATTTTCAAACCCTCTTGAGAACTAGCTGCGTACATACCATGCATTTAAAACACATGGCTTCCTGCGAAGAAGCCTGGGAACTGAAGGCTGCTGGGAACTGTAGCTCTGTGAGGGGTAAAGAATATTTCTCAGGCTTCTTTGAGTGAAGTCATGTGCTTTAAATGAGGCATGAACACTCACGAGGCACAGGGCTGGCTGTTGTCTACAAATGCTAAGTCATTTGTAGAATATTTTCCACAGGTTGAACTCCCTCTGGTTTACTCTAGCAGTGTTTCCCAAACTTGGGTCTCCAGCTGTTTTTGGACTACAAATCCCATCATCCCTAGCTAGCAAGACCAGTGGTCAGGGATGATGGGAATTGTAGTCTGGGGGAGAAAATTAAAGACTCAGCACTACAGCCTTCTTTGACTTTCCAGATTCTCCTTTTTGAACTGTCCAGTGTTGATAAGCATTTCCTCCGTTTCTGATGCCAGTCGCTTATGTTGCCAAAACAGCACCACCCACACATAAGAGGGAAATATCAGCAGGCTGAGTGCCAGCATGGAGCAATGGTTAGAGTGTTAAGGCTACAACCTGGAAGACCAGGGTTTGAATCCTCACTCAGCCATGAAGCTCACTGGGTGCTCTTGGCCCAGTCACTGCCTCTCAGCCTAACCTACCTCACAGGGTTATTGTGAGGATAAAATGGAGAGGGGAGAACCATGTACACCATCTTGAGCTCCTTGGAGGAAAAGGTAGTATATTTGGAGCCAGGGACCCAACCCACAGCAGACCAGCAAAGAATGGCCACAGTGCTAAGTGGCTACTGAGGAGGGAGCATAAAGCTGGAGGATGGGTGGAACGGAGCAGATGGAAGCCTGAACCATGCTACGATAGGTCCTGGTTGCAATCGCACTACTACCAAATGCTAAATCTAGAATATGTTGCAGGACATCTGAGCAGATGCTGGCCTGCATTGTTCTCAAAAGCATTTGGTGCCCCCTAGAGTTGTAAAGCATATTGAAGCCTAGAGGTTTCTGAATGCCTGAAGTGGCAAGGCAAATTGGTGCGAAATAAATGCTTGCATTTGCTGTGCCCAGGTTGTGTTTTTGATGTGGGGATATCAGGTGAGGCATACTCACTGTTGGATAAAACCATTCTGTAGATCTATTTCAAGTGGGCTTCAGGCCTGGCTTTGGAAACGAAACAGCCTTGCTGGTCTTGTATAATAATAATAATAATAATAATAATAATAATAATTTATTTATACCCCGCCCTCCCCGGCCAGAGCCGGGCTCAGGGCGGCTAACACCAGTAAAATTACAGTAAAAATATAATGGCTGGGGGGGGGGGGGACCAATTTAAAGTACAGGTTAAAATGCAATTTAAAATGCAGCCTCATTTTAAAAGTAGCCCATAGATCAAAACCATAAGGGGAGGGAAACATGATGATCCTTTGGTTTTCCTTGATCTCTCAGTAGCTTTCAGGTGGGGAGTGGGTAAGGGTGGGGCTTCAAAGGAACAAATAAGAGTTTAAAGTGGGCTTCAGAGGAAGGTCAGGATATAAACTGAATGAACAAATGAATGTCACCACCTAAAAATACTGAGTAGAGTGGCCTAGTAGATTGAAATGCCCTCATCCAGGCAGTACAGTGTGATCCATTACGGCAGTGGTGGCCAAACTCGGCCCTCCAGATGTTTTGGGACTACAATTCCCATCATCCCTGACCATTGGTTCTGTTAGCTAAGGATGGTGGGAGTTGTAGTCCCAAAACATCTGGAGGGCCAAGTTTGGCTACCACTGCATTAGGGCAAGTGGGGGCACTGCCCCACCAACTTCAGGCCGCTCCTGCCTACCTTACATCTAGTCCAGGGTTGGTGTGTGGGGGAGACCCTGCCTGTCAGGTTCCTCCTCCTCAACTCTGTGTTGTCCTTGGAAAACTTAGCAGAATCAGAAGAATCTGTATTTGCATCAGCCACTAGCCATAGCAATAAAATAAAATGGGCTGAAGAGGTAAAAACTTAACTATAGAAAATACATTTGGGGGGTTTACATCAATAATCAAATAAGAGATCTTATTCTAATTGCTAAAAACCTTGCTGTTTTTGCTGTCACCTGATCATCTTGATCTTCTAAAACAAAGGAGATAGGAGTAGGAATGATTGAGTGACCCACATGGACAATAGTAGAGGATTGATAACATGAGCCACTGACTCAATACCTCGGGTTAAGTACTTAATTCGTTCCGGAGGTCCGTTCTTAACCTGAAACTGTTCTTAACCTGAAGCACCACTTTAGCTAATGGGGCCTCCTGTTGCCGCCAGAGCACGATTTCTGTTCTCATCCTGAAGCAAAGTTCTTAACCCGAGGTACTATTTCTGTGTTAGCGGAGTCTGTAACCTGAAGCGTATGTAACCCGAGGTACCACTGTACTGCCATCTCCACAGGGACATAACCGTTTTTCCAGTGGAAATTTTTGAAATCGACCCTCAACTTAGCAGGCAGGAGCGATGGGGACAAAACTGGACTTCAGCTATTTCTACGTGCCTTTGGTTCTGGCTCCACCTGCTGTCGGGCTCTCTGCCTGCCTGCCTGCCTAATCCATAAATGCTGGTGCCATTTACATGATTTGGAAGACAAGCCGCTGCTGTTGTGGCGGACGCTGTGCGCTACCAAAGGCCGAGGAGTCCCCCGGCCTCCCATTTTCGTTAATCAAAACATAAATCAAAATGTCTCCAGCTTCCAAGATGGCAAAGATGAGCTTGGAAACCGTTTGGTTTGCAACTGCTTTAAGTAACAGAAAAAACTGGGTCTCAGTCTTCAGTCGCCGCAGCTTCTGCAGGTGCCTTAAATGCAGCCGTCTCAGGTATAGAACCCAAACGCTCGTAAAAAGATGTAGCGGAGGAATCACCCCAGTTTTCCTATTGGCCTCCTGTGAAGCCACTCTTCCATCCTTTGGCCAATCAGACTTCCCAAAAAATAAAGCCCACCCATCCTTGATTAAGGCCTCTGTGTGGATGTGTTTCTCTTCTTTTTCCTCGCGGGTCCTTTGCCTGTCAATCAATCAAGGATAGGCGCAACACTGCCCTCAGCCCCAATTGGCGATTGGGCTAGTCAATTCGTGATTTCACGCCTGCGATTGGGCTCTGAAATGACGTCCGTGCTTGTCAAAGCCGCTCTTTCCCATTGGGTGAGCCCGACGCAGCAGGGGAAGGGCGGCGATTGGCCAGACGCCGTGCCGATCGGGACGGAGGCAGCTACGCAGGCGGACCACCCGCGCTCTGATTGGTCAAACGGCGTAGGGACCGCGCAGGGATTGGTCGCTCGACAGCGGAGTGGGCGGGCCTCATAGGGCGGTGCCCGGGTTGCTGAGGAGGAGGAAGATGGCGCCGTGAGGGGGGTCCCAGCCGCTGCCGCCTCTTTTTTCTATCCGGTGAGTGAGCCCAGCGGGGCGGGCCCGGGGTCGTGAAGAAGTGGGAGGAGAAACCAAGGGATGGGAACGCGGGGGCGTGCGGAGGAAGAGGAGGGGTCTGTGCAGTGGGAGGGGGGCCTTCGAGGGAGGGGGCCGAGCGCGCGAGCGGGACTGAAGCAACTGGGACCGGAAGGGGGCGGGGCTAAGACGAGAGCCCGCCTCCTCGGGGGACCCATAAGAGAGAGGGGGGAATGCAAGGAGTGGGAGAGGGAGATGGGGCTTGGGGTCGTCGACTGGTTCCTGGGGTCAGAGGGCATGTGGGGAGTGGGAGCAGAGGGGGTTTGTTTGCTTTCCCCCTGGGCTCGGACTTTTAATAGCAACCTGATATCAAGCAGGTGAAGCTGTTTGCAGGTCCTCTGCTTTCATGTTAGCAAAAAAGGTGCCTGTCTCTTGATAAGCTTCTGTATGTTAGGCTGCTCTTGAAGGTACATGAGTGGTAGTGGTGGTAGGTTTACTAGCCTTAACAATGGACAGAAAAGGGGGCCACAGCCAAGGGTATTTAGAAGGTGTGCAGGAGATGGGCAGGGACTGAGCAGGGGACAGAAGAAGATAAGCACCTGATGCAAAGGTAGCTAGCAAGGGAAAGAAGAGCAGGGCAGAGATAAGTGGTTCAAAGGCAGGCATTGAACTGGGGGGACAAAGTGTACAGGGAGACACGTGGTTATTGGGTGTAAGTGATGGGGGGGGGTCCTCATACCAAGGGAAAAATAGGTGGGTGAATTGACTTGGGAAGCACTGGATAGTCAGGTAGTAGAAAACAGAATTTGAATGTGACGAAGGAAGTGCAGCAACTGGTGGAAAGGTGCAAAGATAATTTGGTGGCATGGAGAAGGATGGGTTCCATATGTTTGGAAGGGCCTAGGTTGTGCATTCGAAAGAAGGAGGTTGATGGCTGTTAAGTCAAGTAGCACAAGTAAAAGGTAGGTATGAGAGGGTGCTTGAGGGTTGATGTGTTGGTGGCTGACTACTGGGTGCACGTATGGGCATGTGGTTATAGCGTACAGGGGTATAGTGTACAGGAGAAAATGTGGGTGGCCCAAGAGCAAGAGAGAACATGTGGTCATGGATCCAGGAAGGTATGGAGAGAGGTGGGAATGACATACACGTGGGACAGTCAGTGGTTATAAGAGGGTGGGCACATACTTAAATAATAGTGGGGAAGCAACAGGCATAAACCAGCATAGATTAAAAAGTCCATTGATGTTTTTGAATAAAAGATTGTATTTTTAATTTGTTGTGAGAATTATAATGTCTTTTTCAAAACAACAGTGCAGCTTTAAATGAAACGAATTCTAATGCAAGCAACCATTTCAAAGTCTACACTAACTTCTAATGCCATACATTACTTAGGACCCAGGTCTGGACCATCTTCTCCCATAGCAACCCACAAGTCCATTATGATTGTCACTGGAGACCTTTATTCTGGTGCTCCTCTCTATCTGAAGTGTGGTGGGTGATGACTGGAGAGAGCCTTTTCCATGGTGTTTCCTGACTTTTGGAGCATTCTCCCAAAGGAGGGCTCCTCCTGCCCTGGAGACTTGATTAGGCACCAGGCAAAGGTGTTTGTTTCCCCAGACTTTTAAGAACTGCTGATTTAAGCATTTTTAATTTAGAACCGTTAGATTTTGCTGCTTATTTGAATGAGCAATTGCGCCTATATGATTTATTTATTTATTTATTTATTACTAGATGTGGTGTTTCTTACTGTTGGTCACCAGTCATTGCCATAAATGCAAGATGTACATTATATAGATAAAGTAATACATTATAAAATAGAATCCATGGATTGTATCCAGTGCTAGTCAGGTAAAGGTAAAGGGACCCCTGACCATTCGGTCCAGTCGTGGCCGACTCTGGGGTTGCGGTGCTCATCTCGCTCTATTGGCCAAGGGAGCCGGTGTACAGCTTCCAGGTCATGTGGCCAGCACAACTAAGCCGCTTCTGGCGAACCAGAGTAGCACACGAAACGCTGTTTACCTTCCCGCCGGAGCGGTGCCTATTTATCTACTTGCACTTTGACGTGCTTTCGAACTGCTAGGTTGGCAGGAGCAGGGACCGAGCAACGGGAGCTCACCCCGTCGCGGGGATTCGAACCGCCGACCTTCTGATCGGCTAGTCCTAGGCTCTGTGGTTTAACCCACAGTGCCACCCGCGGCTAGTCAGACTAGAGCCACTGAAATGAATGGACATGACTAATTATTATTTTCAGTGGGTTTACTCGAAGCAGAATTTAGTTGGATACAATCCCATGATACACTCAGACATGCTAAATTATAGAGGCCCCTAGGTATACTGAAGGTATGCCTTCTCCCTTTCCCCCCCAGTCCCATATATAGTATCTATCCTCACTGTTCATTTTTTATTTAGTCAGTTGAGACACATAAAAAGTACACTGTAATAAATTGGTTAGTCTCTATGATGCTATAGGACTTGTGTTTGATACAGAACTACCCATTTGGAATTTGTCCCTATTGAATTCACTGGGACTTGCTTCTGTGCCACCACAGTTAGGATCCCCCTCCCCAACCACTTTAGACTAAGCATTCCCAGATCCTCAGTCCTTTCCTTGTGCCTTTTTAGAGTCCCTTTCCCACTCTTGTGTCTGCTGGCACAACATTCTCTAAAATTGTACTCCTTGCTGTGTGATGTGGGATGGTGCAAGGAGAATCTTGAGGATCCTACCAATTGAAATAAGTGGTTTTGTGGGTCTCTGGTAACTGGGTCTGAGCACTAGTTACTATGTACAAATACTGATTTCACACACTTGTTAGTTATTCTAATGGAATGAGGGAAACCATCTCAAAGAACTGTCATTTCCCACCCACCCCCAATATAAGTGCTTTATGCAGTATACACCCTAGACTTTCCAGGGGATGCCAGTCTTTCCTCTGGAGGAGCTCAAAATTAGCTATTGAATATTTGGGGGTATCTCCCATAAGCATGGACCCCTTCTGCACTTAGGAAGTGGATTCAGTGGTGACTTGGCTAGTTCAAATTTTTTATTGCTTTTTCTGTCTGAAAGTGGGAGGGGGGCATCCAGATCTTTGTGGCACTCAAAGAGGAGCTTTGTACATCTGCTGACCCATGCTATTTCCATAGCTTAGTCAGAACAAAGAGTAAAAGAGGACTGTTGCCATGATCTTGCATTGAAATATAATGTTGTGTGCCCTATTTCAGTCCATCAAACACTTTTTGTGTTTGTTCTCCACTAACTTCAGGCTCTGACTTGGGCTTGGTAGCTTTTGCTCATAGGTAAGTAGCAGACATGTTAATCCTGGCCATGTATCATTTAAATCAGAATTCAGGTTGAAATCCTAACCTCACTTGCCTGGAAGTAAGCTCCATTGAATTCAGTAGGACTTCTGAATAGGCATGGTTAAGATTACACTTTCATCACCACCGTCATGCTTTCCTATATCAAAATCTGTGCACTTTCACTCAGTATGATGCAAACAAAATCCCACCTCCCCACCAGCAAGACTCGCAATATACTTTCCTAAGCAGCTGCTAGCTACTCATAGCCCCACATGGTGCAAACTAAACAGCAGAAGTTTAAAGCAGGCAAGAGAGCAACCACCTCCTGCAGAAAAAAAGAAGGGGATGTGGTTATTTTAACCATGCACTGGGAGTCTAGTCCATGTCAGCTTGCTCTGCTCTTGTTTATTTGTGTTTGAGACTAGGGTGGATGCTACTTTATCCATGGCTACCATGCCAGTTGGCAGAGGTGCCAACTTGAATAAAATATTGTGGGGGGCCCAGGTAAGCCCCATCCCACATAATTGATCACATGACACAGTGCACACACCCCATTTGAATGGAAATGTCCATCAACTTTGTGGGGCCCTGGCCCCCTCAAATATATTATTGTGGGGGCCAAAGCCCCTATGGACCTAGGAGTTGGCTCCTATGCCAATTGGAAACCATATCAAGACTTCCACCAAGACTTTTGATTCAGTGTACCCTGTAAGAGATGTCTGGTCTGTTGGGCATTGGTCACTTTTTGAAATGCTAAACATGCATTTAGAGCAGGGGTCAGCAAACTTTTTCAGCAGGGGGCCGGTCCACTGTCCCTCAGACCTTGGGGGGGGGGTGGACTATATTTTGGAAAAACATAAAAATGAACAAATTCCTATGCCCCACAAATAACCCAGAGATACATTTTAAATAAAAGGACACATTCTACTCATGTAAAAACACGCTGATTCCTCGACTGTCCGCGGGCCGGATTGAGAAGGCGATTGGGCCGGATCCGTCCCCCGGGCCTTAGTTTGCCTACCCATGATTTAGAGGAAGTCATTACACCAAGGGTAGGGAACCTAAGCCCCTACAGATGTTGCTGGACTACAACTCCCATCATCCTTCACTATCAAATCATGCTGCTTGAGGCAGGCAGGACTTGGAATCCCAACAATATATGGAGGACCACCAATTGCCCACCTATGCTTTACATGGACTCTTTGATGTGGGATCCAGTCCTAGAGACAGCTGCAAAGACACAAGTTAGGGTACATGTAAAGGGACCTTAGTTAGTACTCTCCACTGAGCAAGCATTGGCCAATATGGCTGAACTTTTTCTTTACCGGGAGAGACTTGCTTAGCTATCTGGGAAGTGAATTGCTGCCCATTTTTTCTCCCCGCATGCATTTGAATGTGAGAAAACTATTAGCTTTCCACAGGTCTTGGACAAATTGGTGTTTCTCAGCCTAACCTACATGACAAGATTGTTGTGAGTGTACATGAGATAAGAAATATGAAGCACCTAGTTCAGACTGCCTCTAGTCGCCTGTGGTGATTAGTATGTTCCATTAGATGAGGATAAGAGTGGCGAACTTCATTTGTACTGCCAAGCCTCATTTTTCTGGTTCTCAGCAGCAGGCAGCCCTGGGATGATGGATATGCCTTGAGAGTAGAATGGGCTGGATGGGCAGGATACAAATTTGTTAAATAAATCAAGAACACGGTTCTCCAGATTTAGGCTTTGGATAACATTTTTTTCTTGGGACTTCTTTCGCACATTTTATTCCATCATGGAACCCAACGCTGCATATGGGTTGGTTCCCAGGAGGTCTCCCACCCAGACACAGACCAGAGGCAGACCCTGCTTAACTTCTGCAAGGTAGCGCATTTGTGTGCCTTCAGACCATACCTTAGACCTGTGATCAAGAGATTTAAATATGCTTTAAAAAATGAAAATAATCCTAAGGCTCTCTGATTTTTGTGGATATTGCCATTGTGGATGCAGGCCTCAGTAAACAGTTAGACATCTTTCCTTCTTGCAGATACAGAGGACAGCATGGCTGCCACTGCTGCTGTCAGTCCCAGCGAATACTTGCAACCTGCTGCTTCTACAGCTCAGGTAGGTCTTTAAAATGTTTGTGGCTTAGTAGTGTCACTGCATGAGGAGACAATGAATGCTGGTTCCAGTTACAGGATAGCAATGCTTGTGTGGTAGGGTCCTGGGCTGTAAGTAAAGAAAGCATTGACTGATCAGCTTTTGTAGAACTGAAGCTCAAAGGCAGATGATTCACTCTGCAAAGAAAGCCTAGCTGACAGTCAAGTCCTCCCAGGTTTCCTTGATCTTGCATGTTCAAAAAAGCATGTGGGATATTACTGCTTCAGAATTCAGGTGGCAAATGCTATGTTTTAATGCTCTCCCATGTGAAAGTGGTTTCTGTGTAGAAAACATGTCAGAGAAAAGGCTGTGTCAGAATGCTCTCCTCTTTGTAGAAGCAGGAATTCCCCCACCTCCTGCCATTCTGAAGTGGTACAGTCCCAATTTGGCTATTCCATGTTTTCCTTTCTAAATGTGTAATTGGTCCCAATACATGTTTAATGCATACCCACCCTTCAGGTTGGGTCGGATGCCCTATATAAATATTCCTTGGGTCAAGTAAGCACCATTCCTGAACATTTGGTTGATGAGCTATTAACTAACGGAAGCGCCTTCCCCAAAGCCTTTGCTCCTGACAACCCTTTCTTTCCCAGATGATAGCATCTGCTTTAGCAAAAAAATGAGGCAGAGAAAGGTATTTGCATTCTATACGTCTCCTGGCCCTGATCAAAGAAACGAGAGGGCATGTACACCACAGGGATTCAGAATCCTATGTGAAAGAGCCCAGAACCACCCACTCAAAACACACAAAGGAGGTGGCCTGAAAAAAGCGTGCGCTGCTGTGATTTGCTGTAGAAGTTAGAAAGGCCTTTTAAAACTTGGAACTATTTTTTTTAGTGTTTTTTGTTTTTTTACAAACCCAAGTTTAAGAAGTCTTTCTAGCAGCTGTGGCAATGGCACAGGCATTCACCTGACCACCTCACCCAGATTGCCTGGCTCTGAGAGAGACGGCAAGCTTCTGGCAGCTGCCGTGATTACTCCTTGTGGGGTGCTACCGATCATACAGATCCATTATTGCCATGTGGCTTTTCTCCACTGTTAGCGGTGGCCTGGAGGAGACCTCATGCCACTTTCTAACCCATGTGGCAAACAGGAGTACCAACTTGAATAAAATATTGAGGGGGCAAGTAAGGCCCGCCCCAAATAATTAATCACAAGACAGAACACACACACACACCATTGCATGGCAATGCCCATCAACTGGGGGGGGGCAGCCCCATCAAATATTTTATGGGGGGCACTGAAGGGACCTTGACCCTTAGAAGTTGGCTCCTATGGTGGCAAGCTACTGTATAAGTACAACTGGGGGGGGGGGCATCTGCCATGTAATTTCAGTTTCGGGTGACTTCTTTCTTGCTTGACGTTTGTGTAAAGTTGGCCTGAGAGAAGCATTTTAGGTGCAGAATGAACAAGAGCATAGATACTCTCTTTGAAGCACAGTTAATGTTCTGATTCCAGCCCTCTTCCTTTGTGTGAATGTTTCAGGAATCTCTTTTGTTTCCTCGCTGTCATCAAAGAGCATCTCTGTTTGCACTATAGGAAGCAGAGGTCTCTGAAAACTCCAGAATGAATATCCCCTGACCTGTTTTCATGTGCTCTCTTGGCGACGGAGAGAAATCAGCATTTATATGCTCTTGTTCTTCAAACGTGTGTGAGAGCAGTATTGAGGCCAATGCTCCTCAAAAACCCCACAAAAGCTTCTGGTGTTATTCATATACAGCAGGAAATGAAAACTTTGTTCTTTTTTTGGAAACATAATGAGGAGCAAGGCATGGCTATATCTTAAATTCCATTTGGGCCTCATGGAGCCTTAATGGAAAGCAGAGGACAGGAAAATGCCTGCAATCAAGAGACAGGGGAAGTCTGCCTGCAATGTGGAGATGACACTGACTTAACTTTATAGGACTGTTGGATTTTGAGACTATGTAGGTGGAGCACCTTAGGCACTCATGAGTGCAATATATTGTTATTCTTAGAAACTACACTAGTTTGTTGAAGTCAAATTCAGTGGTGAGATCTTCTTATTTGAGAATGTGGTACTGTGCACCCTTAGAACAAAGCCCCATATCTAAGTTGTGGAAATTAAGATACTGCCCACACATTGGGCTTCCTTCCTTTCCAGCTACGTTGTGCTGAATCTGAAACAACCTGTTTGTTGCCAGCCTACCTGTAACACAACTCTTCTGTTCCTGTAGGATTCTCAGCCATCTCCACTAGCCCTGCTTGCAGCCACATGTAGCAAAATCGGTCCTCCAGCTGTAGAAGCAGCAGTTGCCTCTCCTGCCCCTCCTCAGCCTGCTCCTCGGAAACTGGTGCCCATCAAGCCTGCTCCCCTCCCGCTGAGCTCCAGCAAGAACAGCATTGGGATTTTGTCATCCAAAGGGAACCTCTTCCAAATCCAGGGGTCTCAGCTCGGGACATCCTATCCCGGTGGGCAATTGGTATTCACTATCCAGAACCCAACTGTGATCAACAAAGGGGCCCGCTCACCTGCCAACATCCAGTACCAGGCGGTTCCGCAGATCCAGACGACATCAGGGCAGACCATTCAAGTACAGCAGAACTTGGGCAACCAGATACAGATTATTCCCAGTACCATCACCCCTTCTTCCTCTTCCTCGTCAGCATCCTCTTCCGCCTCCTCAACTCATAAGCCTGTGCCAATCAAACCTGCGCCCGCTCATAAGACCCCACCAACAGCTGTCCATAACGCAAGCAACGTGGTCAAGTTAACTGGCACTGGTGGCAACGTCACTCTTACCCTGCCAGTGAGCAACCTGGTGAGTGCCGGGGACACCAGTGCTCAAACTCAGATCGTCCCAGACAGCCCCTCCAAACCGAGCAAAAAGGCCCGGAAGAAGGTGGTGTCCTCACCCCAGGCAGCTGCGATGGCTGTGACAGAGCAAGTGGAGACGGTCTTGATAGAAACGACGGCCGACAACATCATCCAAGCAGGGAACAACCTGTTGATTGTGCAGAGCCCGGGATCTGGGCAGCCAGCGATGGTCCAACAGGTGCAAGTGGTCCAACCCAAACAGGAGCAGCAGGTGGTTCAGATTCCACAGCAGGCTCTGCGCGTGGTCCAGGCAGCCTCGGCCACTCTTCCAACCGTTCCTCAGAAATCCCCGCAGAACTTCCAGATCCAGACAACTGAGCCAATTCCCACTCAGGTATTTGGGGGTTTCAGTTGCAGGTCAAGAATGCCTGGAATTATGGGGTGGAATTGGGGCTGGGGTGGGAGGAATTCCAATCTTCTAAGCGTAGTAAAGTACATACCCAATGGATTGTTTGTTCATTTGAGTGTGTCTGTATGCATGTGCACACACACATAATACATGCATATAAAATTTAGGGAGTCTATTTTCTCAACCAAAATATAAAAAATGCTAAGGTTATGTGCAAATTATTTAGCAAACAGTCTGATCCAGTAATTTTCAGTCGGCGTGAAAAAACATATTTCTGTAGTGGGGCCTGCAGTGCTTGGAGGTAATTGCTGTCCCCCGTCCCCCAACATCCCCAGACATGGGTATTAAGCTCTGGTTCCCCCACCTCACCCCAATAGCTTTATTTGGATTTAGTTCTGTTGGTTATTTTTTCACTTCTAAACTGCCCCATCTCTAGAGTTCCTGACAACATGAAAATAAGATGTCTACTTTCACCAAACCTCTTAAATCACATTTAATATGTTTTGATTTATTTTATTTTACTTATTTATAGAATTTCTTTTTGCACCCAGTGTGGCTTACAAATAATTAATATATATATTTTTATAAAGCATCCCAAACATTTTTTTACTGCAGTCAGGGGGCCAAGAAAATTAGTGAGGGTTGCATTTCTGTCGTGCCATATACCATGTTAAACCTTTTAGTAGTAGTAGTGGTAGTTTTGGAGCCAGACTTCTTGTTCAGGATTAAAAAACAATTAAGTTATCTGGTGATATTAATGTCTATATTGCAATAAAGTGAAATAACTACATTTTTTTTTGAAATTGCCAAAAGTGGAATGGTGACAAGTGTATAAGAGAGTACGCTTGCCATAAGGAATTATCACAGTGATAGGGATAAGGTATAATATAGGGAGGTGGGGAGCCCATGTTCATTATGATGAAGGTATCTACACTAATGCAGGGATAGAAAATGTGTCTGTATTAAGAAAGTGTTATATAATCTACAATAATGCTATAAAAGGGTAATGGGAGACCACCAAAATGGGAAGCTGCAGACTGCACGCTTTTTCCTTTTTGTGTCATTTGTTTAGGTCTATTTCAAGACGCCTTCCGGTGAGCTGCAGACAGTGCTTCTGCAGGAAGCCCCAGGTGTAACTGTGGCACCTTCTTCCACTGCCTCCTCTGCCACTTCCTGCAGCAGTCCTGCACCCCGCAGCTCCCAGACAGGAGGAAGTACCAAAAAGACAGGGGCTCGCAAAGAACGCGCCCTGCCAAAGATCGCCCCTGCCGGAGGCATCATCAGTCTCAATGCTGCTCAGCTGGCTGCTGCTGCTCAGGCAATGCAGACCATCAGCATCAATGGGGTGCAAGTTCAAGGTGTTCCTGTCACCATCACCAACACAGGAGGTAGTGTATGTGATATGTAATGATCCTGCGATGAGCAGCATATCCAGATGGATATATCTTTCCTGGAGGGATATGTGTTGTGTGTGGTTTTTTTAAAGGTTTGGGACAACACCAGGGAAACATGGAGAGAAACGGCATAGAGACAAGGGAGACTAGGACAGCCATAGAACAAAACTGAATTTAAGTGGAATTAATTTCTGAGTACACTTGCTTTAGGGTTGGGCTGCCTAAAGGATGTCTCTCTTGTGCCCTGCAAATCTTGTTGCACATAGTTTACGGCACATATAAAAGTTGATATGGTAGGCAATGAAACCCTTACTGCTTGAGGTCCCTGTTTCAAGCTGCTTTTCATAATTATCTTCCTGGGTAGGAGGTGCAAGCTTGGGAATGTATTGACCTACTTACCTGGAATGAGGACAAGTTGCCAAATGGATGCAGGAGAATGGCTGCTTCTGATGGCCAAAGCAGCCCCAAAATATAGTGGCAGTGCTGTTATGCTCAAGAGTGCTGGAGGATCTTCTGGCTTTTGTAAGGCATCCTTATGCTATCTCAACTGCATGCGTGGTGTGTCCTTGCACATACAGCTATAATAGCACCACAGCACCCTTTCTGCTTTTGTACACTTGCTGACTGGGGAAATAAGGAGTCAGGCAACACTTATTACTTCTGCTTCTCTGAGACTGAAAAGGTTATGAGAGGCTTGGTGTTCATAATACGGCAGGATGTCAGAGGAAGCAGTGGGATGTGGGGAGCAGGTAGGGCTGTGAAGGAGAACTCCAGCGAGAACTAAAACCAGGGGCGAAAGAGCTGATAAGGCCGGGGAGAACCTTGGTGCCTGGTCCCAGGCAGGAACGAAATCCTGGCATTCAGAACCCTGGATAGTTCTTCAAGCCCAGTGCAGTACTGACATGTAAAAAAAGGGGGAAATTTTCAGTGAGGGGTCTGTGATATCTTGGCCTAACTTTCTATGGAGCTTTAGTGGAGTAACTGTACCTCCCCCACTGAATCTGGGCATAACTTAGTATTGGACTAAGCTTCATCCATCCCTCTTCCTGCAGGCCAGCAACAGCTGACGGTGCAAAACGTCTCTGGCAACAACCTGACCATCAGCGGACTGAGCCCCACCCAGATTCAGCTGCAGATGGAGCAAGCACTCCTGGGGGACCTACAGCCCGGGGAGAAGAGACGGCGGATGGCTTGCACTTGCCCCAATTGCAAGGATGGGGAAAAGAGGTAAGGGAAGAAGCCCCTAGGCCTCTCAACAAATTGCTGCTCTGGCAACAAATATTTCTGTTCCTGTGTTAGGATTTGGGTGGCAGCAACAGGGTGGAGATTATTTCCAGAGGAGCAGCTGGGTTACTACTTGGTACCAGTTAGCAGTGTTACTGCAACTTAAGTCATCCTTGGAGAGCTAGCAATCTGATCTCTGAGGTTTCACCAGGGCACTCTGCTTTGAATTCAAGTGTTCCCAGGTCTTCGCACACAAGTTAGACCACGCACAGTTTCTCACCCCTTTTATTTCCCTCCAGGCTGGGGGATCAGGGGAAGAAGAGGCACATCTGCCACGTGCCTGAATGTGGCAAGACCTTCCGCAAGACCTCCCTGCTCCGGGCCCACGTGCGCCTGCACACAGGCGAGCGCCCTTTCGTCTGCAACTGGGTCTTTTGCGGGAAGCGATTCACGCGAAGTGACGAGCTACAGCGGCATGCCCGGACGCATACAGGTGGGTCGTCTCCTCTCTGCTTCTCTCTCCCAACTGCACCCCTGCTCTTTGAGTCATATAACACTAATGGATAGGAAAAGCATTTTATAAATCCTAATTACTCTGGCATCTTCTCTGAGTTATCTGTATGACAACCATGTAAGGCAAGCATGGCCAAACTTGGCCCTCCAGATGTTTTGGGACTACAACTCCCATCACCCCTGACCTGTTAGCTAGGGATGATGGGAGTTGTAGTCCCAACACATCTGGAGGGCCAAGTTTGGCCATGCCTGATGTAAGGCAAGCCTATGAGGCTGCTGTCGTTTCACAGACGGAGAGCTAACGCTTGAGAGGCGGTGGCCTAGCTCCTGCTTTGATGGTGAGCCTGTCTTTGGGCTGTAGTATTGCAGGGTGGGGGCGGGTTGCTCACATGATTAAATGCTTCCTCATACAGAAATTAATTCCTCCATATAGAAAATTAGATCTAAGGGAGAAGTGTTCTAGTCTAGCTTTCCCCAAACCCATTTGTTTTCTGTGTGCTGGAACTTTATATGGAAAAGTGTTGAGTTATATGTGTCCCCACCTGCAGGCTGGAGTGGTGTAGCTCAGAGATGAGAGTTTACTACCTTGGAAAGGACTAAGCTAGATTCTTGCTTGAGGCCACCCAATGAGAGACTCCTGGGCTCACAGGTCATGGTTATAACTACCCTACGCCAATTCTTCTCTAAAGCAATTGCCTCTGTGCTCACACAAGCCTTAAACATGTTGCTGTTCAAGCATAGCTGCTGGCACCATAACTATTGCACAGATACAGTGGCCGTACGGTGGCTGCTACAAGTGTGGTGGAGATCCCTGTTAGCCATGCTGGTTGGAGCTGAGGGGAGATGGAGTCCAGCAAGGAGAACCACAGGCTCCCCAGAACCCTAATGTAAATATCTGTTATAAGCTTTGCTTAAAGAAGGCACCCCAAACAGCAGGCTGAGACTCTTGTATGCTCCCTGTAGCATACAGGACATGCTGAAGGTGATAAGCCATTCTTGTTATGAATGTCTGTATACGTGGTTTTCATTTACTTATAAAAGCTAATGGCTTCATTCATTTTTCTGAAACCTTTTAACAAATCAGTCCATCCAAGCCAAGTGCCTATCACCACATCTCGTGTCAGTAAATCCCACTAGTTAATTTACACGTTTGTGTGAACTTGTATCACGCATGCCGACGTCGCTCTCGTTTCCTTCCTTTCGGCAGGCGACAAGCGTTTTGAGTGTGCCCAGTGCCAAAAGCGCTTCATTAGAAGCGACCACCTGACAAAGCACTATAAAACTCACCTGGTCACCAAGAACTTGTAGGGCTGGGTGCAATCGGAAAAGGAAAGGGAGCAGTGTGGGTGCCGGCGACCCTTTGCCATGAAGGATGGTCTCTGCGAAAGGACAGCGACATGCCCAAGCAACCCTCCTGACTGGGACAACATCTGCACAAAGAAGGGAGTAACAGCTGCTGTTCTTTCCATCGGATGACCTCCGCCTCCTTGCACACTCTGTCAGAACCTCTTGGATGGTGCATCAGACGCTGTGGTTTCAGTCTGGGATGAAGGAGAAACAATGTCGCTTCCAAGCAAATTGGCTAAAAATCAGCACAAAGCCCAGTAGCGGGCAGGGGAAAAAATGGGGGTGGGGGAGGGGGAAGCAAGGCAAAGCGCATCCACCCAGTGGCCTGAGGAGCCCACCAAGCGAATGCCCTGCTCCGCCGCACCAAAGGGCCTCCTTGTGTGTTTGATAGTAGCACCAGCGAAACTATACCCCACTTGTAATCTTGATTCCCTCTTCCCGCCCACCTCTATGTGCTTGTGAAGCTTTTGAATGGTGGGCAGGGAAGCCGCCCAAAATGGGACTCTCTCTGCACCCCCAGCACATTCCTACTTTATATTTAAAATTATAAATATCTATAAATATATATCTATATCTATATTAAAAAAAACAAAACCTCCTTAGGAAGCCCCCTGTTTTTTCTACGGAGAAGGTTGCCTTATATTTTCCTCCAAATTATGTATTGTGAGTTGTTGTTTTTTTTTAATTTAATGATTCCTCCTTTTTTTAAAAGAAAGTCTCACTCCAAGGAAAGATTCAGGCACAGTTCCAAGCCCCTGTGCTAAGGCAAGAGCTCTGCACGCAGGCCTGTGAACTAGGGGAGTGGGGTGCTCTTGTGTGTACACACGGAGCTTTCTATGGTGTGCAAGCAGCAGCACTTTGCTCAGGAGAGTGGAGAAAGTCTTATGTGTGAATGGGATCTCTTGTTTGTTTGTTTGTAGTAGGACTGATGGATCAGAGCCATGTGCCCTGATCCAGACAGCCACGAGGGCAGCAGAAATCTGCTCTTAACACATGCGAGGCATTTGGCAAACCCTGTGGTGTATAGCATGCAGTTCAGCCCTGAACGAATGATGCAGCTCCATGTGTGGAAACAGATTGATTTAATGCATTGGAGTGAAGGGCTGCAACCCAGTGGGAGGCTGCAGACTGCCGAGCCCTATTGAAGTGAGCTAAGTATTTGTGTGCCGAAATGCAAGCATTGTTTTTCCAGAACTGAAGGGTGTTCTCTCTCCTCGCTCCCTCCCACTCACCTTATGTTCCATCATATTTCTTTCCTGAAAACTAGTGTTTCCTCCCGCTTTTTTTTCTAAAACAGAAGTCCGATACAGCCCCTTTTGTGTATTATAGTGTATATTGTATCATAGACTATATATTGCGTTATGTGTTTCCTACATGTTTCAGAAGCATACGGCTTGTTATTTTTGAGCTTTTAAATTAAAAAAAAAAATCCACTTTATTTTTTAGTTGTAACGGCTTGAAGTATGTTTTTCTTTAAGTGGCAATTCCTTGCTATTGTTTTTAATCAATGCTATGAAATTCGGCTGGCCAGTGTGACGCCAGCCCAGAAGGGGAGGAGTGGGGGGGCGGAGAAAAATCACATTTCTTGATAAATCCAATCGTTGGAAGCAAATCCAGCCACAGTTTGGGAACAAAGGATCGTTTTGCTTTGCTGCATTTTAAAGAATGAAAGAGCAAGCACATTTAGGTGGCTTGTTGAGGTATAAAGAGGTTCTAGAAAGGTGTTTTGAGACTATATGCAGGTGATCGCAAGCGCAGCTCCAGATTTTGTTGTCAGTTTAGTTTACAATGCAAAAGCAAAGCTTAGTTGGCCAGGATGTACATTTTGAATTTAAGTTTTCTCTCTTTCCTACCATCCCTTTGTGTACAGCATTAACAACATTCACAGGTACGCTTTATTAATTTCATGTATTGATATGGCCTGTGGCTGGTGTATACGTTCCACAGGAACACACAGTGCTGATGTATTCAAAATGTTGAGCATGTTGTTGTTGGACTTTGCACACAGTAGCGGCAGGGTAAGTCGTCATGGGACTCCCATTTCAGGCTATCCTATAAAACAAGCCTTAGACTGCAGGGCAGGCAAGGCAAACTTGCTTATACTTTGTGGATTCCTTCAGAGGCTCAAGCCAGCAGGAAGTTCTACGGCATACGTCTCACTGAAATGAACAGAAGGTATATTTCAGTGGGGCTTGTGCAGAACTTCCCAATGGGATTGTATGCTCTGGTTAGCTGATAGGAAGCCAACCAGTCTTCCAGTGTGTGGGCTCAGAATATACCGTATTTTTTGCTCTATAAGACTCACTTTTTCCCTCCTAAAACATAAGGGGAAATGTGTGTGTGTCTTATGGAGCGAATGCAGGCTGCACAGCTATCCCAGAAGCCAGAACAGCAAGAGGGACCCCTGCTTTCACTGCGCAGCGATCCCTCTTGCTGTTCTGGCTTCTGAGATTCAGAATATTTTTTTTCTTGTTTTCCTCCTCCAAAAACTAGGTGCGTCTTGTGGTCTGGTGCGTCTTATAGAGCGAAAAATACGGTACATAATTCTTCCCACCAACCTGAATCTCCGTCCTGTTGCCCTCAAAGTCTTGCACATCAAGGCCTTTCCACCAACTTGGGAAAACAACCGTTTTGAGAGGTAGGCAGGAAAGAGAAATAAATGAACCCATGCTGTTACACTCCAGTTTGAAACTTGTCTTATTTACAAGAAATATAACATTTATTAGAAGCTAGTGTCTTGCCATGTTTTTGCTTCAGTAACAAGTGGCTTCCACGGTTGACTGTCTAGACCAGTTTGCAGGAGATGAGGGTTGCAGAGGAAATCGGTGAGAGCTCAAATTCCCCCAGCGGGTGACTTTTAAATGGATATCTGACTTACCTTCCCACCTTCATAAAATAATGGTGATTGAGAGGACCGTGGGTGAGTTACAAAGCTAGTAGCACCAAACAGTTTACAGCTGAAGGTAAAACTGAGTGTGAGCTAGTAAACTTAAAAAACAAGTAGGAGTGAGGTGGAGATGCTAGTGGATAAGAAATTAAAATTATGGTTCTCAGGTAACAGAATAGGGAAATCTGTTTTCAGACTGCTTTACTGTTCTAGGCAAACACGTAGCTCAGAAAATACTTGGGAGTCAAATTCTCATCCCGTCCATTCAAGGCTTCCTGAAATGAAGAGTTCTGGGGTCATCCCGCTTGCTGAGATTTCCAAGAGAGACATTACAAATTCCATCCTCTCTTCCCTGTCCCCTGCACTGGCAAGTTAAGACTCAATCCATAGGAACCTGGTCTCCATCTGCCACTATTGCTGCACAAGAAGGAACCCAAATCTGTGTCATCCTGGTCTCAAAATGGGTTACTGTGCTACCCTTTGAGGGGTTCTTGGAAAATAGTGGTTGTAACGCCATTCGGTCCACTTTGACAGTCCGGGTCAATCATTTTCTTAACTGCCCTTCGGGAGGTCCCACATTTACTGTTGATCACCGCATTGAAATTGCAGCCTCTGCCGCATGTTTTGGTGACGTACTCTGTAGGTGGGGGTGCAAGCACAGTGAGAGAAGAGAAGCAGAGGCTTAGTTCAGTGTTATTCCTGGTGACATACACTGGAAACATCAGTTCAGCTTGTATGTTTCCAAACCAGTCCAAATTCTTTTCCAAGAAGAATGAATGCAAGTGAAGCACACAGATCTTAATACGTTTTCATGATCAAAATTTTCAAAGAATTGGGAATTTTCTGCAAAAGCCAACAGTAAGGAAGGCTATACAGAGGGTTTTGTTTGTTTCAGTGCAGCCAGTTTATTTGTAAAGCTTTTTTTTCTGTGACCTTTTTAAAAAAATCATGTATATTTAAAGAAAAACTCGAGAGAGGTCTTAGAAAGGAAGCATTGCACCAAATATTACGACACAAGCTTACGACCTGTTTGTCACCCTATGAAAGCCTATAAACTCCTGATGATGATTCAATAATAATATAAGCCAAGTTCACAAACGTCCCAACGGTTTCCGTGGCTGCACATTATCTTGGACCGAAACATGTCAAAAGTATCTTTTCTCAACAAACCTATTTTCTTGTCTTCCCTCATCCTAATAATAATTGCAGTTTCACAAAGCCCTTGATCATACAGCGTAAGCTCAAAGCGCAGTGTGTGCAGACTCCAGCTTTGTAGGAAACATTATTTTAAAATGTAAACTAAACTACAAGTTGTATTCCATGCGAGTCATAAAGCAAGCCCGCTGAAATTAAAGGACACAACTTAGTTTGAGCCAGGCCTTTTCTGCAACGGCTCCCCGTTTGTGGAATGCTCACCCCAGGGAGGTTCGTTCATTATACATCTTTAGGTGCCAGGTGAAAACGTATCTCTTCAACCAAGCCTTGGTCTATGGCCTTCTAAATGTGTTTATGGGGGGTGGGGGTGGGGTTATTGTTTTATTTTTGTTTTAACTATTTTGTGCTTTGATTCCTGCATTTTTCTCTTGTGGACCTCCCTGAGATCTTCAGATGAAGGGTGGCATATAAATTTAATAAAAATATAAAAAATAACAGTTGTATACAGCCAAAAGGCCTTTTAAAAGCATACTGACTGTGCTTAGGGGATAATAATAATAATAATAATAATAATAATAATAATAATAATAATTTTTATTTATACCCCACCCTCCCCAGCCAAGGCCGGGCTCAGGGCGGCTAACAAGCAATAATAAAAACAAGTTGAATGAATACAACTTAAAAACAAGATTAAAATACAGCATTAAAATATTGAAACAAAATATTAAAATGCAGGCTCATCACAGGAGGAGAAAGGAAAAAGAAAGAGGGGGAGGGCATCAAATTGGCTCCAAGCCCAAAGGCCAGGCGGAACAACTCTGTCTTACAGGCCCTGCGGAAAGAAATCAGATCCTGCAGGGCCCTGGTCTCATGAGGCAGAGTGTTCCACCAGGCCGGAGCCAGTGTTGAAAAGGCCCTGGCTCTGGTTGAAGCTAATCTAACTTCCTTAGGGCCCGGGACCACTAGGGTGTTGCTATTTATGGACCTTGAGGCTCTCCATGGGGCATACCGGGAGAGGTGGTCCCGTAGGTACGAGGGTCCTGGGCCGATACACAGTGGTTTTAGATATTCATTGAGGTTGAGAATGAGGAGGAAGTTTATTACAGAATTTCTAATCTGAGAGTAAAGCAAATTAGGTTTAACAGCTAGGATAAAAAGGCACTGCCCCAGTCTTTACCAAAGAGGAAATACTGTAAATCTGCTCACACTTTGCTTTTCCTATCAGCACTATTTAAGATCTCGCCACATCCCCTACCTTTGATAGCATTTACAACAGCAACCGGCAATGGCGTGGGCTTCTCCATGGTCAAGTTGTTGTGGGCGATGCGCTGGCCAGTGGCCGAAGACCGGGCAAGAGTTTCACGAGAGAAGAAGTAATCCAACAAGCGTCTGGTCATCAGCTCAGGCTTGTCGGTGGAGACTTGGGATAGGTCCTCCAGCTGGTGGTGGGAAACGTAGACTTGCGAGTTGGGGACCAGTTCCAGCTTCGTCCTCCCATTCTCCTGTCCAATGGGAGGAGGTTATGTTACTCTATAAAGCTGCGCCATGATGTTGAAGCCCCGCCCCCTTTCTCCCACTCTTGCATCTAAGGAGGCTAGACTGTGATGCAGCAGATCCCTTCAGAACCAAGCAGAGGAGTATTTAACTGGCTCAAACATTCACTGACATGCAACAGCAGCAAAGCTACGCTCTGCAAAACGTTAGCTGTATTCAGTCCAGTTCACACAAGCAAAGCCGCACTTGGGTTTACCTTTTTGGTATTCTGTGTGGATTTGATTGTGTTGAAACCTACCTGGCAGGAAATTGTAATGTTTAGCAGTTGTATAATCAGGGCTGAGAATACTAGGCACTCAAATCTGCACCGATCTAACTGAAGTTCAATAACAGCTCATACTCATTTTTAGAAGAAGAACAGGGAGAGGAAAATGTAAAATCTAGCACACCGCCAGTATCTCTCTTGATAACAGAGATGTAGGTTGGTGTGCATGTTCAGGACAACATTCTCTGTTTTAAGGACAAATCCCGGCTCAACTCCTGCCTCCATTAAAGAAAGACAACATGGGTCACACTTTGAGAGATTGAAGTGAAGCATGTTGTGCACATATCTTGATATATTTCTCTCTTCGGAGAGCAAACATGCTTGACACTACAGGTCCATTTTCAAAAGCAGCAGGGCAGTTAGGGGACAAAGAGGAAAATTTCAGACTATTATATGGTGTCTACCTTGGCGATTGAGATATTTGAATATTAGTTGGTATACACTACTGTCAATACAATTCTATATTCTGTATTTGAAAGCTCAATCTGTACACCTGTTTCCCAAAGGTCCAGGAGGAAAGCTTCTCAAAACATAGGAGCTTTATTGTTTGATTCTGTTTACCAGAGTCATGAGGAGGTAAAAGGAGATGCAACTCAGCGGCAGCATCAACCATGGCCTGTGCATGTCTCTCCTGATGTGGAAAGGCAAGCAGCTGCCACTACCTGACTCAGACTAGTAAAGTCCAAGTGTTTGAACGGAATCCTTGATTCCTACCCTCTTGAAAACAGGTGCTGAATACGGTTTTGAACTTGACATCCAGAATGACACCCTGAACATGTGCACCCATTTTCTTTCCGATATCTTCAGGGCTGATGCAACATTGCATTGCTTTGTATGTGTTTCCTGCCCGCTTTCTGAAAATGGGCAGGAGCATCAAGCTAAAGTTGATTCTACATTTCAGGGATGGTGTCCAGGGCCTAGTTAAATGGTGGAATTCAGTGCCACAAGATGTAGTGACAGTCACTGATTCAGATGGCTTTACAAGGAGATTAAACAAATTTGTGGATGATAGGATGGGCTGCCAAAATCATGATGTCCCCAGGACCAGAGGGAGAATGTCGCTGAATATCTGTTGCTGTGGAGCAACAGTGGGAGAGCGCTACTTCGGTCACATCCTCATTGTGTGCTTCTCAGTGGTGTCTGTTTCACCACTGTGGGAAATGGGATACTGGACTATATATGCTTTAGGTCTGAATCTGCAGGCGTCTTTTGCTTTCCTAATGAATAAGCACAGCGACTCTCATTCCATTTAATCTTCAAGGCTGGTACAACATTGCACTGTATTTTGCACTTCCCTCCTTTGGTTTGAAAATGGGTTGAAGCTGCTATTAAAACATGGAATATAAAATGGTGCCCTGCATGGCTGTTTTATTCTGTTATCTTAATGTCCCATGGAGTTGTTTCCAGACAGGCACTGAGAATGTGGCAATACCCATCAGCCAAGTTAAACGAAAGGCCTCATTTAATGGCCAGGCACAGGAAGCTAATTCATAAGACATCAGGTCCCTGGCTCTCTGGGGGCCTTACCTGGAAATGCAAGTAACTGGTTGCACTCTGCCACAAAGCAGCAGCTCAGTGGCACAGTTCTGCCTGAGTTGTGATGCAGAGGTGTGAACCATTTTCCTCCTGAATCAAACAGAGACAGATCTTGCTTCATGCCACCCAATGTTCCCTCTGAATGAATGCCTTACAACATCATTGCAGCGTCCGGTCAGAGGGAGACTTCTTCCCCCATCACCTACCTCCACTGGCAATGCCCATACAGGTGACTCATCAGACAGTGTCTCTTGTACATGGTTGTCCCATGTGCTGGTGGCATCACTGAGCCCAATGGGACTTCCTGAACCATCTCCTGCATTTATCCAGGGTGACAAGCCACCTGGTTCTGTGTTTAGTATCCTCCAACCTGGTGAGATATGTGGCACAGTGGCTGGCGCATGCCTCTGATCTTCCAGAGAATGTGGTGGCTGCAGACCACTGACCTGAAAAAGATACAGATACCTGGGAGTAAAGAACAAGAGAAAGAGTGTGGTATATAGACTTACACAGGAAGCTGCCTCATAACAAATCGGATCATTTGTCTACCAAGCCTGACATTATCTTTTTTAAAAAATAATGTTTTATTGATTTTATGTACAATCTTTACAACAGAGAACTTTACAACGAAAATAAACCTTTATAACAGAAGACTTTACAACCAAAATAAACCAAGATAGAAGCAGTAACATGACTCTCATGTTTTCATTTGTACTAAATTCTTCTCAGATTTCCTTATTTTACTATTCTTTAACTTAAATCTTCTTCTTTTAATTCCTTGTTCTTAACCTCCTAAATTGCACATTTGTCCTCTACAATTTTCCAATTACTGCCTTATACCTCCCACCTTCTTTAACCATTACTTCCCTTCACCCATGTGCAATCTTCTCTTCATACTGTTATTTCTTGTTCCCTTGACAGCTATTAAATTTGTTTTTCCATTTGTATTGTAATATTCTCTTGTATCCTTGCGTACTTCCAAGCCTGACATTATCTACTATAACCGGCAAGGGCTCTCCAGGGTCCTTCACACTACTTGCTACCTGATCCTTTTAAAATAAAAACTAGAGAAGTTGGAAATTGAACCTGTATTCACACAATCAATGTCAGCTGCTGACGCGGAAAGAAAACTTTCTATTCTTGGGTACTTCCTATTCTTGGATATAGAGGCAGTAATTTTGTCAACTACCTACAGGCTGGCCCTGAACTACAAGCCTGAGACTCTTGGCTTTATACCAGAGAATTGTCATAATGATGACAATTGTAGTGGAATACTAAACCATAACAGCTCTCATTCACAATTCCACTTTACTCTTCAAAGAATAAAACAACCGAGTGATTGTTTTTTATCCCCTTTACATGGCACCTTTACCTGTGAAGGTGTGACATTCTCCAGCACTGCCACCAGGCTTTTGAGGAACTGAATATTGTTTTCATTGATATCTGGGGAAAGAAAAGCACATACAGACAACAAGAACTGTACATCAGACAGGATTTCTGGAAAATCTCTCAGAAAAAGAGTATGTGTAGTTATCTTCCCAGGATGTGCTACCTGGATTTGAGAGCAGAGACCTGAGGCTGCTGTTTTTAAAAGCATAGTAAACCCACAACTTATGTGGGAGTTACATTCCAGGGATCGTGTCTAAAGCCAAAATTGTGTATAGTCAAAACACATTGGGTTCAATGATAAATGAGATTGCCAAAGCCTTTTTTCCTGAACATCCAACCTCTTTCTTCTCCTCCTTCTCCTTCTCCTTCTCCTCCCTCCTCCTCCTCCTTTGCCAAGCTTATAAAACAGAATGTGTGCAAATTAAATGTACATAAGTTGCAGGCTTACTGTACTTCCTATTTGGAAGGGATCACATGGATCTTTTTTTCCTACCCTTCCCTTTTCTTGGTAGCGCTGTCTGCTTCACATTTAGCTTAGTTGATATATGAAGAGACAACCAGCAGTGCTATAGGGACACCTCAGTGGTAAAGTTCAGCAAAGAAGAAAAACGCAACATGCCCGATGCTTGCAGTCATTAGATCGAAGCACAGCTATGGTAGACCTCTCTTGTCTGCATGCACTTAATAGACACAACAAGCAAGTGATTGGAAGCGGCGGAATTTTCAACTGTGTGGATTACATTGTAAATAATCAAGAAGTCATGTGGGAAAACAATAAACGACTTCATTTTGCCCAGTGGGGAAGACAACAGACGTATGGTACTTGTATGTTTCCTGCTGCAAGGCACATGGCAACTCAGAGCATAAGGTGGCTATAAAGGTAAAGGGACCCCTGACCATTAGGTCCAGTCGTGACCGACTCTGGGGTTGCAGCGCTCATCTCGCTTTATTGGCCAAGGGAGCCGGCGTACAGCTTCCGGGTCATGTGGCCAGCATGACTAAGCCGCTTCTGGCGAACCAGAGCAGCGCACGGAAACGCCGTTTACCTTCCCACCAGAGCGGTACCTATTTATCTACTTGCACTTTGATGTGCTTTTGAACTGCTAGGTTGGCAGGAGCAGGGACCGAGCAACGGGAGCTCACCCCGTCGTGGGGATTCAAACCACCGACCTTCTGATCGGCAAGTCCTAGGCTCTGTGGTTTAACCCACAGCACCACCTCAGAGCAAGAGGTGGCTATATGAAGTGACAAAAAGGCCCAGGGAGAAGGGTTGAATTCCCCTGCGCTGTGGGCTTGACACTACCTCCTGGGTTGCAGTTTACACTTTATATAACTTGTGGAGGCCCTGTTCCCATAGCCATATTGGACACTACCCCTAGCATGTTCCTCTCACACCACATCCCTTGTTGAGACGTCCTCATGGACTGCCTCCATTTGAAACTTCCAGTACAGACTGGAGAGAGCACTGGTGTAGAACTCTAATCCCCCCACTACAAGCAGCATTTTGGTATTAATGGTTTGTTGTTTTTTTACCAAAGAGAGGGTGTCCTGTTCCCAGCACCACCTTGGCTGGTGCTCCTCCTCCTGCACTGTTCCTGATGGACAAGAAGTCGTTCTGCTCCTCTAAGTTCTGGGTGAGAGCTTTCAGCTCACGGTTCTCCAGCTCCAGCTCCTGGATCCTCTTCTCCTGCCGCACAGCAGCCTCCTCCCGAGACACCAGAGCTCTCCTCAACTCTGCCACCTGCCGCTCCAGTTCTCTGATCAGTTCAGCGTACAGACTCGTCACTCTGCTGTTGTCCCTGACAGGTGTGCATTCGTGAGCGTTCTGATGACAGCAACCCATCAGCTGGTGACTCAGTGACGGGGGTTGTGACAAATCCACTCCTGGCCTAGCAGGGGCAGAGATGGGCATGTAAGGAGCTGCATGGGCAGCCTCAGGATTTTCTGGAGTCCTCCTGCACTGTGGCATACTGAAAGGACACTGGCTATGGAGATCCAAATTCTGGAAGACTTGTCCGTAAGACATCCCCTGTAGTTCCAGCACTGGAGGGGCAAGGCTTGGACTCATGTGTCTTCTACCAGCAAGCTTGGTTTTTTTCCGTTTTTTGCCTTCTTCGAATGAGCATGTTAGGGGAGAGCAGGCTTTTCCAGCGCTCCTTAGTGGTTGGGTGCTGGAAGCAGACAAAAAGAAGGAGGAAGTTTCAAGAGAAAAGGATCTTGCAAAGCCTAGAAGCAACTACCACAGAATGACTCTCTCTTATGAATCAGCTGTGCTGCTTTTAGGTTCCCCAGAATCTTCCCTGTCCGTTCTTGAAAAAAAAACAACAACAACAAAAACCAACAACTTTCTTTTCATTAAAAACAGTAACATGAAAGTGACTAGCACTCATTGCAAAGGAAATCTTGACACGGGGGGAAATAGCGTCCTTTCTAGAACAGAGACTTGAGTCCCTGAGTGTTCCTTAACTGCAGATGGCCCATTTGAACTCATTAGTAACCTGCATGATCCCAATTTAGTTCCTAAAGATTAAGTGTAAATGCTGGCATTAAAAAAAACAACCCTGCAACACTTGCTAGTGAGGACACTATCCCTCCAAACTGCTCAAAGTCTTGTTATCTCGCCTAAATTGTACCCCACCTTCTATGCTGCATGGCTCTCTTACAACTCCCCCCCCTCCCATCTTGTCATTTTTGCAATATGAATTCCTACTGCAGTTCAACATTACCACTGGAATGTCGTTTTTCATTCTTCAGACGGCCCTTTACAAGCACATCCCACAAGAAAATACCTGGTGACAGTATTGTGGCTGGACTTTCTCCATACCTGACACATTCTTCAGCCACTCGTCGCTGAGAGGTCAGCTTGTGAGGCTGATGAAAAGTGGAACTCTCCAGAGTGTTGCCTTTCATTCTTGCTTCCTCCTGAAGATTATCATCCATACGTTGCTGCACAGCCTAGGATTAGGAGCTTGTTGGGTCTGTACACCTTCAGCTATTCATCCCCATCTTTGAAGAGGCCAGCACCTGCATCAGAAACTGTCCAAGACCAACCCTTAGTTTGAGCCAGAGTTTGATAGAATTTGTTGTCAGCGAAGACATGGGAGCATGTAAATAAATCCAGAATGAAATGTTTCAAAGCTTCTGCAAGGGTGCCTACCCTGGTCACCAATAGCCTTCTCCCACGAGTCTGAGTTTAAGGTTACATATACACCATTAATTTAAAACATGTTATTTCAACCAAAGAATCCTGGGAACTGTAGTTTACCCCCTCACAGAGCTACAGTTCCCAGCACCCATAACACACCAAAGTTTCCACAATTCTTTTTTAAAAAAAATATATCTTTATTAACATAATTTTAATAATACAAAACAATCTGCTCCTCATCTTGTAGAGGAGACAAGGATAATCTAAAGTAGAATAATAATAATAATAATAATAATAATAATAATAATAATAATATCTGCCAATATAGTCCACCAGGTTTTATTCTTCATTTATGCAAACAAAAACAAAGATGAAATACAAAGATGTCTTGCAGTAACTTGCAAAATTTTGGGGCTGCTATGAACATTGTGGACTTGAATTTTGATTCTTCCCATAATTCTTTGGTGGAAGTCATGCACTTCCAGTGTATGGTGTGGAAGAAAAAGGGTTTGCAGTACAGGACTTCCCTATCCTTCCCCATTATTCATATATTGTTTTCCCATACCTTGCTTCAATCTCTCTCTCTCTCTCTCTCTCTCTCTCTCTCTCTCTCTCCCTTTCTCTCATAGATCCCGTTCTTTTTTGCCTTCTTGTTCCCCCCCATTGCCATTTAAATGTATCCTTCAGCTAGACCTTAGGGCTTTGAGGTCTGGGACACACTCAGCTCTCCGCGCCGCCTCCTGCCCTTTTTGATGCCACACTAAGATGCCATCAAGCATCTTCACAACTGGGTAACCAAAATAAATCTGAACAACCATGCATTAGGGTCAATGTCTTCTCGGTCAAGAGGGCATAACTTAGAAGTAAGCTGGATCTCTAAGACATACCATTTTACAAAATTTAAATGCTGTTAATGTTGCAGAGTTTATTTCTTTATTACATTTACGTTCCACCTTTCCTCCAAGGTGGTGCATGTGCTTTCCCCCCTCCCCATTTTTATCCTCCTAACAACCCTGTGAAGTAGGTTAGGTTGAGAGCCACTGACTGATCCAAATGAGCTTCATGGCTGAGTGGGGCTTTGAACTCCAGTTTCCCTGGTTCTTGCCCAACACTCTAATCCCGTGGTTCCCAATCTGGGGCACACTCTCCACAGGGGGGGCAATTCGAGAATGAGTTATTAACAGTTAATTGTCTTTTAGGCTTCCTCCACTTGAATAGGAGTTCACTTTTTGAATAATAAGAATTATATGTCATGGGGGGGGGGTATCAGGATTTTAGAGATGCTTAGGTGAGGCATGGACAAAAAAAAGATTGGGAACCACTGCTTTAAACACTAGAATTTTTTTTTACTGCATTTTGTATGCAATTATATATAATATACATGTCTAAAATTGTACCCAAGATGGTGCATGCACACACACACACAATTTTAGAATTCAATCAATCAATCGCAAGAACTGCAGTATTATTATTATTAATAATAATAATAATTATTGACTTTATATGCCGCCCTATATCCGAAGGTACTATTCCGTTTCTTTCAAAATCACAGCTCTGGGGCCTGTTTCCAAACACAGGGTTGACACCTGGGACATATATTGAGTAGACCGTGCAAAAAAAAGAAGAAAAAAAGAGTGCCACTGGGCATTTGCAGACTACACCTCTCATTTCTAGAAGCAGCACTGCGTCGAGGCCGCTCGAGCTTCCCTGAGCAGCCCCTTCTCACCCCAACTGCCGGGTTCTGCCTTCCCACCCCAAAGAGAGAAGGGACCCTGTACCTTTAACAGCACCTCCGTAGGGTCTGTTTACAAGCTTGGCGCAGCGCCCTCGGCTCTCCGCGCCTCCTCCTGCCCTTCTCCTACTGGCCGCGGAGCAATTTCCTTCTGCCTCCTCATTGGGCCGCCTTCCGCCGCCTTCCCATTGGCTGCCGAGGGGAGGCGCCTTCTCGCCTTCCCTATAGACTTTTCAGCAGGTAGACTAGTGACGCGCCGCCCAGCTTCCGGGCCGAGTTGGAAAGTTCATTACCTGGAGGGGCCCGAGAGATGGTCAGTTCCTTTGCGGGGCGGGGCAGCAGAGCACCAGGCTTCTGCCGGCAGCTGACCGTAGGCGGCGACGGAGGTGGACGAGAATCCTGTGGTTGTTCGAAGGAAAGGCAGCATTCCCAGTCATATAATAAATGAATCATAAACTGGAAATTAAAATAGCATCAGAACCAGATTCTTGGGGGGTGGGGTGGCTTGGGCAAGACACCCACAATAGGCCCCACTCTTTGCCTGGTATTATTGGCAACTATTGCTGCTTCATCCTGGCTCCTAGCAAGACAGAGCCAATGTGCAAGCAAGCAGTGGCTACTGCTGCTGCTGCTCCTCCTCCTTGCCATCATTCAGCGGTTCTCAACCTGTGGGTCCCCAGATGTTGTTGGACTACAACTCCCATCATCCCTGAGCTCTGGTGCTAGCTAGGGGTGATGGGAGTTGTAGTTCAACAACATCTGGGGACCCACAGGTTGAGAAAGGCTCATCCCTTCTGGACTAGACCAAGAGGCAGGTTCTGACTCTCAGGGAATCATAGAATTGTACAGTGGTACCTCGGGTTAAGAACTTAATTCGTTCTGGAGGTCCGTTCTTAACCTGAAACTGTTCTTAACCTGAAGCACCACTTTAGCTAATGGGGCCTCCCACTGCCGCTGTGCCGCCGCCACCCAATTTCTGTTCTCATCCTGAAGCAAAGTTCTTAACCCGAGGTACTATTTCTGAGTTAGCGGAGTCTGTAATTTGAAGCGTCTGTAACCTGAAGCGTCTGTAACCCGAGGTACCACTGGAGAGTTGGAAGGGATCCTGAGGGTCATCTAGTCCAATGCAGGAATCCTGCCCACAGCCATCGCTGGGTGGGCTCAAACCTCCAAACTTTTGGTCAACAGCCAGACACACTGACCCAATGCGGCCGTAGCTCAGGGGTAGAGCATGTGCTCTGCATGCAGAAGGTCACAGGTTCAATCTCCAGTGCAGGCATAGGCAAACTCCAGCCCTCCAGATGTTTGGGACTACAATTCCCATCATCTCTAGCTAACAGGACCAGTGGTCAGGAATGATGGGCATTGTAGTCCCAAACATCTGGAGGGCCGGAGTTTGTCTATGCCTGCTCCAGTGGCCTTACCAGGTAGGGCTGGGAAAGAGCTCCCCTGCCTGAAATCCTGCACAGCCACTGTCTGTCACTGTGTGGAGACAATATTGAGCTCGATGGACCTATGGTCCAACTCGCTATAAGGCAGCGTCCTATTCTCCTTGGTGAACAAGTAGGATGCCTGGCGAAGCAGAGAAGCACATCCAGGGAGATCAGGTCAGTCAGCCCCTGCTAGGGTGTGGGTCCTCCACAGATGCCCACCCATTGGGACAAGCCTTGAATTAAAACAAGGTTACCGTCCTAAATGTTTTCCTTTACCTGTGTGGTTTGAAGTCAGACCATGTGGGCAAAGGTACAGACCAATGAAAGCCCATAACAGGGTGGTGTTTTGCTTATTATTATTACCAATGATCAGGGTGGATTTGATTTAAATCAAATTGATATAAATCACGATTTAAATCACTAGTCAGTACAACTTGATTTAAATCACTAGTCAGTAAGACTTGATTTAAACCACTAGTCAGTAAGACTTGATTTAAATCTTTTTTTTTACAGAAAGACTCATTCTTGCTGGTATAATCTTAATATTTACAACCAGATGAAGGTTTCATTTTTGGAATAATAAATTTTCAGAGTAGTTTTCACAGTTATATCAAAAATTACTGATTTGGTTATACTATTAGAAATACATAGACAGATAATTTTGAAATTATTGTGAGGTTTCATAAGTTAACTGTATTTGGACAACTTTTCTGCTGTACTTTACTGGAAGGAGAAAAATAATAATTTCCTTAATAACAATTTAAACTATTTATTTAACTAAAACAATAGCAATATCGCATATCTATCCATGTCTGTTAACTGATGTGATTAAACAATTTAAAAGAAAACAACTTAGACTGAGTTTTAGCACACATGAAAAACTTAAAACAAATCCTTATTTCCTGATGAATAGCCTTTGGACTATAATGTAACTTCAATAGAAAAATATCTTTAGAATTTTTTTTCTTCCAAAAGCATTTATTTTAAAAATCCAATTTAAATTTTGTTTTAAATCCAATTTAAATTTTTAGAAATCTGATTTATTTTATTTTTAAAAAATCATTGATTTTTATCCACCCTGCCAATGATAGTCCATAATGGTCAACTTTTTATTATGATCAAGTCTCCATTTTGAAAAATAATTGTAAAGGTTGTTTAACATAAAGTGTTAAAACATAACCAGAAAACACAGATATGTCTTAATTAGCCATGTCTTGATTAGAAGATTAAACAACTTATTGATTCCCAAATAAATATTTTTTATTGGATGGGGGAAGGATGTCGATTTGCAAATCTACAAAACCAATAAAATCAGGAGAGGAAAAAAATATTAATCCTGTTCATCGTCATATTCCAGACCCTCTAGATGGCAAGTTCTGTGGTGGATCCACGCATTCCTCATTTTCAAAACGATCTGCTCCAAGCGGGAAAGGCGCTGCTCAAAGTCTCTCACTGCAATGAAACAGCATTATTTTTGACTAGGCCAGAACAACTATTGCTTCAACACACACTCTGTGACAACTGGTTTCAAATACAGGTAACTCACATCTTATGGGAAGGTTAGGTTATGGGGGTCCACGTGTATACACAAATATGTGTAAAAGCCACAAACTCCTGAATCTACACCCCTGGGTTTCCTCCACTCTCCATCTATTTATCTCCCCCACAAATTGCAAATCTGCTGTTGTAAACAAACTCCTGAATCTACACCCCTGGGTTTCCTCCACTCTCCATCTATTTATCTCCCCCACAAATTGCAAATCTGCTGTTGTAAACAAAATCTGCCCTTACTCCCTTATGGGGGACACAAGAGCCCTTATACAGTCCTTTGTACGTTCTCCATCAGTAGGAGAAAATAGCAGAGGCCAACCAGAGAATATTGAGAAGCAAAGCAGCTAGTAAGCCTGATCTTTATTAAAATGTTGCAACAGGGTGCTTCCCTCACATGCAGGAGAAAGGAGGCGGACCCAGAATAAAGGGGTGCCTGCCCTCATATAGACATTTTAAATTGCCTTCTCTGGAGCTCAAGACCACCCCGCCATACATCATACATGCATCACAGAAGGGGTGTAACCCAAGACCACCCTCTACAAACATCATACCAACATCACAGAAAAGGCGGTCTACAGCAGAAATTTGAATGTTGTTGTTTTTCCTGTGTGCCAGGTTATCGATAATGCCTTATCTGATTGCCTTTCCTGGTAGTCTGGCCATTCCTTTGAGATGGTGATTACCCAATTCCTGAGACAATGGGAAGGTTCCCTTACCCCCTCCCTCCTTGAAGAGAAAACATTTGGTCAGTTTAGGAGTCAGAATGGTTTCAGGTCGGTCTTCTTGTGCTGATCTATGTACGTGCTTGGTTGGTACATTTATGAACATTTATTATATATACAGTGGTACCTCGGGTTAAGTACTTAATTCGTTCTGGAGGTCCATTCTTAATCTGAAACTGTTCTTAACCTGAAGCACCACTTTAGCTAATGGGGCCTCCTGCTGCCGCCAGGGCACGATTTCTGTTCTTATCCTGAAACAAATTTCTTAACCCAAGGTACTATTTCTGGGTTAACGGAGTCTGTAACCTGAAGCGTATGTAACCTGAAGCGTATGTAACCCGAGGTACCACTGTTTAAGACCTTAAATTTTTTATTACATGCAACCACGTAAGTAAAAAAAGTGTCAAATGCGAGTTACCTGTAGTGGCAAGAATGATACAGAAGTAAAAAAACAGGAATTATAGCAGGGTGCAAAGAAGCGAGGAAGCTTTTTTTCTGTTGAGTGTTGCATTCCCTTGGGGGTAACCTTGGGAGCACACCAGCAGTGGGGAAGGGCAGAGACAGCAGTGGGTGTAGCCAAACCCCCCCCCCCATCTCCCTTTGCAACTTCAATATCAATATGCTCTTGACAGTCACACACCCTCTACTGCTTAATCAAATCCCATTCCATAAAAATGAAAGGTCCTCCTGACTTACATGTGTTACTGATGGTGAACTCGATCTTCTGCATTCCAAGCAGGATCTCATCCAATGTGATCTTTTTTGGTGATTTAGGGAAATAGCGTGGATTGGTTTGCGTCTCTGCCTCCGTCCCATCAGATGCATCTTTGGAGGTGCAGGGCCTTTCAATATCATCATCTTCCAGGGGTGGGGTGGGGGAAGGAAAGGGGGGTGTTAGTAACATGATAGTCTCCTTGCTTTGTCGAAATCTCTTGATATGTATCAACAGAGAGCTTGGAATCTATTCGATCATTGTGGATAATATTTAAGTGGGGTACAAGACTAGCTGAGTAGCAGTTGTTTATTGCAAGAGGAGGTGTGTGCTGTAGCCCAAAGAAAAGCTCTAATGTGTAAAGGACACACCGATTGGAACATATTCACTGACTCACTGTGGACAATACCATATGTACTGGGAGAGAGACAAGACTAGCTGGGTTGCCCTTTTTGTTGCAAGCTGGGAGTGGCATACTATATACAGTGTACCCTGTATAGTTCTAAGGGAATCTTTAGACACATATTGACACAAGACACTGTGCATTCTACACTTGGAACAAGTGTTGGGCGGGCAGAAGTTGGAAGGTTATAATATACTTTTCTTAAACTGATAAGTATTTTCTTGGTTTTATGCACCAACCTTGACCTTTTGATGGCCGCCGTGTTTTGTCTTGTTCCTGTATTTTTTGTGGTTCTTGAAATTTTTTTGCTTCTTGTTCTTGTACTCTTTTTGCTTCTTGTTCTTGTACTCTTTTTGCTTCTAGTTCTTGTACTCTTTTTGCTTCTAGTTCTTGTACCCTTTGTTGTTCTTGTTCTTGTACTTTTCTTTGCTCTTGTTCTTGCTCTTTTTCTGATTCTTTCTTTTGCTTTTGCTTTTGCTCTTCCTCTTCATCGTCGTCATCCTCCTCGTGCTCCAGTATATAAGCAACTACCAAAACAGCAAACATGCCTGAATAAATTGCCCACCTGGCCAGGTACGACTGTAAGAAGCTGCCCTCGGTTAAACCACCCCATGTGCATAGAAGGGTTTGGAGGAAAATTATTTCTCCATTACTCAACCCAACACATCACCACAGAGCCATGGGTGGCAGAGGGAGGGCAGCTGTATTCTCAAAGAAGTTTGCAACGTGCAAAAGCGCTATGCTGGATAAACAGCTATCTAAGGCAAGAGCTTTATTTTGCATCTTGTTCCACATGACACATCTGATCCAGCCAACTGGGCTTCTCAGCCACTTCCCACAAGTAAATCATGTGAACACAGTAAGATGGCTACTCCCAGACAGAGTCTGGATGCACACTATATATTTCAAGTACCCTTCAAGTGCATTCTCCCTCCTTCAAAGAATTATGGGGACTGTGGTTTGTAAATTATGGCGCCCATAATTATCTGATTGCTCTTTAAAGGTATAGCACGTGCACAGTCACAGAGAGGAACCCTGCTTCTACTGTTCCACAATATCAAAAAATATCAGCCTTGATTCTTCCAAATTTAGAGCAAGCTTCAGTTGCCACCAGCCTGAAGCCTGCCTGCTACAGACAGGCCTCTTTGCACACCTACGAAAACAGATGAGGAGGAGAGAAGGTTGTTCCACATTACTGTCTCCACTGTGTTCTATTACATTTTTATATGTGCTGGAAGCTGCCCAGAGTGGCTGGAGAAACCCAGCCAGATAGGCAGGGTATCATTGTTAGCAGCAGCAGCATCCCAAGAATAAACTTCTGCACAGACTGCCTGGAGCAAACTGCTGTTCCAGGCTAGAACCTGCAGGGGGGAAATAGGACCACGGTCAGCTCACAGTGGAGCCGGATTGAGTCAGGCTGTATGCAAGACAGTGGTAGTAAGCTAACTGAGGCTGTGGACACATTTCCAGTTTACAATGCAAATGGGTGGTTCTTTTTCTTAAAAAATGGGTGGTTCTTTTTCTTTTGGAGAAAAGCTGGTTTGAGGGGGAAACGCTTCAAAAAACCGTGTTTCATAAGAAATGATAGGAGAGATTGCGACTGATGTGACGTGTGCACGCTGCTTCGCAAACCAGCAGCACACTGGATGCAGGGTAAATGGGCTGGAGGCTTTAAAGCAGCGGTTCTCAACCTGTGGGTCCCCAGATGTTGTTGGACTACAACTCCCATCATCCCTGAGCTCTGGCTTTGCTAGCTAGGGATGATGGGAGTTGTAGTCCAACAACATCTGGGGACCCACAGGTTGAGAAAGGCTGCTAAAGACTTGGATGCTCCCAACTCCACAGGAAACTGTCGGTGCTTAAGGGAGCCATGGTTTGTTCCTCAGGTCCTGGCTCTGACAGAGCTGAGCAACTTTCTGCTTTCCCTAGGCCACAGAGAGGTGTCTTTCCGTACTGCTGAGGGTTCTGAGGACATATCCTGAGGCTTGGAGGACAGGTCAGGGCTATCTCCTCAGGTTGTGGAGGTGAAGGCTTCATTAACTCCTGGGGAACCCCTCTGCTGAAAATCTCCAGTGGGGTAGTGGCTTCTGAAGGTCTTTCAGAGGATGGGCCCTGCGTCCAAGTCTTCCCCAGCCCCCAGGGTTCTGACTTCTGAGCCATGTCACCTGGACAGTCCTGTGTTGCGTATGCTCCACAAGCAGCCACGGCAGCTTACTGGGAGGGAGAGAGGTGACTTGCTGGGAGGGAGAGAGCACAACATAAGCACATTGGTGGAGCCAATCCAGCACTCCCGCCAGTACGTTTGCAGCTGACTGACCTCACAACCCTTTTCCCCTCCCGGTAAGCTGCGATGATATCAGTGATGGGAGGTCAGGTAAATGCTGTCACCCCACTAACTGCTACTGCCAGAGTCCCATGGGGCAAACAACTGACATGTGAATTGTGCTGGGCTATCAGAGCATTGTGGGTTGAGCGTGCTGGAAACACAGGGGTTTCACTTCTACAGCAGTGAGGAAGGGGATAGTTGTTTGTACTTAGGACTTCTCGGTTCTTGTTTCTGGGGACTGCCGTTGGTACTTCCAGCCGCATAGGCGTGGAGGTAGGCATGGGGGCCGTGACGTTATCTTTGCAGCAGCTCCAGGCCATTTTTAGCTGTTCCCCATCCTCCGTAGAAACATCCTCCTTTTTATCTTGGCAGAAAGGAAACCTCCCAGGCCCTCTGGTTCAGAGGCTATTGCCTGGTATCCCTCTTCTGCTGCGTCAATGTTGGCATTCCTCTTTTGAATGGGGATCCGCAGCTTTTCCAGCCTAGAGAACAGAGTGGGAGAAGAAAGTGAGAAATGAGGGTTTGCAGTCTTCCTTCCTTCCCTATCTGCCCACATGGAGCCTTTGTAGTATGTAGTGTTTCTAGATATTTACTTCTCTATTTATTTAGGTCTGTCTCCAGCCCTAGTCCTAATCATCTTAGACCCACTGAAGTTCATGAAGGTGAGTAACGTTGGTTTGTGTCAGTGGGTCTAGTCTGAGTACAGCTTAGTTGAATGCAACCCTTAAGAGTTTTTCTATGCTGCTTTGCATCAGGCCATGAGCTCAAAGCAGTTTACGTAAAGCAAACATAATAAGATTTACAGAAACCCTTTTTTAAAAAAGAAAACCCACAGTAAAACAAAGTAATTGGTGAAAAATACTAAAAAAGACTAGAGGATGAAAAATAAATCTCAACATGGCTTCCAAAGGCTTGGGAAAACAAGGGAGCCTTCAGCATGTGCTGGAAACCCATCAGAGTCTTAACCATTTTTGCCTTCAAGGGAGGGAAGATCATAATTGCAGAGCCACCACAGAGAAGGCCCTGCCCTGGATGCCCATTTGACAGGCCACATCCTTTGTTGGGACCACAAACAGGGCTGCGCTGCTGATCTAAGGGCTTGGGTTGATTCATATATTAGGGCACCATCCTAACTCCGGCTGGGCAGCATCAGAGTTTGACAAATCAACAGGATTTCAATCATTCCACACTATTCCATTCCCCTTCCCCATAGTTTTCCCCCACCCACCCGTTTCTAGTCAGCATTTCATGGCCTCTGGGCATGATCAGTCCTCATTACCCCTCCTCCCCAAGTTTTCCTACACAATGGGGTTTTTCCTAATTTTTTTTTTATATTTTGGCAAACCTTGGAGTTGTCCCAAGCCTGCTGATACATTTCTCTTGTGCGCAGATGGTGCCATTTTGGTTACATGAGGAACTGCACTCACGGCCTGAACATTGGAAATAGAGGGAATTATATTTCTTTCTTTTCCTTTGGAATTATATTTCTAAGCACAGGTGGAAGCAATTTATGGAAATGTATAATATGCAATCAAAATCCTTTTCCCTCAATATCGCCTGCTGGAGCTTTGAAGGTCCCCACAAAGGAAAAGGCAAGCCGTTTTAGTTGAAGCATTTAAACTGGTTCCAGTTATAATCTTTTGGAATTAATTCTTTCAGTGCTGAGAAGGGTCCCCCCTAGAATAGCTTTGAACAAGCCTTAAAGAGCAACAGACCCAGAAATCACTAACAAATCCTAGCTACACCTCAAGTGTGTGAGTGTGTTTTTCTGTCTCTGTCCCTCCCTCGCTTTCTCCAGGAAGAGTTTACAGAATGCTTCATTGTCACAAGAGCAATGTCTAGAAAAGAGAAGCATTTTAAGATTTAACAAATTTACTGCCCAGCATCTTACCAAATTGGGAGCACACACGACCTAACATTGATATGTTAGGTATTCATGTACATCACTTCTTACTGAACGGTGCAGATGATTCTAAGGTAAAAGTAAAGGTACCCCTGCTCGTACGGGCCAGTCGTGTCCGGCTCTAGGGTTGCATGCTCATCTCGCTCTAGAGGCCGTGAGCCGGCGCCGTCCGAAGACACTTCCGGGTCACGTGGCCAGTGTGACGAAGCTGCAGCTGGCGAGCCAGCACCAGCGCAGCACACGGAAATGCCGTTTACCTTCCCGCTATAAAGTGGTACCTATTTATTTACTTGCACTTAAGAGTGCTTTTGAACTGCTAGGTGGGCAGGAGCTGGGACCGAACGATGGGAGCTCACCCCGCCGCGGGGATTTGAACCGCCGACCATATGATCAGCAAGTCCTAGGCACTGAGGTTTTACCCACAGCGCCACCCGCGTCCCAAAGGGTGATTCTAAGCACACCCAAATAACCTATCATTTCACATTGCCTGCAATTTCTAGAGGATTCTGTGTTTTCTGTATTTCACCCTCCCTCTCCCAGCAGTTCCACTCATGTCCGGCACTTAGTTAAGAACAGAAATAGGAGTTCCAATCTTTGGAGAGTTTAGTAACAGCAGCTGGTGACAAGTCCCTCTATGCAATTAGGAAGTCTCGTCTCATCTAGGTCTCATACACCAAAAGCAGGTTTCCAGTCCTATTCGTTTATAATCAAGTCAGACTAAAAATATAACAATTATGGAAATGTTAACAAAATGAAAGAGAAAAGCATCAAACACTTACTCTCATAGAGGACCTCTGGTCATCTAATAAGTGGGCCAGCAGAGGGAGGTGTCACAATGAAGGTCATGTCACTGTTACCTTAGCAACCTGGGTCAGCCAGGGGCATTGTTACTCTTAATATGAACACAGGTGCTATGGTTTCTAATTCATTCAGTTCGTTATGCATATTTTTGCTTTTCATTCAGGCAAAATTTGCCCATGTGCCTGCTACACATAGCAGAGTTTGTTTGTGTATATGGGGCTTATGCAGGATGTCACCACCACATATCCTGCAAATGCCATTTTAAATGTCACTTCTGGCAATGCACATAGGGATTTAGAACAGCCCAAAAGCAGCAGCTGTGCTGTGTTGGCTGGCATCCATCTGTCTCAGAAGAAAATGGAAGAGTGCGCCTTCAGGGCTGAAGTCAAACTGTTGGAGAGTTACGGTGCCTGCTGTGTCTGTAGAGAGACCAATACAGGAGAGACATGTTTTGTTCCAGCTGGGGCAGATAAAGGTGTCTGGTTGTGCTGTTGCAGAAGCACCATGGCATTTCTTCTCTCTGTGCTCCTCCCAGCTGTCATTCCTCCTCTGGCCAATGTGGATACAGGACCTGAGTGTCTGTCTCCAGCTACTGGGATTGCCTGCAAGGGATTCCCACACGGCAGAGTTAATGTTGCCAGCATTCATATCACATCTGCAGACTGAAGCCAGCTCCCCATGCAACACACCCTTGGAGATCCTGCAATCTTCCATTCTGTGGACATGGCCAAGCATAGACCTTGCTGAGACACAAATGCCAACATACGGGGAATGGGGCTTGGGAGAGCACATTTGAGATTCTGCAATGCCATGTGATGCCCAAAATCTTCCTGCCATGCCGCATGTGGAAGGCATTTAGGCATTGCTCCTGGCAGGTGTTAGTTGCCCACAAATCTATATGTGTTACTGAAAAATATAGAAAATGATCATTCAGTTATACATCTTGGGGTGAGCTCACCACACTCTTTGGGCAAAACCCCATGTATTTGTGGGTTGTGGGTGCATGTATGAATCTACTACCCTTGATGTGACATTTCTGCTGCCATTGGACCTTACTGGCATCTAAATTTTTTTGATGATCAATCAAATCCTCACTTGGCCATGAAGCCCATTGTCTCTTAGCCTAGCCTAAGAGGTTAATTAAGGTGCTAAAAGTGGAGGAGAGGGATCTACGGCAGAGCTCCTTGAAGAAAAGTTGGGAAATAAATAAGATCTCAGGAGCAAGAAGCCCTTGTCTTTGTTGCCACCATTTGTGAATAGTCTGAGTAGAACACGCTACTCAGTAGGGGGTTGAAACTGCGTACACTGTGCACTGTGCCTTTTAAGCACATTCGAAGCAGATTTCCCCCCTCAAAGAATTATGGGAACTGTAGTTTAAGGGTTGCTGGGAACTGTAATTCTGTGAAGTGTAAACTACAGGGTCCACAATACTTTGAGAGACAAAACGCATTTGGAATGTGCTTTCAAAGCCTAGGCCTGTCACTTATTTCTCAGCCGAAACAACTTCATAAGCAGAAGGTGGGAGCGAAGAACTGTGTACACTCGCGAACTTACGGGCGCGTTTCCCCTGTACACAGACCCTTCGCGATGCTAGAGGCAAGTCGCTTGCCATTGGTTTACGAGGGACCGCCTTCTACCTTCTGATTGGTGGTGACTTTGTCGTTTCGCGCTCTTGATTTGCTGTGGTCGAAGAAGTGCGGGGGTAGAGGAAAAGGTGGGCTCTTGCTTCGTTTCTGATTGGGCGCTTGAGACCTCGTTTCCTCCCGGCCTCTGAGGTTAGCGGAGAAGACGCGAGCTGCTTCCGCCCGCGTCGCTCTTTTCCGCGCGTGCGCACTGCAAGGGGGCAAAGAATCTTTTGATGTTGAGCCGCGCGGTTCGCCTGGGGTCGCGTCCTTTGGGGTTTCGTGGTTCAAGCCAAGCGGGGAAATCGTCTCGTGCCATGGATCTGACGCACCTTCGGAAAGACTACAGGGGGGACGATGAGGTGAGGGAGCAGCATTAAACCCCAGAACGTGTTTTTGCACTGCAGCGTTTCGGGGCCAGGGAATGCTGAAGGACAGAGTGCCTCTGAGCTTGTGCAGAGTGCGCGGCGTTTCTCGGGCCAGCGCTTAGCCTCGCAGTTTGCCTTTCGATCCGAAAAGAATCGTAGCGTAGTAATAAAGGTGTTGTTTCTGAGCATATACAGAGTGGCTGAGCATATATAGAGACGCTCACTTGTCTTAACACAAACAGATGCTGGAGGTATAAGAGAGTTGTGGAAAAATAGATGCCCACTATCTATTACATAATGGTCTGAGGGCCTCACTACCCAGTTTGCATTTGATCTAACGTATTTCATATAGATCTAACATATTTCATATAGGCGTCAATTTCAGGTGGATGTCTATGTGGACATCTAAAGGGTTTACGTTTAAATTTGTATACTGATGGTTACTTTACCTACCTGCATTGTAGTCTTATCATTATTGGCATATTATTATTTGCCGTTTCTATTTTTTCCTCTTCTCTTTATTTTTTCAATTTTCTTTCATCTTTCCTTTTCCTTCTCACTAAATTTGCAAGTAAACTAATAATAGAATCTCCTTGATGTTTGAAGCTGTGAACAAGAGATTAGATCAAATTGAAATTGCATTTAGAATCCCTTTGAAATCACTGGGGCTTACATTAGTCATGGCTTCACATCTAATTTAGGCTGGAACCCACCCAAGGCATCCAAAGCATATATTAAGAGACAAGGTAGAGAGCTTTTGCTTCAAATTGAGCACTATGAGACTGGGTCCAAAAGCTTGGGTGGGTGTGTCAATTGATAGATGCAGGCAGGTTTGGAGGAAAGGGTCAGGTGATGATTATGGAACCATGAAGGCTGGGAGGATGATGGAACAATTGGGGAATATCAAAAGGAGGGAAGGGGAAATGGAAAGGGTTGGTGAGTTTACAAGAACACAATAGGTGGTGGAGAAGCAGTAGGATATGACACACTGACCACATTTTGGAAATGAGAAGTGATAGATGTGTGACTGAAAGGGGAGAAGAACTGGCGTCAAACGGTGTAGCCACCTGCTAAAAATGTGGGTGTTTTTTGTTCCCATCCCAGGCCTTTGAGGAGAAACATCTGACCTCCCTTAACCCTATTAAGCAGTTCTCTGTATGGTTTGAAGAAGCTATGAAGTGCCCATCTATTGGGGAAGTCAATGCCATGTGCTTAGCCACCTGTACTAGGTAGGAATCATTGCCTGATGGCTTGTATTCTTGTTGCTTTATGGGTTTGGGGGACCCAGGGCCAAAGTAGAGAAGAAATATTTGCCTATCTACAAGCTGTGTTTATCCCTTCCTAGAGATGGACGGCCTTCTGCTCGGATGCTGCTTTTGAAGGGGTTTAGCCAGGAAGGCTTTCGCTTCTTCACTAACCATGAGAGCCGGAAAGGAAGAGAGCTGGTGAGTGCTACTTGTACAGAAAGATTATCGGAGAAAAGTTGAACCTTTGTAAACTGGCACCTCAGATTTACTTCTGTGGAGCTGACAGTTTGAATCCAGGCTTCTTATTTTTTAAGTGAAACAGCAACAATCCTTTAGGATATCTACATTTTGTGACCAATATCAATTATGCAAAGTTAGGAAAGTTGCAAATATTTGCCTATTCTGCTTCCATTTTGCTGTGGGGACATACATAAGCACCTATGCAAGCTACTGAGGGGGAATTGGAAGTCTCATAGAAGCTATCTATGGCGTCTCAGATTTTGCCAGCTCAGCAACAGGTGACCCTGAGCTAAACTGGGCCAGCCAAAGGGTTATGAGTACAAATTCCTCTTCCTTCTGCAAATAGACAATTCAAGCAGCAAGGAGCAGAGAGAGAAGCTGACTGAAAAAAAAGTACGACAAAAAACTCTTCAGTCCATATCATCCTTGCCTTCTAGCTTAGGGAATCCAGGTGTCTCTGTGTAGACACCATATGTTTAAAGCACTTTCCCCCACCCCCAAAGAATGCAGGGAACACTACCTCTCACACAGCTACAATTCCCCACAAACTACAGTTCCCATGATTCTTTGTGGGAAGTCACATGCTCTGAATATATTATATGTACACAGCCTTAGTCAGCGGACATGGCAACTTTCTTTTCACTGTTGCTTTTCTCACCATTTGCAGGATTCAAACCCATTTGCTTCAATGGTCTTCTACTGGGAGCCCCTCAATCGCCAGGTAAACTGTCTTCTCTGCATCTACTGAAAAGAAGTCCTGTAGTCAAACTGGAAACCTCTGTAATACATGGGGTGGGTGACATGGTAAGAGGAGCTTTGGTGAACTTTTGTCCTGGCTGCTCCTTTTCATTTTCCCAGTTGCTGCTTATATGTGCTGAGTCTTACTGTATGCAGCCAGGTCTTGAGCAGATGGACAAGGGCATGATCTTGCTACAGCTGGAGGCTCTTCCTCTTTGGCCTGTTCTGTGGAAGATGCTGAACTCTGATCTCAAGTATGGAAGGGACTGAAGTGTCGGTACTTGAGTTTGCTTCAGCTCTTCTTGTATCTCGTGAAAATGAAATCATCCCTTTGGAACAGCTCGGAGGGAGTATTGTAGTTATCCTCTCTGGTTTGTAGCAAGTCTGCATTTTGGAACCAGAAACTGCTATTCATTGCCGTGTGTCTTGTTCTTTCAGCCACCTCCTCCTTACTGTCTTTCAGCTCCCTTTCCCAGCTCAGAGAGCCACCAACACAAGCAGGGCACCTTAAAATGTGGCCATGGGAAAGACTCCCATAGAGACTAGAAGTCGTGTGCTTTCCCTCTCTGTGTCCATAGAGAGGCCATAGAGTCTGTGGGGTGTGAGCTTACTGTTCCTCCTCCCTCAAGATCTAATGATAGACAGCTGTTCCCGCCACTGCAAGGCAAGAAGCAACATGCTAGATGGAACAAGGCCATGGGCCACATCTGGGCCACAGGCATCCAGAGGTGTAGAGTGGGAGAAAAGAACTTTTAATTCATCATATTTGGTTTCATGGACAATAGACCAAAAAAATGGCGTGGAATGGGAAAGTTTGGAATGAGCCTGTTTTTAACTTGGCAATTTGATGGGTTTAAGAAGTAAGAGGGAGTGTTTGCCTATGCAAGATTAAGTAGGTGGAAGGAGAAGAGACTTTTTTTGAGCAGTACTTCACACAGAAAACAAGCAAATCAGAAGAGTTGGAATTGTCCAATTAAGTTTTAAAAATTAAGTTTTCCGTCTCCACCCCCTTCTCTTTTCTCAGTTAATTCCACCATATTGGAGAGGAGCTTGGGGTAACTATGATTTGAACTGCACAGCAAAGCCCCCTTACTAGCACACCCTCACTCTGGTCTTGTGCTTCACATGCTTTGAACTGAATTGCTTGCAGGTACGGATTGAGGGCCCTGTAGAGAAGCTTTCTGAGGAGGAATCGGAGAAGTACTTCTATACGCGTCCAAAGAGCAGCCAGATCGGGGCTGTAGTGAGTCGTCAAAGCACGGTGATTGCGGACAGAGAGGTGAGGAGCTGCAGGGTTGGGGCTGCCCTTTCTTGAACCAGCGTTGGGGGTGGGGAAACAGTGTTGAAATATGCCTTTTCATGGTAAGCTGGAGAGCCTGGGTGTACATTGTCAGACGTGGTAACAAAAATATTAATCTGTAAACTGGTATCAAAACTTCCTTAACATAGAGGGTTCTCAAGGTGGACTGCTTGTCATCAGGGATATTGAAGAACAATTGCAAACATGGTTCTGCACAAAAGTTGAAAGCTCCTCCACAACACAGGCATTCTGTAGTACAGGGGTGGGGAATGTCTGGCCCCTGGGCTTCATCATTTGACTTGCCGGGCCATTTCAGCTGATATTTCATATGATGTTGGATAATGATAGGGCTCAGCCAGAAGGCTCTCTGATGGCAGTGCCTCTATACCCCCTGTGCAAAGCGCTGTGCAAGCCATGCTTTAAGAGCAGCTTCCAAAGACCCCTGCAGTCAAAAAAGCTCAGGCAATTCACAAATGGGCAGCTCAAATTTGGTGCGGGAGATGGGCTAGAAAGGTTCCCCAACTCTGCTACAGTAGATATCCAGTGTGTTACGACTTATTGTAGTTGAGCTTGAGTTCTTAACAGCCATTTTTAACACAAATAACTTTTAGATTTGTCTGTAATAGGTATGGGGGTATAGGTGTTTGAGTTTCTTTTTTGGGGGGAGTGTCTGAGCATCACCAGCCTTTCTTCTGTGAAATGGGTTTTTTTTTGGTGGCCGTGGCAGTTCCTTAGAATCCACATGTTGTGGATTCCTGGCATATATCATTACAGGTTACCTTGCAGATCATTTGGCTGGAAGGTGGGATATAAAACTTTTAAATAAATTTGTAATAAATACATCTTTATTGGTTTAAAATACAATCTAACAATAAAGGTAAGTACAATGAAGTACAACACCCATCCAGGCACAGAAAAGAAAAAAAGGAAAAGAAAAAGAATTCTCTACATCAAAAAGTACTAAAAGTTTAAAAGTAACAAGAAAAGAAAATGAAAATAGCAATTAAAAGTATCAGATATTTATGCAACATCATTTCTTATCCAATAATGTCTTCTGTGAAAAGCTTCCAATCATTCCCCATATACTTTTTCTATTAAAACTTTTAAATAAATTAATAGTCTAGTCCTAACACCACCCATTATCCACTGAGCTTGTCCCTTGGCATCCCTTCCCTCCAGTTCTCAGCAAACAACATGCTCATTAGCCATCCTTACAAAGTGCAGATTATCTGCAAGCCTCTCTATATCCCCAAATCACCTAGTAGATTGGAGTTATTACCAAGCTCCCAGGTAGTTTCCTTTTGATGAAAAGCTTCACAGCCCTTTTCCTCTTTTTGTTAGTATTTAAGGAAGAAAAATGCCGAGCTGGAAGAGGTGTACCGAGAGGCTAAGGTGCCTAAGCCAGCATATTGGTGAGTCAGGCCTTGGTGTGCATTCTGGCCGTTTGGTTTTCTGTATATTGTTCCCCCTCTCTCAGTTGTTATCAGCCATAGATCCAGGACGTTGTTTTCAGAAACTTGTGATCTTTTTTACAGTGGTGGATTGGGCTGGTTGGAATAAACTCAAGCCAAAGGAAATTGAGGAGTGTGGTGTTGTGGCAAACACCACAGCAGGGATTAGTAAAGGTAAAGGGACCCCTGACCATTAGGTCCAGTTGTGGCCGACTCTGGGGTTGTGGCGCTCATCTCGCTTTATTGGCCAAGGGAGCCGGCGTACAGCTTCCGGGTCATGTGGCCAGCATGACTAAGCCACTTCTGGCAAACCAGAGCAGCGCACGGAAACGCCGTTTACCTTCCCGCCAGAGCGGTACCTATTTATCTACTTGCACTTTGACGTGCTTTCGAACTGCTAGGTGGGCAGGAGCAGGGACCGAGCAACAGGAACTCACCCCGTCGCGGGGATTCAAACCGCCGACCTTCTGATCAGCAAGTCCTAGGCTCTGTGGTTTTAACCCACAGCGCCACCCACATCCCTCTACATACAGCAGGGATTAGAGAGTAGCTAAACCTCTTGATTTATTTCCGCACCCCATGAGGTTTGTTTATATAGCTCACACAGCCCTATTACCAATTGGCGAGTTGGTGCTTTGTTGTTTTAGGGTTCTTTCTTTCAGTCTTTTTATCTCTCTCTCTCTTTTATCCCCTCCAGGGGAGGCTACATTTTGAAACCAAAAGTCATAGAGTTCTGGCAGGGCCAGACAAACCGTTTGCATGACCGCATTGTTTTCCGGTACCTCCAAGACAGCAGTGCACCCTTGAAACCTATGACCCACAGAGGAGAGGACAACTGGATCTATGAGAGGCTGTCTCCTTGAGAAGCTTTTAGAGTTCACCCTCTCTCTTTTTTAAGTGCCAAATTCTTTGTTCCCCCACTTGCCTCTCAGACAGAGCACCCAAAGAACCACTGGACAAAGTCATAGACTGGGGAGACCTGGAATTGAAATCCTTGCAGTGCTGTTCAATCAGCTGCTAACTCTCAGCCTAGCCTACCTTACAAGGTACTGGTGAGGATAAAGTGGTGGTAATCTCTGTGTAAACCATTGGAAGAAAGGCAGGTTGAAGCAGCCTAAACATTCTTGCGGAGAAGGGCAGTGCAAACTTGTAGCATGGGCTTCCTCCTACACAGAAAGCACAATCCCGACCGTTCTCTTTTAATTTTGAAATTGTTCTTTTTTATTTTGGGGCCCGCTAGCAGCACTGGTTCCTACAATCCCTGAGATCAGTGTCCTTGATTATTTTGTGTGTTTGTCCATTCCACCAGCAATCTCGCTCTTGCATATGCACTAAGCATGGTCATTTTTGAGACTATGTCACATTAAGGAAGCACAAATCTCTCCGTCTCTCAAACTGCAAGCATTTATTCTGATCTAGAGAAGGACCTGACCCAGCAAGCCACTGTTTCAGGATGTTACCTGTTTGACTAGCAATCTCACGAGATCTGGACAACAGATGCATAGGAAACAGGGAAATAAGTTGGCATACATATATCCTCAAGCATGGTCTGCACTTTATTTAGCCTCAGTAATTTTCCTTGTAATTGGGTTGCAACCTGGGTGAGGCCCTCATGGATCTCTGAGCCCTGTTAAAAGGTACCTGCCAAATAATAATAATAATAATAATTTTATTATTTACACCCCACCCATCTGGCTGGGTTGCCACAACCATTCTGGGCTACTTCCAACACATATAAAAACATACTAAAACATCAAACATTCAAAACTTCCCAGTACAGGGCTGCCTTCAGATGTCTTCTAAAAGTTTAATCTCCTGTTGCTTATCTCATATATTTGGGCCCTGGAGGTAACAATATTTATGTTCAGGGTATGACTGCGCTACATATTTTTAAACTATTCACACATTTAGCTAACATTTCTCCCAAAGCATAAAACCTTGGGGATTTTCAATCCCCTAATGCTATACTTTCCAGAGTTTTGAGGTGCTGGTGGGAGATTATTAATTACCTGCCCTTCAGCCTAAGGTCACAGGGCAAGTTACAACATTAGAACACAATATTAAAAGCAGTTTAAAACAACTTCTTGACTTTTTCAGACTGGTTTAATGCTGTGGCTAGCAGATATATCTGTGTGGTTCTGCATTAGAATGGAGCAGATAGGTTTAGTTCAGTTTCTATAAATTCACTATATCAGGCATGATTAGAAGAGGCTTGCGCTCTGTTGAAGAGGACCCGGATTCTGAAACCAACAAAAATGAAAATTGGGAGGTCTGTTAAATGGGCAACCAAGATGGAGTTGGAAGAGACCTCCCAAATCGTCCAGTCCAGTGTGTCCAGTGCAGAAAATGCAGTAAAACAACATAGGCACACATATGTGGATTCTGGTGCAAGGGCTGGGAGTGGTGGAAGGGGGATAGACCAGCACTTATTAGATGCTTGTGAAATTACAACCAAGGGTGTGCAAGGACTATAAGTTCAGGATCTTAAAGGGGTGGGGCTGTGGTAACACATACTTTGCATGCAGATTCTAGATTCAGTCCGGCTGAAATTGCAGAGAGCTGCTTTCAGTCAGCGTGGACAGTACTGAGCAAGATGGGCTAATGATCTGAATTTGTATAAGGCAGTTTCCTATGTCCCCATGAACTAGAAAGGCTTAATGGGGGGGAAGACAGGTGGATGTTCTGTTCTGTCTTCCCTTCCTTTTTGCTTCTGATTTCACTGCCCCCACATATTTTCTGACCTTCAATCTATAAAAGCTAGGAACTCTTTAAAACAAAAAAGGCCTGAGATACTTGGGATGTGGAAATCTGACCTGGATATCAGATTCCATGCTTACCTGACAGTCCCTGGGACAATCAAAGAGTTTGGGTCCAAAGTTGATCTTCCATTTATTTAAAGAGGGAGGTGATTTCCACCAAGCTTTTGCAACTGCAGCCCTTCCACTTCACTTGCCAGGCCTCCCTAATCCATAGCAGATGGCTGTATGGTGGGAAAGAGGCAGGAAATCCCCGTTTCAGTAACATTCATTTTGAGGAACTCCTGTTCCTGCCTTGAGGTGTTATCTCCCAGTGTGACAACTTACATGCGCTTTGTGGTCCTTCCGTAGACGAAACTGGAAGTGCAATAGTAAATACATTAGTCACTGATCCTAATGGGTCAGAGATGTGCTTTGGTGTGTGTGTGTGTGTGTGTGTGTGTGTGTGTGGTGCTCTGTTAATGTTCTTTGTGAAAGTCTTAAAAGTACTGGATATTGTCCTGATAATACCTGTTGTTGCTCTGTCTGGGCAGTCCAGCGTCTATAAGTGCTGCTGTGTACCAACTTTTGAGTCTGTGCCTATGTACATTTGGACAATAAAAGTTCAGCCTAGTGAATGATAGTTGAAGGTGAATGTGGATTAATATTAACTTCTGTCCTGTTCCCTCCCACAAAAAGTGTATGTGTCTTCTTTCCTGCCTCCAGAAGTGGTGGGGGACATGTCATGCTCCTTCTGGGGTAGCTTCCCCAATTTTGGTCCCCATCCTGCCCTCATCTCTCACCTGTGGCTCCTAGAACTGTCAACGTGCGGCAGTGGCCACACCCTGGGAAACTGTGTTGACTAGTTGGCTGGCTGCCTAAGCCAGGTGAGGGTAGCCATTGGGTCTCAAGCCCTTGCTGAGTTAGTGAGGGGCAGAAGTGGCTCATCAACCTGGAAAGTTAGCCCATCTACTGTAGGAGAAGGAAAACTGATCCTAAACCAATATTCATGAGAAAGACTTGAGGTGTAAACGCAGAGGGAAAATCTGTACCCGTTGCCTTGCAGTACATCTTTAGGAGAAGAAAAAGTGCTAAAGAGTAAATGCTTCACAACTCTGAAGTGATGACTGCCTACGGTTGGTGAAAATCATATGCTGAAACTAACCCCAGGCTAAAAGCAAGCAATTTAATCTTGGCAACTTTAAAAACTTCTCCAAAGAAACTCTTAAGAGAACTGGTAAAAGAGGTTTGGATTCAGCTGACGAATGCCTGAAAGGAGGGAATTCCAAAGGGAAACCCCTGCGAGTGTTTGTGGCCTTATTACATAAGGCACAACCGGTGAAAAGTGGAAATACTGGATTTCTCTTCTGGTTTTACCTTGTCATCCCCAAGCATGCTGTTCTTCTACATTCCACCAGGGGGAGTTAGCATGGGCTTTTCTCTGGTGTGCAGCCCAAGTCAAGTATCGGTTTGCTCTCTGTTCATTCTTGGGTTGCCTCCCAGTGAAACTGCATCCCTGATAACCTTTTGCCCTCTCTCAGCTCCCGGCACATATTTGCCTTTTCAGTCATTGCTCCTTCACTTGCTAATCGAGGGCTAAGATCTGCCAGAGCAGTTCACGTTTGATGATGGGATTCCCTAAAGCCTGGGAGAGCCCCCTTCTGCCTTGCCTTTGGAAACACCCGTTTCTGGAATCCTCCTGAACTTTCACTTTCCTTGTCTTAGCCTGAGGCTTCACGTTGTCACTGCGGTGCCTGGAGATCAGAAGCATATCCTGAACCATGCAAAGCAATAAACAAGAGAACAGCGTCCCTGATCATGTGTGAAACCATGCACACAGACACACACAGATCGCTTGTGCATTTGTGAATTAGGGAAGAGGTCCCAAGTTGAAAGGTGTGGGTTCCAGTAAATCTGAGCCTTAGTGCATCAAGTTTTAGAAACGTAGGATGTTTTATTACTAAAAAGTGATATGACATCTTAAGAGAATCGATGTAGTGTTGTGCTTAACATTGTTAACTATGGCCTGGAGAACTAGGCTTCAAATCCCCACCCAGCCTTGAAGCTCACTGGATGGCCTTCAGCCAGTCACCATTTCTCGGGCTAACCTACCTCACAAGGTTGTTATAAAGATAAAATTGGGAGAGAGGAGAACTATTGAGATCTTTGCAGGAAAGGTGGGATATAAATGTAATAACTGGTCTCTTAAGAGACCAATCAGGCCATTCTGCATATTTCTGACAGAGGGTTGTGTTGCATCTATTGGCACATTTATTTAGGTGTAAATCCCATTGAACTACATGAAATTTGCTCTTGAGTAAACCTACAAGGGACACTGATATGTATGTCTTGCTTTCTCCTTCCTGAAAAAATGTAGTGCCTGGATCCCCCCCCCCAGTTAAATATATTATAAATATGTGCCCACTTTGTGAACAGAGGTGTAGCCAAAGTCAGTGGTCTCTGAAGTACATTGCTAATGAGATACTTGAGCTGTATAGAATCCAATTAAATCGCAAAGGGGTAGTGATGTGATGCTCAAATCTGTGCTGGGTTTGATTGTAGGAGACTTCACATCACATTACTGCTGAGCCAGACAACCTTGGGCCTAACCTCTACCTCCCAGGGTTGAGCTGAGGTCATAATGAGGCGAACACTGTAAAAGTTCCTGGTACACTGTAAAAATGTGCCACAAAGATGATTATCCTTTGCCCGTGGGCCTTCGAGGAGGCCTCTTAATTTTGCTTCCTGCTTAGCTGGGACCCTGGAGCAGAACTGCAGGACTCTTGGCCTCTCCTTCAACCTACACAGTGAGATATTTGCAAAGAGGAAATGCTGGGCCTCTTAATATCAGAAGAGAGGATATTTTAATTCTCCACCAGGATTTCATGCCTGCATTCAAAAAGAGCTGTTAAGCTTTGTGACTATACCTTCGTTTTCGTCTGGGAATATCTGCTAGTGGTTCAGAGCCAAGAAGAAAGCTTTCTCTGCTGCTTCTGGAAGACAAGCAGTAGCAATGGGCCCTGTCTCTCCCCATACACTGAATACAAACTGCATAAGAAACAAATGGAGTAACAAACATATTGGTTCTGTACTGAGTAAGCACGCAAGTAGACCCATTTGCCAGGCAAGACAGTGTCATGCTGAGGGCACAGGGGAACACACTCATTTTCAATGTTTCCCTGATCCTCAGATTCTTGTGTACAATAGCATGATGCATACCACAACACACACAAATGCCTGGTTATTAAGCCCTAGTCTGTACATGCAAACCGTGGTGCAGAAGAGAGAATGATCTGAAAACACTTTGGATTGCAGGTAGGTGATTGCTCCTCCGTTAAAACTTCCTTCAAACAGAAATCCACCACAGCAGGCAAAGGGCTGGATCTGTCTTCCTGCTCTGCTGACTTTCTGTTTGCAGGATTGTATTTTTAATGTTTTTGAGGGCTTCAGGATGATTCTGAGGTCAAAAAAGTTTGAAGAAATTCTTCTGTAAAGAATTTTTACTTTGCACCAATGTGTAGGTACAGTCCTCCCTTCCCCAAACTGGTAACCTCCAGATAGTTTGGCCTACAACTCCCATCAGCCCCAGCCAACATGGCCAATGTGAAGGATGATGGGAGTTTTTAGCTGTATACATTCTTTTATAGCACATTCCCACCTCGAAAGAGTCCTGGGAATGGGAGTTTACCTCTCACAGGGCTATGACCCCCAGCATCCTTAATTACAGTTCCCAGGGTCCTTTGGGAGGAAAATTTATGGTGTATACACAGTTGCAGTCCAAAAGGTCCAGGCAGGAGGGCATGCCAGGTTGTGGAAGACTGGCCTAGGAGTTGTTTCTTACTTTGTAGTAGTTACCAGGTGCTCAGCTATGAAGCATTATGTAACATCCCAGTGAAAATCTGCACTTCAAGCTAAACTGACTGAAGTATTCATTTGAATCCAAGACTTTGTCCTGAAACTTTTTTTCACTTGTTAGGATTTCTCCCTGAGATATGTACGGTTCTAAAAGGGATGGATGTGTGTGTCTCAGCACAAGGTGAGTGCCTTTCACTTCCAGATGGCCACTTAAAGAGATATGGGGCTTGAAGAGTTTTTCAGTCAGAGTTGTGCCTTGTCCCCCAGTGCTGCCATTCCTGTTGCTGGGAGAGCAGTATCCATGCACACCTCTTGTTAGAAGTGCATCAGGGATCATTCATCTAGTAACCCAATGGTTAATTCTGTTTACAGTTAGCCAGCCAACCAAGAGGGTGTTAGTTGGGGTGGTGTTGCCTAGCAACCAGTCTGAATAGCATGATCTTTGCTGAGGTAATTCCTACTCTGATTGGCTGTGGAGGTCTGAGGGAGTTTTCCTTATACGTTAGTTGAATATCTTTCTGCTATAAACAAAGGCTGTAAATAAAACAAAACCTCTCTGTTCATTTCTCCTCATATTTTTTGTGCCCCTAACACAAAGAGGAAATAAAGGTAGATGGAGTAGGTTGAAGATGCATCTGGACGCAACTGAATAGACCTTTTTGTAGCCTCTAAAGCAGAAATAGCTTCATAAAGAACCTGTTTGAAGCACACACACACACAGCTGGGTTGGGTCATATTTGAAACTAAACAGAAATAAAACGGGGACATTTCAGTGTAAAGAAAGGCTATATTGTATGGACGTGCTCTGTATTGAATTCTTGGATGTACAACCCTGCCCCAATCTGCCCAAAGGGGATTGTATTTCCTGCAGCTGACACTGTCCTTAGAATCTATTATCAAAACAGAACACAGTAAGTTCTTTTGTCCCAGGGTGAACTGACCTACTACACTCTTTTGATAGCATTGGGAGATCAAGGTATAAGGATGAGCTGACCATGGAAACAACTCCTCTCTCACCCTTGCCATTGGGTGTGCTGCTGTGATGTCATAGAATAATCACAAATTAATTAAAGAGAAGGCTATATTAGAATGGTGTAAAACAGTCCGGCCACTTTAAATAATATGAAAGATCAGTGGGAGAAAGAAGACAAAGAGGAACTGGGGGTCAGCGGGGATTCCTAAGGATAGAAAGGTCTGGGGGCTGATGATATGAAAGGTGATGGGGGAGAGAAGGCAGCTAACATACTGGCTCAAAACAGGTAGTCAAAACCTAGCTGTAGGTCTTAATCATGTAAAACCAACCCTTCCCTTAAATCATATAACATTGATTGTTTCTCATGTTATGATCACAACCCTGTCTGGGCCCATGTTTGCATGCAACTACTTACTAGGGAGACACTCTGTGTATGCTCAGAGACAATCCCATCACTATAATTAATCACAATTCTCAGTGTGGTTTAACAGCCAATCCCTCTTCACAGGGAACTCTGGGAACTGTAGATCTGGAAGGGAATTAAGGGTTTCCTAACAACTCTCAAAACCTTTAACGAATTATAGCCCGCAGAATTCTTTGGGGGAAGCCATGACTATTTAAAGTGGTTTCAGAGTGCTTTAAATGTATGTTGCAAATGTGGCCTAATGCTTTCTCTTGAGATGGGTGAGGGTGAGGGAAGGTTGTCCTTTTGGATCCCAATATATATGGGGCAATGGTGGGGACAAGTTTTTTGCAGCAAGCAATTCTTGCCGGTTAGGAAGACAAACTGTGATGAAGTTCAATGAAACTGGTGTGCAAAGTTCAGCAGAACAGTAGGTTTTTATGAGTATAAACTGAGGTTGATAGGTGAGTTATTAATACAGTTCTTCACAGCAAGTGTTCACCTGACTTACCAGACAGCCTTGGCAGGGACTGACTGGAGGCAACTGAACTGAATGTGGGAAAAGGACAACCTTGAATTCAATGTGCGTTGCCATCATTTTCAGAAGTCCTTTCCTCCACTGTAATGGACCTGAGTTAATATGGTTTGGATTGAATTGGATGTTTGCTGGCATTTAGGTGACACTTTGAGCAAGGACCCTTGAACTTGGATATCAGGCTATGAAGTAAATATGAACCAAACAGTATCTCCCTGTGTATCCCCCAAACAAGTCCTGCACATACATGCACAGAGAAGTGGCTGGTACCAGAGGCAGGATCTTTTTGTCATAGGCTTTGCTCTTCTAGAACTCTCTCCCTTAGGACCCCATCTTTGGAAACTTTTAAGAAACAAACCCATTTTTATTCCAATCTACTTTTTATTAATCACTTCATTTTTTTATTGATCGCCGTTGACGTTTTCACCTCCTATTCAATTTTAAGGAGTGTGTCATTTTAATTGGACATTAATATTTTTTTTATCATTAATGCACTTTTTGAAATTTTGTACCCTGCCTTGAAGAAGCAGTTGCGCCCCAAAATATGGTATATAAAGCAGGTGGACAAATAAGAAAATAAGAAAAACGGCTTCTGACGACTCAAGCTAGTGAGACATTCCACACTGTTAGAAGGAAGGTCTCTAGGGCAGGGATAAGGAACTTACTTCACCCTGAGGGACACATCCCCTCTTACAGCCTTTCTCAACCTGTGGGTCCCCAGATGTTGTTGAACTACAACTCCCATCACCCCTAGCTAGCAAGGCCAGAGCTCAGGGATGAGGGGAGTTGTAGTCCAACAACATCTGGGGACCCACAGGTTGAGAACCGCTGCTAGGAGAACCTTGTGGGTGGCCACACATCAGTGATGGGTGGGGCCATAGGCAAAAGTGGGTGGTTGCATTCCAGCAACACAAAGATCAGAGGTTTCCACTCACATATACACAAACATTTCCTCTTCCTTCTTCAAGACAAGCAAGAGGTGTTATTAGAGTTCGGAGATACGTTCCAGTCAGGCAAAGGCACTCAGAGAGGGTGTGGAGCAGGGCTGGTGTGCTGGGTGTCACCAGGGCAGAGAGGGGTGTGACTTGGGGAGAGTTCAAAATGTGAGATAAAGAGGCCCGGAGGGCGACATTTTGCACCCAAGCCTGAGGGATCCCCACCCCTGCCATGAGGTTTACTGTTCAGTTTGAGCTGGAGAGAAATGACCTTTTGATCCCCGCATAGATCAGTTATAAAACAAAATGCATGTTACTAGGGTTGCAACTCCATGCTAAAGCACGCTTTTCTTTATAAACATCCCTAATGCTGCACAGTGGAGGGAGGAAAAACATAAAGTCACAGATGATGGTGAGAGAAATGCCCATTTTGCAGTCCGAGGAGATGGAAAAGGGAAAGGTTTCATGTAGGGCTTATGTGACGCATTGTAGCTGGATATTTCATCCCTTGGAGGAATGTTAAGGCTTCTGAGCAAGGGCATGTCCACAGTTTCTATTATTATTATTATTATTATTATTATTATTATTATTATTATCATCATCATCATTGATTGCTGACTCCAGAATATCCATTGGATCAAACCTGCACAAATTGTGGCCCATCACTGAATACACAGCCCTCCAGCCTTATCTGGTGGTCCTCGATAAACCTGTTTTTGCAGCATTCCCCTGGCTGCAAAATAGGCGTAGTGGGATGTTAATCACATGCCCGACACGCCAGAATGCATGCCTGTGGGTCTGTTGAGCTTGGTGGGTCACAATTGTGGAGGCTGGCACCATACAAGGACAGATTAGAATCTCCAGCTTTAGCAGGGCACACCGCACTCAAGAGATGACCACAAGGCTGGTTTCATTGCTGAGCAGCCCCTGAGCAAGGTACCTCCTCACCCCTCAGTAATGAAATTACATTGTACCAGTAGGTTAACCTGGGAACCCACCTACCATTTAAATTTCCCACAATGCTTGGAGGTTCTGGTGTGGCCACCAGTACCTTCCATGGTGCCGGTGAAAGGTCTTAGTAATTTTTGATCCCACCCCCCATATCCACAATGCAAAAAAGACTGCCCTTGCAACTCTGTTCCTGCTTGCACTTGCTTGTTCTCTCCTGCATTAATTGCACATTCCCTTTCCCTCTTTGATTTGGGAGGGGGAGTTGATGTGGTGACACACCGACACTATTTTGTGTTCCTATCTCTTTCGTTTAGATGTGGTAGCCATTTTGTTATGCCATGCCCCCACAGCAGCCATTTTGTGTTATGCCATGCCAGGCCCTCCAAGTGTCCCTAGTTTTCAGGGACGTCCCTGATTTCGAGAAGCCGCCCTGGTTTCTGATTTTATTCTGGAATGTCCCACTTTTCCTTAGAATGTCCCTATTTTCATTGGAGAAATGCTGGAGGGTATGGAGTTATCTAGTGCTTTTTTTCTAAAAAAAATAAAATGTTTAGGGGTACTCTCATTTTCCTACTCATATTGAAATACTGCCCCTAAATGAGGCAAAACTTAGATTTACAAAATGTTTAGGGGTATGTGTACCCCTGCATACCCCCAGAAAAAAAGCAGTGGAGTTATCTGACCCCTGAGCCGTTCAAAGGCAATCCTGTAAAGGGAAGTTTATTTAATGTTTTATTACCGTATTTTTCGCTCTATAACATGCACCCGACCATAATACGCACGTAGTTTTTAGACGAGGAAAATCCGTAGGCATGCCACCCGTAGGCATTTCCTCCATAACACGCACAGGCATTTCCCCTTACTTTCTAGGAGGAAAAAAGTGAGTGTTATGGTGCAAAAAATACGGTATGTTTTTTATATACAGTGGTACCTCAGTTTAAGAACAGTCCTGTTTACAAACTATTTGGTGTACGAACTCCGCAAAACCGGAAGTAGCATTCCGGTTTGCGAACTTTACCTAGGTCTACGAACAGAAGCCAAACAGTGGAAGGGCACCAGCTGCAAGAGGCATCATTAGGGAAAGCAGTTTAAGAACAGATTTGGTTTAAGAACAGACTTCAGGAACGGATTAAGTTCGTAAACCGAGGTACCACTGTATGTTGGAAGCTGCCCATAGTGGCTAGGTCAACCCAGTAAGATGTGTGGGGTATAAATAGCAAAATTATCATTATGGAATGGGACGTCCGTATTTTCATTGGAGAAATGTTGGAGGGCATGCCATGCTCTCATAGCTCATAGCACCAGTTTTGTGACTTGTCTCCATGACACTTCCTCAAAATTCCAAATGTGTCTACTGGCCAAGAAAATTGGTGATTCCCCCCTCCCACGTTCTGCTACACTGAGTGTTCTGGGGCATTGTGGGAGATTTTCAGTGGTGGGCAGCTTCTCAGACTGAGCCACTGCAACCGGATAAACCTACCTCCAAGGAAACAGTGGCTGAGGTGGCCATCAGCGCTGGTTGGCACAGCTGGAGTGCTGAAGTCCCAGCTGTTGCTTGAGGATGCCATGTGCTGATGCTAATCTTGGGTGGCAAACATGTTGGCTTGACTTGCACCCCAATTATGAGGGTCACATGGTGGTACACTATGGTAATTTTTGAAACTAGACTCTATGGTTTAATGGTACTTCTCCTCCATAGGTAGTAAATATGTATTCTCTTAACTTCAAAATATGGTAAGCTAGCCCTACTGAGTGTGTGTGTGTGTGTGTGTGTGTGTGTGTGTGTGTGTAATTTTGCCGACTGGAGCCCTGAACCTTAGCCCTAGTCCTGCCCTGATAGCACCACTGGGATGATAGGGTTCCTAATGGTATCCAGGGGTAACTGGTTTAAGCAATTCTGAATATGTTCCTTGCACCACACATTCTCTGCTGTGCCTCTGGCTTCTCCTGTCTTGCATTTTAAATACTATTAGCTTTATTCCTTAAATTAAAAAAAAAGACTAGTAACATTAATAAAGTTCATCTTCTTTTGAAACTTTTCTTTTCAAGTGAAAATCAGGACCCAATCTCGAAAGCCCAGCTGGTCCCTCGTTAAACTTCATTTGCAAATGGGTTGAAATGCAGGTGTCGTACGCTTCTCTCAGACCAGAGAAACACCCTCAAATGAGGGCGTGTGAAGAGAGCATCTCTCTTTCATCCACCTCCTTATTTCTCGTCCCGTTCGCTGTCAGCAAAAAAATTGGGGTTTTCTGACAACGTGGCCCTTACTTTCTTCTTTTCCTTGAAGCGCCCTGAATGAGAGACTTTGACGTGTTTCCCTTTGGTGCTCTTGTCCACAATCTTCTCTAGCCGGGCGTTGAACTCGCGCTCGCTGCTCCCGCTGTTTCCCCCATCGGCAAGCGTACCCTCCTGTTGGTTCTCATTGTTGGTGACATCGTAGATATCTGGGCTTTCATACAATACTTTGGGGGTGGATTTTTTTTTCCGGAGAAAAGTCAGCTTCCACCAGCTATAATTGTTTTCCGCCATGGTGGCCAGGAATCGACACCCTTGAATGTGGGGGGAAAGCAGATCTATTATTACCAGGAGGTGCCTCCAGACTGCCAGCCATTTTGCCTGCAAGATTCAAGCGTGTGCTGAAAAAAATGTAAGTTTGCACAACTGAAGTGGATTAAAATACTCTGTTGCACTAGTACAACAAACCCACAGGGGGGAAAAAAGAAACACACTTCTAGGAAAGTGACAGAGAAATGCAAGGAAAAGCTTGAAATGAATGAGCAATTGACAGGAATATGTATAAACACCCCGCAGGCAAATAGGATGAATGTGAATTGTTCTTTGTTTTATAACCACCCCATAAACAAATCAGAACAAATGCTCAGTAAAGGCTGCATGTAGCTTAACCCCCAGGCAAGCTTTATGCAGAGAAATCAGGATGAATGTTCAAAAAACAGGTCATCTGCAGGAGCCTCAGGTTTTTGTGGCTTGGGCTGGTTCTTTCCCCTGAGGCTGGCCAGGGATTAATTCCTTAGAATTCCAAATCTTGTTTTTTTTTCCCCACCCCAGAAAAAAATCTCAATTTCTAGTAACAGATTACACAAGGCAAATAGTTATCCTGAAGCCTCGAAGCCTTAGGCACTAACAGCAAGAGCCGTGGCCTGTGAGCTCAGGAGAATGGGCACTTAAAGGTAAAGGTACCCCTGACCATTAGGTCCAGTCGTGGATGACTGGGGTTGCGTGCTCATCTTGCTCTATAGGCCGAAGGAGCAGGCGTTTGTCCACAGACAGCTTCCGGGTCATGTGGCCAGCATGACTAAGCCGTTTCTGGCAAACCAGAGCAGCGCACGGAAACACTGTTTACCTTCCCGCCAGAGTGGTATCTATTTATCTACTTGCACTTTAATGTGCTGTCGAACTGCTAGGTGGGCAAGAGCAGGGACCGAACAACGGGAGCTCACCCCGTCGTGGGGATTCGAACTGCCGACCTTCTGATTGGCAAGCCCTAGGCTCAGTGGTTTAGACCACAGTGCCACCTGCATCTCAGCAGAATGGGCACTTACACATTGCTAAAAAGGAGGAAACCCATTACTTAAATAAAAAAAAGCACACAGCTGCATGCAATTTACATTGTGCTAATTTATATCCATAGGTGCAAATTTAGAAAGAATAACTGTAGTTTGACTGGAAATACAGTACAGTGGTACCTCGGGTTAAGTACTTAATTCGTTCCGGAGGTCCGTACTTAACCTGAAACTATTCTTAACCTGAAGCACCACCTTAGCTAATGGGGCCTCCTGCTGCTGCCGCACCGCCGGAGCCGATTTCTGTTCTCAACCTGAAGCACTATTTCTGGGTTAGCAGAGTATGTAACCTGAAGCATATGTAACCTGAAGCGTATGTAACCTGAGGTACCACTGTACATCTTGCCATGGTGAAGACTAAGGGACAGCTGTGTGCCTGCTCAGTCTCATACCCTCCAATTGTCCCGATTTTCCAGGGACAGTCCCAGAATAATGAAAGCCATCCTGGCTTCTGAATTGATCCCAGAATGTCCTTATTTCCTCCGCCAGTTCTGCCGTTGCCGAACTAGGGGAGGGGGATGAACTGGTGCTTATCCCGAGCAATGGTGGCTGTGGCTTCAGCAGCTGCGAGGGGAGTTGCCTATCCATGGCCTATCCATGGCTGCCACAGCTAGCCTCCTCCATTGGGCAGCTCATAGCGGCTGCTGGGGACCGGGCAAAGAGGAGGATAGGCTGCAGCCGCTGAGGCCCAGCCCCGTGTGACACACTGGCTCTGAGGGGCAGGGCCTCCCTGGGCAGGAACAAAGGATGAGCAGTGCCAGGGGTGGGGAACATGTAGCTCTCCAGATGTTGTTGGCCGGGTCTGATGAGTTGAAGTTCAACAACATCTGGAAGACTGCAAGTCCCACACTCTTGTGCTAGGACTGCAACTACTATGTGACTTAAGCTGCACAACCACACAAAGCGTCATTGCCATAGGTAGATAGGAAGCTACCTTTTACCAGGTTTGTCCATTTATCGCAATATTAGCTACAGTCACAAGCTTGCCTGAGCCTCAGGTAGAGGTCTTCCTCATCACCTGTTAACCTGTTCCTTTAAAAAAGAGAGAGAGAGATGTTGTGCATTGGACCTAGGACACAAGGCATGTGCTCTAACTCGTCTTCTGCCTGTCCAAATCGAGGTTTGACCTTTACTGTAATGTCCTAATCCTTGTGACCCACCTCCCCATCTTCTCTCACTCTGTTTTTCTCTTGCCATCTATTTCCTTATAAAGAAAGAAAAAAAGAATGAAAGAAAGAAAGAAAGAGAAAATGGTTTAACACAGTGGTAACCCACTCTAGAAGGGATGCGGGTGGCGCTGTGGTCTAAACCACAGAGCCTAGGACTTGCTGATCAGAAGGTCGGCGGTTCGAATCCCCGCGACGGGGTGAGCTCCCATTGCTCGGTCCCTGCTCCTACCAACCTAGGAGTTTGAAAGCACGTCAAAGTGCAAGTAGATAAATAGGTACCGATCCGGCGGGAAGGTAAACGGCGTTTCCGTGCGCTGCTCTGGTTCGCCAGAAGCGGCTTAGTCATGCTGGCCAGCTCCCTCAGCCAATAAAGCAAGATGAGCGCTGCAACCTCAGAGTCGGTCATGACTGGACCTAATGGTCAGGGGTCCCTGTACCTTTACCTTAACCCACTCTAGACTCTGTTATGGTCTAGTTGTGAGTTATGAACCACAAACACTATCCTACACAGCTGCCTGGGTTGCCCCAAGAAGACACAGTACATGGTCATATCCACACAATATATAAAACGTTTAAAGTATATGGCTTCCTACAAAGTATCCTGGGAACTGTCATTTACCCCTCACAGTGTTGCAGCTCCTAGCACACTTAACAAATTACAGCTCCCAGGAGCCTTTCAGGGAAGCCATGTGCTTTAAATATATGGTGTGGATGTGACCTCTGTTGTCTGGCGCAGAGTTACAAAAGGTGCCTCTGCTTCTCTCCCCATCTACATAAACATCTTGGTAAATAAATAAAAAGGAGCTGCTGCTTCTCATATGCTGATAAAGGTGCTGTGGGTGCCAGCACAAAATGGCTGCAAAAAAAAAAAGAGAGGTGATGGTACTCCACGCTGGCGACTAGACCAGGCAGAAAATTTCACAGGTGCCTCTCCCCCTTACTGGCAGTATAATAATAAATGAAATAGCTAACATTTTCCTGCCTTTTCAATGCATCTAAAACCAGCTGCCTGAGGTAGCCACCTCACTTTGCCTAATAATAGACCCAACCTTGAGTCAGCCCCCAAACCTAACCTTGTTGCTATGAGAACAAAATGAGCTCAAGGGTAGAATGTAACCTGTTCTGAGCACTTCAGAGAGGGTTGGGTAATATATGAGGGCTTAGATACACTCACACACACACATATATAATGTCTGTGTGTGTAGGCACGGGGGAGAAATTCTATTTGGCTCACATTTAAAGGCAATTTTACCTAATTTGCACCTTCCAAACCAATACATAAATCAAAACACAGCCATCTTTCAAAAATCGTACCTCTCAGAATTTTGCAGTGCAGTTCTCTAGACAAGTTTCATATACAAAAATGTACACACTAGGGTAAAGTGTCATATAAATGCACATATTCATGAAAATAATACACAAAATGCTTTTCACAAATGGGTATACTGTAATAGACAAAAATGCAAATAAAAATGTGTGTACAATGTATTAAGAGCTATTTGCATTGAAGTACTGATGAATTATTGTTATTAAGTTTGCAAACTGATGTGAAAATTGAAATACTGAACTGATCAGTATCTGAAATACAGCTTTCCCTTCGTTGTTACATTTCCCCAGCAAAGCATAGATAACTGGGAGTATGGAGTTATTCTAACGCAGTGGTTCAACAATCTCCCCAATGCTCTGGGCCTTGAGAAAATGGTTGAGGGTGCTGGTGAACCATTTAATGATTTTTCTGTCTGTTGTTTAGTAATTATAAGGTGCTGTGCTAGATGCTGTAGAATTATGGTGGACTGTGAGCTACACTTTGGGAACCCCCTATTCTAGGGTGCAGTCTCAATTTGTGTGAAACAATGGTGGGACCCAGTAACCCTGACAAGCACTCTGCTTGAACTGAGGGCACTTCCAGATGATCTGTTTACTGAGTATTCATCGTGATTTGTTTGCAGAGAGATTTGACAGCAGTGGCTACTTGATGAGCATTCATTCTGATTTGTTTGTGATAAGTTTAGATGACATTGCACCAACACAAGGAGGTTTGTTGCGCAAAACCTCCAAATCAACTGCACAACCTGAGTTTACCAGTACGTGATTGAATCCCATTCAAAAAACAGTGACAATCTGGAAACATCCTTAGACATAGAACACCTCCCAGAATTCTCTGTGGCACATGTTTCCATGCAGCTCTTTCTCAGTAGACATATTCATACGGAAGTGGTTCTAGAACGTTTCTGAATCTAGAAAGTTGAAAGACAGTGATGCACACTCCTCAACTCTCCCGAGACATCTCGGGAAATTACAGAAGCCATCCCGGCTTCTAATTGGCTCCTAATTGGCTCCTAGGATATCCCATTTTGGCTTGTGCAAGAACACAGCCCTGAAAGACATGTGCTTTCAGAACACAGCCACATGAAAGACATGTGGATGCCATGCTCTCATGCAAGACACGGGACTCGCCTGGGAGCACAGCCCCAAAAGACTTGCACCCCAGTTTTCCCCCAGGCATGTCAGAGGGTGTGAGTCCAAACACCCAGTATTTAAAGCATCTGCAGGAGTGAGTGACCGACCATTGTTTGCTTGAAATTATTAATGTTATTATTTATTCGTACCCCGAAAAGGTACTAAGGCAGGCCAGGGGGGCAGCCGCGATGGCACCCCACCGGAATTGCACTGCCGGGGTTGGTGCACTCCCCCCACATTCCTCTTCCTCCGCCAGTGCTCCTGAACAATCCCTCTAGGAGTACCCAATGCTTTCTAATATGGCTGCTACTACCTCACTCTACCTTGAAAGCAGACAGAGCTCTTGAAGGGAGACAGTTCTAATGGGTGTGCCATTTTTGTGGCATCTCTGACCTCTGTTACCACCGCAGGCACTCTCGTCAGCCCATGATGCTCTTCACACATGTAAACGCACACTGATCCGCTATGCTGGAAAAGTTATGCTCTTCCTACTTTCTCAAAGTAAGTCCCAACAATGTCCACACGTTCCACTAAGTCACGTTGGCATAAGGTCTTCTGCAGCTATATCTGAGGTAATCTGGGAAATGCTTCCCTGTTGAAACACCAACCATAGACTTTCCCATGCAGGTGTGCCTGAAGAGCTTATGGCTTGTCCACATTGGAAAATGGCTTCCTCCCCATCAAAGAGCTGTCCCTAACCTTTCCGCCTGTAAATGTGGGGTTTTTCGATCCTGGCCTTTTTGGACTTTCCAAAGATTGAAAAACCCCACATTTAAAGGGAGCGAGGCGCAGGGCAATGCAGGAATGGGGAGGACATAATGTGGATACCTCTAAATTAATGGGGTGCAAATCCACATTTTGCTCTGATGTGGACAATCTCTGGTGAGCAACTCTGTTTACTGACAGGTCCCTCTGAAGAGGAGAAAGGGGCTAGCACAGGTTTTTTCAACCAGATACCCTCCAGAAGTTGCTGGACTAAAGCTCCCATCATCCTTGGCCATGCTGAATGGGGCTTCTGGGATTTGGAGTCAAACAACATATAGAAGCCATCAGGCTGGAGAAGGCTGGGCTGGAGAGTCAAGCACCCCCTCCACCACCCTCCCAGTTCTCCCAGAAATGGCTTGCTGAATAGGAGTGGGTGGGAGGGGTCCTTCTTTTGCACACACCACCTGCCTTTGGGCAGATTTACATTACAAATTTCAAAGTGGCTCAAAACTTGTTTGAAATGGGTTTAGCAGCATAGCTGCCTTCGCCTTCCCTGTAGTATGCAAATTGTAGTTTTATGCATGCCATATGGCATGAATTTGCTGTTTATAAGCCCTAGTATTTCTTGCAAAAATACAGTTCCTACGATTCTTTGGTAAGGAGAGGTTTGACAGTTAGACAGCCTTGGAACTGCCCTTTGGGTATTTCCGCGTGTTGGTTTATTGTGGGCTTGGTGCGGCACAGGCGCCTACGTCTTTCACTGTGTCACCTGCATCAAAATGCCAACCTCATCAATGAGAGCCAACATGGTGCAGTGGTTAGAGTGCTTGGACTAGGGCCTGGAGAGACCAGGCTTCAAATTCTCATTCAGCCATGAAGCTCACTGGATGATCTTAGGCCTGTCACAATGTCTCTGCCTAAGCTACTTTGCAGGGTTGTTGTGAAGATATAATGACAGGAGGGGAGAGAAAACCTTATGATTTCTGTGGAAAACCCAGTACATTAAAAAATCTCATTGAAACAGTAACTCTGGATTAAAACGAGGGAGGGGTGTTTTGATATGGACAATATTGTTATAAAATAAAATAAAAACCTGCAGGCATAAGAAACGCCAGCTTTCCTTTTGCTTGTATACTACTGTGCCAAGGACTTATAAGAGATGAGAGTATTCAACTTTAAAAGCATTGCATACATTAAACCCCCCCCCCACATGAAACGGTAGACTCAGCTACATTGGCAAAGAAAAAGTGCTTTATACGTGTTGTTAGGCATTCTAACACTGTGACACCAGATTGCGCTGTGGAGTCCCGTTTTTGCTAACCCGATTTCTCATACAAAGTTTGCAACGCATTTAACTGCAATGCTTCTTTCATGTGTCTAGATCCAGCCAGTGTTTTTCTAAAAACATTCACAAATTAGTACAGGCATTTGGGACAGGGGAGAAGCAGCTGAAGTGCTCATTGCCACTAGTGTCACAGGTAACAACATCCTATTGGACCCTGCAGGACTCACACAATTGTTGTAGAACCAAGGGATGCATGAGCTGTAGGGGAAATTGCATTTCCCCCAGTAAAGAGTGCACTTTGAATGGTGAAGAAATGTGCTATTTCTATCACAAATCATATGGGCAGCAACTGTGCTTTTAATGTGCAACCCCCCCCCCAAAAAAAACCACTGCATGGGAAGGATCTTGGGGCCATTTACCTCTTCACATTTTAAAGGTGTATACCTAATATAAATATACTGCAAAGCATAGAGTAAGTACAAGTGGGGAGGGGAATTGTGTATGCCAGCACATCTGATATAAATAATAAGGAGTCAGGATTGGCTGTACAGTACCTTCCTATCAAGTATACCTTCAGGGGTTAATCCGGGTTTGCTGATGTGGAATATATTCAAAAGGCCATTACGTAGTTGATTTTTGTTTTCCCATTTTATCTCAAACGCACCTTAAAGGTCCCACCCTCACAACAACCTTGCATGGTAGATTATTAAATTGTCAGTTTCTCTTCTGAAAGCTATTGTGAGTGATTTTAAAAATTTTTTAAAGAGTTTAAAGGAACAGGGATAAACACTGTGTTATTGTGAAATTAGTATATAAAAGCAGCATGGGGAAAGGAGTCAATGGCCAGTGTGCAGATGAACTTTTAGAAAGATGGAAATGGTAAGATGTGTTTCTAAGATGTGAAATTAATTAAATCATAGGCGATTCGCTTTTATGTTTAAATTATGTACACGGTGATGAGTAGTGTTTAATGTTGCATGTTTGTGTGTGTACATTTTTGTCATATATTTTGTTTCCTCATCTTATCTCAAAGGCAAGATACAGGTGTTATGTTGTCCTTATCTCAGGTTTTCTTTACAACAACCCTGCATAGTAGATTAGGCTGGAAAAAACTGTATTGTCCAATACCACCCAGTGAAGTTGAGGAGCTAGCAATGATGAGAAACCTGTGCCTCCCAGATCAAGACTCGGCACCCCGTCCACTGCAATACACTGGTTTTCCATCTGTTGCGGCAATCAATTAAACATTTGTGGAGGCGCAATGTCCCAGCGAGCCGTTCAAGTTTCCCTCTGCCTTCACCCCCCACCCCCACCCAGTGCCATTACAAACATACCTGCTCTCTTGGACTCCTGAACTTCGTCTCTCAGCGAGTAGCAAGTTCAGCCGTTATGGGAAAAGACCAACATGAAGAAGGGATGAGACGAGGTCCTGACAGTGAGGCAGGTCTCCGTGGCAAAACAAGCAGCCTTGGGTCCGGCAGCCAGCAGCAAAGTGGCTCTCACATCTCAGGTGTGCTGAGGTGCAACATACCTGTTCGTGCTGCGCCCCTTTCTCTCCCTCTCTCTCTCCCTCTCTCTCTCCCTCTCTCTCTATGTCAAGGTTAACCGTAGACTCAGCCACTCCTGTCTAAAGTAAACAGGAACTAACAGAGAGGCCGAGCTGAGAGAGTTCTGAATATTCATGACGAGAGAAATCTAAGCTAAGACATTTTGCTGCCGCTTTGTTGATGTCACCTGAGGAGACCAGGGGAGCACCAAGGCCTTTCGATTCCAGAATGGCAATTATGATAGCCTGTTGCAGAAAAGAAGAAGGAGAGAGAGAGAGAAGGACGAGGCCTGTGGCACTTTAGAGATTAGTTTATTGGGGCAAGACTTTCATAGGTAAACACCTTACTTCCTCAGGTGTATGCTGTTGACTGAAAAGGCCAGAGGCAATATAGATAATATACATACACATACAGGGGCTGAGATGCAGTGGAATGTAAGGCACTGGGTTTGCTAAGATCACACCCTGATAACTGGGGTGTAAAATGGAGACATTGTGGGCTGGAACATCAAGGTGTGCCTAACAATTATATTTTGCAGCAAGGGAACCACCTGTGAGTATCTTCATTCACAGGGATGAGGAACCAATGTTCTTCCAAGTGTTGTCAGACGTATAGCTCCCATTATCCCTGACTTTGGCCGTACTAGCTGGAGTTCAGCAATATCTTGAGAGTTACAGGTTCTCCATCCCTACTTATTCATGACACAGTGCCCAAATTATTAGGATTGTTTCACCTGTGCATATACCGGTACATCTGAGGGATAGTTCAGTCGGTAGAGCATGAGACTCTTAATTTCAGGGTCATGGATTCGAGTATCACGTTGGGTGCAAAGATTCCTGCATTGCAGGGGGTTGAAATAGATTCCCCCCCCCCCCGTGGTCTCTTCCAACTCGACAAAGCTGTGATTCTGTGAATTTCATATATTGACACTTGATTGCTGGCAGCCAAATGTGTGAACCAACATCACTGAAAAAAACTGCACCCAAGAGATACTGATAACATTTGTTTGTTTGTTTGTTTGTTTGTTTGTTTGTTATACCCCGCCCATCTGGGTGGCTTCCAACTGAATATTAAAAACACAGTACAGCATCAAACATTAAAACCTTCCCTAAACAGGGCCACCTTCAGATGTCTTTTAAAAGTAAGATGGTTGCTTATTGCCTTGACATCTGCTTGGAGGGTGTTCCACAGGGCAGGCGCCACTAGCGAGAAAGCCCTCTGCCTGGTTCCCTGTAACCTCACCTCTCGCAGTGAGAGAACCGCCAGAAGGCCCTCGGCGCTAGACCGAAGTGTCCAGGCTGACGGATGGGGGGGTGTGAACATCATGAACGTGGGAGTCTATTTGTGAACCTATTTGTGTGGAATTTGGCCAGAGTAAATGTAGAATGTCTAGGAAGATTGGAATCCTCTGCCACAGGTATTTCTGCCCTTTCCATTTTCAGTATCAGGTTTGTTTGTGTCTATCCCTTTTCTTCAATAGAAACCAACCTGATTTGCCTATGTAAAAGGCTGCAGGGCATTGCAGCAGGCGACAGCATTTGTAAGACTGGAGGGATAATATCACCATGTTACTACATTGCTTTCAACACCACATCTCTTGGCCTCCAGATGATGTCCCAACCAGAGGCACCCCGGAATGGCAAAGAACCACATCCCCAATTTTGCCTCTGTGAGATAAAACAATGCAAGCTGAAGGGGTTTTTTGTTTTGTTTTTAGGACAACAAACCTGCTTACCCATACCAGCAATGACGACATGTTTCCAAAACTTGAATCCTCCTTAACTATTATTTATGTAATGTCTTCAATGTATATAATATATATTTATATTAGATAAATATAGATATCAGTTGTACTGTTAGGGCAGGACTTCATTATTTTTCAATTTATTATATGTATCTAACAAAATGTAAAGACCATGTAATCATAATAATAATCTCTTTTATCAGTTTACATAAAATAGCACAATATAATTTTTATAATAATAAAAAAATCAACAAACTTCAAAAACAAGTAGGCATAAGGAAGGCACTTCCAGACTCACTGTTTTCAGCTGCAATTCAAGAGCACACTAGGAAATTCAGGTTGTGCAGTTGGAAATGATTGGGAGCTCCTGCGCAACAAATCCATTCCCCTCCCTGCTCCCCAACCCCAAAAGATAAGGCTTTTTGCGATAAGTAAAGTGACTGGAAAATGCACTGGAAAGTGTGAGATTAACACTGCATTTGACACAATGTCATCTAACCTCCCTGCAATTAAATCAGAGCGAATGCTCATTAAACAGCCGGCATCGTGTAATCTCCCTGGCAAACAGATCGGGATGAATGCTCAATAAAACAAGTCATCTGGAAGATGATCAAAAATATAAGATAAAAAATCAACAGAATTTAAACGCAAATATGTGTCAGAAAATTACAGATCTGTGTAGCCTTGCCCAAACAAAACGTATCTTCCAGGGCCCCACTCCTGATGATGATGATAAGGAGGACCCACAAATAAAATCAGATCCACTAAGCCTCTAAAAACCGTACCATCAACTTTTGATTGTAGGGAAGACAACAGCCCTCCCCAGTGGTCTCCCCAACACAGAGAGAACATCTGCCTGGCCCAGGGCTCATCTTGATGTGCATTTCAAAAAATATTCATGGGATTGCTAGTGGATGGGTGGGTGCACTCCCCCCCCCATGCTCTCAGCAACCTCTCCCCATGACTTCCAGCACCAGAATAAATCATGTGCACGCTCATGCACACTCACATAATACACCCTGTCTAATTCAGCATTTCTGGTTGCAAATTGGCATAGAATTCCAGCATCTTCTTGACAACAAAGAAAATTGACAGCTGTTGATGACTCTCACCTCATTCATTTCTCATGGCAAATACGTTCCTTAGGGTCACAAGGGCGTCAGGCAAAGTTAATGTTCTTTCCACCATCACACAGACACACATGACCAGTGCTTTCCCCCCTTAAATAATTGTTTACTCTCATTTTCTGACTCATATTGATATACTGCCCCTCAATGAGGCCAAACCTAAGATTCACAAAATGTTTAGGGGTATGCGTACCCCTGTGTCCCGTCCCCCCAGAAAAAGCACTGCACGTGGCCTTGGAATAATTTGAACCAGGGCCAAGAATGCCACGGACTGATTTTGGCAATCAGATTGTGTTTTGGACATTTGTGGTCTATTTATATTATTTTGTCTCCATCCTGTAAACCTGAGACTCTGTGACTTTATGGTGTACCATGGAAGACCCACCAGCCAACCCAGATGGGAGAGAGATCAGATGCAGACTGGAGGGTATTACTTCCAAACAGGTTTGAGTCCTTTCCTAACACCAGTTAGAAATAAAACAAAGGTAGTGGAGGGTGACGCGGGTGGCACTGTGGGTTAAACCACAGAGCCTAGGACTTGCCGATCAGAAGGTCGGCGGTTCGAATCCCCGCGACGGGGTGAGCTCCTGTTGCTCGGTCCCTGCTCCTGCCCACCTAGCAGTTCGAAAGCACGTCAAAGTGCAAGTAGATAAAAAGGTACCGCTCTGGGGGGGAAGGTAAATGGTGTTTCCATATGCTGCTCTGGTTCGCCAGAAGTGGCTTAGTCATGCTGGCCACATGACCCGGAAGCTGTATACTGGCTCCCTCGGCCAATAAAGCAAGATGAGTGCCGCAACCGCAGGGTCGGTAACGACTGGACCTAACGGTCAGGGGTCCCCTTACCTTTACCTTAGTGGAGAGTAGAAAGAGCCATGGAAGTGTAGTGGTTAGGAGTGTCAGACTAGGACAAGCAGAGCAGGGTTCAAATTGGCCATAAAGCTCACTAGGTGACTTTGGGCTAGTCAGGATCTCTTCTTAGCCTGATCTACTATAACTTACAGGGTTGCTGTAGATGTAAAATAGGGATGGGGAGTGAGGCTATAAATGCAATAGATAAATAAAATAGCTCTTTAAAAACTCTCTTTTCATGGGTTTGGTCCTCCTGACTGGTAGATATTCTTGGTCTAAGTTGCTGCTAGTGGAGTGGACATTTCTCTTTACATCCATTTTTCTGCTCCTCTTTGCCAGTAAAGAGTTAAGGCTTCCAGCTCTTGCCTGCCTGCTTGGACTATTGTCCTTTTGAATCTATTATTTCCTTCTGAAGGATTAGTGAAACTAGGCTTTGGCTCAGCCACTTGCCAGACCGGTTCCTCACCTTTCTTTCTTTCTTTCTTTCTTTCTTTCTTTCTTTCTTTCTGTGACCTAGTCTTTGTTTTGAGGGTACTAATTTCCTCTCCAGCTTAGCACGAATCTTCATTTCAATATTGGAATAAATAATTATGCTCTCTCCAAGACTGTCACTATTTTCAGGGTGGGATTTAGTGACAAGATGGGCAAATTCAAATTTCACAGTTGATTGGGAGGTCATGCTTCCCCCAAAGGATTGGGCTTTTTGCAACAAGGAAAGTGACTGGAAGATGCACTAGAAGATGCGAGACAACACTTGCTTTGACCTCTTGACTTCCCTGCAAAGTGCAAACAATCAGAATAAATGCTCATTAAAAAGCCAGTGTAGTCAAATCTTCCTGCAAACAAATCAAGGTGAATTCCAATAAACAGGTCATCTGGAAACACCCTCAATGAATTGTGCTAGCAGGTCTTTCCAACAAATGGAAGACACCCTGTGTAGAGCAGAAAGAAACTGGGATGTGTGTGTGCGTGCGTGCGTGCTAGCAATGGTAGATGCTCATGCAAATTCTTCCAAATTTAATCTGCTTGCAAATAATCAAATTTATATCAATGCTCAAATTATGTGGCGGGAGGAAATGTGGGGTGCCTAATGAAATCTACAAGTTCCCTTGATCTCCTTCCCAATTTTATCGAAATCATGCCCCTCCCCCCCCGTAGCCTTCAAAAATAGTATCTAAGAGGGCTGTCAAAACCGGTAAGGTGCCCTAAGGTTAGGAATAGGTCGGGATTCCTAACTAGCGATGCAGCCTGAATCTTACAAAGCCTCCTTTATTCCAAAGAAATGTAGTCGCAATTAAGCGCCACTGATATGTGGGGCTTAATCAAAAGCATGACTAATGTTCTCTGGGTTTAAGCCAATAAGCATATGTAATGGATTTGGCAAGTTCTAATAGGCATACTGTAATGCCCTGTTTTGAAAAAGTCTGCTACCTTCTTTTTAGACTACAGATTCCTTCCGATTCTGATCAGGTTGTGAGTGATGCTGTGTGTCTAGTCCAGGCATAGGCAAACTTGGCCCTCCAGATGTTTTGGGACTACAACTCCCATGATCCCTAGCTAACAGGACTAGTGGTCAGGGATGATGGGAATTGTAGTCCCAAAACATCTGGAGGACCGAGTTTGCCTTTGCCTGGTGTAGTCAAATGGCTCCAAAAGAGGGAGATATCAGCAGGCTTGGGGGAAGCTAGGAGTAAACCGGCCCATAGAGAACTGAATATGCCTTCTGGTCAAGGAATGCTGACTGACTGTTGAGGGCAGGGAGGGGGGACAGAATGGACAGCTAGGGAGCAGAGACAGAATGGACTGAGTGGGATTTTGAATAGGGTGCACTACACACTGCAACATTTTGTTGCAGGACTCACTTATAGGACAGTGTTATTTGCAGAAGCCTTTTAGAACTTAAGGCTTAAATATATTCAGACAACTGCCATGTTTTTCCAGGGTGATCACCTGATTTGGAAACAATGGTGAGAATGTGAGATTTGGATTGGTACTTGGTACTTTTCGATTATTTTAACTCTCCTGTGTGCTATCACTGTTTGTAAAGAATACTTTTATATGGCGCGCAGTACATGTGATCCAGGGAGCCCTTTGTGTTTTACACAAGTTTAAACACATGGTTTAACTTTAAACAAATAAATGAAACAAATGGAAAGTTATTGTTTAACATTAATGCCATCACAAAAGCTGTACATTTTAATATTGCCGCAAAAAGAGACAGCGTCCCTCAGTCAAATTTGAAAACATTGAAGGTCTTTCAAAAGGAATTAGAAGTAAATAATGTGTTTTGAGTGTCTTTTAAAGTGTATTGATATGTATACAAGGGGATTATGGAAGAGACAGGTAAATAGTGAATTAAAAAAAAAAGAAAGATCTGGGAGTGAACTCTGTCTAGAAATTATGCCTAACTCCATCTGTCTGGAAGCCTGCTTCCTAGTCCCAGGTTTGTGGGAGTTCGCTGCAGGTACAGTGGTACTTCAGGTTACATACGCTTCAGGTTACATACGCTTCAGGTTAAAGACCCTGCTAACCCAGAAATAGTGCTTCAGGATAAGAACTTTGCTTCAGGATGAGAACAGAAATCGGGCTCCGGCGGCGCAGCAGCAGCAGGAGGCCCCATTAGCTAAAGTGGTGCTTCAGGTTAAGAACAGTTTCAGGTTAAAAACGGACCTCCGGAACAAATTAAGTACTTAACCTGAGGTACCACTGTATTCAAGAGTGAGGCTCACGTGCGCAGAGCACAGTATTTTTCCCATACTTTGTACTAACATGTTCACAGCTATCAGTGTTAATCGGTAGCAGACAGCCGTCCTGGTCTGATGTCACAACGGAACTGAGCAGCCTTGGTTGGCTTTAGCGCATAAGAAAGGGCAAAAATGCAACCATCTTTCCCCATCATTGCATTTTTATGCACAGGGACGGGGAGAATGAGAAGCTCTGGCTTCTAAATTTCTGCCTGCTAAGCCTCAAGGGCCGATGCTAGAATAAAAGTATTATTAATTGGATTAATTGTGGTTTGGCTTAAATCTTCACCCCATATCCAACCCTTTCAAGGCTGATCTTGCTCTCCGCTGAAGGGATCTGGTTGATCTTAATTCACCTCTATATACCACGCGGATGAACACGTCAGTACTAATTTAGCACGCATGCAGCAACCAGCGCATGATGCTCAGCCTGCGGCATTCGAGCGCCACCTGCTGGCAAGCAGCTGCCACTGACCCTTTTCACTCCCGGACTTCCCCTTCTTCCTTATTAGTAAATTTCCGCCAGCCAATCAGAAAGACGGGTGCGTGGCCTTGTTACAGCTCCCTCATTTGGTTTCGCGAAACGGGTGGTCGTTGATTGGCTGCGGCGGGGCAGCCCTAATCCTGCGTCCGTGTCGATTGGCTGCCGGTGGCGCGGAAGGCCGGCGTTACGAAGAGGGGGGCCGGTAGCACTTTCATGTCGGACGCAGTAGAGACCATGCAGGTGGGAAAGACCATTTCATAAATGAAGCGGGGGGGGAGGGGAGGGGGAGTCGTTGCTAAGCGACCAACGGCTTCGCGTGGTTGCCAGGATCCTCCCGTGGTTCCTTCCCGGGCGAGAGTACCCCCGACTCCTTGATCCTTAGAAAATTCCCTTTTCCCAGACCTAGCCACCACACCCCGGTGCTTGTCTCCAATATGAAAGGCACGATCTCCTTCCCCTGGCAGTCCTTTCTCCTCATCCCAGGCGTGCAAGGAGTCTTGGGTGCAATTTCTTAGCATTTGGGGGGAAATAAGAGTGCCTCTGGGTGCGTGCAGACTGCCGGACTTTGCACATGTTTAGAGGCATTCTCTTCTTTAAAAACAACTCCAGAGTTGAGCTCTACCTCAAATTATGCCACTGCCACTCACTCAAAAGACCTCACTACAGTGGTACCTCAGGTTACATACGCTTCAGGTTACATACGCTTCAGGTTACAGACTCCACTAACCCAGAAATAGTACTTCGGGTTAAGAACTTTGCTTCAGGATGAGAACAGAAATCGTGGTCCGGCGGCGTGGCGGCAGCAGGAGGCCCCATTAGCGAAAGTGGTTCTTCAGGTTAAGAACAGTTTCAGGTTAAGAATGGACCTCTGGAACGAATTAAGTACTTAACCTGAGGTACCACTGTAATGAGGGAGATACTCCTACCACCACTCCAACAAGTTCTCAAAAGCTTTCTTAGCTTTGTTGTACTAACCCTATTTATCTTGTACGTTATTCCAATCTGCACCCCAATTTAATTATTCCCCCACCCCAATATGATAACATTCCCTGTGCCTATCGGAGAATGTGATACTAATGCCCTCATACCAAGATGAAGGTCCATGCTGCTTTGTGGAAGTGAGTTGTGGGTAACTTATACCTGCCAGGAGCTATGCCTCAACGGCTCCCGCATGCCAGGAAGATTTTGGACATCACATGGCAGGACAGTCTCAAGATGTGTTCTCCCAGTGGACACACATGTCCCATGTGTGTTTAAGGCAGTATTTTCCTAAATGTTAAGAGTTCTCCATGTGAACACACTATGAATGCATTGGCTGTATAAAGTCTGAAACACCTCTGCTTGTCTGAGAGTTAGGTGGGAATCCAATTCAAGCTGCTGGTTTTGACCGGTCATGCCCTAAACTATTAGTACATGACACATCCATTCCTGTGTTCCACTGTCGTCTCTTAGTCTACTAAAAGTAGTTAGGAATTATTGCAGTCTTCCTATGCATAACGTAGACCATTGCAACCGTTGTCTTTTTAAAGTTCTTTCATAACTGGAGCCAGGGTTAAGCAGGTATATGCTTATTTTAGATCAATATAATGTTTTAGTAAGTTAATATATAATTGCATACTGGTGCTTTTGGACTCTGGTTTTTATATTGTTACCTTCAACCGGGTCTCTAGATGGTGTGTGTGTTTATGTAGAAATTCAGCAAGTCAATAAAGTAGGTGACTTCATTGGTCTTTAGTTTTCCTTGGGACTTCTCACTCTCTCTTTGTATTTCAACAGGACTATCAGAACTTGCCAATTGACATACAGACTAGCAAGCTGCTTGGTATGTCTCTTCTCAGTCATATCAAAAAGAAAAGAGGAGGGGAAATGGAGGGCAGCTCTATCTTAAAGTTGCTGGGCAGTCACTTTTTAAAAGGGCGGATATTTATTTTAAAACCTTGCCCGTTACAGTGAAGTAGATTCCTTGGGATAGGAAGTGGCCCTCTCATGTGTTTAATGCGGCTGCTTCCTTTCTGCAGATTGGCTAGTGGACAGAAGACACTGTAGCCTGAAATGGCAAGGCCAGGTCCGCACCGTCCGCGAGAAGATTGTCTTGGCCATGCAAGACATGCCTGAGAATGAAGAGATCAAGCAGCTTCTCTCTGGTTCCTGTGAGTATTTGTGATGGCTAGCCATGGGGAAAAATTCGGAACGTAGGAAAAAACCATATGCTCAGTAAGAGTTTCAGACAGGGAACATTCCAAGCCCTATCTGGATATGTGGTTCTTCTTCATTCAGATTTCTCAGGGCTGAGCACATCAAGTGCCTGGGATTTTCCTTGCCTTTTTAGGGGAAACAAGATGAGACTCGCAAAAGAGTCATCAGAATCTCACAGTCCTCTTCTCTCTCTCTTTCTCTGATTGCAGATATTCACTATTTTCACTGCCAGCAGATTGTGGAAATCCTTAAGCGGACAGAAGCCTCCACGAAAAACATCTTTGGCCGTTACTCTTCTCAGCGTATGAAGGCGAGTGAGCATGGAGGGAAAGAGTTACATCTCTAGCCCCTCTTCCAAGGACCGTTCCTATGGGGTCTAGGCAATCTCTGCAGCGTGGATATCTGTGGAGAAAGGGGGGGGGATAGAAACCCTAGACCCAGGGTTAGTGCTACCCTACAGATATTGGTGGACTACAGTTCCTGTCATCTCTACCATGCTGAACAATATAACACAATACAATGGCCAATAACAATGGCACTAAACACTATTTATAGACTAATACAAATGATCAGAAATTACAACCAAAGTCTCTAAATCTTCTTCACCAGTCACGGTAGAATAATTCAAAAGTTCGATATATACAATCCGTCACCAAATCGCCAGAACAGAGCTTCCGGATAACCAATCTGTTTCGTTCTTACAAGTCTGGCTGATGAAGAATTGATCAAGATTGGCTGATGAAGCATTGAACAAAACAGATGTATTCGTCTATAAATAGTGTTTAGTGCCATTGTTATTGGCCATCGTGTTGTGTTATATTGTTCAACTTGTCTATATTGCAACACAGGGGTCTGTTTACGGATCTCTGCCATGCTGGCTGGGGCTGATGAGAGTTGACGGGTAAAGTATGAGTATAAATGCATGTATTAATGGAAGCAACACACAAAATGCATTCAATTAGGAGAAGCTGCATTGTAAAAATTTGTATATTAGATAAGACTGCTTACAAAAATGTGCATATTAGAGAAATTGACACTAAAATGCTGATGAATTTTCATGGGGACCTCTTTTTTTGTGGGGGGAATCACAAACTGATGTGTAAATGTAGAAAACTGAATTTACTATTTAAAAAAAGAGAGAGAATGGAGAATTAACATATTCCCTAGTTCCTACTCATCCCCCTCTCTTATCCTGTCTCATTTTCCCAGGACTGGCAAGAAATAATATCGCTGTATGAAAAGGATAACACCTACTTGGGTAAGACAACCTCCATGTGTGGTACAGAGACACACACACCATCTGGACATAGTGTGTGTCCATAGTGTGAGAAATAGTGATAACTCATTTCTGTGAGCAGTTTTCTGTGACCAGGGTCCTTGTCAGTTTTGTAGTTGAACTCTTCATACCACTAAATATCCTCATAAAAGTAGAATCATAAAATTGCAGAGTTGTCCTCTAATCCAACTCCCTGCAATGCAGGAATCTCAGCATGTGGTTCCCCGTCCAACTTGAAACCATATTCGACCCTGCTTAGCTTTGCAAATATGCTAGCAGTTTTATTGGTGCACCACTAAGAGGTGCTACTATTCTAGTCTTACTGCTGGGAAAGTAGCAAGTACCAGTAGCAAGTTCCCTTATAACAAGTGCGGGGAACCTGCGCCTTCCAGGCGTTACTGGACTCCAACTCCCATCAGCCTCAGCCAACATGGCCAATGGTTAGCAATGATAGGAGCTGTAGTCCAGCAACTTCTGAAGGGCTGCAGGCACCCCCTCTTTGCCTTTCTGGATCAGACCAAGGATCCGTTTAGCCTAGCACTCTGCCTTCCACAGTGTCGCAGCCAGATGGCCGTAGAAAGCTCACAAGCCAAGTACAGCGTAGAGAGTCGTTCCTTCTTTGTCACAGCACAGAAATAAAAAAGATTCGGAAGACTTGGAAAACAGCAAACTCGGGCTCTAGTTCTTATAATGACCAGCTGGAATGGAAAGGCATTCAAGGGGAGGAGGAGCCAAAACTTGCTGATCTCTTAACTCAGTGGCCCTGCTTCCCTTCTCTTCCTCCTCCTGGTGTAATGATTGCAATGATGTGGCATTTGATGGCAGGAGAAGCCTGACGGAGCTGACATGTCAGCAGAAACGAAGGTGGCTCTGCTTCCTCTGCTGAAGCCTGATGTACTGGATAAAACTTGCCTGTTACAAATGGGGTGCAGGATTTTATAGGGTGCGAGTTAAGCCGCGGTGAGCTACCCTAGATCCGCTAAAATGTACACGTAACACTCAACCTGCGGTGTCTTTTCTTCTTCTGCAGTAGAACTGGCCAGCCTCCTGGTGCGGAATGTCAGCTACGAAATCCCATCCCTCAAGAAGCAGATCAGCAAGTGCCAACAACTGCAGCAGGAATACAGCCGCAAGGAGGAGGAGTGCCAGCTGGCGGCCGCCGAGACGAGGGAGCGCTTCTACAGTTCCTGCAAGCAGTATGGCATTACGGTACAGAGTGCACCTCTCCCAGTCCCACCACTCGTAATCGCTTTTGCGATTAATGGCAGAATGCCAGTCTTGGTCAGAGCCACGGAAGTGCCCCTCAAACCTTTTTTGCTGCCTGAACAATAGTCATCAGGAGCAGCCTCAGGAGTCAGCATGGATGAGTACCTTGCTAAGGTGCGCAGCTCAACATGTGGACATGTGGCCCCAAGCCATTTCCTGGCTGGCAAATCTGAATTGTTTGTGGTTAAACCCAGCCCGGTTTTGCAGCCAGCGCTGTCCAGGCGTTCTGTCAAAATAACCCGTTCTGAAGCTTCAAATACTGCACTGAAAATGAACAATGCTAAACAAAATCAGTGCAGGTGTGATTGTTCTGTGATGCTTCCCTCAATTTGCCTCATTCATTCAGACTCAGTAGTGCCTAAACTATTTTAACTGGAGATGTTAGAAGAGAAATGATGGCAAGAGGGAGGCTGGGCTTACTCTGAAACAGGCCTTAGGCCTGAAACCCATTCTCAGCCCTAGCAGAGAATGGAAGGATGTAAAGAAGGCTATGTTTCTGAGTGCCTTTTTTCTCATCACTTGGTGGCCATTGCAAGACCCTGCAGATCTGGGTTTAAGGAGAACGACTTCCAGGTTACGGAGCGTTACTTCCAGGAACCTTTGACTATCTCTGCTCCTATCGAGAAGGAATAGAGGGGATTCATAGGTAATAAATAGGAATATAAATTCTAGCCCTCAAATGCTGAAGCATCATGTAGACATTGCCTGTTTTCAGATATATTTTGCCAACATAAAGGCTAGGAAATTGCTTTTCAACAATCCAGACCAAGCAGAATTATGCTGTGCACAGAATCTCAAATGATTAACAGCACCATCATTCAATTTCTCCCAGCACTGCCTTGCTCAGCCATCTAGCATATATTTTCCCCTCTGCATTGTACTGCTTTATTGGCCTGTTGTTTTGCTTCATATTATTGAGATTTTGGACTTCCAGTTCTTTTTTTTTTTTTAAAGCAAGTTTCTATACTTTTGGATAAAAATATGGAAATGTGTGGGCAGATTCAGAAGAAAGCTCTGAAACCTTCCGGGGGCTTGGACAGACTTTCTCTTGCGTAACAAAAAGACTTGTAGCACCATAGAGACTAAGAAATGTATTATGGTATAAGCTCTTGTGAACCAGAGCCCACTACATCTAATACAAGCCTTTTGGGCTTGCCAATCAGAAGGTTGGCGGTTCGAATCCCTGTAACGGAGTGAGCTCCCATTGTTCTGTCCCAGCTCCTGCCAACCTAGCAGTTCGAAAGCATCCCAGTGCAAGTAGATAAATAGGTTCCAATGCGGCAGGAAGTTAAAGGCGTTTCCATGCGCTCTGGTTTCCGTCACGGTGTCCCATTGCGCCAGAAGCGGTTTATTCATGCTGGCCACATGACCCAGAAAGCTGTCTGTGGACAAACGCCGGCTCCCTCGGCCTGAAAGTGAGATGGGCGCCACACTCCATAATCACCTTTGACTGGACTTAACCATCCAGGGGTCCTTTCCCTTTTTAAAAAATTTACATCTGATGAATGGAGTGTGATCCTCAGTTGTCAGTTATAGATACACATTGGTTTAAAGTGGGGCAGGGAAAAGGGTGAATGTAAAGGTTGGCGTTTAAGTGGCAGTGGGATGCAGAAATATAGTCTGTGTCAATTCAGCTAGAGCTTAAAAAGGTAAAGGGACCCCTGACCATTAGGTCCAGTCGTGACCAACTCTGGGGTTGCGGCGCTCATCTCGCTTTATTGGCCGAGGGAGCCGGCATACAGCTTCCGGGTCATGTGGCCAGCATGACTAAGCCACTTCTGGCGAACCAGAGCAGCGCATGGAAACGCCGTTTACCTTCCCGCCGGAGCGGTTCCTATTTATCTACTTGCACTTTGACGTGCTTTCAAACTGCTAGGTTGGCAGGAGCAGGGACTGAGCAACGGGAGCTCACCCCGTTGTGGGGATTCAAACCGCCGACCTTCTGATTGGCAAGTCCTAGGCTCTGTGGTTTAACCCACAGTGCCACCCTCATCCCCAATTAGATCTTAAATGTATGCAAAACGATCCTTCACAGCAGCAGTAATTTGTGAGAACACTATCATATTGAACAGTGTTTGACTGGTCTTATATCTCTGTTTTTTCCAGGGGGATGACGTACGCCAGGAGCTTCTGGCTTTGGTGAAAGACCTGCCATCACAGCTTGATGAGACTGGGGCTGGTGCCAAGGGGCTTTTGGAAGCCATCAACCTATACCAGGCCTGTGTGCAGTTTGTGTGCGACAGGTAGGGGCTAGTAAGCTGAGAAGGTTCTAGAATTCCTTTTTTTGCTTTGCTTTGCTGTCCTGTGGGTCTGACAAGTGTGCAGTCCCCAGAATCTTTGGTTTAGAAGGATCTGAGAATGCAGGATTGTGAAGGAGTGCTGCCTGAACCCTTGAATTGCAGCTGATGGTTGGAGTGGACAGCACTGGGCTCAGTGGACCAATTGGGGTGACTCACTAGGGCAACATCAAAGCATCCAGGACATGTAACAGGCAGGGGTGGGGGAGAACTTTTCTCCTGGCTGCATTCCCTCAGGGGTCATGGGCCACATGGTTGTGGTGGGTGGGGTCAAAGCCCAAAGTGGGCAGAGCCCAGAGCCAAAGGTGGGTGGGATCTGCAACCTTGCAGGATTCCATAGCAATTGATCTCTGCCACCATCTTCAATGCAGGGCTGCTTTCAGTTTGCAAGCATAGGCAGCCACCGATTTAGGCGTAACCAAATGACTCACGATCGTGCGCACGGTACCGAACCTGGAAGTAGCCCTCAAATGCCACAAAGACATCACAAAAAAGGTTGTGTGTATTTGAAACTGTGGGCAGCATTAAGATAAATTCAACAGTGTAAATAAGTTTTGATGAGTGTAATAATGGAATACTGAATGGTTTCGTTTATATAAAATATGCAGGGATTTATGTTTTGCAAAATGAACTGTGGAAAGAGAAGAAGGGAAGTCATTGATATTTTAAGGTTGTTTGAATGAATCTTCTAAAACGTAAAACAGAAAACATAATAAAAATTATGGAAGAAATAATAATAAAGACGTCACAAACAAGAGGTGGAGCAGGCTTACGAGTGCTCCGCCGATGGACGCAGGGGTCTGGAAGATAACCCCTGTGCAAAACGAGGATTACCTGTATTCCCAAGAGTCAAGAGATATTCTCTAGTTTGCTAACTGCAGCAAGTTGCAGTCACTATAAGGCAGTCTTGAGCCCAGGGACAGACATCTTGACTGCCTGCATTTGCTTGCTGATCTCTTGCCTTCCAGTTCCGCAGAGCAGGTTGTCCCCTTACTGAGGCACGTGCAGGCTCTGGGCAACACCACCGTGTACGAGTGGAGGCGAGGGGTGAAGCCAACCGCAGTGGAACGGCCAAAGGCTGCGGAAGTGAAGGAAGCCATTGAAGAGGATGCGGTATGTCCATTTGGGGAAGGGGGTCAAAGTGGGTGTGGTGGGATGAAAACAATTTGTACCCCTCTGCCAGTGGGTAAAGGTAATTAACGGAGGGCTCCTCCAACCCATTGCTTGCTTAGGACGGCAAAAATATGGTGCTAGCATGCCTAGGTAGGGAGTATTCTGACTACAGAATAGTGACAGCCTATCCCCACACATTTGGGACTACGCATAAAAAGGTAAAGGGACCCCTGACCGTTAGGTCCAGTCGTGACCGACTCTGGGGTTGTGGCGCTCATCTCGCTTTATTGGCCGAAGGAGCCAGCGTACAGCTTCCGGGTCATGTGGCCAGCATGACTAAGCCGCTTCTGGCGAACCAGAGCAGCACACAGAAACGCCGTTTACCTTCCCGCCAGTGTGGTACCTATTTATCTACTTGCACTTTGACTTGCTTTCGAACTGCTAGGTGGGCAGGAGCAGAGACCAAGCAACAGGAGCTCACCCTGTCGTGGGGATTCGAACCGCCGACCTTCTGATCAGCAAGTCCTAGGCTCTGTGGTTTAACCCACAGCGCCACCCGTGTCCCTAGGGGCTAAGCATAGGAACGCACAAATTGCTTTGTTGGATCAGGCAAAATGCTGCCTAGTCAGGATTGTGTTTTCTGTCAGCAGATTGACTGGGGCGACTTTGGAGACGGAGCAGAGTCGGCGCCTGCCCCTGAAGTGGTTGATTATGGGATCTCCGTTGGAGAAGGAAGTGAGGAGATAGACTGGGGTATTTCTCTGGAGTCAGATGCCCAAGTGAGTGTCTACCATATCTGCCTGCCTCTATATGCAGACAGCACTTGCATGCAGTTTGATTGTACATGTACAGGGCGCTGTGGAGACGAGCAGCTACAGTGCTATGATACTGTTACATGTCACCCCAATCTCTTGAGCGGTAAGAGGTTTCAGGGGTGCCTGCGCTTTACCCAGGGCTCAGTTTCCTTGGAATGAAGGTCAGTGGAGACTGTGGTGTCTTTAGGATATATGGTTTAATTGACACATTTCTACTACCTGAGCATAGGATGGAGGGGCTCACAGCATTAACACTCCCATAGAACCTAGGTTTTGAAGGTGGGAGTCCCAAAGTCCAGCACAGAGCAGGGCATATATCCATCTCTGCAACTTTCTAGCATCCAGCTTCAACTCATGTACACTATTGTTTTGTATAATTTCCTTAAATTTCATTGTACACAGGTTGTACAATGACAATAAAGGAATTATTATCATTATTATTACTATTATTCTAAGTAAGTGGCAACTAGGTGAGGGATGTTGGGGAAGTCTCACCCATTTGTCCTATGGCACAAAGCAACTTCTCTGGATATGCTAAATTGTGGTACTTAACTACCGTAATTTTCGCTCCATAACACGCAGTTTTTTCCTCCTAGAAAGTAAGGGGAAATGTCTGTGCGTGTTATGGAGCGAATGCCTACGGATGGTGGGGGAATCTGCTGTAGTCGTGAGCAGTCCGTGGCTCGCTTTGAAACAGCAAAGCGGGTGTAAGCGGCTCCTGTCAGCGAGCCAAGCCGGGGAGGAGGGAGAGAAGCAGAGCGGGAGAGGAGAGGAGCCGCTTACACGAGTGTAAGCGGCTCCTGTCTGGTTGGCTGCTTTAAAACAACCCCGTGCTCTATGTCCCTCTCTCCTCCCCACTGAGCTCGCTAAGTAGCAGCAAAGCTTTTCAGCCAGCTGAGCTGGGGAGGAGGGAGAGAAGCAGAGGGGGGTTGGCTGCTTTAAAACAACCCCTTGCTTTCTGTCCCTGCCTGCAGTTTTTTGCTGTCTGATTTTGGATTAGCCACTGTAGGGGCTGTGTGTGTGTGTGCTTGAGCTATCGTTCTCCTCCTCCTGCTTCCCGTTCACTCTCCCAGCGCCCCTGCGCTCTCCCAGCCCCTGCGACTTTAGGATTGATACTGTGTGTGTGTGTGTGTGTGTGTGTGAGAGAGAGAGAGAGAGAGAGAGAGGGATCCTTCTCCTTCTCTTGCTTCCCGTTCACTCCCCCAGTGCCCCTGCGACTTCCAGCACCCCTGCGACTTTAGGATTGATACTGTGTGTGTGTGTGTGTGTGTGTGTGGCATCATTCTCCTTCTATTGCTTCCTGTTCACTCCCCCAGCGCCCCTGCGACTTCCAGCGCCCCTGCGACTTTAGGATTGATACTCTGTGTGTGTGTGTGTGTGTGTGAGGCATCATTCTCCTTCTCTTGCTTCCCGTTCACTCCCCCAGCGCCCCTGCGACTTTAGGGCGACTTTAGCATGGATCCTCAGGATTTTTGCATTGGGCTACCCCAAACTCACCATCAGATCACATGTCAGTGGCCACAGCATGAACCACAAAAATCATACATCCACTGTTTCGTTTAGAATATTTTTTTCTTGTTTTCCTCCTCTAAAAACTATGTGCGTGTTATGGTCAGATGCGTGTTATAGAGCGAAAAATACGGTAACCAGCTGAAGCCATCTCCTTGACAGAGGAACTGGTTTGGCAATCTTCCTCTTATGCATTCTACCCTCACAGATACAGGCTCCCCAAAACTGGAAGGGATCCCTCACAACAATAGTTTATAACCATTACAGTGGAACCTCTACAGTGGTGCCTCGCAAGACGAAATTAATTCGTTCCGCAAGTCTCTTCGTCTTGCGAGTTTTTCGTCTTGCGATGCACGGTTTCCCATAGGAATGCATTGAAAATCAATTAATGCGTTCCTAGGGAAACCGCCTTCAGACCAGGTCCGGGACAGTCTGTCCCCGGACCTCTTCTGAAGGCTGGGGGGCAAGGGCTTTTCTTCCCACCCCCAGCATTTTAAAACCCCGGGACAGCGGAGGACTTCTCCGCTGTCCGGGCGATCTTAAAATGCTGGCGGGCGGCATTTTAAAATCACTCCGGGACAGCGGAGGACTTCTCCGCTGTCCGGGGCAATTTAAAGCCCCTGGGAAGGCAGGCAGGGGGACAAAGACTTTGCCTCCGCCAGCCTTCAGAAGAGGTCCTGGACCTCTTCTGAAGGCGGGCGGGGGCGAAAGTCTTTGCTCCCCGCCTTCAAAAGCCCTCCGGGACAGGCAGGCAGGGGAGCAAAGACTTTCGCCCCCGCCCGCCTTCAGAAGGTCTTCCCTCCCCCGCCCGGCTCGGAGCACCGCCCGAGCCGGGCGGCGGCGGGAGGTGTTCCCTCCCCGCCCGGCTCGGAGCACCGCTCCGGCCGGGCGGCGGGGGAGGTCTTCCCTCCCCACCGCCCGGCTCGGAGCACCGTCCCGAGGCCGGGCGGCGGGGGAGGTCTTCCTCCCCCCGCCCGGCTCGGAGCACCGTCCGGGCCGGGCGGCGGGGAGGTCTTCCTCCCCACCGCCCGGCTCGGAGCACCGCTCCGGGCCGGGCGGCGGGGAGGTCTTCCTCCCCACCGCCCGGCTCGGAGCACCGCCCGGCCGGGCGGCGGGGAGGTCTTCCTCCCCCCGCCCGGCTTCGGAGCACCGCCCGGGCCGGGCGGCGGCGGCAGGTGTTCCCTCCCCCGCCCGGCCGGAGCACCGCCCGAGCCGGGCGGCGGCGGCAGGTGTTCCCTCCCCGCCCGGCTCGGAGGAGCCTTCCGAGCCCGGCGGCGGCGGGAGGAGGTGTCCCCGCCCGCCGCCAGGCTTCGGAGGAGGTCCGAGGACAGTGGGGAAGACGCGCTGCGCTCCCCGCTGTCCCTGAGATTTCCCTATGGGCTGTCGTCTTGCGAAGCAAGCCCATAGGGAAATTGCTTTATGAGCGCCTCAAAACGGAAAACCCTTTCGTCTAGCGGGTTTTCCGTCTTGCGAGGCGTTCGTCTTGCGGGGTACCACTGTACTTACAGACGTAATCAGTTCCAGAGGTCCGTCTGTAAGTCGATCCGGGTCGTTGATAGAAGCACCGTTGTGTGCAGGTACATTCGGTGGTGGCATGCTTCTGTGCATGTGCAGACAGCGGCAGCCGCTTCTGCGCATACACAAATGGCAGAAGCCGCTTCTGCGTGTGCGTGAATCACAGCAAACCTGGTATTTACTTCCGGGTTTGCCACGGTCACAACTTGGATCGGGCCAAGTAGAGGCAGTCATAAGTAGAGGTTCTACTGTATAAGTCAATAACATATTTTTAAGACATTCCTTTGCAAGTGTATGAACCAGAAACTTGACACACACACACACACACACACACACACAAAGAAAAAGAGAGAGAGAAAGAGATGAAGACTGTGGCCTGCCTGTTTGGCATACTGTCATATATCGTGATCACAGCTGTCCTGACTTCAGGCATCCATGCAAATACTAGTCACTGAAATATTCCCCTTCTACAGGAGAGCAGCACTGCAGCCATAGACTGGGGAGATGGGAGTGATGACGCAGCTCAGATCGTGGTGTTGGAGGCTGGCAGTGAGGGTAAGCACCTCTAGCACCCCCTTTCTGGAAGGAGGTGAATATGCACACACGCTAAAAAGGGCTGGGGTGATATTTGTCGGGAAACAAGGCTAAAAGTCTGATAATGAGCTGCTTGAGTCAACTGGAAAAGCGGACTCCATCTCGGGACTCCTGCAGGACGTGGCAAGTAAAAGTTGTTGATTTGTAAAAAGAGAGTTTCTGGGGATAAGGTCTGTCTGGAAGCCACACCTCTTGGCACAGAGTCCCTGCTCTTTGACCCACTGATTCTCCTCTAGAAATACCCTCTAGTCCTGGCTTCCTCAAACTTGGCACTCCAGAGGTTTTTGGCCTACAACTCCCATGATCCCTAGCTAGCAGCACCAGTGGTCAGGGATGATGGGAATTGTAGTCTCAAAACATCTGGAGGGCCAAGTTTGAGGAAGCCTGATCTAGTCCATATTAAGTGTTTCTACCTCCACCTCCAAACTGCTCTCTAAAGTGGAAGCAAGTGTGAGCAAGGGGGAAAACAGCAAACCATGAGGGCAGCTGTGGGAGGGGTTAAGTTTCTCTCCCTTCAGCAGTTCCTCCTTGGCAAATAAATATAACAGGTTGTTTTGTCCTGAGTCAGAGGGATTGGGGAAAAAGGGGAACAAAGCATACACAAGAGGGCGCTGTTGGATATGTGTTTTCTGCTCCTGCAGTGGGATTCTTGCACACAAGCCAGCCTGTGTTCACCTCAATATACTCTTTCCTTGTTGTATTTGTTTGATTTCTTTTTTTCCAGTTGTCCTTTGTTGTCTTAGTAGTTCCCCTCCCTGTGCATTAGCAGTCCTGACACCTACCAGTTGGTACCAGTTATACTCTCAGGCAGGCCATTGTCCTAGCTCCAAATAGTGGACTGCAGCAGCATCCCTGTTTGCAAGTAGGTTTTCTTTTGCAAGCATATTGAAGTTGACCATCTAAAGAGAATGGCAGATGAAATTATTTGAATATGTGGAATTGGCAAAGATGACAGCGAAAATTAGGAAAGTTTAACAAGGAATGGGATGTTTGCAGAATGTATTTGAAAGGACATTGTTCCCACATGAAATCTTTAACATGCTTCGATTAACTATCGCAATATAATAGCTTATGTTAGAAATATACAATTAAAAAAATAGTTCATGCTAAGTCAAACATTATATAATAGGCAGTTACTAAGGAATCAGAGGACCCATGTTGAGGTTGATGGAAGTCACAACATAAAGAAGAAAGTGATCTTATGTTTATGTAACAATTTTTTTTTGTATTGGATGTTTTGTTTATTTTTTGTTTGTTTGTTTTGTATAGTGTTGTTTGGATGTTATAAATAAAACTAACAGAGAGTAATTGAAAAAAGAAGAAGTTGACATTTTAAAATGAGAAAACTGAAAGAATTGGAGGCTGCTGGATTATGTTTTCTGTTTTAAATGAGGCAATTCCTCATAGCAAGGGAGGAAGAATCAGTGCAGAGGCCCACTTGCAAGTGCATCTATTGTATAGTCTGCCTCTTGAAACGGCAGCATGTGTTGGCTTGGGATTTGGCACTCCTGCCTGCCGTTGTAGGTGGGGAAATCAAAGGCAAGATTGGCGAGTCAGTTCACCTTCTGAGTTGGTGCATCAATCACAAAGGACTTTGCCAGGAAGTTAATACTTTTCAAATTTGGCACTGACTTTCTCAGGATAAAGTCTGGAAGTTGAGTCTGAGTTAATGGTACTACCCAGGACCAGGTAAAGACCGCAGCAGCTCTTTCCAGTAGGTTCTGGGACATGCAGGGGTGGGGAACAAGGGAGATAGCTGACAAAAGTCTCCACATCCCATGCTTCCAGGCCCAGAATTTTCAGATGCACCCCTGACTTGTGGAACATGGGTGTGAGGATGGTTCATGGCAGTTGTTGCAAGTAAGGACTGAAAGCAACTCGCTAGTGTGCTGCCTTGCCCTGATAGGTGGAGAAATCCTTGCTGCTGTATAAAATGCTGCCCCATTGTTACTTAAGAATTGGACCCTTAGGAGAGCATCTTCTCTATGACAACCTGGGATTGCCTGTTATAAAAGAACTAACAAAATCAAAGTTCTGCATTTTAAACCTAGTTCTTGTGCCAAGGAAAGTTAGATTCTGTAACCTATACAAATGGTGCAGAATTAAGCATATTTGCATGTATTATTTGCTTAATCTTGCATCATTTCCTCTTGGTTTTTTCCCCTAGCTGTTGAGAGTGGAAAGAACTCTGTGGTCTACTGAAGTCTAGCTCAGCTCACTGGTCTTGTGGTTTCTGAGATATACCAAGCATTTTGCAAAATTTCCAGTTGGGTTTTGTAGCTATAAGGGCTGGCTGGCTGGTTGTGTTTTTGTTTTGAGATGAAGGCTGCAATTCTCAGGATGGAGGATTCTGCGTCCAGCACCAAGTCCCCTTCTTGTGCAGCATTTCCCATTTGCAAATCCTGCTGATGGTGTGGAACAGTATTAAATTGTAACATCATCTGATTTTTAGCCTTGTTTCCCAACAAGTCTGGCCCCGACTTTCAGAATAGGGTCTTTCCATTCTATTTCTATAGGGTGGGAGTAGAAAAGTAAAGGAGAAGCTGAATTGTTACTTCAGAACTTGATATTCATATGTAAATGAAGTCTATGAAATTTATTTATAAATGAAATCTACTTTTCTTCCCCCTCTGTTCTCTGCATCCAGCCCCAGAGGGAATTGCACGAGGACCTGATGCTCTCACCATCCTGGAGACCCCAGAGACCAGGAATCAGTTCATTGATGAGCTCATGGAGGTAACAAGAGCTTTTGCAGTGCTAAGTTCAAACCAGGGAGACTCTGTCACCTTAGATGTTGTTTGACTCCAACTTCCAGAGGTGCTGAACCCCAGTGCTGAGCCAAAGGCCTGTCAGCTGGGAGATGCCCCCTAAGCCGGGATGCCAAGAGACAGATTCCTCTGAAGAAGTGGCCCTTTTTACACCAGGGACCTTGCTGTCTCCAGCACAGGCAATGCACGGCAGGACTGGCTGAGAGAGGATGCAGAGCTAGGTTGCAGGCCATGGGACTCCCCCTTTAAGGCTCTCCATTCCGCAGGAAAGATGAAAAGCTTAGGAAGGATAGTTTGGCCAAGTACGGTAATTTGCCTGTGTGGAGTTATCCATGGTCCTGAAATTTAAGCCTGTCTCTATCTGCCAAGTGACTCTCAGGCATCAGTTGTGCCCCATGTTCAGGGCAGGACAGCTGCATCCGATCTCATGTGATTTTGAATACAGTCGTACTTTGGAAGCCGAATGCCTTGCGAGTCAAAGAGTTTTGGCTTCCAAGCACCACAAACCCGGAAGTGAGTGTTTCGGTTTGTGAATGTTCTTTGGAAGCCGAACATCCGACCACAGCTTCCGCGGCTTACGATTGTGTGCAGGAAGCTCCTGCAGCTAATCGGAAGCCACACCTTAGTTATCGAACATTTTGGAAGTCGGACAGACTTCCTGGAAGGATTCCATTTGGCTTCCAAGGTATGACTGTGCATCTCAGTCCTCTGGCACATCACTTCTAAGACTTGTCTGGCACGGTGGGAGCAGGGTAGAGATAACAAGACCCAAGAAACACAAGTGGTTAATTTCTAAAATGAGATGTCATGGAGCTCAAGCTTGGGTGGTGCCATCTGAGCTGGAAACTGGGAAATGAATGGGAGCTAGCTGGCCTTCAAAGACAAAGGTAGTTTTCTGCACATAGGATCGTAGAATTTTAGATATGGAAGAGAGCCCGAGGGTCATCTAGTCCAACCCCCTGCAATACAGGAACCTCAATTAAAGCATCCATGACAGGAAGCCATCCAATCTCTGCTTAAAAATCTTCAGTGAGGAGGAGTCCACCACCTTCTGAGGGAGTTTGTTCCACTGTCCAACAGCTCTTATTTCCTGATGTTTCTTCCTGATGTTTAGTCGGAATCTCCTTTCTTGTAACATGAATCCATTGGTCATGTAGATGTACAAAGGTGTTCTTCTTTATTGCTATACATATTCCAGAATCGAGCCTTGGCTCTCTAAAGAGCCTTGATACCTAGTAGGATTTGGTTCAGATGAATCCCTGAGAACTGTCGGCCGTTGTGACCCCCACTGCCTTCATCTTTGTTTTGAAATTGAAGGCTTTTTGACAGGCAAGTGTTTGTGCCCTGCTTTCTCACTGCCCTATGTCTCCTCCTGTCCCTCCCTCACCCACCAAAAGCTGGAGATATTCCTTTCCCAGCGCATTGCTGAGACAAGCGAAGAGGCGGACATCCTAGCTGTGAGCCAGTTCCAACTAGCGCCAGCCATTCTGCAAGACCAGACCAAAGAGAAATTGGAGGCCATGGTTGCAGTCATCCACAATCTTCTTGGCCGGTTGACCAGCTTGAGAATGCAGCATCTTTTCATGATCCTTGCCTCCCCGAGGTTGGTGAACTTCTCCTTCCTACATAACTCCTCCCCTTGGGTCAGACCCTCCCTTTCGTAGCACACACAAGGAACCCTTTCTTACCCTTGACGGGCTGTAAAGCAGACAGATTTCTTTTTGTCTCCGGTCCTAACCGTAACTGTGCCAGTTATTTGTATAACGTCATTCTTGTTTATAAGACCCAATAAATAAAAAATTAAAAAAGGAAAAACCAGTTCAGGGCCCAAGATTAATCCCCCTTGGGTTGAAATGGAGGAGCGACAAGGAAAAGATAGGTTGGAAGACATGGAACGGGGATTTCAGTGGTATGGGGCTTGCCTTAGGGAAAGCACAATTTTGTAGTACGGTTGAAAGTTGGAATTGGACATTGTTGGGAAAAACCATTCAGGGCTCTGGTGTTTTATTACTGGAGTTTCTGTGACCTGCATGGTCTCGTGGGTCTTTTTAAAAGTCCTTCATGGGGAAGGTTTCATTGTACGTTTTTGGTGGGAGAGGGGAGGTTTCATTGTTTTGATTTGGTGCATCTAAAATGCATAACAGCCTGTCTTGATCCACTCCTATCTGTGTGCGTTTGCTGTGTGCCTCACCTTAGACAACAGAAGACACTATATTTGTGTGAGAATCTTTGCACTGCGGCACACCCTCTTCCCTTTGAATCAGCTTCTTACACTTCTGCTCATCTGCTAAAGCACAGTCTGGAGGCAGTACTTTGCCGAGACTCCTTTTTAAAGAGGAAAACATGCTAGAAGGGAAATAAGTTCCATTCGGTCAAGTGGGGCTCAGTGTTCATGTAAACGTACTTGCTTGGTGTTGGAGGTTGAGCCAGATGTTCTTTTCAGTCCGATGCCAATCCTGTGATACCAGAATCTCTGAGTAGGATCAACATGTGCAACATGTACAACATGTCCTAATTGCTAAAAACTGGAAAAAAGAAACTGTGCCAACAAAAAGGGAATGGCAAGACAAACTGTTAGAGTATATTGAACTGGCTAGATTAACAGAGGCAATTAGAGATCACACTGGACAAGAGTTTCAAAAAGCATGGGGGAAATGCAGAGAATACTTCACAAAACAGTGCCCAAAAATACATACCTGGACTTGTTTCGATTAATGTCTGCAGGAGACTTTGTGGATACTTAAGTTATAATTAGAAAAATCTTAATAATAATGCATAAAGGAAACAGTTTATAAGAAGTAAAAAAGGAGGCCAGATACATGATAAAGGAAGTCTTTTATTTGGTTGTTTGTATTGTTGTATGTTATGCTCACTGCATGTTATGTTCACGTTTAATGAGGGTGGATTTCTGTATTGGGGGGGTGGGAGGGTTTATGCTTTGTTGTAAATAAAATTCCAATTAAAAACAAAACAAAAACATGTGCAGTGCTTGAGGACTGCAGTGGACAAGAGTTTGCTTGAAGGCTTTTCATGGGATTCTCTTGGGCTTCAGATATGTGGACCGCGTGTCCGAGCTCCTCCGCCAGAAGTTGAAGCAGGCGGACCTCCTCCTCCTGAAGAAGGATCTGATGGTTCAGAAGCGGCAGGAGGCACTGGAAGAGCAGGCCAGCCTGGAGCCAAAACTTGACATTCTTGTGGAGAAAACCAGAGAGTTGCAGAAGCTGGTGAGTGCAATGGAGGGCGGGGGGGGCGGGCGGTTCCCACCTCCAAGTCCAGCTGCGCTAAGTCCTGTAGGCCACTTCCATTTCAGAGGCACCAGAACACAGGGTGCCTGCTGACCGAGTGCGATCCAATGCTGTTGTAAATTGCCTTGGATCAAACCCACAGTGGATTGCATGTGGAGGGTGGGGTAAATATGAGCAAATATCACCCAGAGTTTGCAGGGAAGAACTGCAGGTAGGGTTCTGTGTGGTCTGGGAGTTGGGCTTAAGTGGTCTACAAGACTCTTCTCCATCCATGCCATTCTCCATGTATGTAAGCCGCAGGGTTCGTTTCTTTTTCTTAGGAAAACGTGGTTTCAGTTTGAATCAAAAGACGGGGGGTGGAGGGAGCAAGGCTTCTGCTGGTTTTTAAATATATAGATATATATATATATAAGTATGATTATTTTATTGAAGTTCACAATAAATCTACAATAACCAATAGGTTTACAATGCTGTAAGAAAATAACCAACTTAAACAAAGTACACTAAACGGATATCAACATACAACTGTACATTTCCATTGTATTTACTATACTGTTAGATCTGAGAAAAAATACAAATTTCTCCATAAATTTATTTGGTTGATTTGCTCATATTCTCCTATAAGGGGTTGGTATTATTATTATTATTATTATTATCATCATCATCATCTTTATTGCTACCACTACTATTATATTTAAATTTGTATACTGCCCTATACTCGCAGGTCTCAGGGTGGTTCATTTGCACCAAAGTCTAAATCTTTTCATGCTCCCCCCCCCCGCCCCCAGTTCTTGGCTACTATTATTCTTGCTGCACAAATCAAACTGGTTACCGCCCCTTGATCACTGTCTGTGATAACATCTTTTAAGCTCTCATGCTGTTTTTTAAATCTGAAAATGTATTTATTTATTTATTTTGCACAAATTATCCCTTCGGGACACAGCTATAGTACAACCAAAGCTGGGAGCCACGTTCAGCTGAAGGACAACCCACTTAACGGCTTGCTTTTAAAGACTTGCGGTTCCTGAACATTCACCTGGCAACAAGCATGTAGTCTAATGTGGGAAAAGGACCACTTTAGATGTAAATCAGTAACTCCCAGCCTGGGTACCTGCGTACCCTCTATAGATCAAAGCAGGAAGGGTTGGTGGGTTTGAAGATCTGTGCAAATTACAACTTCAGTTTTCTCAGGTGTGAAGGTGCCCAAGGAATAGCTTCCACGTTCCCCCTATGGCTGTGTGCAACTGCAGTACTGGCATGGAATTACAGCATTCAATGCACAGTTCTTAAAAATCTCTCTCGCTCTTTCTTTTTTGATAAAAAAATAAAACGAGTTTCTAGAACTTGCGGCTACGCTATAAACTTGAAACTAATAAGGGTGATATCTGGGGTTATCCCAGAAGCTGAGGAGAAGTAGTAGTTTGGATTTGATATCCCACTTTATCACTACCCTGAGGAGTCTCAAAGCAGCTAACAATCTCTTTTTCCCTTCCTCCCCCACAACAAACACTCTGTGAGGTGAGTGAGGCTGAGAGACTTCAGAGAAGTGTGACTAGCCCAAGGTCACCCAGCAGCTGCATGTGGAGGAGCAGGGAAGCGAACCCAGTTCACCAGATTACGAGTCTACCGCTCTTAACTACTACACCACACTGATTCCCACCCCCACCTCCCACCACCAGCAGTTTATTAATATTTTCCAATAACAGGACAGTCACACAAAAGCTGTGTTTCCTTTTGGTATAATTTTCTGCAGTTTGGCTTCGGGGGGCCACTGACAATGGGTATTCTGTCTTTCAGATTGAAGCAGACATCTCTAAACGGTACAACGAGCGACCTGTGAACCTGATGGGTGCCTTCGTTTGACTCCTTCTCCCCACATGCAAAATACACCTTGGACGTCCCTTGTGTGGTTGCAGCAGATGGCGTCAACCGCACCCCACAACCAAAGGGAAGGGAGGCCAATTGGTCTTCAGATTCTGGGAGCAAGGGGCGGCTGGTAGGGACGGCTTCCTGGACTTGTCCCGCATAGAGCTTTTCATGCTTATTAGCAGATCCCTGATGGATAAATAAAGCTGCTGTCTCCGTTCCAATTCCGGTGGTAATTCCGGTGGCCAAGGAAGGTACAAGATTCCCCAGAGACACACCCCATCTTAAACCTTTCCGTACACCCCAAGGAAACCAACTGCACCCACTAATCTGGTAACAGTAACCCCGGGCATGGCACTGCGGTCGTGGATCTTTGCTTGGCCTTGGGATAGACACTGCAGCTGTAGGAGAAACCTCAACACTGGCGAGTTGCACACACTGTCCCTCAAACAGCACTGCTGGGATGCAAGCCCCTTTCACAGGATTCATCAAACTGTAGAGGGACTACGAGTGTCATCTATTCCAACTTCCTGCAATGCAGGAATCTTTCGCTCGAACCCACAACCCTGAGATTAAGAATCTCATGATCTACTGACAAAAGCTGAGGAACCTTTTTTTTCAGTTTGAGGGCCTCATTCCCTTCTGGGCAACGTTCCAGGGGCCACATGACAGTGGTGAGGCAGTGCATCAGCAAGAGTAGGTGGAGCAGGGGATGTAAGTTTTGTGGGAATGTTCAGGGTGGCAGGAGAGGATATATGGTTTATTAATATCCTTCCTAACTTGCGCTAGCAAGTTCCTTTACTTACCAGAGTTTACATTCTCCTTCTCACGCACAGCAGATAACTGGTTGCAGGCTTGTGTGAGCCTCTCACTATTATACAATTTAGTCTGTCCCAAACTGAATTGTATGTTCCTGGTAAGTTCCCTTGAATCCCCCTTAAAAAGAATAAAGGCTCCACAAAATTACTTAAAGATGATCAAAGAAGTTTACTCACATCAGTTCACAGTTGGATTCCTGAAGGCAGACTTAGTTACAGATATGTACATGTAGATCTACCCCATATGGGGGAATTAATCCCAGTGCTCCTGCTAGCTGAGAGCTAGCAGAGCAGTCCTAGCTAAAACCTGGTCAAATGAAGAAGGAAGTGAAAAAAAGAGAGGTGTGCTGCGTGACTCGTTCTTTTGTTACCTGGACAGGTAAGGTCGTGCCCACCTTCTATCACATGCAAAAGGAAGGATGATCCAGCCAGGAGGAATAGGAAGTTTCGACTGGCTGGACCAAACATTTCCCCGCATGTCTTCTCTAGCAGTACAAGGAATGTTGTACTTGACTGCCTCTCACGGATCACATCCCACAAGTTTTACCTGCACATGGCAGGCCAGTTTCCCACTTACACAGGTCTCTCTACCCTCCATCCAGCAAAGCAAGAGGCACGATCAAAGTTAGAGGGTGGATTCTAGCCCGGCAAAAACACTCGAGGATTCAGAGTAGGTCCAGTAGGGGGTGTGGCCTGGGGTGAGTCCTGAGGGCCACCCAGAGAGGCTTGGAGGGCCGTGTTTCCCCCCAGGGTCTGCTTTATTAGGATACTTCTCTTCAAACTTTCTTTGGAGAAGAAACCTACTGCTATGATTCAGACCTATTTGTCTCCAGACAGACACTGATTTCACTTTGTATTGTAGCTTCAACCTCGGCTGCAAGAAAGTTGTTCCCTCTTATCTGCCACTCAGCTGGCTCTGCCCCTTAGATCACTCTGTGGGGCAGCTGAGTTTGTTGCATTAGCACACATTTACAAAGTTTGCATGCCTAAACATGTAATGTGTGAATGGCTGCTGTATGTGATGGCCTGGGATTCGGACTCAGATACTGAACCTGAGGGATCCCAGCTTGCACAGGATTCCCTGCCTCCAGAACCAGCTGAGCCGGGGCTGGGGCATGAGCCTGAAGAGTCCTCACCTGTGTTGGATCCTCAGCTGCAGGCATCAGCTGAGCCTGCTCTGGCTCCTGAGGTGATGGAGGCCCCATTGTCTGCAGGTGCTCCACTCTCAGCCCTGTCAGAGGAAGCTGAGGTTGCCTCTGGGTCCGGTAACCCTCCAGCCTCTCCTGAGCTACAGAGACTCAGGGCAGAGAGGCGGAGGGAATTAAGTTCCTGCAGGAGGAGTGCTCACCTCCAGGCCAGGAGAGGCAAGTCACCTGAGAATCGGGGCCACCCTATGCTTCGGGGCAGATAAAAGCCGGCCAGCCCCAGTCCCAAGTTGCGGGAGCAACATTGTTGGTTGCTAGTTCCTGTCTGAACCCTGTCCTGCTTTCCTGCCTGAGCTTCTGACCCACCCTGGCTCCCTGCTTGCATGCCTGTTCCTGACTTCACCCGACTTCCTGCCCTGCACCCAGCTTCAGCCACTACGGACTGCCTCCACATTGCATCTTTGACCACGGACCGGACTTGGACCTCGCCTCTCGGGTAACCCATGGGACCAGCATACTGTATGTTTTTGGAAGTCAGAGCCTGCCCACAACCTTGGGGCAAGAGGTTTGTGCTGAGATGCCTCCTGTCCTTGCATGCTTCCCTGACGTATCCTCCAGACAGGGAGTAGGACAAATACTTGTCTTGTAAGCATCCCTTTTCCATTTGGTTCCACCAGCAACCCAGCTTTGAACAACAAGAGCATAGTAACACATATTATATGTAATATAAACCAGTCCCTCCCACTTACCCACCCACCCAGAGCTGGCATCCAGGAAGTGGCTGGATCAAGTAAGGTAAGGATGAAAGACAAGGTGGGCAGTTGTGCCAATGGATAGTTTCTCGTCTGGCCTTGGATCTGCCCCCATTGTCTTTTAGCCTGGCAGAGGATACCACCCCTTCTATCCCTCTTATTTGGGGGAGGCAAAGAGTGGGTGATCGGTTTGGGATTGGGGGGGGGAGGTGATTCGATTTTAATTTCATAGGAGAGCAGTTGATTCATTGCTCTTTGTCGGTGGTGTTGACTCTCGTAATGACTTTCCATCAAAATGAAAAGTGGAATGACAGCGTTCATTATTCCTGCTGCTTGTTATCTCAGCGGCGGGGGGAGGGCCGCCCCCTCCCCCCCACGCCGCCTTTCAGCCATCCTGGACAGTGAGTGATGGGCCCTATTAATCACCGACCCCGCGGACTCTGGCGGACACACGCTACCCGGCAGAGAAGGGGAGAGAGATAAGGCACCAACAGGCGCTCCAATCAATTAACGTCAAGCGGGACTCTCCTGCCCCTCCTTCCTTCCCTGCTTTCACCCTCTTGTGGCTACAGAGGTGGACATCTCTGGGGTGGGTGGGTGTGGAGAGAGAAAGAGCAAATGGGGGCTCTTCTCCCATGGACCATTAGTTGGAATCTTCACAATGTCTGGCTTCTTCCATCCAAACCCAACTGCCTTCTGGGCTGGGAGAGATTTTGAGCCAAAGCTTATGATGGGATTCTCTTACTCTCTTTTGACACCCCCTCTCTCTAAATCCATGGAGCACTTGGTGACATATTCCATCCCTTAATGATTCATGGTTCACCTCCTGGTGAGTTTATTTATTGCCTTGGTTGTTTTTGTATTCCCACCCATGCCCCATAATATCTTTGGGATTCTGCCCACCCTCCACATAATCCTGTGGATTTTATTTGGTGACTATGACCTCTTAAGAGATTCTCCAGCTCCACCGTCATAGAACAACAGTTCTTGGGGTTGTCTGAGGAAGAGGGCATGGCTCTGAAAGCAAATTATGGTACAGATTTGAGGTTAGAGCCTATGCGAGATTCACAGTTTTGGAAAAGGAAAAACAACAACCAGGAGCAAGCAGGATTTTCTGGCCCATGTGTGCAGGGCTAGGTGCGGATCCAGTTTTCCCAACAACAAGAAGCTGCCTAGCTACTCTCTATGTATACCCTTTGAGTGTAACTGAATGCCTCTATAACTCCATTTATTTATTATGACAGTCAAATGAGAAATGATCTATAACAGAGGGAAAGTGAAGGGAAAGTATTAAGTAACAATGTGATAAATGAGTGCAGGAGAAGCAGATGCATATAATGATTATTATTACGTAGGGTCTGCAACAAAATGTTGCAGGGTGGAGTCCTCCTGTTCAGGAAACTCCATATCTCCTCCCATGCAGTTTTCTGTTTTGCTCTCAATAATCAGCATCCTGCACCCACTGAGCATGCTCCATCCTGTTTAAGTGTTCCGCTTCCCTGCCCCTTAGGTTCCCCCACCCGCAAAACTTGTTAGTACTTTTGCAAAACTTGGGATATCTTCAGACCTGCTGCTGCCTCCCTCTGGAGTGTGGATGCTGCTGTTTTGGCTGCATATGGACTGGTGCATAGTTGAGTTCACTGATTAGTATATATGGCAATAATAAATGCTTAACACTTGTGATAATTTGTGGGTGAACATATCAGACAACACAGCGATTCTTCAAACAGCTCTTGTTTATTCACAGACCCAGAACAGAACTGAACTGAAAGGTTCAGCCAGCCTGCTTATATAGAGCTCCACTACAACGCAACAGTAACAATTTTCTGTAACTATCCAATCACTGAATGTCACTTTCAATTCCTTATTTGCATATGTGGACCTGAGTGAAAACTATCTACAGTATCCCCCTGCTGGCCCAGGGTGAGAACTTCAGTACATAACAACTTGCATGGTGTTTTTAGAGTGTACATAGCACTTCACGTACATTGTCTTGGAATTCTTACAATAGGCAAGTAACCATTATCATCTCTTACAGCGGCATCTTTCTGCAGAGGGGGTGGAGCAATTAAGGTGGCAAGACCCACAGAAACTGATGGATTCCTAAGGGTCAAGTTTCCTGCCCGTATAGCAGGAGTTCCTGTTGAAGCCCCTGTTCCCTTTATGGCATTCAGAAACTGCTTCCCAGGTTGTAAACAGAATTGCTCCTAAGTGCCCTCTCCAACTGAATAGAGCCCGTGGGGGTCACTGCTATACCCAGAAAGTGGAGGTGATTAAGTGGCTAAAATTTTAGTAGAGGAAGTCTTGAACCAGATATAGTCACCGTAAAGTACCTAACAGTTTTCTGAGTTCTGCACAAAGATTAAGGAAGCAACACAGCCTCTGCCTGCACAGTACACACAGACATACATTCAAAAGTGGCTTACAAATGCACACAATTTTGTGGGAAGAAGAAATGAATGATGCGCTGAGCCTTTTGTGTAAAAAGAAATATGGTTTAACAGAAAGTGGAGGAGATAGATACTAACATGGACTGAGTGCCATAAAAAGTCATTTTCTGTTGTATCCTACAGACAGAGAATCAGAAGTTTTTTTATTCTTCTTTATCTTTATATCTTTGTTCTCTCCCCTTTCTCCCTTTTTCGTTCTTTCTTTCCTTGTTATCTCTTTCTTGCCTTTTCAATTCTATTTGTTCTAGAGATTACATTATTGTATTGTGAAAACTTTAATAAAAATCAATTTGAAAAACAAACAAGCAAAGATCTGATAGGTATATTGAGGCATGTATGGCAGACTCTTCTGAATTGTGGAGTACAGAAGGACTCATGGTGATGACAGTTAAAATGTCAGTCTCTGGGAGCAGCTCATTCAATTATCTACAGAACCTTCTTGTCCCGAGCTATTTTGGGTGGTCATTCGATAAACGTCCTCAGGTGGCTCTCAGTTGTGATACCCCAAAACTCTAAAGCCTACTGTGACCTAACCTATTTACAAAGTGTATTTTTTAGTCACTATGCTAAGCCAACCCTCAAAAGTGTGGCATCACATTTCAGATGCTATTTATTTGATTGACTTCATATAGAGTTACCAGTGAACATGATGTCTGACAGTGTTTCATAAGGTGGGAAAGACAGGCTGCTGTTCCCTAGCAGCTGACAGTCTCAGTGTAATGAGTGGGAGCTGCTACAGAGAAATGGAATCAAACATCCCCTTCTGTGTCACAAATCATCACAATTTCGCTACTTAG